TTTTTGTGGAAGATCACGATAAGTAACTTGTGAATCAATGACTGATTACAACCCCCCGACTGGAATACCAACAGGCGCTGGAACCCTGACAAAATTGATAAATGCCTGCGTAGCGTAATGGTTAACGCGTTTGACTTCTAATCAAAAGATTGCGAGTTCGACTCTCGCCGTGGGTTCTAGCTTTTTGCTTCCCTACCTGGCCCTCTTCGAGAAGCAGTGAGTTTTTTTAATAAACCATGGCTTCTATATCACCGATAGGTAATTGTGCTCCAAGAGTTTTATAAATAGAGCTGCTATCACGCGCAATAGCTTACCTCCGGTTTTATGTCAGAGCCCAGGCCACAGTTAGACTTTATGTTTAGCACTGTTCCCAGTTTGTAATGATCAGTCGTTCATAGATAAGCGCGATTCAAATTGTTTAGAAACGCTAGACACATACCAGCAAGTTTCGTGACCGACTTTCGCTACGGAATCTGTCAACTATGCCAATAGGAGACAGAAGTTTACCTTGTGAGCTTGCGATGGATTATATTTCACTATCTCGTCTACAACTTGGCATCTTTGATCAAGGACCCCTCGCTGTACAAGTCCTCAAAGGTCTGGGCAAAAAACTTCCTGGCGATTGGTCTTTTAATCTTGAAGGTTGGTGTGACCACATCTCTGGAGACCGTTAAAGGTTCGACATCGCAATAAATGTTATGAATCTTTTCAAACCCTTGCAATTTCAAACTCGAAACAGCTTCGTTCATCGTGACCAATAACTTCCTCTTTACCCTGACCTCGCTAAGCAATCTCAATATCTCCTCTGGATCGGGGGAAGATGGGTTTCCAGCGGAGATACCAAACTCACTTTCAAGGAACTTGGCCATTGCCAACGGATCAATCCCTACAATAGCCACCAAGTACGTTTGCAAGGAGTCACCGTGCACGTAGAGCTGACTGATGTACGGACAAGACGATAAGTACTGGTTCTCGATTCTTTCGGGGGTCACATACTCTCCCTGGGCTAACTTGAAGAAATTCTTTACCCTATCAATGATGAAGAGATGTCCTTTTTCGTCAATACGGCCCACATCCCCAGACCTGTACCAGCCGTCTTCGTCAAATGCCTTGGCCGTTTCTTCGGGGTTTTTATAGTACTCTTCAAACATCTGTGGCCCTCTAAGGAGTACTTCGCCCCTAGGTCCCCCCTTGTCTTGGGAGGTGTATCCCATCTCCGGGACATCCCTCAATCTTGCCTCGGTAGTGATCCCAATTGGGCCGCAAGACCCAGAGTCAATTTCGAAAGGGTCTGAGAGGCAAAACCCAGAGAAGGACTCGGTCATACCGTAACCCTGGGCAAACCCCACGTTTAAGGCAGCCTTAAAGAAGTTGATGGTCTGGGGGCTAATGGGAGCAGAGCCTGTGATGAAATACCTGGCGTTGGTTAAGCCAAGGGAATCGCGCAACTTATTGGTCAAGAGTCTGTCGAAGAGCCAGTGTGAGTGGCCAGTGCATCCCTTCTTGATCCACTGTGCCCTCTTGTCAATGATGTAACTGCTCAACTTCTGGGATACCCCAGGAGCGGAATTGATCGTCTTGTCTTTCAACAAAGCTTCAAACCGTGTGAAAACTCTTGGCACTGAAATCAAAGAAGTTGGCCTCATTACCAATAAATCATCCACCAAAGACGTGGGAGAGCTGGATTGGGGGAATGCACATGCAGTCCCGGTGGAAAAGTAAGTCCCCCACACGCCCCTCTCAAAGATGTGTGACACTGGCAAGAATATATATTCCCTTGCCTTCCCCTTCGGAAGCGGAAACGTAGACATGGCCCAGGTAATGGACGACACAGCATGTCTGTGCTTCAATACAACACCCTTGGGATTACCGGTCGTACCGGAAGTGAAAGAGATGGTGTACAATGTTTCCGGGTGCGGTTTTCTGTGGGCCATTGGGTTTGAGGCGCCCAAGGCCTCGATCTCTTCAAAGGTGTGTAACTGGACCCCCGCCTCAGCGAACTTAGTGACGTATACCTTCTCAGAAGCGGCCAACGGTTGTTGCGCCACCACCTGAATCAAAAACGGTAAGTTCTTCTTGATCCCCAATAAGCCTTCCAACTTATCATTGGAGCAGACCACAATGGGAGACTCGGTCAATCCCAAGATGTGTTCTGAGGTCCCAGGGCCCAAAGTGTCGTACAAGGCAGTGTTCCCAATCGAGTACGCAGCGCAAGCCAAGTCGGTGATCACCCACTCAGGGGTGTTTCCGCTGAACAAGGAGACAATGAAATTCTCCATGTTGTGAGCCCCAGTAATGAAGCGGTTGGTACGAAGAGCGTGGAAAATACCAGCTCCGACGTTCGTCCGACGCTCGGCCACCTTGGTGTACGATTCCCAGGTGTAGAAGGTGTCGAAGGTGTCAGGATTGGTGTTGTTAAACAAGCGGCGACCTATGAAGTCATTTTCCGGCCAAAGAGCGAGCGAGTTCTCAAACAAGGCATATACAGTGTCCAAGTTTGGATGCATCTTGCTGAACAACTTGTCCTTGCATAATGGATGACGGTACACTTCAGAGTGGCCCGGTCTGGCAGAGTCTGGCAACGTGATGGAATAGTTGTACTTTTCGAAGCTGATAGGAAAGCCCTCTGTGACAACTTTCTTGAGGTAGCTTTTGTCTTCCTGGAACAAGGATCCGGTTTCTGGGGTCATTGGTGTAGAGATAGAGGACTAAGGGGCAGAGATAGTGAGTGTAGTTTACTTGATTCAGAGGTATCTGTGATGGGTTTGTTTAGAGGGCGTCTGGAACTTTTAGCGTATAATTCGAAGGGTCGGGGTGAATGTAAAATATCCGTTATACATGCCACGTTAAGCCATAGGCGGGGAAGTGGAGACCTTTAAGACCGCTGTACCTGTATCTTCCGACAGTCACCTTTTACTATCTTTCTTCGATATACCAGACAGATTCGTACACTGAATCATTTCCCGCCATTTTGCTACATTCTGAGACTCTGCATCTTTGATATTTAAACTATAGCTGGCTTGGTTTATAACCTGCTTAAAAGCGGTGCCATTTAAATCGCTCTGATCACACACTGTTAAAAAAACGCGGGGTAAAGCTTAGCCCCTTTGAGATGTCCGGCACGGATCTCGGCTCGCGGCCCTGCCCCAGCTATAGGTTGCGAGTAACCTCATTTAGTAAACCCGTCGCTATATCCCACTGACAATAAACTTCTCCCTGAATCATCTATCCATGGCCTAAAGTTACGGTAAACCAGCAGGTTTCACAGGCTGGATACCCCAATGCCTACTTCACCAAAGCTAAAACACGGAAGGAAATGGTGGAGTATGTTGAGACAAACTTCTACACGTTCAAATGTGCTTTCCAAAATATTAATACGGTACTGAAAACCACCAACTCTCCATATAAAGTCTATAAATACACAACCTGCAGTCTGCTTGACACCTATAATTTGGTGTCCCTGATCAAGGAGCCCTCGCTGTACAACTTCTCAAAAGTTTCAGAAAAGAATTTCTTGGCGATTGGTCTCTTGATCTTGAAGGTTGGAGTAACTACTTCTCTTTCCAAGGTCAATGGTTCAATGTCACAGTAGACATTGTGAATCTTCTCAAACCCTTGTAACCCTAACTCGGCGACGGCTTGGTTCATGGTTTTCAACAAGACCCTACGAACCTTGGTGTCAGCCATCAACTTGACAATCTCTTTCGGATCTGGCGCCAGTGGGTTACTCACAGAGATACCAAAGTTTTTAGAGAGGAACTTTACCATCGCAATCGGGTCAACACCCACAATGGCCACCAAGTACGTTTGCAAAGAGTCACCGTGGACATAGAGCTGGCTGATGAACGGACAAGACGACAAGTATTTGTTCTCAATTCTTTCCGGAGTGACAAACTCACCCTGGGCCAATTTAAAGAAGTTCTTCACTCGGTCGATGATGAAAACATGACCCTTCAGGTCAAAGCGAGCCACGTCCCCAGATCTGTACCAACCGTCCTCGTCAAACGCCTTTGCCGTTTCTTCGGGGTTCTTATAGTACTCCTTGAACATCTGCGGCCCTCTAAGGAGCAACTCACCTCTTGGGCCGCCTTCGTCCTGGGCGGTATAGCCCATTTCCGGCACGTCTCTCAATCTAGCCTCGGTAGTGATACCGATCGGCCCACAAGAGCCGGCATCCACCTCGTACGGGTTGGAGATACAGATCCCGGAGAAGGACTCAGTCATACCGTACCCTTGCGCGAACCCAATGTTCAAGGCGGCCTTGAAGAAGTTGAGGGTGTCGACACTGATCGGGGCAGAGCCGGTAACGGCGAATTTTGCGTTGCTCAAGCCAATGGCCCCGCGCAACTTGTTGGTGACAAGTCTGTCAAAGAGCCAGTGGGACTTCCCCGTGTAACCCTTTTTCACCAACTCGGCCCTCTTGCCGATGACATAGCTAGCCAACTTCTGCTTAAAGCCAGGGTCGGAGTTAATGGTCTTGTCCTTCAAGGCGGCTTCAAACTTTGTAAACACCCTTGGCACGTTGATGAAGGAAGTTGGTTCCAAGACCGTCAAATCGTCCAACAAGGTCAACGGAGAGGATGATTGTGGGAAGGCACAAGCAGAACCGGTGGAGAAGTACAACCCAAGCACCTGTCTCTCGAAGATATGAGCCAATGGCAAAAACACGTACTCCCTGGCAGTCCCCTTCTCCACTGGAATCGCAGCCAAGGAGAAGGTGACGGCCGCCACCGCCTGCTGGTGATGCAAAACCACTCCCTTAGGGTTTCCAGTAGTCCCCGAGGTGAAAGAAATGGTGTACAACGTGTCAGGGGTCGGAGTTCTGAGCGGAAGCGGATTCGCTACCCCCACAGCTTCCACATCGGTGAAAACGTTCAACTGGATCCCCACGTCGGCAAACTGGGAAATATAGTGCTGTTCAGCACTGGTCAACAGCTTCTGGGTGATTACCTGGATCAAAAATGGTAACTGGGTGTTTTTCTTCAATTCGTACAACTGTTGCAACTTGTCGTTAGAGCAGACCACGACTGGGGACTCCGTAGCCCCCAAAATATACTCTGCAGTCCCTGGGCCTAAGGTATCGTATAACGCGGTATTACCAAGCGAGTAAGCCGAACAGGCCAAGTCCGTGATGACCCACTCTGGGGTGTTTCCGCTGAACAAAGACACAATGAATTGGTCGAAGTTGTGAGAATCCGTCTTGAACCTATTGTTTCTGAGGACGTTCAAAAGACCAGCCCCAAAGTTGGTACGACGTTCGGCAGCCTTAGCGTATGATTCCCAGGTGTAGAAAGGGTCAAAGGCGTCAGACTTGGTGTTGTTGAACTTGCGATGCCCGAGGAAGTCGTTGTCTGGCCAGAGTGTCTTTCCGTTCTCAAACAATTTGTACATAGTGTCCAAGCTCGGATGGATCTTGTCGAACAACTGGTCCTTGCACAACGGGTGGCGGTAGACTTCCGAGTGGCCCGGTCTGGCGGAGTTTGGCAACGCGATGGAGTAGTTGTACTCCTCGCCCACCGGGAAGCGCTTGGTGATGATCTCCCGGAGGTAGTTTCTGTCTTCTTCGTATAAGCTTGACATGTGATGAGTGAAGAAAGATTAGAGGCTTCGGAGGGTAAAAAAAAAAATCACGGAAAACGCCCTTTTATAGCCTTCTGGGTCTAGGCAGACCGGCAATCAGATGTGAATACATATCCCCCTGTGGTGCTCCATTTTCCGCCTGACACCTGCGGGGAAATCCCGTGCAAAGTATACTGTCCCTGCGGTGCAACGGAACGGAAGTAGAACCGAGAATGCAGGATATAATGCCGATCACGGACTTCGAACAATGACCAGGTCAACAGTGGTTGGCGATAAAATTTAAAACGCTGAATGTGTGAAACCATCGGCTTGTCATCTGGAATGGGCTCATTTGGGGTTAGGTTTAGTCTAGGGAGGGCACCTATTCTAAACTGAAATGTCTGCACCTCGTCTTATCTAAGAGGTTGGCACAGAGATAAGGTTGTATATAATAGATAGCTTCCGGTAGGGTGATGTCAATCCACTACAGCGTGCCGGCACTTTACGTCAAGTCACGGTACAGACTAATGCCTCTTTCTCTCGGAGCGGAGGCCTATACAGAAGGTTCCATCCGTGTCTGTATTCTTTAATTGAGATAAGATCGGTTGTGGAAAAAACACTGCCTCAAGGGGTACCAAAAATCCGGTAAATGGCACGTTTAGGTGTTCCTCCATCGTACCCAAACAGGCTGATGAGCATTGCTAGTTATGAGCTCCGTTATGGTCCAGTTTGCGATCGCCCATCTCCTAATACGCAGACTAAATTTGCCTACTGCGAACATCTTGATGGATAGCTTTATATCACGTGTCTATTGCTTGGGGGGCACACCTACTGGTGATGGAATTGGACCAGCACCTACTACACCGTCAACTTAAGATCGAGCGAGTTATATTGTGTCAAGGACCCAAACAATATAAGAAAGGCAGGATAAAGCTCTGGACGCTTAAACCTAAGGGGGGTTTCCCATTAGTGCCTCTATCTAAGGGCTTCGTAGAAGCTGCTTGGCTCGAGATATTGGTCACCCTCGCTTACCTAGCTGGTTGATCTACGGTTAAAAGATGGAGATCTGCGTATAACACCCCCACGATGCAGGAGCCATCTTCGAAGCTGTCGAGCAGCTGTCTACACCTTTCTGTAACCGAGCGAAGGAATGTACATCCGAGAAATGCCTTGCACGAAGTGGTATCCTCGACAAAGTATGAGTTAAGCAATATATAGAACGTGTGCTGTTTCTCTATTTAAAGTTTCGATCACTAGTCTGACTTAGACTGGAATTTTTCAGCTTAGGCCGATGGTATATCCGGGGTGCTTTTTGCAAGAGGCCAGGACTGAAGATCATTCCTCCTTAAATAAAACCAACTCTGCTCTTCTTCCATGGCTGAATCTACTATTGCGGGTGCGACTAGCCTACTCTCAAATGCGATACCAACGTTTACCAATACTCCCTCTAATTTTGTCATGAGTATGTAGAAACGTAAAATGACTCATCCGAGCGAGTATCCTACGAAGGGTACCGTGTGACTCTATCGTCAATCACTGATTTCCCGCTCATGCACTATCTGCAACCCTTCCAAAAGGAAAGGAAATCAGGTAACCAGATCTTATCTGCACGGCATTCCGCTGAAACGTTAATGTGAACCCCCACGTCTACACGGGGTACTCTCCCCTCACATATACGGAACTTTCTCACACCTCCTAAACTCCGATTTATTTCTCATGTCCTACTGTCTATTCTACAGATGCTCGAACCGGAATATCTTAGACCCCTCCCCCTTCTTCACAGACTCGCACACATAAAGCTTACTAATGATGCTTGTGGCGCGTGCACGGATAAAATTGGGCATACGGTGGCTCAGCTAGTCCGATGTCCTCACTGGGCGTGCAGCTGACGAATTAAAGCCTCCATTACCCGCGGGTATCCGCCACATGCGCCACCTCTCTATCTCCTCCCACTAAAAGCGAAAAGTTAAACCTGGAAACCCCCACGCGATGTGTCATCGCCTCAGCGGCAAAGTATAAATACCGCTCGATATCGCGTTTGGGTTTAAATTCCCCACTCTTTTAATCTCTCTCTCTCCATCTACGTTCACGCTCCAAAATGACCAAGCCTCTTTCCAAGGATTTGTCCCACCACTTGTCGCTTGAAGCCCAGTCCCGTGGCGCTTCTTCCTTGAAGACTGCCTTCAAGTACTTTGGCCTTCCAGGCATGGTTTTCCTCGGCGGTGGTTTGCCATTATCCGACTCCTTCCCATTCGACTCTGTTTCTGTGGCGTCGCCAGCCGTACCTTTCGCCGCTGGGGTCTGTGCCAAGCCATCTGGCTCCGAAGAGGACACCATCAACTTCAAAATCTCCAAGAGAGGTGAAGAAAACAAGTTCAAGACCGAAATCCCGTTGTCCAGATCCTTGCAGTACGGCTACACGGAGGGTCAGCCGGAGTTGGTTGAATTCCTCAAGGAACATACCGCATTGATCCATCACCCACCTTATGAGGACTGGAGTGTCATTTCCACCGTCGGTAACACCCAGGCGTGGGACGCAGTCTTGAGAAACTTCACCACTAGAGGCGACTCCATTTTGGTCGAGGAGTACACCTTCCCATCGGCCTTGGAAGCCTCGCATGCCCAGGGGATCCACAACGTCCCGATGAAGATGGACGACTACGGTATCGTGCCGGAGGCCTTGGAGCAGCAGTTGGCCCAGTGGGTCGGTGCCAAGCCAAAATTCATTTACACCATCCCAACCGGCCAGAACCCAACCGGGTCCTCCTTGCCGGTTGACAGAAGAAAGGCTATCTACGAGATCTGCTGCAAGCACGACATTCTCATCATCGAGGACGAACCATACTACTTCTTGCAGATGGAGGAGTACACCCAGGACGTGACCAAGCGTGTCGCCACCACCAAGTCCCGTGACGAGTTTGTCGGTGCCCTTGTTACCTCCTTCCTCTCCCTTGATATTGAGGGTAGAGTCTTGAGATTGGACTCCTTCTCCAAGGTCTTGGCGCCTGGTACCAGAATGGGTTGGATCGTCGCCCAGAACCGCTTCATCGAGCGTTTCTTGCGCATCCACGAGGTCACCATCCAGTGCCCATCTGGGTTCACCCAGTCCATCGTCAGCGGTACGTTGAACCGTTGGGGCCAGGACGGATACCTCGACTGGTTGATTGAGCTCAGAAAGGATTACACCAGTAAGAGAGACGTCGCCATCGACTCTGTCCACAAGTACTTCCCTAAGGCAGTGATTTCTTTCGTACCACCAGTAGCTGGTATGTTCTTCACCGTTGACTTTGACGCCTCCAAGCATCCAAAGTTCGCTACTGAGTTCGGTTCCGACCCCCTCAAGGTCGAAAACGCCATCTACGAGGCTGGGTTGAAGAACAACTGTTTGATGATTCCGGGCTCCTGGTTCAAGGTTGACGACAATTCCGAACCACCACAACCGGCCCAAGAAGTCAGTGAGGCCGCCAAGAACACTATTTTCTTCAGAGGCACCTACGCCGCCGTCCCTATGGACCAGTTGGCCTTAGGCTTAAAGTCCTTCGGTGAAGCAGCCACCGCTGAATTCGGGTTGTAAGTACAAACCCCCGGAGACAGTGATGCAAAGTATAAAAGGTTAGCTAGATTAATGGACGGATAAAGAAAGGACTTGTATTAATCAAATAATCCTCGTACATGTTTGCATGTTCAGGTATATCTATAAAGGAAAGAAATGTGCGAAACTTACAAACAAATTTTTATATATACTGTGTATGCATAGTATGTGTACGTATAGTATGTGTACGTATAGTATGTATATATATAATATGTATATATAATATGTATGTATACTTGGAACAGATAAGCTTAACAGATATCAATTGACAAAATTTACCTATAAATATATTAAATGGCCAAACTTATCAAATAAAAATCATTTCGGTGCCCAAATAATCATCCCTTCAAAGCTGATAACACCTTTCGATACCAACATTTAAGCCTTCTCTTACCCACGTTCCTGATTCCTTAAATGTATCTCCTGCTCCGGGGATTTACTCCCAATTAGATGCTGCGTTTTCCCCATAAACTAGTATCCTGCATCCATTGCACGTGATAAAAGCAACCTTCGGTACCGGATGAAGAAATCTCCTTGACACAGTATCTCAGCTTTCAGTGGCAACGTACTGATTCACTATTCGTATTATCCATCACAGCCTATAGGATTGCCAAGTGACCTATAAACCGAGATTGCAGAAAAGTGAAGCCATTGCCAGGAATTTTACTCAGTTATTCAATCGAGAGTAAACTTTCCGGTTGAGTCGCAATCTGTTCAATTATCGATTACTTTTTCTTCCACCCACCTTCACCTATTTGGCCCCATTACCCATTCCTTAACCCCACTACGCATTCTTTAACCCCGCTGGGACCTACCGCTTTACCTACCATTTTACCCCCCCCCCTTAATTTCCTTTTCCTGATGCTCCCTAACGCAAATCGCCGGGCAAAGATCAGACCGCCAAAGAGGTCGCTCGTGAAGGAGATCAACTTTGATGAGTCGTGGGCGGTGCTATCGGCGGCGGTGTCACAGATCCAGCAGAAAAATGCGTCCGCTCTCTCGTTCGAGGAGCTCTACCGCCGCTCATACAACCTCGTGTTGAAAAAGCACGGCCAGCGACTCTACGACAATGTGCGCGCCGCGGTGGCCACGCACTTAGCGACCGTACGCACGCGGCTCCTCGCGGCGACGAGTGCTGCGCCTGAGGCGTTCTTGCAATGCATGCGTGCCGAATGGGAGGACCACACCTTGTGTATGCGCATGATCAGCGACGTTTTGTTGTATTTAGACCGCGTGTATGCGCGCGACAAGAAGCTTCCGCTCGTATACGACATGGGAATAAGCTTGTTTGCCGAGCACGTGGTGAAACACGGGGACCACAGGCTCGGGAACCGTCTTGTGGCGATTCTCAACCTGGAGATCCACCGCAACCGCCAGGGCGAGATTGTCAACCGACTTTTGCTCAGGCTGAGTGTGGGAATGTGTGAGGCGCTCGTGGAAGACGCGGAGTTCGGCGAAAACTACTATGTGCGGCATGTCGAGCTGCAGCTTTTGCAGGCCAGCGGCGACTACTTCGAGACCGCGGCGAACGAGTTTCTCGGAAGCGCCACGGGCTATTTGCACCATACGACGCAGTTTGTCAAGGACGAGGAGAGCCGTGCCACGCTTTATCTTCCCGAGAGTACATTTCCGAAGCTTGTTTTGCTTATGGATAATGTGATGGTGGGGGACAAGTTGGGGACCGTGATGGAGTCAGCGGACGGGTTGAAGGAGTGGGTGACAGGGCGGATGCACGGGGAGTTGAGGTTGGTTTACGGGTTGAGCGGGCGTGTAGATGTCGAGCATAGGGCGTTGAGGCATCAGTTGGTGGGGATTGTGAAGGAGATGGGTGAAGCTTTGGGCAGAGCGAGCGAGGTAAGCGAAACTGTGAACGAAGCAGGCGAAGCTCTGGCTGAGGCCCAGGCGAACGGTCCCGGTGAAGCAACACCCACGAGCTTGCGCCCAAACGCAAAACCCAAACGCAAAAACGATACTACAGCCTCCGCGCTTAAATGGATCGAGTCCGTCCTCTCCTTAAAGTCCCATCTCGATGCAATCCTCGCGACGTTTGACAATAACGCTTTCATCGCAAAATCCATTGAGATGGCCCTTGCCGACTTTGTCAACGCCAACGCCAAGTCTGCCGAATTCCTCTCGCTCTACATCGACTTCCACATCAAGAAATCCCTCAAGGCCTCCACAGACAGCGACGTCTTGGAAAATGCCATCACGATGTTCCGCTTCCTCCGTGACAAAGACATATTTGAGCGGTACTACAAAAACCACTTGGCGAAACGCTTGCTCCAGAACAAGGCCGGGGCAAGCGACCTTGAAACTGCAGTTATCACGCGAATTCGGAGCGAAATCGGGGCAGAATTCACATCCAAGTTGGAGGGGATGTTCCGTGATATGAAGATTTCGCGCGATCTCTCACTGGAGTTCAATGAAAGAAACTCCGGGTTCGAACTCGAGGTTCAGGTTTTGACCACGACGTTCTGGCCGATGCAGTCGACGAAAGATCCCATCGCCTACCCCACAGCTTTGGGCGAGATGAAGACGCGCTACGAGGACTTTTATCTCTCAAAGCACAGCGGCCGCAACCTTGCGTGGCTCCCGACATTTGGCTCGGTGGATGTGCGCATCCAATTTGAGGCGAAGGTGCATGAGGTGAATATGTCGACGTATGCCGCGGCGATTGTGTTACTCTTTGCAGAGCATGAGCAGTTGAGCTACGGCGAGATTTTGGCAAAGACGGGCATCCCAGCGAACGACCTTAAACGGCAGTTGCAATCGGTCTCTGTGGCCCCCAAGACGCGGATATTGACCAAAAAACCCATGACCAAGGAGATCAACGATGGGGATGTATTTAGTTTCAATGGGAAGTTTCGGGCGCCGTTGACAAAGGTGAAGGTCTTGACGGTGTCACTGGGGTCTAAGGCGGAGAATGACGAAGAGAGGAGTGCCACGGTGGGGGCAGTGAACAAATCGCGGAAGTTTGAGACGGACGCCGCGATGGTGCGGATTATGAAGTCGCGAAAACAGATTTCGCATAATGAGTTGATGGCGGAGAGTATTAGGCAGTTGGGGAACCGGTTCCGACCAAGCCCCCAGTTGATCAAGCAGCGTATCGAGGCGTTGTTGGAGCGGGAGTATTTGAAAAGGGATGATGTGGATAGGAGTGTGTACCACTATCTTGCATAGAACGGGGTATAGAGGGGGGTTGAATGTGATGAGTGTTTAATTTACTGGTTCAGGCGAGACGTTAAATATGAATTGATATGCTGAATTAGGCTGCAGTTAGGCTTAGAGGGACCATATATTTTAGCATTGAGGTTTTGCAAAGTTGGACACAAGCACCGACGTCTAGATAAATAGTACCTTTGCTAAAAGTTAGCTGTAGTATTATATGGAGTTGAAGTATTTACCATCGGGTGGTACTTGCCAGTAAGGAATTTAACTCCTTTGTCAAACTTTAGACTTCCTCCATGTTTAATTATCATATCCATGGCCCAGAGTATTTATCTAATCATTATACGTTCGAGCTCAACCTGTTATGCAACGTGCGGTTAAATGGATAGCTATGGCAGTAAAACATTTTGGCATCCTGATGATATCTTATTGGCGTGGTGTTTCCAGACTGGTCTAGTAAAAGGTATATATCTAGTAATAATTTTAGCTGAGATAAATTCACTCCATTTCATTCCAAATCTTTTGTAAACTTTCGATTTTTATCAATATGTGGAACGTCATCTCATCGCCCAATTAGGAAAGCGCTCGGGTGAAACTTTTGAGTGCAGGAGATATTTTTTGTTACTTCGATACATAGAGGTTGAAAAGTTTTGTGATCTAGGCAAAACCACATCTAAGGTAGAGCAAATATGGCTGCGAATCCCAGGCAGACCATTATAAGCCGTGTGGACAACTTTGACCACTGGATCCGTCTAGCCACAGATAATGTATGTACCACATTCGTTCCATCCTGATCGAATCACGAATCGACCATTGACTCATCCTTTTTTAGAAAATCAACTCCTCCAATAGCTGGAAAGTCGCCTTAATTGACTACTTCCACGATTTGTCATGTCTCCGCGACGGGGACGGGATAAACTTTCAGAAGGCGTCGGCGACGCTCGACGGGTGTGTCAAGATTTACTCGTCGCGCGTTGACTCGGCCGCCACTGAGACCGGAAAACTCCTCAGTGGATTGGCTTCCCGTTCCCCGATTGTGGAAGAGAGCAATAATAAAGAGCCTCAGGAGGTTTTAAGGGTTTCCAGACCCAAGAAGCATTCCGAGACCACGTTGGCAAAGAGTTTTGACGCGATAAAGGCAAAGAGCGTGGAGTCTGAGCTCGCAGTAGATCCGTTGTTTAAGAAGGTTTTGGCCGATTTCGACGAGGGTGGGGCTAAAGCGTTGTTGCTTAACATGTTGAAGGGGCATAAATCGGGACGGGTGATGTTTGCGGAGGAGACTGAAGAGAGTGTGAGCGAACTTGAGGCTCGCATAGGGTATGGAAAACCATCTCACACCTCTGATAGATCCCCGGACCTTCCTAATGCTCAATCTACGGAAGCAGAACTTGTGACTTGCTTGGGTCAACGCTTTTTTCCCGACTTATCTCTCCTCGCGTCGTTCAAGATCTGCCCGTCCATGGACGGGATTGAAAAAGTTCTCCACGATGACGACCTCACCAGCCTCTTGGAAGAAGTCAACGTGTATGAAAATAACCAAATCGATGACTTCGACATGGGCAACCCCCACAGCATCTTCTATGACGAAGAAGCCGAACCGGGTGATTCTACCGGTCCCAACAACACCATGCAACGCCTCTTTGACGAGAGCTTCCAGCGGGAGCTCTCACCTGTGCACGAAACCGTATCAGAGCTTCCAGATATGGATATTCTTGCTTACTTCGACTACACCCTCCGGAAGAACTGGGCTGGGGCGGAGCACTGGAAGATCCAGTCTGTGAAGAAGCCACAGCAGGCAAAACCTGTGGTGATTCCATCTTCGAAGGAGAAGTTTGTCATTGATTTTAGCCAGAACAGCCCAGAGACGTTTGAAGAGGAATTGTTTATCCCCGGGGCAAATCTACTCCTTCCCAAAACCCATTGGGTGTCCCATTCGAAGAACATCCTCCCGCACGATATCCAGTTCAGCACGAAACGTTTGGTCCGCCTTTTCCACAAGGAGAGCATGATTCTGACGGTCTTTAACAAACGTGGGGTTGCGGCGGATATTCCGGCGGATGAAAATTTCTGGGCTGCTAATTACGAGCAGGAAGAGACGATTTTGGTGGGAAAATCACAGCTTGATGTGCTCAGAGACGACATGAACGAGATTCATCAATCATTTGACCACACCTATTTGAGTAACAATCCGAACACCTCGTATTTGCTCAATCTTGAGGGAGAGGATGCATTTGACGGCGCTGACTGGGATCTCGGTGGATACTGGGACGATGGTCAAGGCTACGGCAGCCAGTTGGTGCAAGGAATCAGCCAACAGGCGAAAACTCCAATGCTCAGCTTTGCGAGGGTTGTTAAGCGTGTGGATGTGAAGCTCTTGAAGCGGAACTTGTGGGAGTGTTTTGAGAAAACTTCCCATAAAAGAAGTGGAGGAACTGAAGAAAGTATTGAAGCAGGCATTGATAGATCGAATTCTGACCTTTCGCGGAAGGAAGAAGAAACATACCGGTTCACGGAGTTGGCAAGAGAGGTGAATGCTAAGTACGCTCCAGAGATGCGAAAGGACATATCCACCAGTTTCCTCTTCATCTGCTTATTGCATTTAGCCAACGAGAACGGGCTTGAGATCGCCAACGACGGTAATCGCGAGCTTTTGGTCAGGAAATAACGAAAAATAGACGGGAGCCATCCCTACTGCATTAACGAAAATATACGCATATAAGTAACATTGGTCAGAGTAAATGAGGGATAGGCTGGGGATGCTGGTGTGAGGGAGAAAAAAGAGGATTGGGGTGGATAATATTTTGAGAAAATTTAACATCAGGTGGAAAACCAAACAGGGCCATCTTTGGAAGCAAGGCAGGCTTTTCCGCTAATGTGCTGTCAGGTTGAGTCAAATGAGACAGTGTTAGCATGTTTACACGGGTTAACCGACGTTGGTGCTAGTTTAACATAACTGAACTATCCATAGAGACAAAAATAGAAAGGAGCTTGCGTTACTTGTGGAAAGGGTATCGGAGGGCCATAATTGACTGAAGATAAACGGGGAATCGATGTCGCACTCGATTTATTCCATCCCTAGACTGGACTAGCTCAATAGAAGTTGGACCAAAGTAGACCGTGGATTGTAATCTGCAATGCCAATGGATATATCATTAAATTAAATCGCCTAGCAGCCACGAATTTCCTCAAAAATCAAAGTGAGCTATATAAAAAGCCTAATATACCCCGGGACCGAAGCTGTCAGGCTCAGAATCGGAGACTGTAGTTATTCCCAGCAGTTGTCTTTTTTTTTTGGTATTACCCTTCCAAGTTACCAGCTAAATGAAAATGAAAATGTAAAAAAAAAACTACATCTTCTCGATAAATAATAAATTAGATAAATACACGCTATTTACCACTCTTGAGCCTTGACCCCGTACAACGATCTCTTGGTTCCTCTGATCGGCTTGATCAAGTCGGACCCGCCTTCCAAGAAGGAGAACTTCTCTCTTCTCGTGGCCTCGTACTTCTGGATGTGCTCTTCCTTCTGCAAGGTCAAACTGATATCGTCCAAACCGTTAACTAAGCAGTGCTTTCTAAACGGCTCGACATCGAAGTTGTCGACCAAGACCTCGCCGTCTGGACCTCTGATCTGCTGGTTAGGCAAGTCAATGGTCAATGGCTTCCCCGCCTGCGCGACCGGGTACAACTTGCTCAAGATCACCTCCTGGGGGATTCTAATCGGCAACAACCCGTTTTTGAAAGAGTTGTTGTAGAAAATATCACCAAAAGACGGCGCAATGATGGACTTGATGCCAAAGTCCTGCAATGCCCATGGCGCATGCTCTCTAGAAGAGCCGCAGCCAAAGTTGTCACCAGTGACGAGCAAGACCTCCGCCTTGTTGTATGGAGCAACGTTCAAGACAAAGTCCGTGGCAACGTCCTTGCCGTCTTTCTGGGTGAACCTCCACTCGTAGAACAAGCCGGAGGAGAGACCCGTGCGCTTGATGGTCTTGAGGAACTGCTTTGGAATGATGGCGTCGGTGTCGATGTTGGCTTTGTCGAGAGGGGCTGCGATCCCGGTAAGGGTGAGGAATGGCGCAAGCCCAGCCACGGCAGGTGCAGAAACATCGGCGGTGGCTGGCGTAGCAGCAACCTCACCACCCTCTTGCTCGTTAATGTCAATTTCCCCCTCCAATGGCACCTTTTCCGCCTCCATGGCCGCTCTTTCGAGCTCCTCATCACCCCCAACGGCAATGGCAGCCACATCCGACGTATCGTATTCCCAGTCTCTAATATCGGTAAAGTGCCCGACAATTCCGGCAGCGGCGGCCATCTGTGGCGACATCAAATGCGTGCGCGAGTTCGCACCCTGGCGACCCTCGAAGTTTCTGTTAGACGTCGACGCGCATCTCTCCTGAGGATCCAAAATGTCCGGGTTCATCCCAAGGCACATAGAGCACCCGGCCTCTCTCCAGTCGAAGCCCGCGGCAATGAAGATCTTATCGAGCCCTTCCTTCTCCGCTTGCAACTTGATCAACCCGGAGCCTGGAACAACCAACGCGTGTTTGACCGTGTCGGCCTTCTTCTTGCCCTTAACGACCGCTGCCGCCGCTCTCAAGTCCTCGATTCTGGAGTTGGTGCACGAGCCAATGAAAACCTTGTCGATGGAAATGTCCGTGAATTTGGTCCCGGGAATCAAGCCCATGTAGTGAAGCGCGCGCTCCATGCCCGACTTTTTGATTTTGTCGCCGACATCCGCCGGGTTCGGCACGCGCGCGGTGATTGGCAACGCGTCCTGTGGGGAGGTTCCCCACGTAATGGTTGGAATGATATCGGAGGACTTGATGACGACTTCCTCGTCGAATGTGGCACCTTCGTCGGTAGGGAGGGTCTTCCAGTACGCCACCGCCTTGGCGAACTCGGCACCCTTAGGAGCCAACGGACGCCCCGCAATGTAGTCAAAGGTCTTTTGATCTGGGGCGATCATGCCCGCGCGCGCGCCGGCCTCGATTGCCATGTTGCAGATCGACATACGTGCCTCCATAGAAAGGTTCGCGATCGCGCGTCCCGCGAACTCGATCACGCTCCCGGTCCCGCCCGCAGTGCCGATCACGCCAATCACGTGCAAAATTAAATCCTTGGAGGTGATTCCTGGGAGGAGGTCGCCTTCAATGGTAATTCTCATGTTTTTAGACTTGGTTTGGATGATCGTTTGCGTCGCGAGAACGTGTTCGACCTCGGAGGTACCGATCCCGAAAGCAAGCGAACCGAAGGCCCCGTGGGTGGAGGTATGAGAATCGCCACAGACCACGGTGGTTCCTGGGAGCGTGAAGCCTTGTTCTGGTCCAACAACATGCACAATCCCTTGGCGCGAATCGGTCATACCGAAGTATGTCACACCAAAGTCGCGCACGTTCTCCTCCAACGTCTTGACCTGTAAGCGCGAGTCCTTCTGCGTGATAAAGTCATCGAGGTTGGTGAAGTTTGCGCGCGACTCGGTGGGAATGTTGTGATCGACGGTGGCGAGGGTGCAGTCCTTGCGTCTGACCGTTCTCCCGGCGTTTTTCAAGCCCTCAAAGGCTTGTGGTGAAGTCACCTCGTGAACGAGATGTCTGTCGATGAAGAGGAGATACGAGCCGGACTCGTCGCGGTGCACAATGTGGTCCTCAAAGACCTTGTCGTAGAGTGTTCTGGGGGACATGATAGTAATCTAATGTCTGTGATGCGGTGTGATTGAGATGGATGAGAACGAAGGAGAGGATGAGAATGGGTTTATATAGAGTCGCGATTTTTCAGAGTCATCGCGTTTGGACATGCCGGTACCGGCAATGTGCAACAGAGCGTATGCCGACACCGGCAGGCATGCACAGCCAATGGCAGCTACGCTCTTAGTCAGAGCGCCGCAAGAGGGAAAAGTCCTGCATAGAGATACAGCGGTGCTCACGTGAACGGACAAAGTCCTGCGACCGGCATCGCAACGGAAGACGAGCGTGGGGGGACAGGTGTGGGGGCTCGTGGATAGGAAAGTACACAGGTAGAGGAGTCCTCAGAGTGTATGAGTGGTTTCAAAATACGTTACATAGGAACAAACTTTGTGGAAGAGTTCTAACAGAGAGGGATATGGAAATGAGCTGAGCTTATAAAGACCGAAAAGCTATATTGAACGATGTGAGGGAGGTTTAATGGCTTGCCGTCTGTACGCTTATGGGGGATATGCCATGGTTTTATCTGTAAATTCCAATTATATAGACCAGCTGTAGTTATCGGGATTTGATCAGCAGGTAAAGGTGTGGACAATAGAAGCGGTGATATACACAATGCCATATATATACTTACAGCTTCTCCAGCCCATGGATCATAATTTCTATTTTTACAATTGATCGGCCGTGTGGTCTAGTGGTATGATACTCGCTTTGGGTGTGAGTGGCCCAGGGTTCAATTCCCTGCTCGGCCCGATTATTAGTTTTTTTTCTCTGCACATATAGTTATGATGCACGTTTTGCTGTCATTCTTTGCAGATAATTATGATATAGTTACAGATGCTTATAACGGGTCATCCTCTGGAATAGCGTCTCTTCCAGAGCTGGTCACCTGGTAAGCTCTACGTGAAGCCATTCGTGCCGTGTATGTAGTAAACGCGTAGCTGTCACGTGGTAGAGATATACCACAGTGTAGACCTGCCGGTCTTTAGATTTATGTCCCGGCATTCCTTCGAAACCGTGTCTGGCCAGTTTTATTCTTCTAATAGTTATAATGATAATTTTCTTCTTGGAAAAAATCCAATAGAGTTTTATATTTGGCATTTTTATAACACAAAAGCCAACATCTGCCAAATCGTGCTGGTATCGACCCACATGTGTACTAACGAAAAATACTCTATGCACCCAACTCACACAGCCCTTAGACTAGTACAAATCGTACGTAAACCTACTCGTGGTTTCAACAACCCTAGCCTTTGTCTGAACGGGAAATACACTTTCCTTTGCTACCCCCAACACTCCTCTTCCCGTCTGCGCCCTCATCAAGAACTCCTTTTTTAGACGTTCCCCTACCGCATTTTCCGCCACGCACGACCGCCATTTTTATATATCGACAACCTCAAACAACCACCACTCTCCATCCTCGTCCTCTATACACCCCTCACAATGTCCACCTCTGATGTCCTTGATGTTCTAAATGTGCAGCGGAATAGCCAACCGACACAGAAGAAGCGCGTGACCGCGACAAAGAAACAGGCGGGGATCAACCGTGAACTCTACAATCTCTTGGGCGCCAACACGCCGTCGGTGCAGCTCACACCGACACTCCGGTTCAAGGACCGGATCCACGCGATCCAGAAGCCGCGGCTGTGGCGATACGAGACGTTCCAGAATGGTGCTAGAACCGACGGCTTGGAACTATCGCACTGGGTGAAGGAGGACGTTGCGGGGCCATATCCGTTCGAGAAGTACAATACAAAGTTGCCAATTCCACGGTTATTTGAGGACGACTACGACGAGTTTTTGGCACGGGAGGAGCAAGAAAAGAAGGAGAGTGATAAACCAGAAGATGAACAACCAGAGGAGCCGTGGAGCTTTGCGGAGACACAATATTTGTTTGGTCTTTGCGAAATGTACGACTTGAGATGGGTGGTGATCCATGACCGGTATGAGTATGAAACCTTCCGTTCGATGGAGGACTTGAAAGCGCAATTTTACCGGCTTTCGGCGCAGATTCTTGCGAAAAGAGCGGCGGAGACGGGATCGAACGATGAAACCACCAAGGCCACTATCGAGGCGCTCAACTCCTTTGACAAGCTGAAGGAACTCAACCGCAAGGAATATCTCACCAAGCTCTTATCACGATCATCGGCTGAGATTGCGGAGGAAGAATCGCTTGTGATCGAAGCCCGGAAGTTTGAGATGTCTGCCAAGAAAATGCTCACCGAGCGGCTCCAGTTGCTCAAGCTCTTGGATTCCCCTCAATCCGCCTCCACCGCCCAGTTCCAGACATCCCAGGGCCTCGCTCAGTTGTACAACGCACTCATGGTCAGCGACAAGCACAAGAAACGCAAGGCTGAGACGCCGCCGGTCGCCCCGGTGATGCCTGCCATCAAGCGCGAGAAGCTTTCGTCGGGAATCTCCCCGTTACAGCAGTACCTCAAGGCCCATATTCTGGGACACAGCCACGAAGAGTCACACTCGCCCGTGGCCCAGCTTCTTTCACGCAAGTTGACCCCGCGCGACGAGGCGTTGTACGGCTTGAGCTTCCAGGAAAAAATCGCTCCGGGCATATCGCTCCGCTCCGCGCGTGTCCACACGTTCAAGCCGACGGTCCAGGCGAAGGTGGGTGCACTTTTGACCGAGCTCCAGATCCCGGCGAAACCCGTGATGCCCACCATGGCGGTTGCAGAGAAGTTCGACGAGCTCACCAAGGCGATTGGAGTGCTTATGGATATTAAGCGCCAGAAGGACAAGTTGGAGGCTGAGTTAAAGGTTCTTAAGAATCTGAAGGGGAGATGATGAGTATTGTGATAACAATCGGCCCTTCCGTAGATTTAACGCGTTTTTGTCCAATATTTGTCCATAATCCAAAGGTTGATAAATATTTATTTGTTATCCTGACATTTTTTTAAGTAATAGCATATGGCTTGTCCAAAATGATTTAGTGTTTATTTCTTTGGTTTTAACAGAAATAGTTCAAAACCCGCATATCAGTGGTTTATGTAGAGATAGCACCTCATGACATGTAAACCTACTCGAAACCCCCACTCAGATCTCAAAACAATCATTTATTAAACATATCAGTGAATCCACAGCTGCCATAAACAACGTCTCGAAACGTCCAAAAAAAAAAAAGAAAAAAGAAAAAGAAAAAAAAAAAAAAAATAAACCGAAAATGTATGCAAAGATTAAAGAAATAGGAAAATAATAAAAAAACGATATAATACACGGTAGGTGAAAAGTATTTGCTAACTAAGCAAAGTAGCCAGGTGGAGAGCTTTACCTCCAGACTTAGGCTTCCTGTGGCGGCGCTTGCTCCATCACCTCGTCATCCGGAACAGCAAACTGTCTTTGGCTGGTCGTTTCGGCACTGTCACGCGACCACACCAATGGCTTGCTCAACATCTCGGTTCTGCCCGGCGGATGCTGGTACGCACACGTCTTGTTCTTGCAGTTGATGCCGAAACGACACTCCTCCGCCAACGGATGGGTGAAGAAACAGTCAATACGCTTACAGTTACCACCTTCACGACAGATAACCGGGGAGGTGGCGTGGCGACGAGGGCACTTGTAGTTAGTGCACGAGGCGCCGAAGCGGCACTGTTCAAGGCTCTTGTCCAATTTGGACTGCTGCTCCTCAGCAGACGGCTTGTAGACCGGCGACGGGTGGGCCTTCAAGCAGGCGGTATCGGCGCATGCCTTACCGGCAGCGCACCACTCGATCTGAGTGACCTTGGCGTCCCTGTTGGCAGGTGTAGGGTGGCCGAAGGGACACGTATCCTTCTGGCAGACGGGGCCGAACTTACACAAGGTAAGCGCCGGCACAAAGCTCTGCTTGTGCTTCTGGAATTCGAGCTGCTTCTGCTCGTATTGGAGCTTCTTCTGAGCCTGGAATTCGGCCTTAGACTTTTCCAACTCCAATATCAACGCATCGTCCTCACCCTTGTGCAAGAAGTTGCACGTACCCGGGGCGTTCGAGCAGTTTGGAAACGCGAAGCAAGGCTTGGTTGGGTGCGCCAACGGACACTCTCTGTTCTTGCAATATGGAAACTGCGGACATCTGCCGATCCCGCGCTTCTGAACGAACTGGGTCGATGGAGCACCCAGTGAAAGTGCCGCTGACATCCCAGCCTGGAGTCTTTCCGTTCTGGCAGGGCCACGCGGGAGTGTTTTGCTGATCCCGCCTCTGGTAGGGATCGAGCTCTTTGCCTTAAAGTTGCGCGGCTGCGTCGGCAACGGTGGGAGAGATGCAACGCCGGTAGTGGCAAACGGAGCCGTGTATTGTGGCTGTTGGTGTTGCTGTTGGATATGAGGTTGGACTTGGAGTGGAGTCTGCTGGGTCTGCAATGGGAACTGAGACTGAGGTTGAGCCTGCTGAGGTTGAGCCTGTTGAGCTTGTTGCTGGGCAAGCATCTGCTGTTGAGCCTGGGCCTGAGCCTGAGCTTGAGCCTGAGCTTGCTGTTGAGCCTGAGCCTGGGCCTGAGCCTGGGCCTGAGCCTGCTGTTGGGCTTGCTGTGCTTGGTACGCCTGTTGCTGAAACTGTGGATTTTGCATGTTCTCCAATTCAGTGAACACATCCTGGATCAACGACTCTGGAATGACATTGTCAAATAAAGAGCCCAACTCCTGGGTAATTTCTTGAGCGGTCTTGTCGTTAGAGATCAAAACCACAATAAATTCCGCCACATAGTCGGCGTCGTCGCTAATGTTGAGCGCCTGTAAGCGGTTGGTGAGTGCCACCTTCAATTCCTGGGCAAGTTGACTTTCGGGATCGAGTTTCATGGCTAGCTATAAACAGATGATATAGAATCTAAAACAGTGATAGGAGTCCTAAAATAAGAATCTAGTGCGGATAAAGAGTCCTGATGGCAAAGCAAAACGATTTTTCCTTTTTGTTCTTTCTTTTTCCAGCGTGTAAATGTTACCCGATCTGGAAGTAACATGCATATCCGGATTTGGCCCATAAGGAACGGACGGAGAAAGGACATACGTACATGGCGTAGCAGACGTTTATAAAGTGGTTTAAACTGGTTTGTAAGGAATCAAACAGATTGTTCGATGTGATGGGCTTAAAGGCTTTCCATTGTCGCTGTATCCTTGGATCAAGATGAGGAACTACTGTTGCAACTTCAAGACTTGGAGCTTATAAGAAAGGTGCATCAGTAGCTAGACCCTGCGTATAACAAATAAACAAGCCAAAGCTGTCTTCCAGAAGGGATACACTGCAAATTTTTTATAGTTATAACATGGTTTTTGTTATAGGTATATCCAGAAGTGACGTACTATTTTAGCTCCTTTGGATCGTTGATACTGTGATGAGCACGTTAGCATTGGTATACGTTGTAGTTTGTGGTGTAAACAGAGACACCTTTGATGGGACCGATACCTTAACTTTACCACTGTGTAAGGGTATTTTAAATCGGTTGAAATAGATTAGGAACGAATTGTCTCGTCTGAGTAAATCAAACTTTGGTGAGTAATCGTCGACCCATTATAGCCACTTGTAGCACTGTACAACCTCAGTGGGGCCCTTGAGGAAGCCTTGGCACTGTCTCAAGATTGAATTTGAAGTGAGGATGACCGGGGGACAATTTTTTTGCGCTGCAGCTTCCAATTCCAAATTCATAACATACACGGGTCATCTAAACGAGGCAAAACAGATGTACGTAGCCACAACGACGCCCACACAGCCTACCATAAACGCTGACCCGACCTAATCAGGGCGAGTTTAATAGACCCCCTGTAAAATCCAGATCCCCTTTGGAAGCATCGAGAATTCCACACATAACTGTGACTTGTTGCGTTATAGAGCATTCGTACCAGCCGTGGACCGTATTTTAAATCTGAGCAGCCTTCCCTTGGTAATCCTGACCACCGTTCGGCGGCGACCAGCATTTTCTCACGCACAAACTAGTGGGGAGTACGCCACCCCAGCATACATACAACAGCTGGATATCTCGTTGCCTTTTTGCCAGTAAACGTGGAGGCGGCCATTCACACAAGGGGCTTTTCCTGTAATTAGAAAAGCTTAGGGCCGCTGATATGGCACGGTGTATTAACGTAACAAGGGCTCCTGCAATCTAATGATTATTCTGAATTCCACAGCTGCGTCTCAGATTCTCCCGAACCAACGTAACGCTAGGAAGACCCTATGACGTTGTACTCGTATAAGGAGTAACTGCCAAGCTTCATGACGAAATCTGGGCGGAGATGCAGAGCAGCGACCCCTTTGGAAGCTCCCTGAAGAAAAGCTATGATTAACGATCTGCAATTGCGACGCCAAGAAACCCTAGCCGAATGATCATACTGCCTAAGCGATACATAGACAAGGACGCGATACCGCATCAGCATACGCCATGGGGCAACCTAGGAAGTTCTTACGGGCTTGTCCAATACCCTGGGCAAATACATGTGCCTTCTATGCGAGAAGTTCCGGCTTTTTTTTTTCCGTCTGTGCGTAAAAAAAGCCATGTAACAAACGCAAAGGGACCAAGCAGAAACGTCGCGCAGATCCCGAAGTGAAATCCCTCACCTCTTATCACACTGAAGCTTTGCTCGATAGATGCCTTAGTACTCCTAGTTTTCCGATCTATTCGTAACAGGCCGCACAATCGCAGTTCGTATCTGGTGTGATGGTATCCAAAGCAGAGCTTGTGTCTCTAGGAACCCCGCGCTTTGGACCATCGGGATGCAGTGGATCGGTGTAAATCTTCGATGCGCAGAGGTGAACACATGGGTATTCTCTGCGGTAATCTATCCCCGATAGCTGCGGCATGGCCTCTCGGTAACCAGCGGCGATAATCAGCGAAATTTATTTATTGCTTTTTTTCCTGCATGCTCCGCCAGGGATATTACAAAGGGGGCCTGTATAGGTTAAGAAGCGATTTTATAATATGGCCCAATGACTGACCGACTCCCTAAGCATCTACGGTATCAAGTTTCTGGGTTCCTGTTAGGCTGCCAGGCACTGGGAGCAGAAAAGTGCCGCCCGTGGAAGCTTTGTAAGGCAAGTGGGCTGCTCATGTTAAAGATGAAAATATGCATGGCCCCATCCGCCAACCTCTGCCTCCATGCCAACCGTCAGGAGGATAAATGAATTGGTCGATCGACTGGAGAAATATATGTGGCATGTGAGGGTATTCTCAGAAGCCCGTGCGTATCCTTTGTAGGCAATAAGGTATTTTCGACAAGTGACCCTAGCATTACGCCGCGCACATAGGACGACTCGTTAGCTGACGTGATCCCTGTGTCGCTCCCCCAGCGGCAGGGAACAGCGAGAACACATTAGATGACAAGGCATGACTACTCACCAAATAGCTCTTTTTTCGGCCATATTTCTTTTTGGATAATTTTCTGTATTTGAACCATCGCTTACAAGTTGTCACTGGATCCTTTACCATAGCTGACCCCTCGATGACTTGTTCCGGTCAGCTGTGCACTTTACCACTGCTGTACCTACCCGGAATAACTTTGCCCTGGCTCCAGCTGCGGTCTTCCCCGTCTCGGCTCGTGCGACATACGGCATGCCCAGCACATGCATTTAGGGAGATTACTTTTTGGTAAAGGCGCAGAGCAAACCTGTACTAGTATGCCGTTTTATCCGTCCCCAATGGATATTTGTTGAGGGACTAGTCTTGTCCTGTCTCTCTTGGCGGTATACATCAGGAAGACTGAAGAAAAGAAAGCATACAGGTACCGCCGTAGATCAAAGAAATATTTAGCACCATGCACAGATCGTCCATACATATTACCATGCAGGACTTTATGCACGCCGATCGCAGCTCCTAGAAATCGGGGCAGTAACAGGCCCTTGAGGCGTGGCGGAGCTCAGCGGACATAAGAGCACTTATGACCCGCCTTGCGCCGTCTAGGAGCTATCTATACACGAGGGGATCTAACGCAGTGCCTTCATATCGTAAAATGGGCCTCCCATTCTCCTTCAGCCCGAATCTGAAACATAGACATGGTCAGACCCCACTATGAAATAACATCACTTCGTCCAGAGAGGGCTACTGATAGAAGATGCACCAAATAAATCGTATAGGCTAGTGCATTAAACTACAAAGGCTCGAACATGTTAAATTATCGTCTTGCAAGATCCTGATATATTATCTAAAAAATGTAGAAGCCACAGCCAAAGGCTCATCTATCCGTAGACCTCTTCTAGGTCCCACAATGGACTCAGAGAAAATCCTCCATGGGGATTTCGGCGTAGTAGCATTGGAGTGCCCGCATCAACGCAGGCCCCAATTTCTCCCACCTCAAAATTCGCACCTCCTTGTCAAAGCCCCGTGGCTTTCTGTGCTCGTAGCCCATAATACGCTTGGCCATTTCGACCCTAAAGTCTGCCTGGTTGAGCTGTGCTGGAGTATAGGATTCTGGAGAGGAGGTATAACTCATGGGGGTGGAGGAGTGGTGGCTGCGGGAGGATATGGGTCTACGGGACCAGAAGGGGACCAAATTGGACCGGATCCGGCCTCTTTCCTTCCGCTTATCGGCGGCATCCTGGTCACGACTGCCTATCAACAACTCCACAATCTTGATCACCTCCACAGACGTGATGTAGTACCGTTTGCGCTTAATGTCACTTTGTGCCAGCATTGCCTGGAGGTCACCTGCATCTTCCAGCTCCTCACGAGGTGATACATAACACTCCAAACAGGAAACCTCAAGCACATCCGCTCCGGGCGGTGCTGGCTTTGTTTCCGGGTTCTCTTCGGCCGAGCCCACAATGGAGAAATTAGCACCAATGTGGAACCCATACTGGAAACGTTCAATGCGGATAATTCTTCTGGCATCAGCTATCTCACTCTGGTTCCAGTTGGGGTAACACAATTCCTCCACGGAAGCGTCGTTCAACTGCAAGCTCACTGGAAGGTAGGTCGAATTATTGCCTGGCACCGCCTTTGGCGGCCTGGTGGCGCTGCCTCCGGAAGAAATGCCTCGCACCACTTTGCACCGTTTCGCTATCGACTTGTCGAACGTCTTGGAGTCTGCTTGAAGGGGAGTAGCCTGGAACTGGAACGATTCAGGCTGGTACTCCATAGCAGGTGTATCGTATTGCACAAATTCCGGACCAGCGGATGGGTAGTGCACTATGTTTTGCTGGGGAACAAACATTTGGAATGGGGGCTGGAATGTCTGCGATTGGTTGAAAGGCGACGCGAGAAGGGTTTGGGGGTATGCAGAGGCGTCGTTAGGATCAAACGCATGGTGGTAGCCAGGCGTGTTCAAGGGAGTCGCAAAGGACAAACCAGTGCTCGTGGGAGGGGTGTCTGAATGGAAGCTGGTAAAGTCAGAATTGGGGAAGTAAACCTGCAGGGTGTTGGAGGCCGGAACGTCTGCCACGGGCATCTGGTAACCCGGGGGAGCGTAGACATAGCCCATCTGATCGTTCTGGTCCGCGGGAACAGAGTACTGCGCTGGGGCCGAAAAGTAGCCGACGGGCGGCTCCATATACTCCATGGAACTGGACACGTCGGAGCCCTGGGGATACGGTGGGGATTCGTAGTTGAAGCTCATGAATAAGGAAGAGACTTCAAGAAACTTGTCAGTCAAGTCGTCAGCAGAGTCCCTGGTGAATGGGGTGCTGGTAAGGAAGCTGTCGCTGAGAATCACGATGAAAGGACGGTCGGCAGAAGAGCTATGTACTCTTATGCTGTCGGAAGCGGGGTGTCGAGGGTTATGAAGATTCGCGGAAAGGAATCCTAAATGCTGGATTGAATTGAGTCTGAGGGCTGGTTTGAACGATGTGTCTAGCTGTATCGAATACCGCTATAAGCACTGAACGAGGGAATATGTCTAGGCGATGGAAGCGAAGGTGGAGAATGAAAGTCTTGGTTTGAAAAATGAAACCTGAAATGCTGGTGCATCAAGGGCCTATATATATATTTTCGCTATTAGTGATTCCGATCTCCGCTTCATGTATAATTATAGATAATTCCCCTAGTAAGCAGGATGCATACATATGGGCTTTGAAATTTTCTTAGTGCAAACAAGGTTGGGTGCGGTTTTTCGTATCCAGTGATACTTAGAGCAGGCTGTACCCCCTGTCCGCATACCTTCAGCCACCCTCCAATGCCCCTACTATCCTTACCACTGCCCGGTACTAGGCATGCATGCATATGCCGCTGCATCTCGAACTCAATACCTACGTGCTTGCGGCCGACGGCATTGCTTCTTACGGAAACAGCGTGCTTTCCGTACTGCACCTCAGCTGCACACAGCCAGACGTTCTGTCTAACAGGGGTCTGAGTTCCTCCGCCTATCTTCGTAATATCGAAACTCACCTCGTCTAGCTCCGATAACGAGCTTACGACGCTGCGGACACAAGCAGACAATAGCACCGCCTTCCTAGACCGTTTACGTGCAAGCTTTGGTAACGGTGGCTATTCGATCGAGCATGCCCCCTCGTCGGGGTTTAGGTACACTAAAGTTGTCTCACAACACTTTCTGCGCTTTAGTTGCAGAAAAAGAAACGTGTTGCGGTGAGATCGCTCTGGCTAAGCTGATTAAGCTCACTCCCACCAATGTTTGCCAAAAAAGAGGCAGCTTGCTTCTTGCATGAAAGAACGGCTTGTGTTTATGGCGGTGCTTAGGAAATTGGTGCACAGCGATTACTGGAAGAGTCCAATGAGGCTGAAGACGTTCTCCCATGTGCGAATCAATTGCCGGTCTCTTGAGCGTAAAAAGCAATTCAACATGCGCGATCGAGCGCAACTCTGCAAGGCGCTCACTGTGATACTAGGAGCCGTAGGTAACGGTCACGTGCACTGCCCTCATGACGGCAGTGTTGTCAGTGGCTATATCCGCCTGCGTAAACGCAAGCCTGAGATCTGCGTTTTGCGTGCATACACCTGTATGCATGGAAGCCTTGAAGAAGGTCAGCTGAAAATGGTAAAACATCGAAGTGATTGATTTATTTGTCTTTCACCCCGCCGAATTGCACCGTACCTTTGCCATATCAGCCTTTTCTAGGCTATACTTGACTTTCTAAAAAAAGGATTTCCCGTCATTTCATCCATCTAGCGGGTCACAACGAGGGGGGGTGAAATGGATATACCGGAGCTGTTCACGCCAGGGGGCCCTTGTCGTCTGCTCCACAGCCTGCACTTGCATCGCCTGGTGGCTGTATTTCTCTAGACTGTCATTGAAGCGCATGCCACTGCGTCCTCTGCCTCCTTCGAAATGGGGTAAACAATATGTAGGGAACTTGTGTACGTCAGTACGGCGTTCGGCAACGACTTGTATCGGTCAACTCACTGTATTACATCATCGATGACGAGGGGTCACCCTACTGAAGACGTCTAAGGAGCTTGGCCATGGAAACCCCCGATGCTGAAAAAGAAATAAATTTAGTCGTAAAAGAATCATTACCCTGGGATGCCGGTGTAGGCCGTCCTTCCCTCGCATATGTGTCCGAATCTGACGTCGTCATTGACTAGCACATGCTACTCTTGCCTGTCTAGAAATTCCGAAGAAAAGCCCTCAAATACGTGTACATCAGAAATTCCACTAAACCGGAGATTGGCTTATCTATCATCGTGTAACTGCCTAACGTTTGGTCTATTATTAAACCTACTGAGACTGAAGAATAACCGTTCCCCGCATGTCACTGATCATGAAAGCACATAACTCGTTTCTTTTTCTGAAGGTCACTACTTTCAGGTAAGGATTCCGGGCGACGTACGGGAAAAGCACACGCGCACGGGAGAAGCTATAGGAGTATGGCTAGAATGAGACAAATGTCACCTTGATGTATTGTATCCAGAGGACATATGTTTAACAGCACACCTGTCTCAGAAAAAAATCCTGCACCGATGTCAAACTTCATATGTATGGAAAGAGTGAATGTCTAGGGTGTATGCATGGTGGCGATTTGAGCGCTTTAGGCCAAGACCCCTCGCCAATTAAACAGAGAGCAATAGACTCTAGCCAGGATAGAGAGCGGTAGGTTCGTAAATAATGCGATTGACTTTGGTTAGAAGGCTTAACAGCTTGCGTACCTTCTTACATAAGCGCTCAGTTTACCTGGAGTATATAAAACCCCCTTTCTTTTGCACGCGGCATTTACAGCCTATCGAGACGGTGCACATGGGCTAGACAAGGAGTAGATGAGCATGTTCAGATACCGTTTAACACTTGGAATAGACTCCTGGTTGTTAGATCATTTGAATCGATACAATTGATTATTATATATAAATTAGTATAAAGCAAAGTAAAAGGATATACATATATATATATCAAAGTCGAGTTTACCTACTTTTAGAATACATATTAAATACACCATGAACTTGATTAACTAGATAAATTTTTCATCCACCAGCTAGCAAGAAGGGCCCCTCTGAAGTCACGTGACAAAGATAGCGCAGAACGCACCATTCTACAATAAATGGCTGTAATGACCACATCTAAGTAGCAGAAACGCTTCCCAAATTCCAGTACTCAAACTACTAAACTGAAGGTTTATCTGACTCCTTTTCCTTATGCATACTGATAGCTACCATCATATCATCTCTTGATGTCGGGAACGCCACACACCCAAAGCAATGAACCCATAACTGAAACCACAGCTCAATCTAAACTCAGACAGACAGCCACCCAGAACAGTTCCGTTAAAGTAAGAACTAGCTACGGAATTGATACGCTTGAGTTCCACATTCTAGACGACTATGAATCCACGTCAAGTGAAGACGAACATTGCGACTTTAGACCAATCCGGTTTATATACAAACGTAACGATAAGCGAGCCACAGACTCACCTACACGGGAAAATGCCACCCAAAAGGCTCAGCATGCTTCAAAAGATACTCCGAAATCTACCACCGTGTCCAAGAAGAGCAAATTAACAACTCTCAAATTTAAAGCCCCTCCTTCTCCCCTTAGGAGTGGGGATATACAGGAAACTCTACGACCAGATCTTTCGGATATATCTGAACAATCAAAGCCACTAAACAGGCCAAAATTCACACCTAAACCTCAGCCTGGTGCCAGCCACACCGATTTACCTCCGCTTCAGGAATTTGGCGAGCCAATCAATGGATACAAGCTAGTGCGAGACAACGGGTCGAATACGCAAGGCATACCTATGCACCGAAGAGGCCTCTACATCAATGAAACTTTCGACTACGACAGTTTCTATGCTGACACATATCGGTCTGGGTTTGCTTCTGAAGGACTGGAACAGCCTAAAAATGTACAGCCAACCAGTGATCACAGAGCCCCATCGCTCCAGTCAGTTGAGAAATACTTGCAGAGGTGGGACGCATGGGCGTCTGCGTCCAAAAAGGCAGGCCAACCCGATTTTTCCAAGATGCCGTTACCGCTTGAGTCTGGTAAGACTGCTTCATACTACGTCACAGCCTACGGGACGGATAGCCTTCATGGTAGAGCTATCACTACAGAATCGGTGGGGGACTTTTTTAACGCCTACGTGGCAAATGAAGAGCTGTTGAAACTACTAAAGCGGGAAAGAATAAAGTGGCATCCAGACAAATGGACGGGACATCTTTTAGAAGAGAGGATATCAGGGCAAACAAAGTCTCGAAAAAATGAACCTACTGACGATTCTCAGCTGGAAGTGCCCAACCTCAAAAGAGCTTACCTATCCATTATTGAGCATGTTTGTCAGATAATTGTGGGTTTACTTGACGAACTTTCGAGTAAAGTATAACTTTCCTTTACTGATGGCTGCTCGCCGTAATGAGCTGAGAATATACCGCATAGTTTAAGAGGAAGGTTCCAGCCCAGGCTTTTTTTCCGGAGCCCCAGGCTAAGCATCTCGAGGAATATATTCAATTCTACCATTATACGCCCAGAATATTGATTCCTGAGAACACAAGCAAAAACTAGCGCTGTCAACTGCACCTTCTGTTTGGAGAATATACGTCACCAAGTCCACCCGATAAATATATATTAAAATACTCGTATATTAGCCATCGGCAAGATATAAAAAATAAAAAGCGAGTGTTCGAAGGCTAACGAATCTAAGCACACAGGTAAACATGAAACCGAAACCTGACAATAAAATGTCCCCACAAAAAGATTAGAATGGAAAAAAAAAGAGTCTAGCTATCGATGTACTAATATCATGGCAGAGGGATTATGGGCCAGAACAACCCGTTTCGGTTTCTTTCCTACGCCCCAGACGAAGAAAGTGCCAACAAAGACGAAGCAACCATACCCTCCTCTCCCAGCTGATCTATATTCATCATCTCCATACTCATAACGTCACTCGGACTTGGCTCCTTTCGTCTCTGATACCCCGGGGTCATACTCATTTCTGGAATTGTCCCCAGGAGTCCGCCTGAGGCCGATTTCGTACCGGATCCAGAAACGGAGCTGAAGGAAGAGCCACGTGACAAGAGCTGGAGTGATTTGGATGCGTCTATGATGTTCTGATCAATTTCTTCCTCATCGTCGTCCGAGAAGAAGTCCGAGCTTGTGAACCCTTGGTCGTCGTCCGAGGGAGTAGCACCTTCGCAGGGTGGAAACGGAAATGTAGTTTCAGTGATGGAGCGAGTCTTCAGGCGAAAGGACCTTTGACGCTCGCCACTGCGATGGATCTCTGGCCGAGCGGAGGTGTCCGCATCAAGGATTGGGAACCTGAATGCCAGGAGAGACTTGGCGGGTGTAAAGTTCCGTTCTGACAGTGCTAACGAAGTCTGAGAGCTTAATGACGCAGAGTCAATCGGCGACAATGAGTCTGTATCGCCGTTTGCACTAATACTGCTACCACTATTAACCAGACCCAACCTTTTGGCGTCACCAGTACCTCCAAAGACCAACTTCCCAAACCCTTCATCCTCGGGCTTTAAGCACTCACGCGGAAACTGGTCCCCAAAAATAGGCACGAGACAGTACCGTATGTGGTAGCATATCCGCAATGCCAACTCTCTGGCTAGCTCGAACGGAAGCCAGGTTCCCTGGATTTTTAAAAACCCGCCCCGGATCCGCTTGATCTGAGAGGCAACCTCCATGCTCGGAGCAGACTCAATCAATCGGGCAATGTCAGCCTTGTTATTTGCAGGCGTGGGGGTCCCGGGTGCGACGGGAACGGCCCCGTTTTGAAAGAGTGAGGGCTGTTGTTTGTATTTAGCTAGCAACTCTGTTTCGGAGAATTCGTTCAACTCCCGTACCGCCTTCCAGATTCCAGTGAGATGCACCAACCCCGTTTCGTGGTCCCACATCACCCAATGGCTGTTGATCTGGTACTCAAACACCGTGATAATCTTCCGAGGAGGCTTAACAGGTGGAGCGGCAGGTTCCTCCGTCCGCTGCACCTCGGGTTCCACTTCAGCAGCCCGGTGCTCCACGATGGAAGTGAGCACCGGAGCTGAATACGCCTTTTGCACGATAGTGTTTGAAACAGCTCCATTACACACTGGAAGCCACGGTCGCTGGTACGGTGGAACCTCTATAGGAGATGGAGTCGGATGGCCTGGGAAGTTGATAGGGACACTGCTGTCAACCACAGCCCCAACCGATCCAGAACTGGTTTTCTTCTTAACTGTCTTGGTCTTTCTTGCCGATTTGGTCAATTTCAGAATCTTGGGCAACAGGGCGGCAGCATTCGGAGAAGTCGACGGAAGCGGAGGCGAGGAGGAATACCTTCTGCTTTTCTTGTGCTTCATAGCCCACCTCTCCTGCTTGCCATCGCGCTCGTAACTTGCTACACTGTGACGTAAAATATCTACCGGAGCAGAGCTTGGTGTGTGGTGTAACGGAGACACCCCGTCCTTCAGCATGGGCGAATCATTCCAACACGAGGCAGACGAGTGCATGGATCTTGGGGTTTGGTAGAACGGTGAACCCGGAAGAAGAGCCGGGGTGGATGAGAAGGTTAAAGAATCAATCGATGGTAAACGTGTATGGGTAGAGGGAGGCAGATTTCTCTTTCCATACCCCGATAGATCCACAGACTTGGATTTATGCTGTGGGATATTGGGGGAGGCAAGGTTTAAGGGGGGTAGGTAGTGCTGGGCGGGGGACTTGGATAGTGGCGGAAGCATCCGCTGATGCTCGTATGACGGGACAGGGTTCATAGCCAAGTTCAAGTTCCGATGTCCATATTCTGGTGGGTTTCCGCCCGAGTGGACGGGAAAGGGCTGGGTTACGCCATGCAATGAAGGTTGGTAGTGCAGAGTTGAAACGAGGTGAGCCGGGTGTACGTGAGAAGGCCGCAGATGTACGGACGGTAAGGATGTGGAGGATATCGGCTGGGGAGGGCTCTTTGGAGACTGGTGCCTATGGGTTCCGTTCTGGGGCCACTGCCTGGGTTTGCTCGGATCGCGGTCAGAAAACAGGTCTGGATGATAAAATTCCATGACACGCAGGTTCGGGTTACAGGCAGAGCTGGAAGGGAAATAAAAGGTGTTACCTCTCGAGTTTTGTTTGAAGGGGGGGTCTAGGAGGAGATCTGGATAAATGACCTAGACACTGGATACTTTTCCACGCCCCGCAGTTTGTATTCAGAAAGAGCAACTTTACGAGGGGGCTCGGGAGATGGGGCAAGGGGGGGTTCACGTGGCAGGTGTGGCGCTGGTTCAAGGGCTCTCCGGTGGAGGATCGATGCGAGGACGGGTATTACAAAACAATTGGGGTAGCAGCGATCAGATTTGGTATCAGTATAATATCTGAAATTATTAGGTCTAGAGGGTACGATTCGCGGGGCTACGGGCCTTGGTTGGCTGCGCAAAGTGGATTTCGAATTATATTTATAGCAGCTACCGAAATAAGTGACCCCGGAGGATTTGTTGGGAGGCATGTCGCAAGGTTTAGCGAGAAACTGACGCGTGATAGAGAGCAAGATTCGAAGTGCATATGCGCCATGCTTGAGATCGAAGCTACGGCCTACAGTTCTGGGTGAATACCTCCCGGACAGGTTGAGTGACAGCTGCCTTTTTACCCAGATAGCAATAAAAAAAAAGAAAGGACTGGTTGTAATATATTTAGTTCGGAGCAAGTCTCGAAAGTGCGAGATGAGCTTATCTGTGGACTCAGGCCAGGGGGGTTGGCTGTGGGGGAAAATAAGAAAAAAGGAAAGTCACGACGGAAATACGAGAGGGCTAGAAAAAGAAACGCCTTAAGGTCAAAGAGTTTTTGTACGTACACTCCATGCATTGATGTAGTCTCAATTGTCTGCTGGGTTTAGCCATTACGGATACTGGCACAAAAAAAAAAAACAGTCTTGCAACCATCCACTGACGTCTGTTGCAATAAGTACAACCACTGCTGAAGTTGTAAATGGAGACCGCAGAGTTTGCGTGAGCAGGTTCCTACAGGGGATCGGCCGGGGCCTCGACAGGATGCATGTGACGTACGTCCAATGTCTCTATCGTTCCGCTGGATGCGTGACCCCGTCTTAAGGCCACACACAGGTTAGCGATCCATTTATTAATCAAATCGTGTATTTGTTCCTCCCTTCGCTACAAGACTCACGTCGTCAAGGAGGCGGTCCCCCACAACTATGCTAGTGAATCTAACTCCAAGTGCCCTGATATGCACGCCGTGGAGGGGGCCTAAAAGCCCGCAGCTGGTGCAATTTTAGACAGAGCCGCCTCACTTAGGGTTCACAGACACTTCCTTCTCCAAAGCCCCGGGGTAAACGAGTTGCGCTTGCCGGCACCAACCAGGTTTGTTTCATGCTATGCCAGTTACCGGAAACGCCTTTACTACAAGTTTTATAGACTTTGCATTGCCTTTATAGGGGAAATTTAAGTGAAATTGCCAGAAGGTCTAAAGGGGCTGAAGATGCAACAGGGCCTTGTAGAGCATACAACATAATTAGTCAGCTTTAGTCTAGTCTCTCAAGAATAAAGCATTGTTAGGTGCTAATGAGATCTACGCAGTAAACACATCATTGGAGGTTAAAGCACCGATTTAGACGTCAGAAGGAGCCGCAAACTGCCAGGGTTGGAGGTGTAGAATATACGAGATTTACAAGTACCAAAGTTTCCATGTTGGCCATATAGCTGGAAATTAGCTGGGCCAGGTGTATCCGCTTTAAGGATCATTAGTTTGGAAACTGACTTAATCCAGCGCACCCGCCTTACAGGCTAGTAACCTGAAATGACACACGGAGAATCCAGATACACGCTTTTCGGAAAATAGGTTGACTGCCTTTGAAAAGATAGGGAACTCTGACTAGGCTCACGTCTGAAAACGCAACATCATGCCACATTTAACTTAGGAACATCGTCAGCTGCCATTCCACTTCCTTTGTATAAGGAGACACAGCTATCACAATAAGCAAGTGCCCTAATCGCAGTCCTTCAAAAATTAGCAGTAACTTATGTCATACTCGCTACTTTGGGATTGAATTATGGTTTCTTTTTGGTGTTTATTTCAGGGCTCTCGCTTCTACGAGAATTGCGAATTAGTGCTACACCCGGGGCGTAGCATCATGCATAAACTGTGTTCCAAGTCGACTGAAGGCGCATTCCGGTTTTTAACAACTAAATTCCCGGAAAATGTTCAAGTCATCCGGGGAATAACCGAATGATGCGATTACTTTTACGGGGGGGCGGCGGGACGCCGAGCCTCTCTTTGCAGACCAAATCAATACAGCTCCACCTCGAACCATTTCTGGCATGCTTCTTTAATTTCCACACAATGCGGTTTCTTGCTTTTATTTCCTAACCCCGCCACCTTTACCTTCTCTCCAAGACAAAACCACCTGGCTGTAATTATAAACCTATAGCTCCATAGACGAGGAAGAGGGCCCCCTGGTCCGATGACGAAACCAAGCAGCGCACAGCACGTATTTACTTTCACTAATCGTTAGTGTTCTATCCACCGTGTGGTTTAACGGTATGAAGCTGTAAATTCTGATGCCTCTGAGGTGATATCATAAAATGAGGTGAGGAGCGAAGCAAGCCAAGAGTTCTTGGGGTTTCTATTACCCAACCAAGCTTAGTACACAGTTAGCGTGATAGCATATGCGTTTCTGTCTCTGGCCGGAGTAATGGCCCCATGGTTCTCTGGGTGATTTGCTCCCCCTTGTCTTATACCCTTGGGTAAACTGAGACATTCTAGAGTTGGGGCACTGTTTTAGCTGTACTAGCCGAGGGCCTAAGCTAGAATTAGCTAATTCTCAGAGAAACCACACTATTATGGCATCTCACGCCTAGCCCGAGGTATCCTAAATTGTGATCGACCGAGGGGGCTTAATGGGTACCGCATAGATGTTAAGGTGAAAGCTTCCTGAGTCTGAAAGCGAGAGAGTCATGACCTTAAATTACATTGTTTTTGAATTTACAACGCAGACTAAAGGAAGGTGGGACCGGATAAGTGTTACAGGGATGTGATGAGGGACATGTGTTCACAGATATGTTTATACTGAGACGTACTTTTATCAGATTCCCTTCCAGTTACGACGCTGCTCTTTCCAGGCTGTGGTGTGAAGAAAAATTGATGGCCCGGCTTAACTCACACCTTTCACATGTGAATCCATAATGGAAGGGTTTTTACTTGGTCCATGCTTGGCTTTGGAAAGGTGCCCATTAAATTAATGTATGCCCAGGCTATGTGTTTCCGACTATCTGGTATAGCTTATCCTGGGGCTCTTTGCTACATATTTTTGAACAGTGAAAGTACATTTTTAAACAAGAGTAGCGGTAAAGAAAGCGACATGACCAACTATGAAGCTGTTATCCCAGAGACTTGAGATCCCAGTGGATGATCCCATACGGTTTGAAGTTGTGCAGGTATTCATTTCAACCAGTCTAGATCTCTATAACAGCTCAAAACCTTCAACCTAAGCGCAAACCGTTAAACCATCCCACTTTCCAAATCCATCATAATTACAATACAACTCAAGGACTGCAAGGTATACGAATCAGACCACCCATTCACGTGATATCAACTCCATTTAAGTACATACGTATCAAACATACAAGCAGCTATCATAGAGGAGACCCAAGAGGGACATAAATAGGGAAAATCAAGATATATAACGGAAGGCAAACGAAACAGTGAGAAAAAAGAAAGTCAACCGATTCTCTACAATCTCTTCTTGTCATACTTTGGGTAGAACGTGTTGAACAACAACACGTCGAGCGCGAGGAGCCCGCCGACAATTCCGTGGTGGTACGCGAGGACGATCTTGTGGTCGGACAAGATGCGACCACGTTCGTGATAGATAGCGCAAGAGGCAGCGGCCCCCAACACGGCCACCACGAGCTGGGTGATGACAACCGGGTTCTGCAACTCGGTCTGCACGCGGTTCAAATATTTCTTGTTTTCTGGGGAGTTTGCAGTCTCCTTGAGGTTGTCTGCGATTTCGTGCTCTTTGTCAGACACGGTCTGCCAGAAGGAGGCGACGTAGTTCTTGACGGACTGGAAGACGCTGGCAGTGTCGCGCTCGATGTGCTTAACTTCCTTACGGACCTTGGCATCAATGTTCTTGGCCTCCTTAACAGCTCTGTCTTTCAATTCCTTGGCTTCTTTCTTGATGTCTTCTTCGGTGACGGAAGGAATGGCCTTGGAAGGGGTGTTCTCAACCTCGACAGGGGCTGGGATAGGTTCCTTGATCCCGACAGGACCGGAGGATGCGGCGGCTTCAGCGTATGACATGATGTGCGTGTAAGGAAAAGAGTAAAAAATGGGTTAAGTCTTGAGACTAGGGAAGAAGATAAACAGAGGAGGAGTATGGTAATTATGTGACCGCCAACTCATTTTGCTGGCGTCGAGGAAAAGGGGTAAGTTGCTCAGTGCTATGTCCTGCACGTTTCATGCTGGAGCAAGCATACGATAGGCTCTGTGCAGAACACATGCCCTTCCTGCGTGGAAGCACAAACGTTCCGTGCGTGATAGTATCACGCGACCGGTGGGGCCATGTTGTAGGGCTATGACGGGTTCGGGTGGACAAAAGATTAGTGGCGATAATTGGTCATTGGGCACCCTTGGTATATTTTTTAGCCTTGTATTCCAAGGTTTGTGATAGGATCCCCCCCGATGACAGTGATGGTCTCCTGCAGCGTGGCTGAAGGCTTGATTGCCTGAGGCTCGAATCGTCGAGCAACGGAGCAGGAGTGGCGATTAGTGTTTAGATATTACGTTTGTGCGGTGTAAAACCCGAAAGGGGAAATGACTCGGAAGAGATACGTTGCATGGAAGATTCAAGATAATACCAGGACGGGAGTGGATGTTACTGTTGGTACGTCATTGACGCGGAAGGGTCTGAGGGTTAGATGCAGTGCAGTTTATATAGCACTTTTTTCGCGGCTCAGTAAGACCTGGAGATAGCTGTCGCGCATTATTTCAGAGGACGGGCTCTCTATATCGAAGGGAGTTTTTGGGGAACAGATGTTGCGATAAAGCGCTTAATTAGCGGATCAGCCAAGTTATAATTTTGCCCCGCAGGTATAACTGTCACCGTTTGTTATAACTGCAGTCTCCTCAGACTTGAACGTTGGCATCTAGGCTAGAGAGACTGACACCGGCGATAATTGCACTGTGCTTTTGTCACGTGTAGGGATACCTCCCACCCTTTTATCCTATACACATCATTGTGGCAGAAACCAAGATAAAGAAACCCACTGCAAGCTATGCTAGTAGAATCTGCATGTTTAAGCATCTACTAACCCATTGGCCTTGTAATATATACCGATGGCTACTAGACCATATCTACCGATATTTTCTCGGCCAAGCACCACTTTAGCAAGCCCTTGTGGAGTATCCAGATCGTTAGTCCAGAGCTTGGTCTCAATGTGCGATAATAGTCGTCTATACACCAATTCACGTGTCAAAGAGCACTAAGCATTTGTTCTAAAAGCAGTCACGTAAGCCATGATTTTCGTTTTACTTTAAACGCTCGGCCCTTTAGGGCTTTTCACGTTTGCACGTGACATTTCCACAAGCTTTTCTTTTCAGCGATTGCCCTTCCCATTCCCAACCATTTTCACCAGGAATTTCCTCTGAAAAATTTATCATGGGGGCTGCATCCGCTTGTTTCCCCTGCCTTTCTCTTCTCAGTATATCAAAACAGTCGATTGAAAACCACCACCCCCGGCTTTCCACGTTACATTCCGACTCTTATATATCAATAATTAATTATGTCTGCTCCAGCTGAAGCTCCAAAGAGACAATTCGGTGGTGACCGTCCACAGAGAGGTGGCAAGCCACAAAGAAAGGGTAGAAACCACGGTGACGACAAGGGTGGTTGGACCCCAGTTACCAAGTTGGGTAGATTGGTCAAGGCCGGTAAGATCACCACCATGGAACAGATCTACCTCCACTCTTTGCCAGTCAAGGAGTACCAGATCGTTGACCACATCTTGCCAGACTTGAAGGATGAGGTTATGAGAATCAAGCCAGTCCAGAAGCAGACCTCTGCCGGTCAAAGAACCAGATTCAAGGCCGTCGTTGTCATTGGTGACTCCAACGGTCACGTTGGTTTGGGGATCAAGACCGCCAAGGAAGTTGCCGCTGCCATCCGTGCTGCCATCATCATCGCCAAGTTGTCTGTCATTCCAGTCAGAAGAGGTTACTGGGGTACCAACTTGGGTGCTCCACACTCCTTGGCCAACAAGACCACCGGTAAGTGTGGTTCCGTCTTGGTCCGTTTGATCCCAGCCCCAAGAGGTTCCGGTATTGTTGCCTCCCCAGCCGTCAAGAAGTTGTTGCAGTTGGGTGGTGTTGAGGATGTCTACACCTCTTCTAACGGTTCTACCAGAACTTTGGAAAACACCTTGAAGGCCGCTTTCATTGCCATTGGTAACACTTACGGTTTCTTGACTCCAAACTTGTGGGCCGAAACTGAATTGCAGGTTTCCCCATTGGACACTTACGCTGACGAAGCCCTTATCTCTAAGAAGAGATTCTAAGCAGATCGCTTTTCTTGATTTTGGGTCATGGGTTAGTCCACTTTACTGTGCCGTGCTAGCCGTTGCTCATGTATATGTTTGTATAATCAGAAATTTAATTTGTTTAAAAATTGTAGATAGCTGAAGCAAGCATTTGGGACGGAAATCAGCCATCACTAGGATGGAGACAAGCTTCAGATGAAGGAGAATTGATAGCACGCTCTTTACGTTGTAGAACCCTTGTATTGCACTCCTCACGTCTTGCATAAATTCCTTGTCATGTTGCACTTTATCTTTTTTTTATCAAATTTTCTTCCGCCCACAAAGACTTCGTTATCTGGTTTTTCTTTACTCGCTCCAATTTACTCTACCCCAGATGGACTAGGTCTGTCAACGCCAGCTAAAGAAGCTTACGTTTGAAGAATTCAAAAACTGAAAAGATGGCAACATTGGATTACTAGAGACGGTAAAAACGCCAGATATAGAATAAATGGCTAGAAAAGGTTACCTTGGGTAAAATACCAGCACTATATAAATAAATAGTCATAAAACTAAGGGCAAAATACGGCCTCGCCGCTACAACTTCGGCTTCGCCACAAACGCCTGCGCAATAATCCTCCGCTGAATCTTCCCCGTCGCCGTCTTTGGCAACGCCTCCACAAAGTAAATCCTTTCTGGTACCTTAAACGCGGCCACCTTCTTTCTCAAGTACGCCTGGAACTCCTTCTCGCTCAAAGACGCACCCTTCTTTAGCACCACCGCCGCCTGGACAACCTGCCCGTACTTTGCATCTTCCACACCGAAGCTCACAGCCTCGCCCACAGCCGGATGGGCCAACATGAGCCCATCGAGCTCAATCGGTGAGATCTTTTCTCCACCGCGGTTGATTAACTCTTTAATTCTCCCGGTAATCGTCAAGTAGCCCTCAGAATCAAACTTCCCCTGGTCGCCGGTGCGGAAGTAGCCTTGCTGGCTGAAGGCCTCGGCATTTGCCGCGGGGTTGTTCAAGTAGCCGCGGGTGACGTTTTCGCCGCGGATGGCAATTTCGCCCACCTCGCCTCGCCCCAAGACCTGGTCGCCCTCCGCTGAGAGAATCACCACCTCGATCGCGCCCTGGGCGAGGCCGACCGTCCCGGCCTTGTGCGGCCCCTGCGCAGCCAACGGGTTCAGACACATCTGGTGGGCTGCCTCGGTCATCGCGTATGCCTCTAAAACCGGCACGCCAAACTTTTCCTCCAACCGGGCCAATGTCACCGGGGCCAAAGCTGCGGAGCACGAACGGATGAAGCGGATCTTGGTCTTTGCCGGTGGCGGGGTGTTGAGCAAGATCGTATGGATGGTTGGGACCGCAGAATACCAGGTGGCGTCGCCAGCGGCAAAATCGCCCCAGAACGCCTTTGCAGAGAACTTTGGCGGGATAATTGCCGCGCCGTTGGTGTAGAGCGTGGAAAGAAGCGCGCCAATTAGCCCGTGGACGTGGAACAACGGCATCACGACGTAGGAGCGATCACGCGGGGTGAGGCTGTAGGTCTGGGCAATGTTGTCCATGGACTGGAGGAGGTTGCGGTGGGTCAAAGGAACGGCCTTCGGACGACCGGTAGTTCCGGAGGTGTGGAGGATGAGGGCGATGTCGTCAGGACGAGAGGTGCCGGCGAGTTGAGCTACGCTAGCGGCAGGGCGAGTCGCCACGGACAGGGGAGCCGCCCCGCCACTGCGAGCAACTTCTCCGGCCTTCCCAAAAACGACATACTCCACCCTGTCCCCTCTATACGCAACCTCCACCACGTACGCGCCGTGGTCTTTCGCCGCCTGGACGATCGGCCCATTCGCCGCAAACGTCCCCTGCGGCACGAGAATCACCCTGGTGTTCAAGTCCTGGAGGTAGAAGTCGAACTCGGCCTTAGTATAGGCAGGGTTCAACGGCGAGGCAATCATGCCGTTCGCAACGACGGCGAGGAACGCAGCTGTGAACTCAAGACCGTTTGGGAGCGCCATGGCAACGGACGACTGACCGGCTATCTTTGCCGCAGCGCTCGCCAGAAGCGCGCTCGTGACAGCGGCGACGGGGCCAGCTGCGAACATTGTCTGCAAGTGCGCGACCATCGCCGCGAGCTGTGCATAGCTGACGGTGGGCCCGCCTGGGAGAATTACTGCGGGCGCAGCGTTTAACTTAAAAGCGGTATTGAAGGTGTGCATTGTGAGTGGATTATGGCGGAAATGGAGGAGGGTGAATAGGGAAAGACGGAGCGTTATATAGGGGAGGGAGAGGTAGGGGATAAGTTCTCGGGCGAGCTAACTCCAGACGATAGTCGGGCCGATCCGGATCGAAAAGCGGAAGCACGTGATGCCGCATGCACATAGTTTCGTGGAGGCTGAAAGAATCAGTTTGTGGGTCGTGTTAGTATTTATCAAACCTTGACATTGCTGGGTTTGTAGATTGTTAAACCTAGAATTTATCAACGTGTGGGTTGTACGATGCCGCCAGCGAAGAGTTTCCAATCGTCAATCGCAAATGACCAGTTTTTACCAGGCCATTTCGAGTCGGAGGTGTCCGGCAGGTGACGCCATCCCGCGTGGGGACAGCCGGAAAAATGAACACGAGGTTTGTGAGTGAACTTTTAGGTTTACTTCTAGTCGGTATTGTGGCTTTATTATTTGGTCTGACTTACCCAGAGGTCTTAGATGTGGTTGCAACCAGCACGGTACATAGATTGTAAGTTGTATAAGTGTTTGGCACGTGATCAGATAGGTACCGGGGCTGAGATAACGTATCTTAAGCACAGAAGTCACACCAGATCGTATTAGAATACGGTGAAAGGTGGTGGTTACATGGCGGTATGTCTCGGTGGAGGAAACGGTAGATAGGGAAACTTGAGCTTTCGGTAAGATTCCATTCGTTGTGGAGTACTTGGAACTGATTATTTACACCATGGCCAGTATAAGGGATATAGTCATAATATGGGATACAGTCATAATATAGGATACAATCATAATATAGGATACAGTCATAATATGGGATCTTTGATATAACCCAAAACCGAGGGCATTAAAACTGTCATAAAGTCTTATACTGTCAACCGGCATACTGAGGAGCTCAACATTCTATATCTGTTCAAGTTCCGTTTCTCCAGTTTCTGTTCAATTTCTATGTCTGTTCAAGCACCATTACCGCGTAGTTTAATTAACACAAACCTCGAAAAGTCTTCGAACCTTATCTTGTCTAAGTTGAGTTATACGCCTCGTCTGTTCTTAGTACCAACAGACATACAATACTGTTGAAGGTAAGACTCTTCCTCGAGTTCTTCCATGCGTTCATAGGCATCACTCGGAACTTTAACAACACCCAGCTTAACTTCCCATTACATTTCTATCCCTCAGATTTTGTTATGACACCAGATCACCCTTCCTGAATTCCACGAGAAAGCAGCGCGGTCAAAAAAAAACAGACCTTGGCCTATCTTAGAACCTGCAAACGTCTTTCCATTTCTCTACGCAACGGGTTGACATTTGTATAACTGCCATTTACGCGCCTGTCACTGCACTTGTCCTAGCCACTTTCCTGGCCTCCCGTTGTACTTGAATCCAGCTTTTGTAGACGGCCATAATACAAATCAGGCCAGGCTTAACAGCCAGGATAAATGTACCCCCATGCACGATCTATTGTATATCCCTGTCCGTTTAGGTGCCAATTGTTGTTTGATTTGCTCGTTGTCCGTTAGAGCCGCTGTGTCACTTACATGTTTAACCAAGACCCTGTGAAAACCATTCACACTACCCAATATATAAGCGCTGTTCAGGTAGTAGTTCTCTGGACTTGTCAGAACGGACGTACTTCGGGGCCATTCTGAAAAACGCACTGACGCCCAATTAGGATCCAAATTGGGGCGCACGTGCATGTGAACCCAGTCTGCCCTTGCATGCATGTCCGCCAAAACAAGCTCACCTCCGCGGCTCGCGAGAACAGGCGTAGCCAGATAGTCCAAAGATTTGATGGTTTAAGGGCCACGAATAGACCATCAACTTCCCTCTAGTTTGAACATAAGTCTGCTCCGTAGTTTCTGGAAAAAATACCGTGTTATAAGTGACGTCGATTGCTTTTAATTGCGTCCGCACCATACTCGCATGCTGCGAATTCTGCACTCCGTCTCTGCAGCTAGTTTAGGCCGCTCCCCCTGCTTCTACGGAGAAACGTAATCATCAGCATGAGGCAGCTCATAAAACCCAGGGCGTGCAGCCTCCTTATTGGCGAGCGTGCAAAAAAATAATAACCACATGGCATTTTAACCCCAGAAACACTCAGAGTTCAGACAAATTCAGACCCCAGACACATTCAGAATCTAGACACTGAGTAGCCATTTTCTCCTCCTAGATACCGCGTAGTACCACTCACCGGGAACCTCAGTTCGACTCAGCTCCTTTAGGTTCGCTGTGTGCAGGTCTGCCTCGCAAAGGATGCAAGGCGGGTGCCCGTGAAAAACTCTAGAAAAACAGCTGGTGGCATTTAGGACGGCTAATCAGTTCCCTCACTCTTGTGGAGGTAGTCTTCTTTTGTTTTCCCAGTTACATTGGTATTTGCTTCCACTGCTTTTCTAGAGATTTGGTTCTAACCAGTCATTGCTTCATATCCCTTCCCCCTACCCACACATCCTATTCGCATGACGCCCTCGAATATTCACATTGTGCGCGAAGACTCGCTGCTCAGCGTGCACGACGACAACGAAAACTACTTCGACTCACGCAACTACGAGATCTCGCCGACAACATCCGCGGTGCCGCGTGTGGCCGCGCCGGCCACGCTCAACTCCACCATCTTCTCCTCCACCATGCTCAGCAAGGACGTGTTAGACGAGCCGGCGGACCTGTCCGACTACTCGTTCGCGCGGCACGTAGTGAACGCGAGTTTCAACAGCGACTTGCAGCTGGCGCCTTCGGACGACGCGACGATCCACGAGGAGCTCGTGCCCGAGGTGCCGCCCAAGGCACGCAACGGGTCGGTCGTGTCGCTCGCTCCGGCGAAGATTACCGTCGCCTCTACTTCTGCCGCCGCCTCACCCAAGACACGCGCACGCGTCTTCCCCGATACTGTCGCGAGCCTGCCACTGAGCGCACACCTGGAGCTCGACGGCTACGACCACGCGATCCTCAAGGATACAGCGCTCCGCCTCCACCGCCAGGAGTTCCAATCCATCCGGGTTGAGGAATACACCCAGTATCTCGCGTCGCCGTTACCGGAAAATGAGATCATCCGCGACTACTACATGGACTTTTTTCTCTGGAACAAGAGCTTACTCAACAGTTTGCGCACGCTCTGCTCAAAGCTCTACTTCAAGGGGGAGTCGCAGGAGATTGACCGGATTTTGCGGAGCTTCGCAAAGTCGTGGTTGAAGCAGTTTCCCGAAAACATCTTGGGGAGCGGGATCGAGGAGATCCACGTCGCGAGTTACAGCTTGATTCTCCTAAACACCGGCTTGCACAACAACAACTCCACGCGGCGCATGTCAAAGGACGAGTACACCCGCAACACGATTCTGACGTTGATGGCTCTCGCGGCGGAAAGCGGGCGCGCGCGCAAGTTCGACATTGCGCGCAAATTGACGTTGGAGCGCGAGCTTCTCTCTTACTACGAGCAGCTTGCGCACGAGGCGTTACCGCTCCATACGACCGCGAGTACGCGGCGAGGCATGCGCAACTCGATCATCTCGACAATCACCAAGCACGACGAGCCGCGCACGGGCGGATTCAGTAGCCGGCGGCTGTCGGTAACGCGGCGCGGCGGACTGGCGGCAGCGTCGCTTTTCTCAACGGACGAAACGTTCTCACACTTTGACGAATCGATCATCGAGGAGGCGGACGAGAACATTGACGACTTTGACGAGAATGGTGACGAGCGCCTCGTGGGGTTCGCGCGCGCGTTGAAGAGCGAGCCGCACCTGCACGCGCCTGCCTCCTCGGGGGCGTCTGGGGCAGGCCGCGGGTCGGACGTACCGCCCGGTGTGCGCGCGCGTGCGAGCAGTAGTACCATTGGCCGCAAGCCGTCGGGTGCGATGGGTGGCCTCGCGAACGCCGACAACTTTGACGCGAGCTTCCAGATCCTTCAAGACGAGTTCGACACGCACCTTGACTTGCAAGGCGCGCCGTACATGAAGGAGGGTTTGTTGCGGTACCGTGCGAGCGACGTGGGCGGTGCTGGTGCGCACCGGTCATTCTTTGGCGTGCTCCGTTCGTCGCTGGCGCGCGACAGATGGGAGGAGAACCTCGTGATTGTTTCGATGGGTGTGTTACGGATCTATTCGTTTAACAAGAGTCTCGTGAAGAAGCGCGACGCACAGGCCAAGCCGCGCACACCCGCACATTCGCGCACGGGCGTCTCGTCGCGCCGCTCGTTCATGCTGACGCGCAGCGTTGACACGAACCAGAGCTATGCGACTGCGACGGGAGCGCCGAGCGCGGAGGTGGTCGGGGACGGGAACTGGATGAAAAATGCCGTCAAGATTGGCGACTACAACTTGTGCTCGGGCTACGCGGCAATTGTGCGTAACATCCCCGTCAAGCGCAACGAATGCTACTGGGCGATCCAGATTCCGCGGCCCGGTGCTACGCCTGCGAGTTCCAAGGAGGCCGTGGGTACTTCCGCGGTCGCGTTGATGGGCGATCATGTAACAACGATCACGTTCTGCGCGGGAACAAAGGAAGTGGCACAGGAGTACGTTGACACATGTAACTTCTGGGCTGCCCGCATCACGGCGATTCCGATCGAGCAGCCAATCACGTCGCTCGAGTACGGGTGGGGGGCGCGTGTCACTTCCTCGCTGAAGATTGCGCGCTGGGCGTACGCGCCCGGCGGTGTGTACTTGTCGCGCGACCAGATTTTTCCACAATTAGCCGCGATGATCGACTTTTTCCATCACTTGGAGGCGCGCGTACACGCGCACGTCGCGTGCAAGTCCACCGTTATGGCCAGTGATGTCAAGAAGCGTGTGGGCAGCAAGACTCACCGCCTTATTCTTGACAACTGGCAGAATCAGATGACGATGTTGCAGTACGACCACTTGCGATACAAGACATATCTTCAGATTTTGATTGTGGGGGCCAAGTCACGCTTGCTGCTTATGGAAGCGACGCCCGACCTCCTGGAGCATGAGCCATCCGCGACGGACATTGATGCGATTGACGATGATTATGTGCCGCCGTTTGACGTCGCGCGGCTTCGCGAGCAGATCGCGGAGACCGAGGCGTACTTGGGTGCGCGCGCGGACATGAAGAAGTCCAAGGGGTCGCTTGAGTTGTGGAAGGTGTTGGATAAGGACATTACACCGCTTTCGGGGATGGTAGATGTCAAAGAAGAGCAACGAGTGAATTGAGCGAAACAGGAACGACCCTGTATTTCAGCTCCAGGTTTTTGGCAGCTCTGCGTGTTTTGTTTCATTTCATTTCTATTTAATTTTTTTTTCTCGAAAACACGAAGCTGCAAATGGTGTATTATTTCTCTTTTGTGTTTCAAATGATGATGAGCTTGTATTATTTTTTATATCTAATATGTAATAAGTTTACAAGACAATGCGCTGCAAAGATCTGGGGTTTAAATCAGTATCAAAAGCTGGTTTTCGAAAGATTACTAGAAGTCTGTGTTTATTGAAAGGGATTCTTGGTGTACATACCTCTACACGGTGTTTTCCCATACTGATTCAGGTATATCCTTCTATTTCGTAGAGGGATCGAAATAGCATTGTAGAGAAGCTAGACTTTCTACACAAGCTCCCCCCCCCCCTCGACTCAGCCTACTACTTGAGATTTAGGTACTTGAAAAATTGATACTGAAATTAAATAAATAACACCTACAGGCTGTATACTATACATCCATTTTCGATATATTCCATGTATTCAAATTTATACACCACATAAATTTACAAAATTTATTCATTCTCGATACAACACTAAGCCTAAGCTCGTAATACTCCGCCTTCGCTAAAATCCCATTCTCTTCACCACATAACTTTGCGCTACCACCCCGAAGCTCAAGTTCAACCCGTCGTAGATCCACTCCTTGACCCATTCCGCCGGGTCTACATCCTGTAAGCTCGCAGCCGCCTCACCATCCTTCTCTTCACCCTCAGTAGAGCCTACGGCCGACCCGTCGAGCCACTCAGCCCACTTAAGTGGGAACGGCTGAGAACGGGTGATGATGGTAATATCGTGGCTGATGTCCTTCAAGATGATGGTGAACGCAAAGGAATTGGCGGAGAAGGAGTCGATAGTGATTAAGGATTCCTCGTCTGTGCTGGACGACGGGATGGAAATAGGCTGGATCGTGATGAACATATCTGACCGCTTGGTAGGATTGGCGTCCTCCTTGGTCTCCTTGTAGTGCTTGATAGCGTCTTCCAAGTTGGCAAAGGCCAACTTTTCCCCGTCGGAAATCTTTCCGGTGAAGATGTTCAAATTTCTCACCTGCTCTTCATCAGAGCTTTCGTCGGCTTTAGGTTGCGAGTTGGACACATGGACACTCACGCCGCCCTCTACCTGGCTCATGACACGTCTGAAGTTGCGCGCCACCAAGGAGTCGATATAGTGATAGTTTTTCACATCGTGCACTAAGCTGATTTTCAATACCTCGACAGGGTCGACGCCGCCGTTCACCAACGTGTTCATCACCACGTCAGTGAACCTGTTGCCGAAGAGACTGATGTTCTTTGATAACGAATCCATCGCCTTTTGTGCTTCGTCCACGTTAACCGAAGCCTTTGTGGTCTGTGCCACGTCGTGTAGCGCTTGGGTCAACTGTTCCTCACGGGCGTTAAGATCCAATTGCTTGAGCGCCTCTTCTGCCTTTGCCGAAGCGCTGCCCCAGAAGGAGCTGACCTTGGTGGAGGCCCCCGAAGACCACCAGTTGGAGATTGACGCAATCGGATCGGGAAGATCGATTACATCATCATCATCCTGGTTTGTCTCATCAGGACCGACCTCTGTCGGTTGCTTATGCTCAGGCTCGGTTTCCTTGACTTCAACCGCTTCTTTGGCGATCGGCACCGGAGTAGCCGTGGTTGACCTCTGAGCCTTTTTCTTGGTATCCTCGGCGGCCAATTCATCCAAGAACCCCAAGAGGTCTTCATCCTTGGCCCCAGTCTTGGGGGTATCTGGAGTGGCGCCTGGGGCGGCCTTCTCTGGCAACGAGTTCAAAAAGTCGAGCACGTCGTCGGCCTCAGATGATTTCTTAGCGGACATTGAATATGAAATACTGAATGAATTGATCTCAAACTGGAGGTCCTATTGGGGTTCGTATATTGGGAATGATTCCTGTTCGCAATACAGGTTGTGACTGAAAGGATATCAGTGCGTGATTTGCTTTTGAGTCCTTGTTATCACGTGGTCTTTTTAGCAGGGATATGCGCAATATCAGCCGCACAGGGAACTAGATAGGAAATTTTCGTTTGGCAAAGTAATCGCCCTAGAGCCACCAGCCGATAAAAAAAAAAAAAAAAAAAGGTATTATATGTGGTTGACCTGTGTCTCTAGCGGTATATTTATCTAAACACCAGGTTCAGTGCACTGCATTGTATACTGGAGGTGGAACAAGCTCTGCTTAGAGGATAACTTGGTTGTACCTACTCCTATTGGCCGTTTATACATACATTATAAACAGTCAGAAGTTATCCCGACGTTATTCAACAAATGCTCCTTTTTACCAATTAATAACAGGAAATTTTTAGGTACTACATCCTTTTAACCAAATATAAATGCACCTGCAGCATCTTTATTATACTAATGGGCACTGGGATAGAGGAGTTCAGGCATTCCCCTTTTGTTACTACGAGTGGGGCTTCTGGAGACATCTAGCTTCGTGAATAGTACAGTCTACCAGACTCTGTCCTTATCGATTATCCAACGTATGCCAATTTCAAAAAGCATTTATGGCTGGAAAGAAACCATCATAGCTGTTTCCTACGTAATATTGTAGGATCCTAAAGTGCTCGATCACGTGACCCAAATGAGCACTTTTTCTTTTCTTTTTCTAACCTTCATGTAGAAAAATACTTAATCACGCGTCAATCTCACCGTTCTCCTTTACTATTCCTGCTGGTCATTTAACAGATAGTCAATATCTATACTCAGACAAACAATATCCCATGCATCCGCAATTAGAAGCCGAACGATTCGTCCCGTGCCAGGAGTTGATTGACGCCTTGGAGCACTGCCACAAGCAGGATTACATCTCCAGAGCGCTTTGGGGGCTCTGTAACGATCCTAAGGAGGCCTTATCGCGTTGTCTTCACGAGACCCGTCTCAGCCAGGTTAGAGAAAAGATTATCGTGGGTAAGGAGAAACAGAAGGGCTTGCAGGCTAAGTGGCGTGAGGCCCGTGAGGGTGCCTATGGGAAGGATGAAAAGTTGAAGAAGGTTATCGATGCCGAGTACGCTTTGAAATACGGCCAGAAACCTGAAACCACAGCTGAATCCGGCTAAGGATTGAACCCATGGCACTGCCTCTGCATGGCAGTTTTCTCCGCTTTTAGATACCCAGGTAAAGTAAGGCTGCATCTCTGTACATACCCACCTTAAATGAACACATAATATAACGAATGATGAGCTGTATAAATGATAAAGTCTGTCGGTGTAAACTAACGGACAGGATCTGACACCTATGGGTCCTTCAAAGAAGCCTGTATCTTAGAGATTCGGCCATCTTTCAGGATTACAGCAGCTTCGAGTCTGTGTGGTTGGGAATCTAATCTCAGCACCATCTTACTAGCGTATTTATGCAATGGCTTAGGATTTAGAGCTACTTGACTCCAGCCAAATCCATACTCGTATTTCCTCATGACATAACCCCCCGGCCTTTCCGTGTGCCTATATCATGTCCTACATGAGGGTCTCGGGTCAAGTTAAAATCAGACATTATTCCTGGGGAAAGATTTCAGTTGGATGTAGAGATATCTAACCTATCGTATTAGTACTTGTACCGCCTAGTACAGGTGGTATCCCACGGCTAGAAGTAAAGTATACCAGGAATAGACCAAAAAATAGGGCTGATGGAAGTTAAATAAACCACGTTTTAAGCTTACAGAGTAACCGGTCATTTCGCCAATCACGTGCCGAATCTCGATGGTCGAAAGCGTCATCGATTATCTAATTAGCCGACCAATCCGGCACAACGTTCCTGCAGTTCACCGGTTGTGCGCACGTGCTCCGGTCTTTTATTTCTCACTGTTTCCTGCTGGACCTACCGCAATAGATTCAATATTCATATATTATCTTTTGGGTCTCTTACTATCCATGTTTCGCCTTTATTATAAACAATTTCACTATTTATACCTTTCAAGGGAAAAGCTGCGCACGGTTTCTGACCAACTAGACCCCGACATGCGTCACCTGAAACTTGCTCCGTGTAGGAGCGGGCAAAGTTCCCCTGCTTAAAACCTAACATAGACCATTCATTCCACTTGACATCAATCTTTACTTCAACCAACATGTCCAGACCTTCAGGCCCTCCACCGGGATTTCCAGGTAACAGCAATGCTCAGTACCTGCAAGGTCAAAACTATCAGTACGGCCAACAAGGCCAAAACCAGTACGGTCAACAAGGTCAAAACTATCAGTACGGTCAACAGGGCCAAAACCAGTATGGTCAACAAGACCAAAACCAGTACGGCCAGCAAGGTCAGTACCAGGGCCAATATCAAGGCCAGTTCCAGGAAGGCCAAAACCAGGGCTACAGCCAAGGGAGACCTGGCGTCCCTCCTCCTGGCTGGTCGAACCAGCAATACCAGCAGCAAGCGAACTCCCAGTCGGCTTTCCAGGAGCAATCTTACGGTAACAATGTACAGATCCATTCTGCAGGTAATCTGTTACAGGCTCCTTCGACCCACGCCCAATCCTTCGGGGCTGGCACCAACTACAACTACAGGTACTCCAACTGTACCGGACGGAAAAAGGCGTTGCTCGTGGGGATCAACTACATCGGGACCAAGAATCAATTGAACGGGTGCATCAACGACGTGAACAATGTGGCCCAGTTCTTACAATCGCACGGCTTTCCAAAGGAAAACATGGTTGTTTTGACGGATAATAACACGACCCAGCGCAGCATTCCAACGGGGCAGAACATCCGTGACGCGATTGGCTGGCTCATCAAAGACGCGCAACCAAACGACTCGTTGTTCTTTCACTATTCCGGGCACGGAGGACAAACCAAGGACTTGGATGGCGATGAGAGTGACGGATATGACGAGGTCATCTACCCAATGGACTATGAGGTCAACGGTCACATCGTGGACGACGAGTTGCACGCGATGCTCGTCAGACCATTGGCTGCGGGGGTCAGGTTGACCGCGCTCTTTGATTCGTGCCACTCAGGCTCCGTTCTCGACTTGCCCTACATGTACTCCACCAAGGGCGTGTTGAAAGAGCCAAACTTGGCGGAGGAGGCGGGGAAGGACTTGCTAGGTGCGGTGACGTCATATATGCAGGGAGACATGTCTGGTGTGATGAGCCGTGTCACCGGGCTATTCGAGTTGGCGACCAACGGCGGGGAGAACGAAAAGGCACATGAGAAGCAACGCCAGACGAAGACGGCGCCTGGGGATGTGATCATGATGAGTGGGTGCAAGGATAATCAGACGAGTGCCGATGCGAAGGAGAACGGGGTTGCAACCGGGGCTATGAGCTACAGTTTCATCCGGGTCATGGAGGCTGGAAAAGACCAAACCTATTTGAGCTTGCTCCAGAACATGAGAGAAGTCTTGATGGGGAGGTACTCGCAGAAGCCACAGTTGAGTGCGTGTCATCCGATCGATACCAACTTGAAGTTTGTTATCTAGGGGTGTATCTGGAGTGTGTTTTTGTTTAGTAAATGATTTTTTGATAAAGGTGTAGTTGGGGATGAATTAGCTGTTTTTTTGTCCTTGGTAGTTTCCAGTGTCGGTTGATTTACTTCCTATGGCGATAAAGTCTTGTATAATAATTTCTCCCGTCGTAATTTTAAGCTACAATCTTTGTGTCTAGGCATTTGTTAAATGCTAAAAAAATATTTCTCAGAATGCTATACACATGTTTACAGATGTATTGTAAAAATATGAGCAATGCACAAAACTTATCTATTTTTAGCATTGCCTATTAAGTTTCACTATAACAGATAGTGGAACATAAAAAAGGTCAAATGATTTCGCCCAGGATCGAACTGGGGACGTACTGCGTGTTAAGCAGGTGCCATAACCAACTAGACCACGAAACCATCCGATAAATGAAAGTACCAAGCAGAACCATACTCACCATCAGAGTAACCCAAACCCCACACTCTCAGCCTACGAGCTATACCTCCACTATTCCCGACCAGCTAGTACCGCACATACACACGAGTAAAGAGTATCCATCAAATCTAAAAGGAACAAAAACAAAAAGCCATATCACACAAACCAATCCTCTATAGCCACTTTACATCACCACACACTTCTCCTGGTCGTTGGAGGCGGGGTTATTCGTCTTCTCCACCTCCTGGATCAACACCTCGAAGCACTTGGCCACATTTTCGTTATTGCGAGCACTGGTCTCTACAAAACCACAGCCCATCTCGTGGGCCAACGCACGGCCCTCCAGCTCCTCCACGTGTCTCTGGGAGCCGGCCAAGTCAGACTTATTCCCAACCAACACCATGGGGACGCTATCGGTACCTGTGCTGTTTAAAATCTTGTCGCTTATCACGCGAATCATCTCGAAGGATGAGCGGGATGTGATGGAGTACACGAGCACGTAGCCGTGCACGCCGATGAGGTGCTTCTGGTTCATGATGGAGAACTCATCCTGGCCAGCAGTGTCCAAAATCTCGATCTCAAAGTCCTGGCCCTTGAACCGGATGGACTTGGAGAACTGGTTTTCAATGGTTGGATAGTATGACTCCACAAAGTGCTCCTCGCAGTACTGCACCGTGAGCGACGATTTCCCCACGGACCTTCCGCCAACGATACATATCTTTCGTGCTCTTGGGCTCATAATCTAGCGGGTTAGTATCCCAGGTGAATCAGGGGGTGCGAAACATACGTTTGTGGTGATGGAAAGACAGAAAGTGTGATACGTGGGCTTGTCTGATCTCAAATGTGGAGCCGAACGAGGCTGCGGCTCGCCCGGGTAACTCAGCGAAATTGCAGCAGGTACAACCCAAAGTATTTCTGAATTTGTATAATTTATTGGAATAACATCACCAGCAATATATATGTGGCTTGAAATAAGAGAAGGCAGGAGAGGGGAGTGGACCCCGTGTCAGCAATACTACGAACTACATCCTGTAATTGCCAACGCCATCGTATCTATTAAATTGATATTTTTTATTTAGGAATTTTCCACTACCATTCAAACCACGGCTCCGATTATTGTTGGCCGTGTGGGTTTCCACTTCAGCTATAATTTTGATTTTTTTTTTTCAACTTTGCGGTCAATAGGTTGAAAAATTCTAATAAATGCCACCTCACCAAACTTGGAGAGCCGCTATATACGCTAGCTGTCCAAACCACCTGCTTATATAATTTACCAGTCTTTATCTAGCATATCTGTGCATCACCGTAGAGATGCCAGTGTGGACCTGTAGCGTTTTATACACACTTGGTAACCCTGCCCGCCTAAATAAAGTCATAAATTGGCTGTTTATGTATCCTTCCAAGTGCACTCTTTAATTGCACTTGCATCATGCACCACGCTCGTCTTGAACCAGTGCAATCTTATCCCTTGACCATCCTTTATCATTAATCATTTAGCTCCAGCTTACAAATACAATCATGCGCTTATTCTGAGGGTATTTCAACCGCTGGATTTACCCTGTAGAGCCACCATTGCCGTAGACCTAGGTATCGTTTAACACTAGATAACCGAATCTAATCTGACAAGGTAAAGCATGCCAGCAGACACGAACTTTGAGAAAGCACCAGATACTTAAGAACGCTCCAATTTACATTTTTTAGTGCAATTTTCCCCCCTTGGGTCAATATATCTACCGAATTTCCGCAGACAAGTATTTTGTTCTCGTTTGTACTCGCCTCTATATATTGCGTATATTGGATAGTTCATCCTATACACTGCAATACGTGTTATACTCATAATATCCTGTATATGGTGTCGGCACGATCGGAAAAACCTAGCCGTGAGATACAAAATACATGAGGGGAACAGGTAAAGGCACATTATTCGGAGAGAAAATGGCCCGTGACCATGTCACGTGACATACTGGAAAGAGTCCGAAATCCGCAAATGTGGGGAACACCGGAAATTGCATCTAGTTCTGAACATGTGACGACGTGGATTATTCGTATCTGACGACTCTTAAACCTCCTGTTACCTCGACGGACCACTAACAAGGCTTACCGGATTATATATACCCAACTTACTGCCGTATTCCACCCCCTGCTTAAACACTCAAACTTCACTTTTACAATCTAAACAATGGCGATTCTCATTTTGGAAGACCAATTGGCATTTTACCGGGCGTACCACTTCAATAAGATCAATGTGGCGATCCACGCAATTGGTGTGCCTCTGATTCTACTCTCCACAATTGTCGCGGCCCTGGCGGTCCCGCTCCCGTTCTTTAATAATCCCTACCTTAACTTGGGGTCTGCCAGCGCCCTCGGTTACGGAGTTTTCTACTGTCTTCTTGATCCCTTAGGGTACGTGGCATTGCCCTTGCTCGCATCGGTAGCTTATTTTACCGTCAACACACTCTTTGCCGAGTTTCCGGTGGCCCTGGTGGTCAAAACGGCGTTGGGTATTAGTGCTGCGGGCTGGGTAGCCCAGTTTATCGGCCACGGGGTCTTCGAAAAGCGGGCCCCAGCGCTTTTTGACAACTTGGTCCAGGCACTTGTACTCGCGCCATTCTTCATCTTGTTTGAATTGGTTTTTGCGGCTGGGTTCCGCAGGGACTTGAAGAAGAAAATGGACAACAAAGCTGGGGTTTTGGTGAGAGACTTCCGTGTGGGGAAGAAGGTCCAGTGAAGGATCAATTGTAAAGGTCAGAGCGAGCTAAAATCTTTTCTAGGAAGGCTCGTCTCATAGATGTGAAGGTCAAGGTGTTTAATATGCCCACTTTTGCTTTATTTATCCTAGGGGCTGATTTTTCTGTTTACTTCCCACCCTTTAAAGCCCCGCTGCGAGGCTATGTTTCACTTGCATCTCGCAAGATATTTATTTTCTACTTCTTATATTACTACTCCAGTTAATATATAGCGAACTATTTCAGTGGCTTATTTGTCCCGGGGGAATACTAGGCCCGCTCTGTTGAAGGTGTGGGTGCTTTAACATGTGGATTTTCAGGACCAGCTACAAAGCCATGAGGTGGTTAACTCAACGAAAGAAAACTAGATATTACAATGCTACCCCGACCTATGGTAAGGGTTGTAGAAGTAGGACTCACTATTCAAAATAGCTTGAAGGAGCTTAGCTTTCAGTAACCCAAGGCCAAAAACAGGGGCCTTTCCCTATTGCGCCTAACAATACAACCTGTACCAAGCAACGTTTCACGTCCTTGCTAATACTCTCTATAACAGATATTGTAGTCTGAATAACTTGCCACAAATATCCTGTCATCACCCTTTTATGATATCCCCCGATTCAGCCTATTACATAGACGGTCTCCTCACAATTGTCACTCGAAGCGTTTTGCGATTTCCACAACAAATTGATCCTTCAACCATTTGCATCATTCGTTATCGTACCTAGAAAGATAGGCGTAAAATAAACAGCGGATCACTGATACGAGCCCCCTTGTTGACAAACCATTCAAGCCCCTAGGTGAATTAGTATAAGCGCTCTCGATGATATCACCCTCACCTCGTCATTGACCCACATATCCCCTTGCAGCCAGGTTGGCACAAAAAAAATACTCCCTATTGCTGCTTGTTTAGCACAAAAGCCCTCATATTACTACATCTGGTTCTTTAATATGGAATTGATCTTAAATATGCTCTACACGAAGTAAAATGTATGCACGCTAGACATCTAGTTGTCTCTGATGTGTCTGTTGACAATCAGGTTCCAGAACAAGGTCTTGTCACCGTCACCCCAGAAGTAGTCCTTTTGTCTCATGTTCTGGTATTCGTATTGCTGTGGCCACTCCTCGTCGGACAAATGGGCCATGTGCTCTCTGTGCTTGGCATGCTCCAATTCAACGAACAAGGTGTTGACCCCAACGAGGAAACAGGCTGGCAACGCAATGTAGTAGGTGATTTTCTTCCACATGTCAGCGGTACCGGCGGCGTGGTCCTCAGCGGCCTTGACCTCGGCCAAGTACTTTTGGGCGGCCTCCTTGTTTGGAACAAAGTCGGAAATACGGTGAGGCTTGTTGGCCGCAGCGTGTTGGAAACGACGGCCAACAGTCTGAGATAATCTAGGGGTAAACTGTCTGAGCATTTTGGGTACTTAAAAGCGCTGGACGAGTATGTTTGGAATGGGTTGAAGATGCTTTTATCAGCTCACCAAAGATCCTGTACAAAGTTAGCTGACTTTTTCGTGCACCTGGAACCACGTTCATTGGATGGGGAGGGTCGTGTGTGGCAGAGCTGTGAGCGTGCGGTAATTTACCAAGGGGTAATTTTGGACACGGTCATGGTGTATCTACGATTGGCGGGGGTTTACCAATTCCCAGGTGAGCCAGGTTGTAGCCCTGGTTACATATAATGGTGAGGTAACACGGCTTGAAGTTGTTATTAGATTGGGATGAATTCCGACTTTTTATCGTTTGGGTTTCAGAACGCGCTAGTTGTGCTTTGGGAAAGCAAATACCACGTGACGGATATCTAGATCGAGGGATGTCTGTCGGTGCGTGCCATTGCTCAATAGGACGGCCACTTTAAACCAACTCCGGTGTTAAGATAGCGGTTCAGCGTTTCAAAATAATCCAGTTCCCGCGGGAAAAAATAAAAACACCCTCTTTAAGCTTTATACTGGATTGAAGAAATGAACCCAGACAGACAGTGCGCCAAGTTCGTATCGTACATATGCAGCCGTACCATGCGTCGTCCTCGATCATGTTTCGCTTTCTCCAGTCCCCCATACGAATTTAATACCCATGATCCCGTTTCATTGCGCCTATAATGCTTAATCTCGCTTGAAAATAGGCTAGGAAGAATGAAATCCGAAGCTGAGCTAACGATAATATTCGATTTAGCAAAAAGTAGGTACTTTAACCGGAAGACCTTTCTTTCCAGCAGCGATACTTAAACAAAAACAATACCCATGATCGTGTCACAACTTTTCTTTCACTGATTTTGTGGATTAAACAACATTGCTGGTTTAACTCGTTCCCCCCACGAACAGATCCCCTCCCCATCCACTCAAAGTACTAGCTCATCCAAACTCTTCTACATACCCGAGCGGGGGTCGATTTTTCAACAATACAAACGCTGCTAAAAAACCTGCAGCCATAAATTCCTTCCTTATACCGGTTCGGGAATTTCTGGCCTACAACCATGCCCTAACTATTGGACCAACCCACGGAGCCAAGACGAACTCCCGGAGATAGCCCCGTCGGCTCTTGGCGTCATGTGACATACCAGCCTTGAACGCCAAACCGGTGCGACGATATCTCCTCTAGCCATCGATGTAGATTAATAGCCCAAACCAGCCTACCAGAACCCCCCAGCACCATACTATCCGCCAAAAGGTAATATATATTAGTGAGAAATTTACCTGAGCCACTTAACCTATTATTAGTATCGAAATCACCGTTCCCCGGTAAAACGCATATGCCACCCAGCATCGGAAGTGAGATAAGCGCGGATGCAGGATAAGGTCGTGCCTCGCACTACAAATCGCTCCTCGTTTGCCAGCACCAGCCCGTCTCGCAAATCAAAGTGACAAAAGGAAACACGCTCTCCCCACACTCTCTCATCAATCTCCACCCACCACACCTTTGCTATGTCCTTCATTGGTATTTACAAGGCGATTTACGACTACGCGCCGCAATCGCCGGACGAGCTTGCGCTCACCCAGGACGACGTGCTCTATCTCTTGGAAAAGTCCGACACCGACGACTGGTGGACCGTCAAGAAACATATTCCCGCTAGCCAATCGTCGCCAGACGAACCCGAACCGTCGGGTTTGGTGCCGTGCACCTATATCGAGCCTGCTATCCCGATTCACACCGCCACGGCGCTCTATGACTATGAGCGCCAGACAGACGAGGAGTTGTCGGCTCCGGAGAACGCTACGCTTCAGGTGTACGACGTGTCTGACGTGGACTGGATCCTTGTGGGGCTCAACTCACAGTATGGGTTCATGCCTGCCAACTACCTTGAGATGTCTACTGCGGTCCCAGCCGCAGCTCCAGCCCCGGCCCCTGCCACGCTCGCAGCTCCAGTTGTCACCCACTTCCCTCCACCGCCACAGCATCCAAAATCCACGCCGTTGCCCCCACTCCCACAGGAGGCCTTCACGCCCCAGAGCAACAAGTACGGCGTCAGTGAGCCGGGAAGCGAGGACGAAGCCCCACCGATGCCCCAAAGACCCACCGAAGCGGCTAGAAACACCAGCTCCGCCACCGTTGTCAGACTGTCGCCGCTGCCACCATCAGTCCCAGAGCACGAGTACTCTGGCGAGTTCTTCAAGTGGCACATCGCGGAGCTCGACGGCCGCAAGAAGAAGAAGGTTGTCTTGGTTGTGGGCAACAACCAGTTGTTTTTCCAGCCGGAATCCGACAGCTCCTCCAGCGCCCGCCGCCACTGGTCCATTGCCGATTTAACGTCGGTTTCGACGGAAAAGAAGCATGTGTTCTTGGAGTTGAAGAACCCACGGGAGTCGATCGAACTCCACGCCGGCTCCCGAGACGTTGCCGAGGCCATCTTTGCGATCTGTGGCGAACTCAAGGGTGCCAACCAGGCGAAAGCCTTGAAGGAAGTGGCGCTGGCCTCTGAGCCTTCCAAGTCTAGCTTCAAGACCGCTAGGGTGTTGTTCGACTTTGACTCTCAGGGCACCGACGAACTTTCCGTCAAGGAAGACCAGGTGGTGTACGTCTTGAACGACTCAAAGTCGCAGGACTGGTGGATGGTGCAGAATGTCGACACTAATAGAACCGGGGTAGTCCCTGTGTCGTACCTCGAGGTCATAGGCACCAGCGCCCTTGCTAGCCTCACCAACCAGAAACTCACCGGGGAGAGTAAAAAGTCTAGTACCAGTGATAAGCTCAAACGGAGAATGTCGTTTGGGTTGTCCCCAGGAAGGTCCAAGTCTAGAGGCAAGGACGAAAGAGACAAGATTCGTGAGAGAGACGATCGTGAGAGAGCGCGCGAGAATAACCGCGAACTGGAGCACCGATCGAAGGGCTCTAGCTCCAAGGGCTCCAGCTCCATGCCAAATCTGCACCGCGTGCGCACATGGATTGATAACTCGGGAACGTTCAAAGTCGAAGCGGAGTTCCTCGGCTGTGTCCAGGGAAAGATCCACCTCCACAAAACTAACGGTGTCAAAATTGCCGTTAGCGCCGAAAAGCTCTCCCTTGAAGATTTGGAGTATGTGGAGAAGATCACCGGCACCAGCTTGGAAAGCTACAAGAATTCGTCAAAGGAGACCGAGAGAGAGGTCGAGGCAAGACTCCAGAGACAGAGACAGAGAGAGATGGAGAGAAAGAGGCAAAATGAGAGATCAGTTACTCCCCCTCCCAAGCCAGTTAGACCGGAGCAAAGCACCGAGAGAATGCCAGAGAGAAAGCCGGAGAGAGTGGTGGTCCAAAACCCAAACAACCACGGACCAGCTCCTAGTTCCTACGACTGGTTCGAGTTCTTTTTGAGCTGTGGGATTGACGTCGGCAACTGCCAGAGATACACCTTGAACTTTGACAAGGAGAAAATGGACGAGGGGATCTTGGAAGACGTTACCCCGGCGCTCTTGAGAACATTAGGGTTACGCGAAGGGGACATTTTGCGTGTCACCCGCTTCCTTGACGCTAAGTTTGACCGCAAGAAGGAAGCCAATAGTTCCGGCGCCGCTGAAACCCCAGTTTCTGGTGGTTTGTTCACCGAACCAACCGGTGCCCTTAAGGTGAACGCCGAGCCTGTGCCCAAGGTGGACGTTTCTGGGTTACCCTCCCCCGTGAAAACGGCCCCTGAGAGAAACTTGCTTGATGACGATGCCTGGGCTGTTAAGCCGGCGATTTCTGCCGGCTCCACGCCGTTTACCGGGTCCATGCAGGATTTGTTGGACATCAAGCCGTTGGTTCCAACCAAGTCGGGTGAGCAGCCGCAAGCTGCGCCAGTGCCAGCTCCAGCGGTACAGCCCGTCAAAACCGGCGGTAATGAAGTCCAGTTACCACCAACCACTGACCGTTCGGAAATCGCAGCGCAGCAGACGGGCGGGCTAGTGGCCATGCCTACTGGCTTCATGCCGATTGCCTATCAGCCAACCGGGTTTATGCCTATCCAGCAGACCGGTCTTGTCGCAATCAGAACTGGTGGCTTGGCTCCTCTCCAAACCGGCTCGTTCATTGTTCCGTTGCAGACCGGGGCTTTCACCAACGTCATGCCTGTGACCTCTTTCGGGGTTTCCTCTCAGATGACTGGCGGGATTCCATCTCAGACTACCGGTGGTCTTATTCCATTGCAGAGAACCGGTGGATTGATTCCATTGCAAAGAACTGGTACTACACAACTTCCTGCCGTGATGCCACAGACCAGCTTTGGCGCCATGCCGTCTCAAATTACCGGTGGGTTGATTCCATTGCAAAGAACTGGTGGTACTGCACAGCTTCCTGCCGTGATGCCACAGACTAGCTTTGGTGCCGCGCCTTCTCAGATCACTGGGGGCATGCCATCTTTTGGCATGCCGGCTCAGACTACTTTTGGGAACGCTCAAATGCCTGGGGGCTTGCCACAACCTAATGGGTTCGCACCGCAAACCAGTTTTGGGACCCAGCCGACCGGTTTCATTCCCCAGTCGTCTTTCGGTCAGCAGTTGGCGATCCAGAAGACCGGTGGTGTGGCAGTGCAGCCAAACTTTTCTGTGAACGTTCCGCCCTTGCAGCCTCAACAGACGTTCCAGACTCCAAACCAGTTTGCCATGCCCCAAAACACCTTTGGGTTACAATCCCCCGGATTTAACAACTTTGCTCCTCCGCAACAGCAAATGAACCAGTTGAATAATATGTTCCAGCAGACGAGTATCTCGACGCCGGGCCTCAACCAAGGCCAAACTTTTAACCAAAATGTGAATCAATTCGGCCCGCAACAGGGTGGCCAACAATTTGGTCAGCAATTCGGCCAACAACCGTTTGGTCAACAATTCGGCCAGCAAAACTTCTCGCTGCCCCAGCTTTCGCAACCACCAACTTCCTTTGGCGGTAGTGGGTTTACTGGATTCGGCAACGAGAGCTCCACGCTCCAATCCCAGCCGACGGGAGCGGGCTTCGGAAACGGGCCGCAGTCGTTACTGTCGCAGGTTACCGGGAGACGAGCAAACTTGAACTCGGCCACACCAAACAATCCGTTTGGGTTCTAGACAGAGGGGTGTTGTATACAGTTTATTGTACTATATTAAAATTGGTCATAGACGATTGTAGGGTAATGGGGCTTTTGTGCAACCGTAGGGTCAGCGCCTCTTACTACAGAATAACCTCCCGATACCGCGATTACCATCCGCTTAGCACCACAATGGGATATTAAAATACACACATTCTTTTATCTTAAGCTGTCGACCTATCTATACAAGAAATATCTCGCCTGAAATCCTCGAGAACTACTCAATTCTGGCTGCAGCAATACGTCGTGCGCCATCCTACATGACGTTGGCGCTTTTCTCAGCCGAAATTCAAAACGGGACATCTAGATTCGTCTCTAAATCACCCCATCTTTACACCCGTATTTACAACCACTTTCCCACCGCCTTCTTACTTGTAAGATACGCCCACTGACAAATGTCCCAGCTCGTGGAAAGAAGCTCAGGTCTGCTCACCAACCTGGACGGCATACCGTATGACTACATCGTTATCATCGACGCGGGCTCTAAGGGTTCGCGGGTCTTTGTCTACCACTGGCTCAATCCCAAATACTTGTTCGACCACCAGATCTCCATTGCAGACTTTCCTGTCTTGAAACGCGACTACGAGTCCGAAAGCGACGATGACGATGACGATACTGACGATGACGACAAAGACAAGGGCAAAAATAAAGACAAAGGCAATAACAAAGACGAGAAAAAGTCCTGGATTAGCACCAAACCGCACTGGCACACCAAGATCAAACCAGGAATCGCCACGTTCAAAGATTCCAGTAAGTTGGGCTCACACCACCTTCAGCCGTTGCTCGATGCAGCGGCAAAAATTGTGCCAAAGTCGCAGCATTCGCGAACCCCGATCTTTCTCCACGCTACTGGTGGTGTTCGCTCTTTGACCCCGTCCGAACAAACGTCGTTGTTAGCGGATGTGTGTAAATACCTCACCGAATCCGCATTCTTCTTACCGGACTGTGCAACACACGTGAACGCGATTGACGGCGACATCGAGGGGCTCTACGCGTGGCTTTCCATTAACCAGCTCATGGGAACGTTCAACACGAAAAAGGCACCGCTCGGCTTGCTCGACATGGGGGGCGCGTCGACGCAGCTCGCGTTCCAGCCCAACGCGACGGAGATCAAAGAGCACGAAAAGTCGTTGCTCAAGGTGCAATTAGCGGCGTTGGGGAGCTCCAAGGCCGAAATGTCCTACGATCTATACTCCTCCTCGTTTATGGGCTTTGGGATGTATCAGGGGCGGGGCAAGTACCTCGACCACTTGTTCAACGCGACCGGAGGTGTGACCACAGATCCGTGCTTGCCTGCCAACGTTCCGGCACACCTTCTTGCGGAGGACACGCGGCTTATGCTGTCGAACCGTTTAGCCGGAAGCGGCGATTTTACGCGTTGCATGCAGACTATCTTTCCCGTTTTGGAAAAACAGTCGGAGGTACTGTCGCTCAGTTGCAAGCCCGATGTCGAGCTGTCATGCTTGCTCAATGACCTCATTCCCGCGTTGGACTTTCACGTGGAACAGTTTATCGGAGTAAGCGGGTATTGGGACACCATTTTCAACTTGCTTGACAAAAATGTGATGGGAGCGTACGAGTACGACACCATTTTTGCGGAAGCCACAAAGTTGTGCAACACCCCGTGGGACCAGTTGGTGAAATTGAACACTGAGAGAAAAACGCCGCTAGGCGATGAAGATTTGTCCCAGTTGTGCTTTAAGTCTGCCTGGGTGCTCAGTTTCTTGCACAGTGGCTTGGGCTTCCCCCGCTACGGTATAGACAAGAAGGCCGGTGGCTACGATACGTTCAAGGTGGTTGATAAGGTGGACGATGTCAAGTTTTCCTGGACCCTTGGCCGTGCTGTGTTGTATGCCTCATCGGAAGCCAGCGAGGTGTATGGTGCCCAGGAGAAGACCCTTCCAAGCGAGCAGGTTGGCTTTTACCACCAGTCGTCGAAGGACCGATTTTTCTACGGCGGGGAGGCTGCGGGGGTCAAAAGAAGACCCGCGTTTGTTGCAGGGGAGAAGGATAAGGAGCATGACGATGACAGCTGGAAGGAAAAGGTGGCGGACCATCTTGAGGACCATAGAGGGTATGGTGCATTGGTATTCCTTGGCCTTCTTCTCCTAATCTTGTACTTGCTCATGGGGAAGGAGAGGAGACGGAGTTTGGCAGGGAGGTGCAAAGGGCTCGGGAGCAGGGTTGCGGGCAAGCTTGGCTTGGGGAGAAAGGCAGGCAGTGACCGTTTCCATCGACTTGTAGACGAAGAGCTCGACATGGGCATCGAGATGGACGAGAATGGGTCTGTGGAAGACTTTATTATCAGCGACGACGAAGACCCAAGGTTGGGTGTTTAGTTACAGTGTTATTAGGATTAAGGAGCTGTATAATTAAAACCGCCGGCTAAAACACTTATCGTGTTGTCCGAACATGCGCGTCTTCCTGCCTCGCTAATTTCAGGATCCGGAATCATTTTACGGTGCCTACGCTTGTGAATCAAACCACTACAAATCCTTGCTTTGCGCGATAATCTTCGCCCCTCTTTAATTGACTGACAATGCCAAACAATATAAACGCGGAAAAATTGTACCACGGAGAACAGAATATCTAAAACCACGGCACTTCCAGCTGGCCATTTCAACAAGACGCAGAGATTAAGTAATTTATTAATTATGCGCATAATTGCGCGAGTCTAAAATACGCCCCATACGAACAGATCTATTATTTCGCAGCCTCGGCCTTGGCCTTCTTTACCATTCTGGACTGCGCAAACATCATGGATGGTGGAATCATCAACATACCAAATACCACCCAGGCAGCCAAAATTCCAAAGTTCTTGGCCAAATGACCGTCCCAACACCCACATAAAATGACCCTCAAGCACTCCCTGACATTTCTAATCGGCATGGCATAACCATACCTGTAAAATTCGGGACATAGCTCAATCGGTGAGAACGTCGGGCCGACGTTAGAAAGCACCCAGAACAACAACCAGAAGCCGATACCTGGCGGGAAGGTGACGAAAAAGATGTTGAACATCACTTCGTTCATCAACCCCACCGCAGACATCGCCAAGTAGAACGCAAGAAAACTAAACATGAACCCACCCTGCCCATAGCGCACGTTGAAGTCGACCCTGAAGCAGGCGCAGACACAGGTAAATGTAAAGGAGAGCACGAGGAACGAAACCTGGCCGATTATGAGACGGTAAACGATGAAGTGCATTGGGAGCAACTTAGGGGCAACCTGCTGGTGGTATGGAGCAAAGAAACCAATCAGGAAGAAACTCACAATGATCAAGATTACCATACCCAACGTGAGGGGCGCCACAACAACCGTGTTTAAGAACGGTAAGTTGTCCTGGAGGGCAAAAAAGATCGGCATCGTCACAATATCAAACGAGTTATCTCCGTCAAACACAATGGCACGCTCGGTGGCGTTCATAGTGGAGAAAATGCCGCGGTATACCACCGGAAGCACTACCGAAAAGGCGTCTTGAAGGAGCATTATCCCCGGGATGATGTAGCCCCCGACTACCTGTGGATCACTAGAGGTTTCAATATACGCACGGATCAAATTGGTGGAATTGAAACTCCCGTCGTTAGAGAGGAGGGCTTGTTTCAACAGGCTGGTAGCGTTGGGGGCAACCACAATCGCGGCCCAGGCTTTTCTTTGGTGCACCAACCGTTGGGCGGCCTCGTCCGCACTAGTCAAGTCTGGGTACTCGCGAAGCAATTCAGTGCTGGTGTAGGTGTTCCACCCAGCGACATCTGATGCAAGCGGGTTGCTGGTGGAGTTAAGCAAAGCCTGACTGAGAAGGCCGAGCCCGCCATCATCTGTGTCGTATACCATGACAACATTCAAGTTCCCAAGTTTTGAGTTAGTGTCATAATGGGTGCCAAAAATAAGAGACGACACTAGGATCAAGCTGGGGACCATAATGGCATAGTTCTTGAGGGCACCCAACACAACGTTCTTCCAGGTTCGTACCATCGACGGGTGGAAGAGTCCCACTTTTCTTGGAACCGGCCTCATAGGAACACTGCCAGCGATATTCTCCTCAAGCTGGAGTTCCTCTCTATCTACGAGATCGTTAATGTCGTCTGGTTTTCTCTCTTTCTCACCGTCTTCCGATACTGTCAGCGAAGAGCTAGTCATGGCGTTTTGGCAGACGACCTGGGGTTGCGATTATGGGGGGATGCTAGTTTAATGTTGAGATTCTAGCGATGCTGGTGTTACGTTGAGGTTCTAGCGGATGCTGGTGTAACGCTGAGCTTGTATTTGGAACGGGCGAAACGGGACAATTTATATCGTTCCCTGGAGGGGTGCGAATGAAATATTTTCAGATGATTTATCAGCCTAGCCGAGAGTCCTAGAGTAAAATTCTTCCCTGCATATTTGTCATACAGCTGGTTGTGCTCACGGCTGATTAATGGCGCATGCGGTGTTTTGGTGTGAGGGGAGGTCAGCCATGCGGCGGAAGTGGGGCTCCCTCTGCATTCTCCGACTAAAGGATACCCCTTTATGCCTTGTCGTAGGGAAGGAGATTGCTTAATTAAAATGATATAGCCATCACTCCTGGGTCACCTTTCACTTCAAAAGATGTTTCGGTGGAATGATTCAGGAAAACCCCGGGCGTTTAAGAGTGTAATGCCGTGCACCAAGCGTTCCCGAGTACTTCCGATGAAGCTTTCTGTCCTCGGGGATATATCCCAATAAGGAAATTAGAGGCGCTCCGCGTGGCTGGAGATAAGAATAGATGGAGTGAGATAAGTCACACCTGAAACATCAAGTCCGGTGTAACAGAATTATTCGAGATAAGAGTACGACACATCGTATACATTAGGTCATTGAGGAGTTAGTAATACATACCAGTGCCAGTATGAGTATCGCAGATTTATCTTAGCTTAATTCCGATGACTAAGCAAGGGAGCTATAGTAGTTAGTGTTACTAGCCAGGGCTGCTACATACTGACTTGACTAAATACCAGATGTGTTCTTTACCATACCTCGGCTTTTTGTCATTGTCATGCTGACCACTCGCCGTTGACATCTGTGCTATTGACATCCGTGCCATTGGGACCTTAAGGGCTGCTTCTCCTCTGGGATCTTAGTGGGAGCAGCCGCCATTCAATACCTCTGGTATTGCCGTGCTGACGTCCTTCGGCTCGCCTGGTTCTTTCCCCTCGTCCGGAATGGCATTATGGGGGCATCTTGTGGTTGATATAGACCTCCTTTTGAATATATCTAGTGTATAGGGCAACCAATAATAGTTATATAGCTAGTGATATCTACTGCATACTATATACCACATTGATTAGAACTGCCATTTTTTATCTGAGCGGTTCTGTTATGGTAAGTTTACCATGGGATGTAGCGTTCATTGCTAATTAGCGTTCCTCGATCTGGTTGTATAGTTAACCCCAAATAGCTTCCAGCATTTATTTTGTAGCATCCGGCGTTAACCAGCTTGGAATGTTGGTAATAATGGACGGTTTAGCCATGGACCTCGGACTTTATTCCACCTTCTACTGCGATTCATTCAGCAACTTTCATCCAATAACCCTTCTCAAAAACACAGCGTTGTCGTAAACCCCTTCAGTGCGATCCAGGATTACTTACTTGATTCCATCGAGATATCAACCTAATCTAATCCACATTTTCTGCTCAAACCACTGTAGTAAGGTTTCGTTATTACATCTATTTTAACCCTTACCACACCCTGGGTGCTATAGCAATTGGTAACTTTCTCTCCATCTGAGCTCTCTCTATTTGAGCCCTTCCACCGTCTAAATATCCTTGTGCATATATACCAAGGTAAAGTCAGCCGTGGCACAGACACCGTCCTCCAAGCTAGTGGAGTTGGTTTCAACGTCGCTCTGGGAAATCACGGCTTGCCTGTCCACCATGTACCCGAACTTGGCGTAGTACGCCACAAGATCGTGGTCCGCGATGACCGTGGTGACAAATTGTGAAACACCCGTCTGGACCGCTAGTTGCTCGACCAATTCCTTATCCTTAACGATCGTTTCTGCATGTAAAAGGAGCATTTTTCCTACTGCACCCTGGAAGGCGGTGAGTGCAGTGATTTCCATCGCGTGGTCCGAGTACGGCTTTAACCCGATGGTACCCACCACATTGGGCAAGGCCAGTGCTAGTTTCGGCCAATCGTCTGCCTGCACCACTCTGGTTTGAATATCAGAGCACGTGAACTTTCCAGGGACGTCCCAGCTGCCGACATCGGCCTTTCCAGTGGATTGCTGGAGGGCTGCTCTGGCACCGACGTCCGGTGACACAAGGAGTGATAGAAATGAGCCTGGCTTGAGCTGTAAGTCTGGTACGAGACCGTTCTTGACTCGGGCTGTCAGAATGATACCGTAGTTGTATCTCGGCTTGTCATAGCCCTTGTTTATGATCTGGAGGAGTTGGGGCGTGACTGGCGAGCCTGTATGCTCCACGAGCACTGCGTAGGGAATAAGTAACAATGTGGGGTGTGTGATTTCAAAGGTCATAACGGCGATTGCTAGTTTGTCAGCTGGGCTGGTAGTATTTGAGACGTTTCTTGTGCGTCTTGTTGGTGGCGAGCGTAAGCCAAAGGCGTGAAAAATTATGACCACTTCCTTGCATGTCAGCGGTTCGCGATTCTCCGCAGTTTCCACGCTCTATTTATATTTTCAAGATTTGGCCCCAGATAAGAAATAGGTGTATTTACTAGCCACAATCGATAGCTTTAGATTTAGACATATTCTTAATCCAGTCTAGGGCGTTACAATTAGGGTGTTAGAGCTAGAATGTTACAGCTAGGATGTTATGATTAGTATGTTACAATCAGCATTTTATGATTAACGTTTTATGATTAGCATGATACGGTTAGCATGTTACAGTTATTGGTCATACCAGAGATAGGCAGTGGACCAGAGACCAAAAACTAAACCTTGCTAGATTAATTATGGGATGTTGCCGAATCTCGGAAGCTGCTAGGTATACTCTTTCGGACACGGTATGAAAAATTAGGCATCTAAACCCACACCTTACACGGTTTTATACACCATTAAAGCACCAATTAGACCCATAGGTAAAACTATACAACCATTTTAGATCGTAAATCACTCTTGAAAATGCCCCACACTTTACCTTCGCTAAAGGCTACTTCACTGATCACGTGCCTCATGCATCTCGTGGCATCTTATCGGGGATAAAGGTCGTGGACTCACCGCTGCCAAGGGCCATATAACGAGCCGCGGAGAAGCCGTCACTTGTGATATCTACGCCACCAACAATCACACGTATACCACACCATTGGAATGTCGTTTTTCTACAAAGCCCCATTAGACATCGAGATTCGACTCGAAAACGAAGACACGCGCAAGACGGTGGAGGTAAAGAGCCAGGCAAAGGGCAAACTGCAGGCCAAGGAGAAGTACCCGTTGTACGAGGACGGCGAGACGGTGAGGGGTACCGTCACGGTCCGAGCGAAAGATGGCCGCCGGGTAGACCATTTGGGAATCAAAGTGCAGTTGTTGGGCACCATTGAGGTGGTGCATCAGGACACCAAGTCTGCGGACGACTTTCTTTCCTTATCGCAGGAATTGGCGGCTCCCGGCGAGTTGAAACACCCAGAGACGTACTCGTTTGAGTTCAAGAACGTAGAGAAGCAGTACGAGTCGTACCATGGGGCCCAGGTGAACCTCAGATACGTTGTGAGGGTGTCGGTGCACCGAAAGTCCGCGTCCTACGACGTGCTCAGGGAGAAGGAGTTGTGGTGCTACAGCTATAACAGCCCGCCAGAAGTGCCGGCGAGCGTCAAGATGGACATTGGGATCGAAGACTGTTTGCATTTGGAGTTTGAGTACTCCAAGTCGCGCTACTCGCTTAAGGATGTGATAGTGGGGCGTATCTACTTTTTGTTAGTGCGCTTGAAGATCAAGCACATGGAATTGTCGCTTATCAGAAGAGAAATCGTGAATACAGGGTCCGCCCAGCAGCCGCAACAGCTGCACAACGAGACGTTGGTGCGGTTTGAGATTATGGACGGGGCGCCGGTTAGGGGGGAAACCATCCCGATCAGGTTATTCTTGGGGGGCTTTGACTTGACGCCGACGTACAAGGATGTGAATAAGAAGTTTTCCACGAAAACGCTCTTGAGTTTGGTGTTGATCGATGAAGATGCAAGAAGGTACTTTAAGCAGAGCGAGATTGTGCTATACAGGGAGTAACGAAAAGGGGGTATGCGGTACGAGCAGTGGCAATACTACAACAAAGGGCATAGCATTTGTGAATCCAGTGGTATCTTTGTGGTGTGCCAATGGAAAATATCTGGAAGGGACTACTAGTGTAACAGTTTATCTGAATTTGTCATTGTGGAAAAATCCTGGAAGGGACCACAATTCAAAGCCCGGGGCCATCGTATCTGACTGTTAGCGATAGTTGCCTTTTACCCCTTAGGTAATTGCATTAGAGATGGATCGAAGTCTCAAACTGTAGGCCATCGCTTCTCTAGAGCGACCAATAAGTGTACCTCAGCGCTATCCTACCGTGCGGCTGTCTTTAGCAAAAGTTATAGCGACACGAATTTTAGACAGATGACATGGGCATCAAATATGAGAGGCTAGCACTGTTATCGATAGATCCTACATTGAAACTCTTATAAAAGTCATTATCGAAAATCCAGAGGATGAATATCTGTTATAGGATTGGGTGAGATAATCTAAACGAATGGCGGTTGAAGCCATGGATGTAACCAGCTATCGGTGAACAGCATTCAATATGCCATGCACCTTTGATATTATTTGAATTAGAGCCGTTACATTAGACACGGAAACGAACGTTGGTGGAAAAAAGTGATGCGCGGGAGAACCCACGCATATTTAACGGCAAATCGTACCGTGCAATGGAATCCGGGAAATTTAGGTCAAGGGTCTTTGGGAATGTAGTACGGCTTTTGGTGGTTATCTAATTGGCAATCTCCGCCACCTTACCGATGTCATCCTCTGGTGCATGCTTACCTGCTTCTAACGCCTCCAAAGGAGCAAGTAACGCGTCAACTTCACTCGCCTGGCCACTGATCACACCCTTTTTGTCCAACCTCTGTTTCTTCATCGCTTCTTCCTGTACCATCGACTCAAACTCCTCATCAACCTCCACATCCCTTAACTCTTGCATTGCCAACCTCTCACTAACCTCGTTGACATTCTCAACCTCATCACTAATCTCGCCCATGAGCTCGTCAATGAGCTCTAAGCTCCCAGCTTGTCTACTCAACTCCTTCAAGACCGTTCTCGATTGCTCCAACGCCTGCAGTACCTGGAGATTATTAGACGATTCGTCAATCTTTGCCACCACCTCCAAGATCTGGTTGTGGCTTGCAGTGGACTTTTCTAAGGAGTTTAGCAAAAGCATTTTGCTCTTCAACTGGAGCTTCGCCTGTGGGAGATTCTTTTTCTGAAGCTGTTCCTTGATCTGTGTTTCCTTCTCCAGAATTCGCTCGTGCAAGTCTTTCTGGTGGCGCTCCAATTGACTGAGGGTGCTTCTGATCGACAACATGGATACATCCTGTTCAGTGATCTCAAGAGGGGGCTCTTCTGCAACCAAAATGGATAGATCCATCGAGACGGAAATGCGCTCTGAAAACTTGAAAATGGTTCCCTGCCTCACACAGACTTTCACATCACGGGTTAAATACGTCAAAAGCACTCCAAAGTCACGCAAGTCCAACTTCGAAGCTCGGTTTTCCTTTCTCTCCCCTTTCGTCCGAGCCTCCATCTCCGCCTCTATTGCTTCAAACAAAACATCTTTCTGTACCACCCACGCTCTCGTGCCGGAATGCCTCTTCACCACGGGGAGAACCACATCGGCACAAAATCCCTCAAGTTTTCTGATATTGATGTAGCTGTCTTGTTTGAGCCAGTTAGAGGTAGTACTGGGGCTTTTGACTGCGCTGTGGTAGACTCCAAACCCGACTTGCAAGGAAAACCATCCCAAAAGCTTCCCCACCGACATTTTCTGGGAGTCATAATAAGATGTGTGTCTTTCATAGACTGAAAGGGGCACCAAGGAGTTCTCTGTCACGGATTTATCGAGAGCGGAATCCACATGTAGCGGGTGATTTCCGTTGCGCACAAGGGCCTGTAGGAGCTCATTCCCCCCGGTGAATACAAACTTGGGGTAGCCCAAAAGCAAGGACTTCCATGCTCTGAGATTGGCGGCATAACCTTCCGGGTTGGTTTCCTTGAGGTGGGTAAAGTCAGAGTAGAGCGAAGGGATTCGCGTGGGCGTAAACGCCGGGTGCTGGTCTATCTGCGACTGCCAAACGGCCGAGGACGACATGTATGCGTTGATTGGAGAATGCTACTGATACTGGCTTGAAGGAAGAACCAGAGAACAAAGGGCTGCTCAATAGACCAAGGAAGGTGAAATAAACAAAAGTACTTGACTGGTATCTCAGCAATAATGGTTGTGTAGCAAACTTTTACGATAACACATCTGTTGGCGCCATGATAACCGGTTGAGGCGTAAATGCAGGAAACCTTTACCATTTTCGTCTGAGTTCCATATTTGAGCGCCTCCATATCGCCACCTCATCGACGCCTTATCTCATCACTCTTACAGCATGAACAGTGACCACCTCTCCGTTCTTACGAACCATATTTCCAAATCCCTCGAGCTCAACACTCCCTTGGACGAGCAATTGATCCATTCGGCCTTGTCCGAGCTCGGTGCCACGCGAATCACTGCCGCGGACTTTGGCACCTTTCCTCAAACAGTCTACGCATTGATCGATTCGCCCCACTTGGCTACCGTCGACCCTAACTTGGCTATCCGCAACGTCATTTCGGCAGTTTTATCCCTTACGACAACGTTCGAAACCGTCAGCACGCTAGTGCCGCTTCCGTTGGTGCTTAAGGGTCTTAAGGCTCCACCTTTTCAAAAGCTCATCATCGAGGATGTTGTGGCGCGCAGTGGCGATTACTTAGCGGGTACTGAGGTTTACAGGGCATTGGGGGCCCTCTATTTTGACCCAGAAACCGCCTTGGATATTGTTGAGTTGATCCAGAACACTCTCGTGCTGTTGGTGAAAGCCCCAAGTAACCATCTTGTGCGCAGACGGATCGGTAGCTCCGCCGATGTAGCACAAATTATTGATGCGGTGGTGCTAACTGGAGCCCTGCTCGGGCGAATCCGGCTCATGGACTTGATGCTATCGTTCCTTCCGTTGTTCCCTGAGAGCCAGTTTGCCACGCAGTGGTACACTCACCAGCCGTCAGCGTTCCAGAGCGAAGATGTGTTGTTTGTCGGGAATTTGATCCGATACTACACTGGTTTGTTGGATATTGTGGGAATGAACAGAGAGATAGTATTTCCTGAAGGTTCTGCGATTCCCATGACCTGGCTCCTCAAACGAATCGATTCCCAGATTGACATTCTCGGAGAAATGTACGCTCAGCGCGCTTCCAACGAAGACGTTGAAATGTTCTACGTGAACGAGCTCACCCACTTTTTGGCCCGGTTGTCCTACGTGGATCCTGTTCGCATGGAGCATTTGGACAGAAACTACACCATTGTGGATGGCTCGGAGTTGCTTTTGAGTATGGCCGACCCAGCATATCTCTATTCCCAGCACAAGACGCTCGTCGAGGATGCTGTTCTATCTGCACCGGCGCTCAGAGCCAAACTACTTCCAGTATTTCTCAACCTTCTCCTTGATGCACGGTGGTTTGGGGAAATCGCCGTCACGGCGTACTTGGGTGCACGCTCGTTGAACGCTTTGCAGTATGACCAGGTGTTTCGTGTGATGGATGCGCTTACACGAACGGAATATGGGGTGCGGTTCATGGTGGGGACGCCGTTTTTGATGAACGATTATGTGTTGAGTAACAGGTTTGGAAAGGAGGCTACGGGTGTGGTGTTGAGCCAAGAAATGTTCCAGGTGAAGCGCACAGTGTTAGATCGGTTGATGGGAGAGAGGCGGGGGATGGTTGAGGGGGGAATCTGGTGGGAGAAGTTGTGCGAGTATTACAAGGTGTTTGTCACCGGGGAGAAGCGCGGAGAGGCGCAGCCAGCGGTGTTTAGCACAACGGGATAAGAGCGTGGCTGGCAATTCAGAGAGGATCCAGTAAAGTCGGTGCGGCATCCTAGGTGGCAGCATAACGACGCTGGTAAACCATAACTAATCGTTCGGCGATACTTCCGAACCTCTGAAGTTGCTACTGTGAGCGATAGAACGGTAAGAAAAGGAGGTTAGCATAGTTGGTAAAGGAGTTTCTGCCAATGGCGGTAAAACTGGCCGAAGCGGGTGATGAAAGTTAAAAGGATATCACAGCGAAAGTATATATACCAGCTAGCATACATAGAAATGATATTTCAACGGAGAGGGTGGTTCCATAAAGGTCAGCGGTGAAGCTCAACCAGGAACCATGGAAGTTTATTGTCCAGCTTCCTATGTACGCGATGATGGAATTTTCCCGCCTTATTTGTCTTATGTTTGCTATTCCAATCGAGAAAATAGTGTTTCGGTTGGGAAAAATAATGACCGCTAAGCGGTTCGAACGCTTGCCTCTTACGAGATCTGATCTTGAGTCAGACGCCTTAGACCACTCGGCCAAACGGCCATTACTAAAAGAATTAGGTTGTCCTTCCGATATATAGATAGAACCTATATATTTCCAAGGTTGGCACCAAAGGACCTCGATAGGCTATTTCAAATACGCAACAAAATGTCTCCATATCTTGTCTTCTGGATATACCTGTCCTAACGCTGGTTCAGAGGGTTAATTATGCGGCCGTAAGGTAAGGTAAGAGTCCCTAAAGGCCACCCTCGGTCAAATTGCAAAGGGTTGCTTCGATTTCGAAATCCAGCCCACGTTAGCTAGATATGTACAGTAACACGATGAACATGTATTATAGTGCTATCTTAACGGTTTTTAACAGAAACGGCGCGTTAATGCTTTAAGCGATCAAGGAATTACCGACTACGTAGCCCAAAACAGTAACTCTAGCCGCGTTTCTTATCTCCCTGCATTACGGGGATGATAACAAGCTAATCATTCCCTGCATTTCCAATTGCCGCAAGATTGCCAGTAATAACGGCCCGGTACACGATTCTTAATTCCTTAAAAGCTTATTCAATAACCCCTCGATTCAGCGTCTGAGTATACCTTATGTCACGACGTCATGGGATATGCACCGTTTAGATAAGCAGCAATCTAGAGTCAACCGGCAAAGTCTTTCAGAGTGTATCGCGAAGTAGGCTATACTTTGAGCAGTAGGGAATTGAAAATTCTTGACTTGCCTTATCTATCGGCTATTTCACACTATCTCCGAGTGACGATACTGCTTTACACCGAACCGAAAACGTTGACATAAGAGAATGCCTGGTTCAACCTAATGATTATCGATTATTCGTGATATTCTATATAAATGCCTCATCCCCAGAGCTATAGCATATCGAAAACTTTCCCATCAACCAAGACCTTAATCCAAAAATTTCCATTATTAAATGCGGTCTTTCAAGCCTGAGGATGAATATCCGAAGCTCCACTATGCCAACTCCCACAAAAGCGTCGCCGAAATTGTTGAAGAAGAGTTCGTTCCGGGAACCGTCCACCTCGTGGATCTTGCCGGTATATTGAATGTTAAGCATAACGATGGGGTAGGAGGCAAGAAAGATGTGGTGCTTATCCCACAGCCCAGTTCAAACCCCAATGACCCGCTCTCATGGTCTCGCCGAAAGAAGGAGTGGCAGTTCTGCTTACTCTGGATCTGGGCCTTTTTGGAGGCGGCCTCGGTAAACTGGGCAGGGCCCGTTTGGGAAACTTGGACGATCCAATTCAATTGTACCTTCTTTCAACTCAATATATCGTCAGCGTCATGCTTTCTCTTCTTGGGATTGGGGTGTGTATTTCTTCAACCCACCGCTATGAAGTTGGGGCGCCGTTTCGTGTACCTCTGTGGGACAGTTTTGATAATTGTTGCCAATATTATTGGGTCTCAGGCAAATACGGTTCAGGTGTTGTACGCGGTGAATATCATTTCGGGGATCGCCGCTGCCCCTGTCGATTCGTTGGTGCAGATTTCCACTACTGACGTTTTCTTCCAGCATGAAAGAGCCACCAGATTATCGCTTCTCACCTTTGCTCTTTACGCTGGCTCGTACTTGGGCCCAGTTGCGTGCGGGTACATTGTCGAAAAACAGAGCTGGAGATGGTGCTACTATTACCAAATCATCTTCTTCGGTGTCATCTTGGTGATCCAGCTTTTCTGTATGGAAGACACCACTTTCAACCGACCAACCACCGCTCTTGAAGATGAGCAAGAGATCTTACGCCAGGTGGTGAGTAGCATCCATGAGCTATCCGTCGTAGGCGAGGAAACGGGAATCGATGAGAAGTTGGGGTCCAAGGTCCATCAAGACGACGCATCCTCTCCGGATGAGGACGTATCGGCAAATAAGTCCCTTAAAAGAACTTACTGGCAAAGAATGCACCTTATTGAGAGGGAATACACGGATCCCCGTTCCTGGTTTGTCATTTTCTACCGCCCTGTGCTCACCGCTTGCTTTCCCGCCATTGTTTGGGGCGGGGTTGTGTATGGGGTTCAGATTATGTGGCTTTCACTTCAAGCCACCACCCAATCTCTTATTTATTCGGCTCCTCCTTTCAACTTCTCCACCTCAAATGTTGGTAACACAAACTTCAGCTCGTTGATCGGGGCTGGCTTTGGTATGGTATTTGGGGGCCAGTTCTGTGACTGGTTGACGGTGTATTTGGCTCGTCGCAACAACGGTATCATGGAACCAGAGATGCGTCTCTGGTGCATGCTAGGACCAGCTTTTATTAACTCGGCCGGTCTACTTCTCTACGGGTTGGGAGCGGCCTATGGGGCCCATTGGTTTGTGTCTGCTGGTTTGGGAATGGCCTTTATAGGCTTTGGGATCGGCTCTGGGGGTGCGATCACCTTGACGTACGCTATCGATTGCTACCCAGATATGGCAAGCGAAAGTTTGGTGTTTATGTTGTTTGTGCGTAACATGGTGGGGTGCGGTTTCACCTTTGCCATTCAGCCTTGGTTGGATCGTTGCGGTTTGAAGCTCACTACCTGGCTTATGTTTATGCTCTCTATGGTTTTCAACCTCAGCTTTTTGATCTTCACAAAGTGGGGGAAGCAGTTCAGAAGACAAACGAAGGATAAGTATAAGAAGTTTTCGAACCCCGATTTCACTTGGTGACGATATTGATTTATGATATAAATTATTTAGACCGAGAGCTTGCCTACATCGGTTTTGTAACATTGGCATAAATACACCTCAGATTACTTTAATCAACCGAGATTTCGACCCTCAAAAAGCTATGACATAGTTGTAACATGAATTTAAATATAATACACAAAGTACACTCAAGAAAGATTCCTAAGGTACCAACATCTCAGGCACCAGGTTCTACTCGAGGTACAAGGACGCAGCGGAGACAATATCTCTATGAACCAAGGTCAACGCCTTCTCCATCTTCTCCTCCAAGGCGACATTACCAATGGTCTTGGCGGCCACAACTAGCTGTCTCAACAACTCTTCCAAACGCTTGAACATTCTGATCAACGAACCCTCATAAACATCGGTCATCTTGCAGATCTGGGTAAAGGTAGCGCCCTGGCACCAAGAGAAAACCACCTCCATCAACTCTGATCTGAATGACTCGACATACTCCTTCTCGACAATCTCCAACTTGGAGTCCTTAAAGACCTTGGCAATCTTGGAAGCCATCTCCTGGAGCGACTTTAACGGCTCGGCCAACTCTGGCTTCAACCGCGGTGTCTCTTTGGAACGCTCCTGAAACACGAAGCACGAGAGTAATGCGGCATTCTGCTCAGGGGTCAACTCGTTCAATGTACCGTTGAAAATCAACTCTGTCAATAAGAGCTCATCACCAGTGGAGATCTCGCAGGCGACTCTCCCCTTCAACTCAATGACATCCGTTTGGGTGGTGAAGCCGAGACGACGCAAGATTCGCTTACGCTTCTTGAGATCGTCCAACTGGATCACGGCCTGGGCGTCGATAATTTGGCCCTTGACACTCTTGATCTCTGCCATTTGCGCGGTCTTGGCGGCGTACTCCGCGTAGCGCTCTGCGAGTCTCGGTGACTCCGCAAGAGGATTCGAGTGCAACTTCGACTCCAAAATCTCCACCTTGCGGGTCAACTTCCTGAACTCGTCATCCTCAATGTGCATGTTTTCAATTGGGTCCAACGTTGGGACACCGTCGGGATAGCGTCTGGCAACCTCCGCGAGTGCCTTGCCCATCATCTGCTTGGACTTGGCCGACTTGACATCTTGCGGGGTGTGGATACGCATGTTACCGACCGCGGCAATGGATTCCAATGTGATTGGAATGATCTCAGTCCTGGTCGCCTCCCCTTCCTTTGCCGGTCTGATCCCCACCGGGAACTCCGGGTTGAACGGCTTGACCAAATTCATCGGAGCATCCACAAACATGCTGGAAACGAGCACCTCCACGATGTATGACTGGTGGTCGCTGTAGACCTGGCCCGGATTGCGCTTGCTGTTTCTCTTGGTAAACGCCGTGACGATCGCCCAACCGTAGTCGAACTCGCCAATCTTCACCTGGATGACACGGCCCGCCTGCAAGAACGGAAGAATGTGGCCAGGGTGGGTAATGACGTGGCGGATATCCGCGTAGTACGTGTTCAACTGCTGCTTCAAGTCGTAGTACTCTCTGACGGAGCCCTCGTCTTCGATGGTGATGGCTCCCACGGACGTTTCGAGCTCCTCGAGCTTGGTTTCCAAGACCGGAACGGACGCGGCGTTCTGGAACTGGAAGAACGAGTTCTCCAACATGAACTCGGGCGAGATCCCCTCGACTCTCAAGAGATTCAAGATCATGTTGTAGCCCAAGTGGAACGAGGAGTCCAAACGATCGGCCACACCCTTGACCATGCCCTTGGCCACCTGTGGCTCCATCTTCTCGTCGATCATCATGATTACGATACCTCTGTCGTCCAAACCACGGCGCCCGGCTCTCCCGGACATCTGGATGTACTCGCCACCGGAGACCCAGCGGAAGCCCTTCCCGTCCCACTTACGCACAGACGTGAAAACAACCGTCTTGGCGGGCATATTAAGACCGATCGAAAATGTCTCGGTCGCGAAAAGCACCTTCAAGAAACCCTCCTGGAACAAAATTTCGATGATTTCCTTGAGAATCGGTAACAACCCGGAGTGGTGGATACCGATACCGCGGCGCAAGAGCGGAAGAATGTTCTTGATTTGCGGCAACTCCTTGTCCTGCTCGGGCAAGATGTTAATCGCATTGTTGAAGATCTTGGTGAGGGCGTCACGCTCCTCCTCGGTGTTGAAGTCCAACTTGGACATCTTCAACGCCAACGCCTCGCAGTCACGCTTACTGAAGGAGAAGACAATCACCGGGTTGTACTTTTTCATCCAGATCATCTTGACAATCTTGTAGATGTCGGACTTCCCGTCCTTATTGCCGCCCTTGTAGGCCTGACCCTTCTTGCCCTTGGCCTTATCGGAGCTAGGATCATCACCCATCTTGTCGCTGATCGACGCCATCGCCTTCTGAAAGTTTTCCTCGCGAAAAACGCTCTTTTCATCCACCACCAAGTGGATCCCGTCTCCGTTGGCCGGGAAGAGATAGTGCTGTAACGGTGTCGGACGGAAGTCCGTGTACACCACGTGGCACGGCTGGCGGTGGATCTTGACAATCCACTCGGCAAACTCCAACGCATTCGGAATTGTCGCGGAAAGAAACACGTAATGCACGTTGTCCGGGAGCAAAATCATCGTCTCCTCCCAAACAACCCCTCTCTCCTTGTCACGCATGTAGTGGACCTCGTCGAAGATGACCCACGCAACCTCCCGCACCACCTCGGACCCGCGGTATAACATGGAGCGCAAAATCTCGGTCGTCATAACCAAACAATCGGCGTCGGGATTAATCGTGACGTCACCGGTCATCAAACCCACGTTGCCAAACTCCTTCAACAACTCACGGTACTTCTGGTTACTCAACGCCTTGATCGGCGACGTGTAGATCACACGCTGCTTATCGCGCAACGCCTGCGCAATTGCGTACTCGGCCACCACCGTCTTACCAGCGGAGGTATGCGCAGACACCAAAACCGACTCGTTACGATCGATGCACGACACAGCGGTGTCCTGGAACGGATCCAATGTGAACGGGTACGACTTGGCATCCTTTTCTCTCTTGTGCTGCCCGATCGGGATATATGGATAGTCTGGCGGAACGGCCACTTGGTGTCTGACCTGGTGCTTCAACTTGACCGGCGCCTCGCCTTCCTCGGTTCTTCCGAGGAGCCCAGAGGAGGCCACAACCTCACGGGATGCTTCAATCTCTACGGCATCAACGACAACCGGTTTGATGGTTTCCTTTTGCTGGCCTTTCTGCTTCAAAAGGTCGTTGGAGATTGTGTGCTCTGTCTTGCTCTTCTTGGTGACGTCCGGCACAGGGGACGCCGCGCGTTTCTTGGTTTCCACTGGGGATGTGACATGCTCCTTGGTTTCCACTAGGACTGGTGGTGCCACTGGCACCTCGCTAAACACGTCGAAAAGGTCATCCATTGTTGTGTGAAGAGTATGGGAGGAAATGGTGGATGCAGAATGAGACGAAATTTTTGTGCATATTTTTTTCACTGTCCTGTATATCCTGTATATCCTGTATAATATCCTATGTAATATCCTATATAATATCCTATGTAATATCTTATATAATATCCTATGCGTAGAAAGGTAGCGACAGAACTGAGGGAGCCAGATAAAGTAAGGGACAGAATCCGTCTATTGTCCCGATAAAATGGCTGTAAGACAGTAAGGCAATGGTAATGGATACGGGTTAGGCGGATATGAAAATCAGCTAGTATTTCCTAGAAATACAACTATTCATTTTTAAGGGACTGCTAGAGATTATTTAGAGTTCCCATCCACCTGTTTGATTTTGTACAGTTTTATGTATATACTTTTCGTAATCCCGTCTGAAGAGATGGCAGCATAGGGAGATACAACCTTAATATTATTCTAGATTATTCAAAACCTTTCATATATTCACCAACATTACTCTAAAAATATTCACAAGCTAGGATACTCGACCCAATCTCCTCATGCCCGAATCACGGCCGCGTTCGGTGGTAAATAACCCAGCCGCGATACATACACTGGTGAATACCATTCCCAATGCTAATCCCATTACAGTTTTCACCCACTACTCTATAGTTCGTAGTGTAACCCTGTGATCAATGCTGCACCTGTGCTCTCCGTCGCACAGATCCAAGACGACAAACCCGGGATCACCACACACATCCAGACTGGTGATCCTGGCACTCAGATTAAGCGTAAACATTTTCTGAAGCAACTTCTGCATTCCAGTAGGGTACTGGTCCAACCAGATAGCCCCCCAAGCCGCTACGTTCCCATCGAGCTGGGCCATCTCAAACCACAGAAACGTCTCATCTTCATGCTTGGCCCATTTCCAGGGAAACTGCCGTTGGCTGAGGTATACATAGAGCACCGCCAACAGCCAGACATCTACCGGCATTCCCTGGTAGCTGATATTCCCAAACATCTCAGGGGCCATATATTGGCCGGTGCCCACGATCCCCACTGCCGGTCGTACTTCCGGGCCAAGATCCGCCGCCGCGCCAAAATCGATCAACTGGACGATCCCCGTTTCGCTAACCATCATATTGTCTAGCTTGAGATCGCGGTGGCACACGTTGTGGGAGTGGAGAAACGCTACCGCACTGACCATCTGCTTCCAGTAGCACGCAATTTCCGCGGGATGGAGCCCATTCTTGAACGCAAGTGTCATTGGAAACCTTGAATATTCAAACCACACCCTCACTCGGTAGTCCCGCGAGAGCGCAGATGACTCCGTATACTTGATAGCGCCTATCACATGTGGATGAGGCGGTAGCTTTGCCAATACATGATACTCGTTGAGCACGCGCATCTTGTAGTCCTCTCGAGACTCCAGCTTTTCTTTTGTGTGAAAGGTCTTGATCACGTAGAGCTGGCTGCCTTGCTGGTACAAGTCGACCACACCGCCTATGCCTGTCCCCAACGTCCGGAGCTTTTTCCCCAACGTCAGGAGCTTTTTCCCCGAATGGGAAAGATTGGCTAGCGATGAATCGGGAGATATGGATTTGGAAGATTTATCTGGGGTGATCCGGATTTTTGCCCGTGCCTTGGCCTTTTCTAGGAAGGTTTTGTACCTGTCCAAGTTGAGGCTTAACATGTGGGCGCGGGATAACGAGGTTCAATCCTCGGAAGACAGCTGTAGGTGGGTATTCGTAGTTACCCCAACTGTGGGTGGTTGTAGTGTATTATGTAAGAATCGCTTGAAACCGTAGATGTCGTCACTATTCCATTCAGGCAGGTCTCGCAGCTCGTAGAGTTGCACATATGCATAGCGAAAACTCTCTGTTGCATACGTAGAGGTTAGACTAAAGGTCACGTGCCGCGGCTCACATATGAGAGATTTCTGGTTAGCTTCAACGACTCATGAGCATTAACATTCAGGGCAAAGGTTACACCAAGGCGCTTTATGAATTTCGATAAATATACGAATATTAATAACTTGGGCTATACAAGTACATTACTATATTGCATGTATACAGCCAAGTCTTGAATTTCATTGCGATCTATACACCCCTGCATCTATTAAGCTTTGCAAGTCGAAGGAATAAATTACAAGTCGTTTTAGTTCCTGAATTTGGATCGAAATCTAGATCCTCAGACTATGTGCTCCACCACTGGACAACAATACAATATCCCGTCTAGTTGACCAGAAACACCGTCAGACGGTCTGGACATGCACGAAAGGTCTGCATCACGTGCGCCTTGAATCTTATTTATTTTCGCTCTAGGCTGTGAAAAATCTTATCGAGATTTCCGCTTTGGGAAGAGTAAACAATGCAACTCCAAAACACAACAAACATGCAATCATTGTTCCCCAACACGTAGGCCGACTGAAACAGCATCTAGGCGCAGTGATGACATGAGAAGCTTCGGAGTTTAATACAGGCCCTAGGGAAAGAAAAAAAATAGATTGCGTTAAGAGATCCAGACTTGTTTGTTGATCGGCATTTGTTATTTTTCGCCCAGTATCACTCACCACTCACAATACTTTTCTGCCAACGAATTGCAGAACATTGCAGGCTCCAGTTCACGTTACACCCTTTCAGGTACTGAGTAGGGTCGTATACTCATCAACTATTTTCTTGAGCATCAACCCAGTCTCTCGGGACAATTCCAGTATCATAAATACCGCGCTCGGCTGTTTCCGCGAATACTATTCCCTAAATTTTGCGGGTCTGAGTATTTTGCCTTCTCTTCAGCGTGATATTACACCCTTTACCTGCCTCACATCATTTACTCTTCCTAAATCATTAACAACCTCACACAATGCCCAGGCCGGGTCGTTTCCAGCTAGCTACGTGTTTGGGATCTGGGATAGCCACGGTGGTGGCGCTGTTGTTGCTAGTGGTATACCTACATAATGGCTTCGACATCATTCTTCTCCTTACCGTCGTATCTGGCTTCCTTATACCAGTAACCGGTGTTATTGCCAGCATTGCACCTCTCTTCCGCGCCAAAAGTCTTGGCCCCGCCTCCTATATCGTCTATGCCCTCGCCGGAGGGTTCTACTTGGTTGCTGGTGTGATGTTCATCTCACGTGTGGTCAATCAGGCATATCAATTCCACTCCCATCCCTTCTGGAAAGATATCGTAGTGCCTCTTTTCATCATCAACCAGTTCATTTTCGGAGTTTCCGTTTCCAGCGGTCTCGGATCCCTTCAGATCGTCGCCTTTAGCGAAACCCGGTCTTCCCTTCCTCCTCTTGACGAGGAAGCCGCAGATCTGGTTCAGTTCTACTCCACGGAGTACCAATGTGATGAGAAAGCCGGTTCCGACTCTAAGCCAAAGCCGTATATCTTGCAAACGTCCGACGATGACGTCCATACGATGATCGAGTCTTCTCTTATCAAGCACCACTCCTCTGGCTTACTCTTTGGGGAAACCAACTGGATGAGCACCACCCTCCCTCCTCTCAGAGGCGAGATCAAGTCGAAATCGGTGGACCTCAGACCGTCCCAAGGGTTCAAGATGCCCCAGAGATCGCTTTCCGTATCCTTTGACATGGCCAAAAAGCGGTCGGTAAAGGCGTTGAGACAGAAATGGTCCCATTCGAGGTTGTCTCTTCACGTCATCCCCTCAGGATCACTAGATTCCAAGAGAGAGAGCCCCTCACACCAGTTGAAAACAACATACACGACGCCGGAGGCGCTTCTATCGCTGATTGAGCTTTCCAGTTCCCACTATAATGACCCTAACGAAATCCAGCATACTTCTGCCCTGATCCTCAACCTTGACGATCGCCACTCGGCTTTGATTCTCAATCTAGACGAGTACACCAGTCTCGACCCCCTCCCCGAATCCACCTCTTCGATGAGTCTCTACACTACCATGCTCTCTACCAAGGAATCTTTCCGGAAATCTAAAAAGCTGAAGATCAACTTGGCAAACGAACGTATGTTTTTGTCCAACATCTCCAACTCGCTTCTCCCACCCTTTTTACAAAGTGGTCATAGTTCGATCAGCGAGTTTCAGCGGCACGGCGACTCGATGGGTGACCCTCAACAAGTGTTTGAGTGGCCCCAGAGCCTGACGAATCCGTCTGAGAGACATTCCGAGGAGAATTCTAAAACCCGTTATGGAAATCATTCTGAGAGCCATTATGAAAGTCATTTTGAAAGCCATCATGACCATCCTGACCATATGCCTCGTACGTTTGAGGACCAGGCAAACAACTTCGAAAACGTTGTGCCTTTGGAATCCCCACAGACCTTGAGGCCTCTCAGCTCACCCTGCCCACTGAGTAGCATCCCCTCCTCCCAAAGCTCTTCCTTGCTCGTTAGTGCTGTTTCGTCCGGAACCACCGGAATTATCACCGGTGAGTCGCTTGATGATCTCTACCAGTCAAACTACTCCGGCTATACCTACGGCCGGACGTCAGATATGACCAAGAGCGCCGAACAGGTGGCAGACGTCACCCTCACCTTGGACGATGAGATATTGTTAAGTTGGGACAACCACGGAGAGATCGATGAGTTTGCCCAAACAGAGTTTGCCAAGTTTTCGTCCATGCATGATCCCGCACAGCCCCGGGTCAGATCTTCGAGTAGCGAACTGGCAGTGCAAAGTCTCGCGTTGGAACCGCTTCCATTGCAAGCCCAAAATATTCTTGGGCTTTCTGTCTCCCTCCAGAACGTTTCTTCGACAACCACCGATTTCCCCCACAAGGACTCCAGCAAATGGGGTCACACCGCATCTAGGCTCCAGAATATTTCGCCACTGAAGTGGCGCAGCAATGCGGACAAGTGGCAGTCGCACCAGGATCAAGTCAAAGATTCCCGGGTGCTCAGCTTCCACAACGTCTTGCTCACCACGGGTGTCCTCACGGAAGAAGAGTTCACGCTCTCCAGACCGAACCTTGCGTTCCGGAACCGCTCTAACAGCTTTCCACCGCCAGCATCGCGGTCTGTTTCTGACCACTCCAAGTCCATATCCATTGACGTTGGAGTTGGCACTGAACACGAGGACATCTCCGACGCCTACTTCTCAGAGTTAAACAGCGACTGGGGCAACGCTATTTTGCGCATGAGCACACCTCCGGCCCCAGCAACCGCCTTCGAGACACCCACCGGCTCCCCAAAGCACACCGGGTCGTCCTCTCTCAGCCCTGTGAGACGGTTTCTTTCCGAAAGCCCCAAGAGGTTGCGACGGAAGATGAGCATTACTTCCCATCAGAGGGGAAGCAGCAACGTGGACTTGAGCTACGTGCGCCAGCTCCAAAGCAGCGGCGGCCACCACCGCAAACAGAGCTCGGTTGTGTCGTACCAGACGGTTTTATCGTCGCAAACCAGCATTAACCCCGCCAAAAGGGGTGCGAGAGGCCGCACCAAGTCGTCCGTTTCGACCAACTTGCTTGCTGCCAAGTCATCGGCCGCATTACACGCTGCGAAAACTAGTGTAAGCAATTGGGAGCCCCAGCGTGACACTTCCTACCAAAGCAGTGACAATTCTGAGCCCAGTCTCTATCCCGAGGATGTGGTGGGCGAGTACGACCGCGAAAAGTGGCGCACGATCCAAAAGTTGAGGGAGGAGGAGAAGGTGTGGTACTGCTAGGTACGAGTAATGAATTTAATGATAAAGATACCCGTTTAGAAAGTGTAAAAGAGCAAGAAGAAGCATTAGGTAGAGTGGACTGGGAATCTCTGCGTCATGAACATTGATTCGTCATGAACATTGGTTATTGGAATGACATGCGTGATCTATAGTAACTTTGAATGCTGAAATCTACGTAAGCTCCCTAGGCTTAGTGAAGCGCATAATCAACGACGCGATAGATATTGATCAAACCAATGTTAAAGATAGCACTCTGGGCGATACTTTATACTGGGTGTCAAAAGGATAGCTGTAGGCCATTACTTTTGAGTTCGGATTGAAAAAAGCGCATTTAGTTTGGCTCTTAAGAACCTCGCGTGCACCTTCTGGTTGTATGTGACTCCAATTTCGCCGGTAAAAGAAGCGGAAGACATCAATACCACATATCAATCACTCTCAGCCAATGGGTTTGAAGGTAGAAACCTAAAACACATTTACACGGAGACTTTATCCCTCGTCCCGACTTGTAGATCTACCGCGGGCTTATCTGTGCGCTGAAAGGCTGTATACCGCCAGATCCACCTTATTTGTCCTGCCGTATCTTGCTTTCCAGGTCAAATATGCCCACCCCAAGCAACCCTCACAACTCTCGGCCTATACAATCCTTATCGGAGTCATATAGGCGCAGAACTACGGTCCCGAGCTGACTCTGCGACCCGAGTCATACAAAAGGCGGGGACTTTTTCGAGTCAAAATTCCCGAGTCAGCTTTCTCTCGCTCCCTCCGAGCTAATTATCCAAACCTTAACAGAGTTTCCAGCCCCCACCCCGCATCACGTGGATCCAAGGCATGACCCAGCCATCACATTCAACATGTAACAGAATACTCGATAACACGTTCACACTACGGCCTCGTCTCACATAACCGATAAAGGCGAACAGGGTCTGGGTACTGGCCAATCAGTTTACCTTTAAACACAATGGACATAGATCTAGCGAAAGTGCGTATTATAATATAATCAGTGCCTTATTGGATATCCAATACCCATGGTCGGAAGTAAGATGTAACTGGTGTATGTGTCCAAGTTCTGCCGTAAGCCCTAGCCATAGCTAGTTAACCTGACATGCAAGTCTTAAGCTATCCGTCTAACACGCTACAGAGATCCCTACTTTGCCAGGAGTTTTGCGGTAAATTAAAGGAGAATTTTAGCCACTGTCCATTTAAGTTTAGTGAGCTACATCGCTGATTAGCGATTACCACAACTGATGGATATGCCATATTGTGGCTATTCGCGATAATAAATTTCAATTGTATTAATATTCTCGGCAGGATCCATTGACCATTATAACTGCTACAGGCTATCATAACTGCTTGCGGCCAGTAAAAGTCCTTGTAAAAGGGTCATTGGGGTTGTGTAATTTGGCATACCGCCACACTTCTCCAAGGAATGACAGTTATACTTTAGTGACCCCGCATTCAAACAAAAGCCTAGTGGCCAGTTATGTCGCAGAGGGCTCAGTGGAAATCTTTTCACATCCATGCAGGATAAACGTGAGCCCCCGGAAAGATCCAGGCCGCACCCCGAACAACGTTATAAGCACCCATTTGGTGGTGCTTATAACATCTTTTGGGGATTTAACGTCAAGGAATAAATATCATATAATCTCCCAATGCAAAGACTTTTTATTTGCCAAATAATCCAAAACACGTGTCTTGGCTAGAGCTTCTGCGCTTCGCACATTGTTCGCCGATGCCGCTCGCCAATTAATGTGCGCGTCACGTGGGCAAATGACTAACCCTCGGCGGCAGATTTTGCTATAAAACCCGTTAGCCGTCCGCTTTCCCTCTTTTGGTGCTTCTTCCCACACACAATGCTTTCCCTTATCCGTGCCACCAGAACCGCCTCCGTCTTCAAGCGGACCTACGCCTTATCGGCCAATGCCCAGGCCCTCATTTCCAAGAGTGTCAGGGACGTCGACCCGGAAATGGCCGACATCCTCAACCAGGAGCGCGCCAGACAGAGAAACTCCATCACGTTAATTCCGTCTGAGAACTTCACCTCCAAGGCTGTCATGGACCTCCTTGGCTCTGAGATGCAGAACAAGTACTCTGAGGGGTACCCTGGCGAGAGATACTACGGTGGTAACGAGATCATTGACAAGGCTGAGTCCTTGTGCCAGAAGCGTGCCCTTGAGTCCTTCGGGTTGGACCCTGCCGAATGGGGCGTCAACGTGCAGCCATTGTCCGGTGCGCCAGCCAACTTGTACGCTTACTCTGCCATCATGGAAGTAGGCGACCGCCTTATGGGTCTTGACCTTCCACACGGTGGCCACTTGTCCCACGGTTACCAGACCCCTACCACCAAGATCTCTTTCATCTCCAAGTACTTCCAGACCATGCCGTACAGATTGAACGAGGAGACTGGTATCATCGACTATGACACCCTCGAAGCAAATGCGCTTTTGTTCAGACCAAAGGTTATCGTTGCCGGGGCCTCTGCCTACTCTCGTGTCGTTGACTACGCCAGAATGAGAAAAATTGCCGACAAGGTCGGTGCCTACCTCATGTCCGACATGGCCCACATTTCCGGGCTCGTCGCTGCTGGTGTCACCGAGTCGCCGTTCCCATACTCCGACATTGTCACCACCACTACCCACAAGTCGCTCAGAGGCCCAAGAGGTGCCATGATCTTCTTCAGAAAGGGCTTGAGAAGCACCACCAAGAAGGGCAAGGAGATCTACTACGATTTGGAAAGGAAGATCAACTTCTCCGTCTTCCCAGCCCACCAGGGTGGCCCCCACAACCACACCATCTCTGCCTTGGCCGTCGCCTTGAAGCAGACCACCACTCCAGAGTACAAGGAGTACCAGCAGAGCGTCATCGATAATGCCAAGACCTTCGCCAACGCCTTGACCTCTAAGGGCTTTGAGTTGGTGTCTGGCGGCACCGACACTCACTTGATCTTAATCAACTTGAAGTCCAAGAAAATTGACGGTGCCCGTGTCGAGGCTGTGTTGGAGAGAATCAACATTGCCGCTAACAAGAACACGGTTCCAGGCGACTCCTCTGCCTTGTTCCCATCCGGTTTGCGTGTGGGTACCCCAGCCATGACCACCAGAGGTTTTGGCAGCGCCGAGTTTGAGCAGGTTTCCGAGTACATCCAAAGAGCCGTCGATATTGCCATTGAGTTGAAGGCTCAGGAGCAGGGTAAGGTTGCCAAGGAGTTGTTGGCTTCCTTCAAGAGCCAGGCCGACGAAAGTGCCAAGGTCAAGGCCTTGGCTACCGAGGTGTCCAACTGGGTCTCCACCTTCCCAGTTCCAGGCGATCTTTAGGGAGACGGAGCAGGTATTAATAATGGCGTGTAAGTGACATATGTATAATTTTCGAGTCGGTTGACTCGCGCAGGACGGATCCTGTCGCAATATATTTTCAGCATTGATTGAGTGTAGGGGGTTACTTTTTATGAAAGCCGAGAAAACTACAAATTGGAAACTTGGCTGGTAAAGTTACCGGAAGCTGCGATTGGCGGTTATTACGAGGAAACTTTCTTCACAACCGTTGGTTCAAATTACATTTACTGAAAGCCTTGAGGCGGGTAGAACTTGAGTTATTGCTCCGCCATAGAGACTGCATTGCAAACTTAGAGTTTCATATGGCTGACATGTGTGCAGTATCTATGGATTACGCCGAAAGACTAAGGCGCCATGAAATATCAACCCGTGGTATATTTGTCGGGTGATAGATACCGTTAACCAGTAAGAGAATACCTTTCATCACTAAAATATACACAAGAATCGAGTTCCTGATGTACTGGGGGACCGGGAATAATGTCATCATGGTTAGATGGCGGTATGTTGTAGAACCATATTGGCGGAGGTAGGATACCGAGATGCTATATGGTCGGAGAATATCAGCCGACGACGTCAGCAGTGTTAAGTAGCACCTTTAATACGCAATCAGATCACTAAAGGCCCAGAACATGGTCCAACGATAAGCTAAAGGTCTCGTTGCCGTTTCCTGGTCAATATCAGGAGTTAGAAAACCAGATGTTGCTTCTCCCTGCGTCGCACGGTTTGCCATCTAAGGGTAGGTTAATTTCATTATTTCTGGGTACCAAATTCCAGGTATGGAGATCTTTTTTACGTTTCATGTAGCCATTCGATTCCAGAAGACAAACCAGCTACATGGCGCGTTCCAGGCACATCGCAGGATGTTTTACAAACTCTGCAACTGGGGGTTCCAACATATGCACGTCTTCCCTTTGATCAGCTTAGACATACAAGCAGCCTTTATTGATGTTCCTTTATATCTTCAGTATAGAGCAAAGATATGAATACATTTTACTAATTGTTAATATTAGACTTTTTTTTTCCCAGCGTTCTAAACCAGACTGAAAGGCCGATCGGTGCCTCAACCGTGGGGACTAGTTTTGATGCAGCAGTACCTTATCGACCTACACGTATGGGTTGAACGTTACGACTCTTAGTACCATACCACTACACCATCCGTCTAACCAGCTTTTCTTTCACGGATTTTTCAACCTTTCTGGTACAACTGCATTCAATGGATGGCCCCTACCCCTCAGTTTTACTCCCAGTTCACGCTATCTGGTTTCTCCTGCATTTAACTCTTTTTTTCGGCGTCAATTTTCGGTCATAAAGCAAAACCGTACCGTTGAACCTCTTAGCTTCTTCTTTCCATCTCTGGTTTGATATGTCCACTATACCTGAAAAAGCCGCCGAGACTGTGACGCCAGCGAGAAAACCAGCTGTACCGGCGGAAAAAGTGAAGCCTAAGGGCTACTCTAACCCAGCGCTCCAGGCCATGGGGATTCCCCGCTTGCGTCTTCCGTCGCGTAACTGGAGCATTTTCTGGGCCGTTCTCGGGCTTACCACCGGTGGGATCGTCTACGACAAGTATGAGCAGAAGCAGCTCAGAAAACGCTGGATGAGCTACGTTCAGCCGCAGAGTGAGGCCGAGGTTGCTCCAAACGTGAAACCTAGACGTTTGACCATTTTTATCGCGCCGCCACCAAACGACTTCTTGACCGAGAGTTTGAGATACTTTAAGCGCTACGTCAAGCCAGTTTTAAATGCCGGTGGTTTGGACTTTGAGATCTTCACGTCCGAGAGACAGGGAGACATCAGAGTACACGTTGCCGACCAAATCAGAGACTTGAGAAGAAACGCCACTGCTTTCAAGCAAGTTGAGTTGGTCAAGCAGAAGAATGAAGCGTACAAGAGAAGCTGGGGTTACTGGTTCAGCAAGTTCAACGTGTTCAAGAAGAAGGAAGTTGTCGATCCCAACGCGACCAAGTCAGTCAAGCAGTGCTACACTCCGGCAGATGTCTTTGGAATCAACTACAAGACCAAGCCGATGGCCGTGGAGTACGAGGACGCGCAGTTTGAGAATCCTCATGATGCCGGAGGAATAATCTGTGTGGGTAGAGGTGTCTACAAGGAGTACATGAGAGGCGTCCACGAGGGCTTGTTGGGGCCGTTGGAGCAGCCAAAGGTTGAAATTGTTGAAGCTGTCGAACAGGTTGTGGTTGAAGCCGAAACCTCTGCGGCCATTCCTACCTTGGACACCACCTTAGCCCCTGCTACCGACGAAGCCTCTAAGAGCGATTTCCGTTATAACGGTGATGTTGACGACTTGCCAAACGCCAACCTTAAGTCCAAGCCTCCAGTCAAGGCGCCATACATCTCCGCCGAAGACTACGCTACTGCTACCCTCGCCCCCGAATTCAACTTTTCCACCACCATCAGAGACCATAACAACGTGCCAGTGTTCTTCGAACTGCCGATTTTTGTGCTTCGCATCCCAAACATCTTGGGGTTCTTGAACTCGCCACAGCGTATCTACCGTTTCTACACCAAGAGATGGATTGCCGATGAATTTAACAAGGGCGCCGTTGCCGTTGCCTTGAACGCCAAGAGGCCGTTTACTCCCGCCGATGCTGACTTGGCGTTGGTTGAGGAAACTGACTGGCCAAAGAAATGGGTTGCCAGCGGGAAGGAGAAGGCCAGTGAGTGGACCCGTGACTTCAAGGTCGACCACAGAGTCACCTCCAGAATGTTTGTCTACGACGCCACGTTGCTCGAGCTTGGTGAAAAGAAGGATCAGACCTAGGTGTCTGACAGTCCCATGTATATATTAAGATTATTTAGTCACGCGGAAATTTGTAAGTGGCAGAAGGTGGGTTCATCTGGTCACAATTGTCGGGTAAGAAGGGCCGATGGGGTGTACTCCATTTTAGGTACTGAATAGCTGTCTGGCTGTGAGAGCCCCATATTGGTAAATACAATCTATCTGTGTTAAATACAATTCATCTGTGTTAAATGATTGGTCTACTATGTGGCTTGTCCCACTTTAACAGCATACAACTCTCCCAAGAATTTATCGCTAGAATTCTTTCAAAAACGTTGGTGCAAAATACCAGTGCTATGCTCATCGGTATGACTTGCGCCGTATCTGGCCTACTGTTTCCGATTCGGGATTACCTTTTCAAGCCCGATATTCGTGTCGAAATCCCATTGCGTTCGTACACCAAAGGTGATATTTAATCAGGCAGTTGCCTGCCGATATCTCACGGAGGGAGCTGTTCTATATTTAGCCTAACAAGGTTGCATTTACCCTAAGAGATATCATACACAGCCTCAGTTAAACAGCATCTTGGTGTGTAATAAAATCCGAGAGGTATCTAGGGTATCAGAGGTATCTAGAGTATCAGAAATATTCAGAGTAGAGGTATCCAGAGTAGAGGTATCTAGAATACCGAGAAACAACAAGCCAGGAATGCTTTTTTAGATAAACTCTAAAAAGATGGGGTGGAATTTTGAAACTTTGTCGTAAGATATCGGCGGACAACCTCCTCTTAGAAATCTTTAACTCCCCTGTATCGTTAATTCCCCTGTATTGTTAACTCCTCGCATTAATGTAGACCTAACCCCCGGTTACTCGTCACAAAGGTCCCAGGAACACTATTTATAAACTCGGCTATATATCTGTTTACCCTCTCAGCAAATTTCCAAGGGCATTTCAATGGTTGATGTATTGCTGCACTAATTATGCACTGCCTCGTGTACGCAGGCCAAATTAGGAAATCCAAACCGCCGTGGTAGCCTGCACGTTGGATTATAGGGTGCATAAAATACCTCAGTGTGAAACGTTACAGGCGTGGGGAGACCAAACAGATTCACTTTTGCCAAGCCTAGACGCTAGTTCGTCCTTAGCTACCAGGCAGCTTTACGTTATGGGGCGTTGGTAATGGTGATATCTCTTGATCTGTGCGTTTTTCCCGGTCCAACCTACCCATTGATGGTGTGCTCTATACCCCCCAACTTTATCCACGAGAAGGTGTCCTAGATGAAAATGCAATTCTGCTACACCCCAGTAATGAACTTAAACAATCTTGCCAATCATTTTTTTGACAAACACGTGCGCCAATTTAACCCTGCACCCTGGCTAGACTTCCTCTATAGCCGTCTAATTTTCTCAACTTGACCTTCCAAATCCTTCTGTCAAATTGCAACTTTATTTTACAGCATCTGTTCCATGCCTGGTCACGACTCTGTGCCGGACAATGCGCCGAGCTGCTTAATACCTAGCGTGCGGTGTCGTCACCCTGCTCCCAGAACCCCGTCTGCAGACCCGGGACTGCAGCAATTCCTGCATCCACGCCTAAGCATGCCGTCACGGTGCCTTGGGATTCTCCGTAGGCAGCCAGTAAAGCTCAGCTTTGTCACCATTCTACCCGCGGAAACGGAAGGACTGGACCGAGAGAGAAACTTTTCAGGATCAAAAAGGAGTAGCTAAAAAAAAAATACCAGTATATAACGTCAGGGTTCCCACCTTTTGTAGGTGAAACGTATAGCAAACCACAACATTCACAATGCTAAGATTAGCCACCACCACCAGAGCCGTGTCTCACTCTTTAAAAAGATTCACGTCTGCCGTTCCGCTGTTGACCCTTAACGGATACGACGACGAACACATCACCTTGTCCTTTAACGATAAATACGGCAAGGATAAGGTTTCTTTCTTTAACTTTTTCTTGCGCGATGCGGATAAATCGGCCGAGTCGTACGAACCAACTTGCAGACAAAAAATCTTCTCCACGTCCGAGTTGGACTACAACGTGAAGCCGTTGACAAAGCCCCAGATCGTGTCGCATCCCGAAACCAACGAATTGGGCTTGCAGATTGAATGGTCTGATGGTGTCAATACCGTGTACGACCACAGCTTCTTGAGAAAGTTTTCCAAGCCGGAGTTGATCAAAAAGGGCAAGAACTTTGAAAGCGAGAGGGTTTTCTGGAACCTGCAAGATTTCGCCAAGGTGGAGTCCGAGCTTGTGGATTCCATCACCTTCAAGGACTACATGGCCAACGACGAGGTGTATTACAACACGTTGAATAGCTTGAACAAGTACGGTGTGGTCTATGTCAACGATATCCCAGAGGGTAATAACTTTATCATGGAGGACGGGAAGTGGGCGATTGAGCACTTGGTCGAGAGGGTGGGTCACATCAGGGAAACCTTCTACGGGAAGTTGTTCGACGTGAAAACCGAGCCTAACGCCAAAAACTTGGCGTTTACCGCCAACAAGCTCCCATTGCACGCGGACTTGATGTACTACGAGGCTCCGCCGGGGATCCAGATCTTGCATGCGTTACAAAACTCTACCAAGGGTGGTGAGAACGTGTTTTGCGACGCCTTTTTGGGGGCCCAACACGTGAAGGAGATGGACCCAACAGCATACGAAGCGTTGAAGACGGTTCCAATCAACTTTCACAAGATCGGTCATGACGACCAGTACTTCTCCTTCAGCCGTCCGATTGTGGTGGAGAACTTGGAGGGCGGGTTGACCCAGGTCAATTACTCCCCTGCCAATATGGCTCCGTTCGAGTTTGGAATTACCAGTGCCAACCCAGAGGAGGAAAATATCTTTAAGGACTTTTTGCGTGGGTTGAAGATCTTTGAGCAGTTTATCAACGATCCAGTCAACCAGATTGTGGTCAAGACGAAGGAGGGCTCAGCCGTTGTGTTCAATAACAGAAGGGTTTTGCACACCAGAAAGAAGTACCAGGAGACGGAGAAGGAGTCATTCAGATGGTTGAAGGGGGCGTACTTGGACATGGACACGTTTGAGTCGCAGTTGAGAATTTTGAAGAAGAGCTACGATCCATCGGGGTTCTAAGGGGGTAGTTAGTGCTTATAAAAGATAACCCGGGCGGTTGCCATGTTTATAAACCAATGTGTAGATTTCGGTCTCTGGTCTGAGGAGTATAATGCCAGGGCTGAACACTGGGATTAAGTAGTTGGAGCTGCCTGGACGACCGTTTGGGTCTCAGTTTTCAAGTGGGTAACGTATAAGATACGCACGGTATTAGAGAAGCAATGCCAGTAGAAGCTCAGGCCATCCACATACAAGTCAAGTCAACATCTGGTTTAAAAATAGCTCATACGCCTTTTAGTCTAAAATCATATCCCCCAGTAGACTAAGCTTTCAACCTCTAGCGAATAAAAACCACGTTATATTTTCCCGGTTCCTCTAAAGGTGCGTCTAACCACTAGGGTTAATAATTTGCGCATGTCACCAAAGGGGAAACACTGGATGCAACAGAGACCTCATGAGCGCCAACAAAAGCAAAGCCGTTCCGGCTATTTCGGGGGTTGGTCATGGATTCATTAACCATTAAGCGGCTTTTGCAGAAGAATCACACGCCTGGCTATGTATGGGAGAGGGTGGTTGGCGAAACGTGTAGCTGGACTATTCGCTGTATAGTGTAGGCGAGAGGCTGAGCCAGTTGGATACGGAAAGCTATTAAGATTGGAACGGGTTGTTAAATCTAATGCCTCCTCGTTTCTTGGTCTTCAAAGTAGTGGTCCGTGGAACGCCTAATTCTGTTGGGGCAGCCATATAAATTACTTCAATCCCCGGTTGTACCGTTTCCTCTAAGGCTGTTAGCCCACGTCTTTTGTCTGGAATGCTACCCGTTGCAATTAATTGGATTCATGCACCGCACTTGACTACTTCACATAGCGTGGTTACAACCAGATAAAGAGTTTCCCGCTAAACACGACATTTAAATCTCTACGGCGGGAAAAAAAATTCGAGCCCTAGAGTTCTACGAAATAGCCGTTCTGACCAACTACCTTTGAACCTCGGATCCGGACCGATTACCCGACAGCACGTGATGGCACCTTAAACACCGTAAGCACTGCACGTACGCCAGTCTGCATGGCTTATGTAAGCCTCAGGTGCGCCTCACACCCAGATAATTCCGCAACCACCGAGGTTACGGCATGAGAGTTGGAGATGCATATGAGTAGCATATGAACTAGAAGATCACGTATCCACCCTGCTTTGCAAGATCATTGGCAAGTTAACCAGCACGATTCTGAAAGATTCTCGGTAGAGCACTTCAGACGTTTTCTCCCCAGAATAATAGTCTTCGCATCTATTGCTACTTTTACACTAGCCCAATTTGCAAAAGACAATGACAGTACTTGGTTTCTCTAATCCAACCATGATGAAAGCTACACCGTGCGTCCACCCAAAGGCGGAACCACACAAGCACGGAGTGGTACACGGCCATATCCACAGACACAACGACCACACCCACATTCATGGCCACATCCACAACTTCAATGCGGGCCTCCCAGGAAAGATCCTGGAGCTCCCTCCGGTGGAGCACCACGATTTGGACGAGATTTTACTGATGGCTGCTCCCATCACTGCTCCTGTTCAGTCACATACTGTGGGGTTTAGCAACGACGAGGAAATGCAGCGGATTTTCGACACCTGCTGCCAGTTTGACTCGTGCTTCGACATCTGTGACGACTTTTCGTGCAACGAGTTCAAATGCGAGGATCTTGACTTGAACTGTGCCGACGATCCGTGTCTGTCGGTAGTGAATCATCTGAGTGAGCATGGAAACTGTGATACATTTACGAATTTGAAGCCGAACATGGAGAGAGAAGGACTGCGAGAGTTCACCCCTGTACACTATCAATCAGGATGTGAGGCGGAGGAAGCTGCGAAGGATCCACATGGGTATCATTCGCATCTGTGCGAACCTCAACCATCATATTCTCATTCGCTTCAAAAATCTCATTCTCTACATAGCTCCCTTCAAGGCACTCATCAAAACTCCCCCCATGAACCGGAAAGTAACCAGGTGGTGATCAACAGCCTCATCGACAATATGCACGTGTTGCTTGACCGCCTCAACGACCGGGTAGATCTCTTCAAGGATGATCCCGCGGCGAAGCGGCGCCAAACAGTGCCATTGGTTGACCCACAGACGAGCAACCGCATCGTGGACATGCGGGAAAAGCTCAAAAGTTTGAACGTCTACTTCCCCCACGTCCACCACCAGCACAAGCTGATGCAGCAGCATGTATGTTCAGAAGATTCCTCCGTATATCCACATGACCCGCAAAACCTCGTTTTAGGTATGCTAAACGGCCCGGTTTCCGACCAAACGCTTGATCCGGATTACCAGTTCTCCTTCAACTTCAACAGTGAACCCGTGGAGGTCCAGCAGAAGTGCCATTGGAATAACTGCTACACCAACTTCGCTAGTGATTCCGCGCTTAGAAGCCACATCGTGAACGACCACATCAACGAAGAGTACTACCGCTCGCCCCTTCCGCAGTCGCCGCGGTACCTCACCAGCTACCAGTGCGAATGGGACACGTGCAACTATAACTCCAACGATAGAGAGTCATTGCTAGCGCACATCAATACCCACGGCGGTTCGTCCTCGCTCAACCTCCACGGCGCACCACACATCGACCTGACGGAAAGCATCCTTACCCCAGCTTCTCCCTTTGAGCTGAGTAAGCCGGCGGACCAAGAAATCCTCAGCCCTGAGGCTATTGGGGCGGCCCACACATGCATGTGGCGCTCTGGTGGCCTGGCCTGTCACCAGATGTTCGCCCTGGCGGGCGGCTTGACCAACCATATCATCTCCGCCCATGTGGGGTCGGGTGTCTCCTCCTACACCTGCCATTGGGACGGCTGTTCCCGGTGCGAGCGGCCATTTTCCCAACGGCAAAAGATTCTCCGCCACATCCATGTCCACACAAAGTACAAGCCTTTCCAGTGTCCGCAATGCTCGACTTCCTTCACGATGGGGTGCATGCTCGAGCAGCACATGCGCACACACTCTGGCGAAAAGCCGTATAAGTGTCTCCAGTGTGCCAAACGCTTTGCCACCTCCACCGCACTCTCCATCCACTTCCGCACCCATACGGGCGAGAAACCCTTGGAGTGTAAGTTTCCCAACTGCGGCAAGAAGTTCAGCGAGTCGTCGAACTTGGCAAAACACATGAAGACGCATTCCAAGTGTTTTCGCTGCGAATTGTGCGAGGGTGTGGAGTTCAAAAAGAAGACTGACTGGAATCGCCACATGAAGAAGGTTCATTTGGAATCCAGTCCCGATGAGGAGGAAAGGAAGAAGAGTAAGTTGTCTTGATTTATTTGGATTTTTAGTGCTTTGTGATCTTTATATTTGGGGCGACACACATTGCAGGGTTTCTTGTAGTCATAGGCATGCGGTGCATGTACGTGTGTTTCAACAAAACGTTTGGGCTATTAAGCCTAGTTAGATGGTTAACTAGAAGTTACCATGGGTGCTTAACAAGCAATCTAATTAAATGTGTATTACGTATTGTACGAAAATATAACCTATAGAATTAATTGATGTACCTGGCAGCTTATTAAACTGATGTGATCTGAATGTTACTGCTAGTAATTAGCCAGGCTGAAGGACCTTAAGTCTGATCGTATTTTACACGTAACCCATAATAGCTCATTCGAGAAGATTCAAGTTCTCGGAGATTTTCCATTATGCTCCATCATGAAATGTCAGATTCTATGAAACGTCAGATTCTATGAAACGTCAGATGCCAATCGATGCCGGAGTAATTCTGGTTGAATGCATTTCAGCCATTATAGGTCAAACTCCTATTTGGGCAGGGGATTTCTTGCCAACTTCTCTGACAATTTCTCTAGAGATCCTCTTGGGACTCTACTTCACAACTTGTCTTGGCTCCCCAATTAAACTTCCAGCCTTGCTGCTGCCTAGTCAACCAATTCTCCCTTCCTCGCCTCATCCTTCTCATCCCACAACTGTCTGACCCCACCCTCGCTTCTATTTTTATTCACCTCCATCTCCTCATTCAACTCGCGCAACGCCTGCTCCTCCTCCTCGGTAATCCCCCCAATGTCCGGCGGGATCTCGCTCATGCTGACCGACGGCGCACCGTTTAAAAACCGCAACTGCTCCAAAATCTGGATCCGCACACTCTCCAAGTACTTCTTTGTGTTCTTGTTGTCGATCCGCTCCCCTAGGTACGGATGCAACAAATAGTTCTCTTTGGCAAAGTACGAGCGGAACGGAACGCTACTCGGAACCTGCTTCCCCTCTAGCTGGACATCCGTTATGACGCTCGTTTCGTAGCACCAGAGCCGCGAGACGTTCCGTGGAGTGTATCCGCCGCCGCCAAGAACCAACATCGGAAGCCCAAACGACTTGACAAACTTCACACACTCTGCGTGGGCCTTGATGTTCAAGTTGAAGCAGCCAAGCCGGTCCCCGCCAAGAGAATCGGCCCCGCACTGCTGGACAATCACGCTGGGCTGGAAGGACGTGATGAGGGGCTCCATGACCGACTTGAAAAGCCGGATATACGAATCATCGTCGATCCCGTCGCGCAATGGCACGTTTACCGAGTAGTGCTTGCCCTTCTTGACCCCGATCTCGTCAAAGTTGCCGGTCCCGGGGAAAAACTCGCCGTTGTATTTGTGAAACGACACCGTCATGACACGGTCCGTGGTGTAAAACGCCTCCTGGACCCCATCACCGTGGTGGATATCGATATCGATATACAACACACGCGGGTGCACACGGAGGAGGTTTAGGATGCTGAGCACGATATCGTTCACGTAGCAGAAGCCAGACGGCATTGTCCTCTTGGCGTGGTGAAGCCCGCCCGACCAGTTGATCGCAATGTCAGATGTCCCTGAGATGAGCTTGCGCGTGGCGTCCAACAGCGCACCCGCATAGATCGAAGAGTAGTCGTACATCCCGTCAAACACCGGACAGTCGTCCCCAATGTTGAACTCGCGCAACGCTTCGAGGTACTTGCTGGAGTTGTCGGGCGTCACCTGCCGGAGAAAATCAACGTAATCTTCGGAGTGGAACGCCGTGAGCTCGTCCTTGGTTGCGCGGCGCGGATAGTACAAGTCCATCTGTTCGTGGAGTTTGTAGCTGATCACCAATTGGTCCGTGAGCATAAGTCGGAACGGCTTCATTGGATGCCGCACCCCGTAGTGGTACTTGCTGACATCTGGGTTGTAGTGGTACGATACTCGCGGGTTGTACGTGGCATTATAAAGCTTGGTGTAGGTAGGCGCATGGCCCTCGGTTTTGATGTCACGCTGTAGCGTCGACTCATCCCAGTCGCTCATGATAAATGGAAGGTTGTGTTGTGATGGGTTCAAATTCAGAAATGGCCCTTGATGCTCTCAATATCCTGCAACGGACTAGCACTTCAACAATGGAGAGATTCTCTTTCAGTATGGACTCCAGGTGCCGAGAGTAAAATGCACTTGCAAATATTGGAATGGCAGTATGGAATTTTAGATGAGTTTCTTCTCATTACCCGACCTTTGCAATACCCAATTTCGCAAAACGTTTTTCGCGTAGTTGCCATGCGAAACAATTCAGTCGTGCTGCTACCGCCTCCGTAGAAGCGCCACCAAATTCGTTTGGCGCCGTTACTTAAGATGGGCCCCAGCGGGGGGTTATCCGCTCCACTCACTATACCTATATCAATTACAATGTCCAGTATGTACCATTCAGAAAGTTATTTGTGATTGCCAATGGCTGTGTCAACTATGAACGCACTGAGTTCCAGGAAACTTGCCCTCGAGAAAGGTCAGGGAAGGTTCTCCTCAGAGATCTATTTTCAGTGGGACGGGCCGAGTGACAGCATCCGTATCCAGTAACACGACCAGTACTTCCAGCGGTTTGCCTAGCGATTAAGGCTGGGGTCTGGTTAATTAATGACAATTGCCGCCGTCGTACACACTGACTTGAGTACCAGTTCGACGTCACATGAGCCCATTGAAGGATCAGGGGATTGATCTGTTGTGATGCCTGAATAGGGTATTATCTGGCAGTGGAGTGACCCCACTGAACGTTATCATTGGCACACAACCATTCGCTTTGGCGTCGCCATCAAGCCGTTACTAACCCTCCCTAGGTGCCGGATTCGACAGACACATCACCATCTTCTCGCCAGAGGGCAGACTATACCAGGTGGAATACGCGATCAAAGCGATCAACACCGCCAACCTCACCTCCATCGGTGTGTGCGGGCGCGACTCGGTGGTTGTCATCCAGCAAAAGAAGGTTCCGGATAAGCTCCTCGACCCCGCCACCGTCACGTACATGTTCAAAATTAACAAAACCATCGGGATGATGGCCACAGGGTCCATCGCCGACGCCCGTTCACAGGCCTTGCGTGCGAGAGCTGAGGCCTCCGAATTCCGCTACAAGTACGGTTACGACATGCCGGTCGACGCGTTGGCCAAGAGAATGGCCAACCTCTCGCAGATTTTCACCCAGAGAGCCTACATGAGGCCTTTGGGGGTTGCACTCACTTTCTGTGCCATTGATGACGAGCGCGGGGCTTGTTTATACAAGTGCGACCCAGCGGGGTATTATGTGGGGTCCAAGGCTTGCGCCACCGGTCCAAAGCAGCAGGAGGCCACCACCGCGTTGGAGAAGAAGTTCAAGAAGAAGGACTTTGTTGCGGGCGACTGGAAAGAGGTGGTTGAGTTTGCCATTACCACTTTGTCGAACGTGTTGAGCAGTGAGTTCAGAAAAAACGATATCGAGATCGGTGTGGCCACCGCCGGGGGCTTTGTGCTTTTGACCCCGGACGAGATTGACGAGAGATTGGTTGCCATTGCCGAGCAGGATTAGGCTTAGAATAAATTTATGTTGGATATACCGTAGCGCGAGCCCTCACCTGATTACGTCTGGCTAAACCAGAATGCACTGGGTGGACTCGCACAGTTCCCAGTACTCGTTTACCCGCGTCATATCGATAAATAGGTATTTTTCATATATTTATATTCTTTAATTATTGTCTTATTAAACACAAGACATTTTAGCCACATAAAGTGGCGTGGAAGGCGATAGACAAGCTGAAGCCCATTGGGTCTGATCACACGAGACCAAGCCCTATGGTATGAACAACGTATCTGGTTCCAAACCATTTCGCACTCTAGAGCACATACGGAATAAACAAGTACGGACACGCCTCAGTATATCTCTTCCAGTCCTCACCGTACTTCTTCTCGCACTTGGCCGTGTCTCTCAACGCTCTGTGCACCAACGTGATAAAGAAGAATACTGGGAAGAACCACGGGAACGGCGAGGCAAAGCCACAGACGAGCGCCCAGGTCAAACACATCAAGTAGTCTGCGGTGTAGTGGGCCTTTCTGGCATACTTGACCCAACCGTCGGTCAACAAGAGCGAGCCGTACTTGGTCTTGATATACTTTGGGTCCTTCAACACGGTGTACGGCAAATGGGGGAAGGTCTTTCTAACCGAGGTGTCCCCGGCCATCTGCTTTCTGAACGAGTTCTTCTGGCCGTTGCCGGTATCGAAAAAGTAGTACGCAACAAGCAACAAGGTGACACAGAAGACGTTGTAAAACCATGACCATTGGTATTCCAGCGGGTCGTGATAAGCCAAGAACAAGGTGCAGTGGCAGTAGGTGTATGGCACACCAGCAATGTTCCAGAAGATCAACATGAAGCCAAACTTCTCGTAGGCCATGTCCCAGGTTGGAACAATCAACTCCTCGCCCTTAGCACACGCGTTAGCGTACAACCAGTGGGCCAACAAGACGTGGCAGACCTGAGGAGACACGTAGCCGTACTTCTCCAATTGCATGGCGGCGGTGGCGGCACTCAAGAAGAATAGGGTGAACCACGGAAGACGGACCTCGAAGAACATCTTCAAGTCGAGCATTCCGAGGCGTGGGTTCAACGGCGCACCCATGAAGATGTCGTACACCATGTTCCCGCTCATTCTGTGGCAGTCCCCCGTGATGTACACACAGACAAGGTACAAGCCAATGGCAAAGGTAACGCCGCAGATGATGGCACAGGTCATGATCTCGCCAAAAAGCTCGATGATTGTGTAAAGCTTAAAGATCCCGGTGCAATGGAGCACCACTGCAATTGCAATCGATATGTAGAAGGACCACACGGCGTTGCAGTAGTACGGCAATTGCCTGTTATTCAAGTGCTTCAACGGCTGGCCCTTGGTCCAGATGCCTGGCAAAACGTAATAGAATGCCATTTGGACAAAGAAAAAGGTGAGGAAGATGCGCCACGCGCGGAAGGTCGGAATCCCGTGGTCCACAAAGAGTTTGAACATGTGCGCAAACCACTCAGGGAATGTCTCATCGGCGGTTGGCCAGGCCGGAGCGCCAAAGTAGAACTCGGCACTGATCCACATATACCACATCAACACGGGAAATCCGGTCATCATCATAAAAACCCCCACTGGGCCACCAAACTCCCACCCCTCGTGTTCATCGGTGGTTGTTGGTGCGGAATCGTTGCTTAACAAAGGCTCTGAGGATTCCATTGTTTTTATTTTGCGCTTCTGGGGGCTCATCTTGGTTACAGGGGGAGAGAGACTGTAGGAGTGAGCCCCTATTTATACTGGGTGTTTTGGCGGTGTTTTGCTTTGAAAAATCCACCCGCAGCGCTGCGAGTTCGAGTACGGTGTACGACATACGAGTCGTATAGGCAACGCACCTAGCCCGGCATGGAAGCTTGCCGGAACGACATGCAGAACGCTGATGCGCATGGATCACCAGAAGCACCGAGAATGCCATTAAGTTTTATCAAAACTGAGATGCCCATCGGCAACCAGTTATATTTCGATTTGGGGAGCCAACCATATAGGCCGAGTACCACCCCACGTTTAAGCATCTGCCTACGGGCGACTGTCTTGCAGGAACAAACACGGGGTGCGCATGTAATCGATATGCAAACCTTCTACAATTGCCTCATAAATACAATCCTCTTGTTTTCAAATATACACTATATATACAACGTCGCGGGCAGTCCGCGGCAAAACTGACAACAAAAAAATAACAATTTCAAGAGCAACAAAAATAATATACACTATAGGTAACAACAAATATATTATGCGGGCGAGTGGCCGTGAAATCACGGGCCACAGAAATGACGGTGCGCCTGGGGTATGCGGCGGGAGAGAGGAATTGGAAACGAGCGGGGGGGGTGTGGAAGGGGAAAGGGCAGAAGGCCACGAAAATGAGTGGCATGAGACAGAGTTTTTTTTTTATCGGAAAGCACTGAAAATAATCTGAGAAAAGTCCGAACACTATGAAAGCGGGAGCAGCCAAGCCTTGAAGAATTCTCCAATGGCAAAGTTCGCACTTTGATCAGGATCTGGCCACAACCATGTCAGCCCCCCATTCACTTCGCTCACTCAGGCCAAGACGTTTTGGATTCTCGCACTGATTCTTCTCCCGTGCGGAGTGTTGCGCACGTTTGGCAACAACGGCTTCAAAATCGCAGACAACTTGTCAAAGTCCTCCTTGTTGCACACATCCAAACTGGTCTGCAACACGTAGTTCCCAAACGCGTCGTGCAACATCTTGCTCATGTCCTGTTTGTGCTCTAACAACTCTTCGATCAACTGCCTTGGGATGAACCCATTGTCCGATCTCAACGACTTTTCAATGACGTTGGAGCCAAACTTGTGGAGAGACAAGTTGACAATATCGCTGCGGATGGCCTTGACAATCGTCGCGACAGATTCCATGTCGCCCTTGAACAACACGTACTGCACGACGTAGTTGCCGAAGGGGTCGAGCGACAACTGGAGACAGTGCGCGGCGACGACGGTACTCAACTGCTTGCACTGTTCAGGCGACCCGTTGTCAAGGCAGCGCTGGAGGACGCAGCAGCCGTGTCTGTGGGTAGCGATTTCGATACAGTTGGTGGCGGCGGCGTCGAAGATGAACTGGTTGTCCGCTGGCTTCAACTTCTGGAGACACTTTTGGACGACGTGGTTCCCGTTGAGGTCGCGCGACAAGGACACAATGTGAGTGGCCAAGGCGGCAATCACAATGGCGCTCTCCTCGTCGGTGGTAATGCACTCGACAAGCTTTTGCAAGGCGCGAGTCCCGTGCGGGTCGAGCGCGATACGAATAAACTGCGGCGCGGCGTTCTTCACGAGGATCACGCGCTGCGCCCCCGACACCTTCTCAAACAACTTCTGGATGAGGTAGTTGCCGAACGGATCGGTCATCAACTCCACGATATGGAGGTAGATCTCGTTGAAGATCATCAGTGCCACGACCGCGTCATCCGCGTCGAGTTGGCGCTGGAGGAAGCGGCACCCGTGCTGGTCCTTACACAACAGGTAGAGATCGCCCGCAAAGTCCGCCAACTGCGCGTTGACAAACTTGGATGCGTCTTCGCCCTTGCGCTTGCTGTTCTGGCGGCGGTGCACGTTCATGGAAGGCGCGGCGCTAGCACTCGGTGGACTCCAGCGGTCGAACGAACGCATGTTCCACATCGCGGAGGGGCCCATCGCAAGGAGGTCCTCGGTGTGAGGCGTGCCTGGGTGGTACGTTGCACGGTGCTCTTTGGGGAACTCGGTACTCGCCGGCGCAAATTCGCCAAGAGGCATGAACTCCGGCTGGTGCACGTCTGGGACAGCAAACGGTCTGATCTGGTGCATTGGCGCATAGCCCCCGTGTGCGCCAAACATTGGCGCGAACGGCGCAGTCGCGGGTATACCCCAGGCATCCGCGTTGCCGCCTTTGTACATGTCCATGCTTGGGGCGTTGAATGGCGGCGGGTGAACCGGGAAGGATGGGAAATCGCCGTACATCTCGTTCCCCAACTGGTATGCAGGTGACGGTACGAACGGCGACACCTGGGCCGCATCCGTCTTCACGTCAAGACCGTCAATGTTGAGGTTTCCGAGTGCAATCCCGAGATCGATGGTGTCGGGCACGGACACCGGCACGGACACCGGCTCGTCCGAGGCGCTCCCGAACAAAAAGCCGGGCTTCACGCCCTGCGAGAGGAACGCCGAAGGCTTCTGGTTGTCCTGGTCGTCAGACATAGTGTACAGGGTGGTGATTCCAGGTGACGGTGGTTAGATGGCTTCAGTAGGCTTTAAAAGTGTCGCCGTGAGCTTACGGAGCGTAAGGGATCGGGGAGCGCCCAAGGCAGCGGGAAAATATTTTCCTCAATTTTTCACCACCCGCGCACGACCATTGTGTACAGGAGTAGGCGACAGAAGCAAATAGCCTGGCATTGAGGAACAGACCCTTTTTGACTTTAAATTCAATGAGTAGCTAGAATACGCTGGTAGGGTTGAAGGATAGTTCTGAAAGTGAAGAGTTTTTTTTTCCTCAGTTCATAATGGTTGCATTCTCGTAAACCAGCTTGTCCTTTGTTGTACCAAACGTCGTGGGTCTGGTTATACCAAGACACGGACAAGATTCTCAGTTTCTAATCCCATTGACTTGACGAGGAGCAAAGACAAGAGTTTTCGTAGACAATTTCCAGAGGGGTCTGGGAAAAACAAGAGTGTGGATCTATGAACACAGTCTAGTTAAAGACTCACGTTTCCGAGCTATCCAACCTAACCATGCTTACTCTTCCAGGTGGTGAATAAGCGGTGACAATTCCCTCATAGTAAGACCGAATGGCATGCAGTTGTAACAGGAGCTATAAGACCGGACAGTACACAAAACAGAAGCCACAAGACTGGATGGTATGCAAGTGAAACAGCAACTACAAGCCATAAGGCAGAGTAATATCAATAAACAGAATACTATTACTATTAAATAAATTAGGTCGGGTTATAAAAAGGTGTGAAAAAAAGGGGGGGTTTGGTCAAAAACGTAACAAAAAAATGGGGGTTGGGGTGTCATCTAACTGCGTTAAACAACGATGCTGAAACGACTCTAAGAGGACTTTTCGTGTTGAGTAGAAACTCTTCTCATAGCGGAGACAAAGTCTTCGATAGATCTCTGCTGAGCAGGTTCCTTTCTTGGCTTACCGTTCATAACTCTGTCGAAGGATTCAGACTCAGACATAAGGTAGTAAGCACCACCCATGCAGCAGAAAACACCGAAAGAGAAAATCCAGACACGGACCAAGGTAACAACGTCGTTCCAGTTCTGGGACCACCAACCGAAGGCACAGAAAGCGGTGGCCAAGATATCAACCATAAACACCGCGAGGGACAATTGCCAGGATGGAATAGAAGACCAGAATGGACCAGCGGCACGGGTGATGAAAATCAACCAGTTCTCAGTCAAGGAGATTTCCAAGAACAAGACACCGTCAATAGAACCAAAGTTCTGGATGATACCACCCTTGGACATGAACATGGTGGTCAAGGTGATCCAGGTACCGATAGCAAGAATGATCCCCAAAATAATGGACATACCCCAGAGTCTTGGCAAGTTCCACTTGACTGGCTTTGGAGCGTATGGGGCGTTATCGTAAGCAATGGCCAAGGTGGCAACATCGGCGAAAATGGCAATGAAAACAATCAAGTTAATGTCCAAGGACTCGTTGAGAATAGCAATCCACAAACCCAAGAAGATTTCCAAGTGCAAGGACAAGGCAATACGGTACACAACGTAAGAGTACATTCTGTGGAAAATCTGGCGGGAGGTCTTGATGGCATCAATGATAGCAGACAAACCTGGGGCAAGGAAAACAATATCAGCAGCGGAACGGGCAGCATCGGAAGCACCTTCGACGGCAATACCAGTGTCAGCCTTCTTCAAGGATGGGGCATCGTTAACACCGTCACCGGTCATGGCAACCAAGAAACCACGCTTCTGCAAGATTTCAACAACGTTGTACTTGTGCTGTGGGAAAACCTCAGCGAAACCATCGGCATTTTCAACAAAGTCAGCAAGCTCAGAACCTGGCATGTCACCACCACCGCCGAGACCCAAACGGTCAGCGTCGAAGATAGCAGTACCCAAACCCAATTGACGGCAAGTTTCCTTGGCAATACCAACGGCATCACCAGTCAACATCTTAACTCTCAAACCCAAGAAACGGGCTTCAGCAACGGTCTTTCCAGTGTCATCTCTTGGAGGGTCCATGCATGGCATGATCCCGAGAATTTCCCAGTGGCCTTCGCCTCTCTTTCTGGCAACACCCAAAGATCTGAAACCTCTGGAAGCGAATTCGGCAACCTTGTTTTCGTAGTTCTCGTGGACATCTTCTGGAATAGGATGGTCTTCTTCAACAGTCTTCAAGACGAACAATGGAGCACCCTTAACACAGATGATTCTTTCGCCTTCTGGAGACTCAACAATAGCAACAACCTTCTTGGAAACAGGGTCGAATGGGTGGAACTCAAGCACCTTGTACTTGGTCAAAGCAGCCTTGGCACGTGGGTAGCCGATCAAAGACTTCAAGAAAGCCTTGTCAATGGCATCGAGACCCTTCTTCTTTCTGGAGGCAGCAAGACAGGCGGTCAACATAAGGTCATCGGCTTCAACACCTTCGACGGTGTATGGCTCGTGCAAGGACAACTTGTTCTTGGTCAAGGTACCGGTCTTGTCGGAACACAAGATCTCGACACCGGCCAAGGATTCAATGGCAGACAACTTCTGGACAATAGCCTGCTTCTTAGCAAGGTAAGCAGCACCGACAGCCATGGTGGTGGTAACGACAGCTGGCAAACCGACTGGGACACCGACAATGGTGATGGCAAGGGTGTAACGCAAGATTCTGACAATCTTGTTGGTACGGTAGAAAGAAGCAACCCAGACAACCAAAAGAGTGATGATAACCAAGACCAACAAAATAGTACCAATACCGTTCAAGACTTCGGTGAAGTGACCGGTACCAGCAGACGCCTTGTTGACCAAAGCGGCGGCACGACCGACGAAGGTGTTGTCACCGGTGGCGCAAACAATCATCAAACCGTCACCACGCTTAACGGTGGAGGAGGAGTAGACAGAGTCACCCTGCTTCTTATCAGAAGCCAAGGATTCACCGGTGATGGCGGACTGATCGACCTGCAAGAAAATGTCTTCGGACACCAAACGACCATCGGCCGGGATAACGGTACCGTCTTCGACCTTCAAGATGTCACCTGGGACAACCTCGTTGGCCTGGATTTCGATAAAAGAACCGTTACGGACAACAACGGCGGAGTTGGCAAGAGTCTTCTTCAACTCATCGACGATAGAACCGGCTTGGTATTCCTGAATGAAACCGACAAAGGCGTTCAACATCAAAAGACCACAAATGACACCGAAATCAACCCAATCTTCAAGACCGGCAGCCAAGATGGCAGCGGCCTCCATGACGAACTGAATTGGACCGACAAAGAACATGATGAACTTGACAATCATGTTCTCCTTCTCTTCGGCCATCTGGTTGAGACCGTACTTCTTTCTTCTCTTGGTGACTTCAGCGTCATTCAAACCGGTGTGGAGGTCGGTTTGCAAGAGTTCTTCTGGAACTGGCTTGGCAGAAACACCTTCTTCTTCCTGTTCCTCTTCTTCGTCGTCAAGACCGTGGTGAGACTGCAAGTCTTCGACGAGCTGGTCAATGTCATCGTCGTCTTCTTCGACGTCGTCACCCAAAGGCAACTTTTCGTGAGTTGGGGTATTGTCACTCATCTATACTGGGTTAGTAAAGTTCGGTGTAGAGAAAAGTAGGGAGAGGGGGGGAGTGTTTATATATTTTCAGGTTGCCAGATTGGGAGAGAGGATCGCCCAGCTGGGACGGTGCGTGCATGAACAGAATACGATTCTTGGACGATCGTCGGCGATGGAAGAAAAAGAAAAAAAATTCGTGCGGCGTGCGCGAATTACGGACCAATCGGATAAAGTTGTGCATCGAATTTGGGGAAAACGTGGTAGCCGCACACCTCTATTTTTTGCAGAGGTAAAGCACAGGGTTGAAATATTTCTGCTGAACCAATGGCTGAATATTGTGTTGAGCCAAATGCTGGATGTCGCATTGAGCCAAATGCTGGATGTCACGTTGGGGCAAGTGGAGCCTCATGATATAGTGGCAATTGCCAGTGGTCTTTGTGGTAACACCAAACCTCCCTGTTCCCATTCCCGGCAGCAACTGCTGTGGCTGTGATACATACTATCGCAATATTTGAGAGTCTTTATAAAGCAAGCTACTAAAGTTCGTGAGAAAATTAATGCAAAGTAAATTATATGACAATGAGTGAAGAAGGAGAAGAAAAAAAGTAAAAGAGGGAGGGTGAAAGAAACGGGGATTGCCGCCAATATATATCCGAAGCGGAAAGGGTGGAAATTCCCAGCACCAAGGTTGGGGGATAGTCATATCGCTCTACGATGTGTGTTTATCGACGTCTACATTAAGCATCTACTGTTTACATATCGTTTCTTTTTTCTGTTGAGATTGTATGGCATTTGGGGGGTGAGGGGCAGGTGATTAAGCAGATGTGGAGCGTTAACTATAGGAATTCACTCGACGTCGACGCAGAGGGAAAATTTTTCTCCTCTAGCAAAACAGAACAGTGTTGTGATTTGTGCGTGTGTTCATGCATAGTTATGCACGCATGTTCCGTGACAAGCCTATAGTCTCTTATGGCCCGACGTGCACTGTGTAGCGACGTACCTCTGATTACGTATGTGCATAAGATTGCGCAAGTGCGACATTTAATCGAGGCGGGTGGAGGAGGAGATATCCCGAAGCGGAACGCTTGCACCCCCAAGCTGTTTCACCCACAACACAATAACACAGGGCTCGCTGGCTCTGAGGTATGCACCAGACGGAGTCTTTCCCGATTGGGAACTCGGGCTTGGTGGTGTTATGACATTCAGAGTACAAATATCCTGCATCCTGTCCGAAGTTGAGGGAATTCACATACGCAAAGCGGGTACGCTCCCCTACTAGGTCTTAAGCCCTCGCTCGGCTAATTGTATTACGGTTTAGTCAGAGACTAGGTGTAGAGATGGTAGAATGGTACTCGGGTAATGAGCTGTGAGGTGTAAGAGGTACGTCTTAACAGCAGGAGAGGGGTATCTTCTCGGTGCGCGAAATAGCTTTGCCAGCCGCGTCGGGTATATATCCGCAAGTAGTTGACAAGCAGAGCATGGCTGAACATCGGGTGGAGTCCGCACATAAGCCAGCTCTTTCTATCAGGAAGCGGCACTTAATGGCTCGGTTGACAAGCCCTGTAACGGTGCTTCAGCTGACGTAACATTGGGCGGCATGCACGGTTCCAGCACGTCCGGCGCCGCAAGCCCAACCACCTAGGTATTTGAGGAGCGGATGATAACTATCATAAAGGGATATTCCCGCCGCTCGTTTATCCTAGTGCCCGAAGTCAAACTTGCGTTAATTACCGATTTGCGTTTTTCCGCCGTGCACTACCCCTCGACGCATATCAGTGACGTTTGAATATGGCTCAAGTCTGTATTTCGCTCATTAATCTCCTGGTTCGGATGCTTGGGACCTGCTTGATAGATATTTCAACACTCTAGGCTCATCAAACTGACCCCTAGTTTCGCTGGTTAAAGTTGCGTGTGTAACCTTACGTTATGCAACTTAAATAGCGTACAGATGTCCGCCTGGAGAAAATCGAGGGGTTGGGAAGTGTAACTGTAGCTTTAAACGACATTCGAGATTTCCGATGCATCCCTGTCCCATAGAAACTAGGCCTATACCTAGTGTCTACACGGGGTCTCCCGGCGCCAAGGTCATTTAGTCCGTGGTCTAATTGATACATAATAAAGACCTTCTTTCTACGAAACCCTAATTAGCTTCGGGTGGGTGCTTCAGAATCCTTACGGAGTTGCTTATCGGAACCAGATGCCCGCACGTCATTCCATCGCAGTTTAGTTTCAAGAGTCGACTAGCCAACCCATGGAGCAGATAGCCTACACGGCGAGTTTGCAGACGGGAGTAGATAAGACAATATAAAAATTCCTCGTCCCTGTGACTGCTGTCGGAGATGTCTTGCCATTGCATGATTTCTATTCGAGGGATTTTTTCACTTCTTAGAACCGCAACTAAAACGGGGATTAGCGTCGAGAAGTAGTGCCAGAGCGTTCCGGCCCGACCCGGTATCGAGACACACTCTAGTCCCCGCCTGTACCTCCGGCCAAGAGAACACTATTCTCCGCTCTTCACATAATCCTAACAGTGGGGTTGTCCATTGCGTAAGCTTTGAATCTTTACGGATTCTGTTTCTCAGGCGACGGTCCCTTCTGGTTAGTGAAAACGTGCAATAACGAGGCCGTCTCCTACACCTTAGGGTTTGCGTGTCGTAACGGATCGAGATAAAAAGAAACTGGGATGTGCGGGAAATAGAAAGAGGTGTGTGGTCTGACGTTACACAAACGAGTGTAGATTAAGGTTGCCAATCTATCACTCTGGCGGCACGTGAGGGGGAGGGGACGGAGGAAACACTGGTACAAGTACCACAGCTACCGACTTGTATGGTATATACTTGCGCCTTATACCCATTGGTTTGGACGTTCCAGGTATTCCGTATACTACTTTTATGCACATACTGTGAAATGTGACGTAAACCCCATGAGTGTTGCACCGGCCTATTAGGTAGGAGGAGGTCTCCCCGGATAAAAAGAAACTGGAAGACTAAGGAAGCCCCCCGTCCAACGACCCGCATGAAAAGCACTGTGGCATTTCTCAATGGGAGCTCCATGCACACAGGCTAAGAATTGTAGTTTGTGAGTGGTGCCGGCGGGAAAGCATTCGTGGTCGGCGGGGGAACAAATATCTAAGAGATGCATTATGTGTTAAGTGTTAAACATGGTTTCTGTGCTTTTTTCGGCCAGTTGGGTGAGGCTTATGATCGCAAGCCTACGACCCTCAGCCGTCACTGATCTTACGGTATGCACTGTGCGGCATGAACGATTAGAATAAGCGGGGTATACAATACAAAACCGGACGCCCCCATGGTGTAGGCATCGTGTGCCTCTTGAAGGTTTTTTTTTTATTATTTACGTGGTATATCGGACGGTGCCTTGCGTGACATGCACGTTACCGTCTTCCTGAAAAATGCCGTATTGGGCACGGCGCTCGACATGGCTGACACCGTCCAAGAAATCAGGAATAGTCCTTCTTGGCACTCTGGTTTTGATAGCTTCAGACATGCGTTTGTTAACATAGCTAGTTGGGTCGGATGGAAGGGGAAATCCTTTCCAGTTGAGAGGAGCGTGGGTCCATTATATGTAGCCGCTCCTTCTAGGGGCCCATACGGCAACCTCTGGCTGTCTCGCTATGACGTCGTCGTGTGCTAGACTAAGTACTAACGACTCATGGATCAAGACGCATGATATGGACACCGAATTCCGCTCGGTATATCCCCAAACTGTGTCACGGTCTTGGTTTTTCAGTGTAATCCTTTCGGATGCCCGTAGCGTACACTTCAGTAAGCGTTCTCACCGAAAACCCCGTTATCCAGATCAGGGTTATGCGCAGCGAACCGTTTACTCTACGTAAGCAGCCTTAGCGCCGGCTCCCGAATTAAGCGGCGGGTATGGCTGTATGATTGTGATCGTCCTCTAGCTGGTTTATTTTTGACCTTTCCAGTGATAATTTGCGTGCGTAAAGTTATCCCCGTAGCGGGCATAAAACCTGCAGGCATCATGTATTTAGAAGTGCCAACGGCCATACGCTTATTTATGCACCTGATGAGGCAATCCATCTGCCTAAACCAGGTGGATAGCCGATCGAGGCCACGGTACGGCGATCTACCGCCAGAGACAATAATGCTCTCTGTAGAGAGGACGGTGTATAGTATGTGTGGAGCACTGGCGAAGGCATTTTTAATAGAGACTATTAATCTGTGTATACGGGTTACGGCCGAAGTAGACAACTATTAGGTATTGTTTGCCAGCAGTTCAGAGATATATAACAATATATATGCGTGTATATATTTCTGTTCGTTCCTTGATTGAAGTATGTGCATATGTATATATGTGTATAGTTTGAAGGTGTGGATATAATGTCAATGAAAAAAGCTGGATTATACAGATAAATGCCGAATATTTATATATTATATCTCATTCAAAAAAAACAATACCCTATAGTTTATTGCTCATTAATATATCTATCCATCACCACTACGTATTATCCGTTTATACAAAAATAAAAAGCTAGTTATAACAGGACTCTAGGTAACGATCTCGTTACCTTCGCACCATGCCATTATCATTACATTCGATATCATACCGGGACTAGGCATACACAAGATTTACGTCATCCCAAAAAACGTACCTCTGATGCACGGCAGTTTTTCCATCCTGCAACGTGGTCAACTAATAACACGCAGAGTTAGTGTGAATTTCTTTTCGGCAAAAATCCGGGACATGTCTTGGTCCTCAGCAGGATTGCCGCGCGGTTTTAGAATCTTGTATATACAAGCATGTGCCGCGTAGTTTCACAACTCCAGGAAGGAAGCAGAGGGTCAACTATAGCTGTCGACCATTGAGCCGTTCCAAAAGCTAACCGTCCCTTTAGCACATGTTAGTGGTGTGAGAGGGAGTACATGTGCCCCATTATCACACGGGCACGTGCTTTTGATCAGGTACACACACAACCTTAGACTTAATATACACGCGGTAAGATACATTAAGTTCCCTGAATTGAAGGCGTTACTCCAATTTCTCCAGTATTTTTTAAACCTGCAGAAGCAAAGATTCAGATCTCGCCAAGAGATCAAAGTGCATATATTTTACACTGTTATTAAGCTAACACCAAAGATTTCCGAGAATGTGAAAGGAACAGGAAGGCCCCTCTCTCATGGCATGACTGCTAGAGGCGTAATATAGATATATCTACCTTGGATAACTTCACTACAAACATGAATTACACAGGCCATACGTCCGAGCTATAAAACTGTACAACCTAGCAAGTCTTTTGAGCCCCGCGGTACCATGACCGGCAAGGAACCACGATCTGTTATCAAAGATATAGCCACTTAGATATAGCCACTTAGATACAGCCAACTTAGCCTTTCACGATCAGCATCTGCTTCACCTGGCTAAAGAAAAGCGCTAACGCATCGCCAAGCAGTAACCGCCTACTAACAACGTACGACCAACCGGAAAAATATTCCATGTCAACAAAGTAGAATCTCCCACTATAAACTATAACATAATACCTTAAGACGCATCTTCTCATCTCATTGTGCGGTTTATCACTAGCTATATATAGCATTTGCGTTAGAATGCATGCTAAAGAGACTGGGAATAACACGATATTAGGCCATAGTTTAACACAGCCTTGCAGTTCAGCTCACAGATGGACCCTAACATCACCACACGTTCGAGTAAATACTAATTCCTTACGATAACCCCCGCCAATCTTACCATTGTTCGGCTTACGATCTGACGCCGCGAGAGCCGTGGACGCCGCAGATTAGATGTGCGCCTACCAAGCTTCTAAGAATAAACAACAGCGGATTTAGATTAGACGCTAAAGCTCCAATGGCTGCCTTTTTTCAACCATCACCTAACGCTGTGCTCTCAAGACACAACCCAGTTGCTGCATTAAAAGTTCTACTGACCAATTCAGGGCTATCTGCTACTATCCATCTCGCTTGCCCTGGTCTGATTGCGCGATTCGTCATACCCATAGCAGGACTCGTACTCGCCGCAACCCTGTCACATCAGCCGAACCCCCTCATAGTTCGTAACTAACTCCAATACCAGCTGCTGATTCAAGATTCCGTTAAATATCTCCCCCTCCTTTTTTTTTTTTTGACCAAACGCACCCATTTATTCATTGGCACTGATTCCTTTACGTTCTCTGTCACACTTTGACCGAAACTGCTTTTTTCTGCGAACCCGCAACCAGAGCCATTTTATCAATAATGTCGTACACTCCGCCGCTCCAAATCGAGATTCCCGACGCGGAGGAGCCATACTACCCGCCGATGCCTCCCGGGGCCCAGATTGAGATTCCCGAGATGACGTTTGTGGCGACGCCATACCAACCGCAGCCGCTGGCGCTGCCGGAGGCCACCCCCAGACATAGTACGTCCATACGTGCAAGCACCCTTCTCCGCAGTTCATCCATTACCAGCACCACCAGCAGACGGCTCACGCTCTCGGACGGCCAAGAAGTGGCCGCGGTGAAAAAGAGCCTCGCGACGGACCCCAAGACCCCCGCCGAGTACACGCTTCATATCCTCTTTACCCAATTTGTCCGCCACGCCGAGCGCAAACTCAACCTCTGCTTAAACTACCCCCTCGATACGGAGCTGCCAGTGGTGGAGCTTCTCGCTGAGGGCGTGGATCCGGAGTTCGACTCTATCATCGCTTCGCTCGGGTACATTGCGCGGAGAAAACCCAAACCAGTGATCGACTCCGTCATGTTTTGGCGAAAATCCAAGCTGGAGGTTTCGGTGATGGCAGCTAACGCAGTGGAAAAAAACTTGGGGCTTGCCAAAACGCTCCAGCAACAACTCCATAAGTCGGCGCTGCCGCTGCCGTCGCCCTCCACCCAACTCTCGCTTCTCAAACGGCACACATCGCGCGGCCCCTCGCGTGCGCCCAGCGTATCCAGCCTTCCATTCCAGCGCCACAAGCGGAATAACTCATCCAAGTCTTCCATCAACCTGAAGAACATTACAGACGATACGGATTTGACCCGAAAGCAGCAGATTTTGGAGCTGCAGCTTCAGACATCGCGCGAGACGGCCGTCCAGGCGGACCGCAAGTCGCTCGTCTCCATCTATATCCTCTGCCGTGTGCTCATCGAGGTGATCAAACAGACTCCGACCGATGCCATCGGCGACGACCTTGGCGATAAGCTCGAGGAGATCGTATACACACAATTGAAGACGACCGATCCCCAGGCGCTTGGCTCGCTTATCCGCTCGGCGAACTGGAACCTCTTTGCGGAACTCCTCGGACACATGTCTGAGAAACGGTTCCTCAGCGTGAGCGACCGCTTCATCGCTGACTTGGAGAAGATCCCGCAGGCCGTGGCTCCCGGTGACGAGCCGCGGCTACAGCTCTTGATACATGGGATGCGCTATCTCCGAATGACAAACTATCCGCTCGACTGCTTTGAAGACAGCGCGGAGTTTCTCCAGTCAGTCAGCAAGTTCTACAGCCGGTGTGCCAACGAGGCCATCACCGCCACCTACTCCGAGGTGCTCACGCACTTGCTCTTGTCGTTGGCTGATGTCTTGACGGCCGAGGCGAACCACCCCACGTGGGTGGCCGCGGTCCTGGCCATCTACACCCGCTCTTCCGGCCTCGCCGCTCTTCTGGGTCCCTGGACCACCAGCTTCACGCTTCTCCTGTCGTCCCTTGCGGTGGCCCCCAAGGAGATTTTCCTGGCCAACTGGATGAAGCTCATCGAGACACATTCGGCAAAACTTAAACCGAAGACGCCGCTCAGCAGCAAGGCGGTGTATGTCACCGCCTTGGCCCGTCTCATGTGGGTCTTCTTGTACCGGTGTCCCGAGTCGCTCAACCAGACAGTGCGCTGCTTCGACCAGCTCTATAAGATGTTGAATCTCACAACCACCAACCGCAAGCAGCAGTGGCTCACGGCGGACCTCGCGCTTCTCCAGCCGCTCGTGCAGCTCCTTCGTGCGGTCGGGTTCTCCAACCTCACATACGCGCTCGAGGACGTTCTTCTTCCAATGTTCCGGCTGGCATTTTCCAGCGGCTTGGAGGGCATGGCGCAGGAGCGGCTCCTCCTTGTAATCCGGCTGTACGTGTCGATTCTCGCGGACATGGAGGCGAAGCAGCGCCCGCCGTTTCCCACCGATGAAGTTATCGCGTCGGTCTTGCACAAACCGCGCACAGCAAGTACGGGCGCAGACTTCTTCGTGCGCGGCTCGCACAACGCGGTCACCCACGAGGAATTCTGTAAGCACCTCGCGCAGTTGTTCTTGGTGTTGGACGCGTCTGTCGGGGCAAACAGCTCCGAATCCACCCAGAAACTCAGCACTGCCCCGTTCGCGTCGTTCCATTTTGGCTCAGACTCGAATGTCCAGACCACGCGGAACTTGAACACGGAGCTCTTTGCGTCGGTGCTCGAGGTCGTTCCATGGTGCCTCACGGGCCTTTCCTCCCTCCCGTTTAAGAAGCTCGTTGATATTCTCCTTCGCAACGCCATCCACAGCGATGTTCGCGTATCCACTGCGGCCACCAACACGCTTCGTGCACTTGCGTCGCGCCGCAACCCCACCGCACTCGTCACGACCTTCGCGCAGCTCGCGTTCTGTCTCGAGGATACGCCACACCCCGCGTACATGGCGGACTACTCGACCTCCACCGCATACCAGCGCCTCTTGACGCTCTACGTAGACCTCCTCCAGTGCTGGCTCGCGGGGTTCGAGAGCACCGACGACGCCGTGGACTCAGAGATGCCCACAAACGACATCCGAGCCGCGACTGAGCGCCGTCGCCTGACGGACGAGCTCGAGTGGAAGAGCATCGCCAACGTGATCGAGGAGCTCGAGGGTAACGGGCTCTTCTTCCTTTGTTCGCACGACTCCAGCATCCGCCACTTGGGCGTCACCATTCTCCGCATCGTCACTCGTTTCGACGATGTCATCTTCGAGAGTACAACCTCAGAGAAGGTCGACCGAAGCCACCGCCGCAGCTCGTCCAAGTTTGCGGCCGATGTCGGCGTCCGTATCATCGATGTTCTCGAGGATGCTGACTTTGTGGAGCTCATTGAGCCGGTGAAGGAACTGTTGAGCATGCCCGAGCGGAGCAAGATCGCAAAGTTGGTGAGCAAGCCGCGCAGAGACACGCTTCTCCGTCTCGCGGAGTCCGATTACGGCGTGGACACCGCCATCTGGTTTCGGCTCTTCCCCCAGATCGTGGTACTTTGTTTCGAGCGGTCGCCCGTGTCGGTGGCGCTCTGCCGGTCGATCGTGTGCGGCCGTCTTGTGCAGATTCATGAGACGGTGTGTCTATACGCGGATGCGCGCAGCGGTGCGCGCTCGTTTGACTTCCCGCCGGAGATCTTGGTGCAGCAGTGGAAGTTGTACCTTGTCTTTGCGTGCTGCGCGCTCACGTCCACCAGCGAGGACACGCTTGCGGTCGTACCGCGGCTGCGTAAGCCTGCGCGCATCACATCCGCGGTGTCTATCTTCAAAATGGTGATCCCGTTGCTTCGCTCGGACCAGATGTTGGTGCGCGACGCGGTCATCAGCGGCTTGAGCTCCGTCAATCTCAACGTGTTCCGCAATCTACTCGAGTCGTTCGGGCCCGTCATTTCCGCGTGGGAGAGCCAGAGTGCCGGTGAGGGCCTGGAAAACCGGATGAAGGTGGAGATGACGCACATCCTCCAGAACGTCACGACGCGTGCGCGCGGCGACGCGCTTCTCTTTGCAGACGAGTGGACCGTGCTGAAGCTCGTGGATTTCCTCACGTTCATGACGGGTTTCTTGCACGAACAGAGCGTGCAGGTGCGCTTTGAGTTTCAGACGCTCCGCCGCTACTTCTGCAGGTTACTCGAGAATGTGTACACGGGTGTGGCCGCATCCGAGCGCACAACGTGGTTTCCGTTTGCTGCGCGCGTGCGCTGCTACGGATTCCTCGAGGAGTGGTGTGGGTACGGCCAGTACGCGCAGCTCAGCCATGAGCGCTACAACTTCATGGTCAAGCAGGTGACTGCAGCCGCGCAGACCGGCTTGAACGCGGCAATCGAGATTGAGCGAGGCCAGTTAGAGTATGCGAGCGTCAGCTGCATGGCTGCGCTCTGCGCCGACATCGCGGACGGTGCGGGTGCAAAGCCCGCGTCGTTTGACATTCCGGATCTCCTTGCATGGATCGGCGCGTTGCTCAGCAGCGGCAACGACAGGATCCACGAGCAGGGGCGCCGTGCCTTGCAGAGCGTGGTTGCGCTGGCTGACGCGAATATGGCCATCATCGACCACGCGATCCGCCAGTGCTATGTGCCGGGCCACCCGGAGGCCACTGAGAGCTACTTTATCACCCTTGCGGACGCGATCGTTGCGGACCCCGCGTACCCGTGCTCGTTATACCAGCTTCTCCCGCTTGCGTTGTTCTGCGCCGCGAGCGACACGGCCACCGTGCGGCACCGCGCCGCGCGTCTTCTTGTGTACACGGAGCAGCGCTTCTACGCTGGCCAAGTGGACGACTTTAGCGAGAGTATCTGCTGCGAGACCAAGGCAGTCTACAAGCGCGCGTTCTTTAACGCGGCGACGAGCTTCGCGGCGGTTGCACGCGAGAGCTTCAAGATCATCCTGGAGTTGACGATGGTGTTCCACATCGTGGAGCCACGCGCGCGCCGTGATGTACTCGCTATCCTTCTTCCGTGGGTGCAGGCAGTGGAGCTCCAGGCGGAGGATGGCGTGGTGGATGTCAAATCACAGATGGTGCTCAACAACTTGTTTGAGATCACGGTCAAATATAGCGACGTAATCCAGAACGAGGTGGAGGCGTTATGGGTTGCGTTGGGCAACGGCCATGCCAATAACACGGGGATCGTACTCCGGTTTCTCACCGCTTCCGCGACCGAACGCCGCAAGACGGTGTTTGTGGAGTACGCGCGACTGGTGGTGGTGTATCTTGCGTTCACCCAGACCGGGAGCGCCATCGTGGAGACGCTTATTGCGAACCTCGAGCCCAAGGCGATGATCCCGCCGCACCCTAAGCCGGTGGAGCGCGTCCAGTCGACGTCGGACCTCCCGTACATTGCCGACTTGGGCTTGATTCTCAACCAGGGCAAGGAGGCGGTGCTCTCGCTCGGCCAAGTGTCGCTTGTATTTCTTGTGGATCTTCTTGCGATTCCGAGTGAAATTCCACGGGCCAAGGTTCCGTTGCTTCTTCATGTGGCGTTTGCCCTTTTGGATCACTATCTCCCGGTGGTGCAGCAGCAGGCAGCGGAGATGGTTGCGCATGTGCTATACACGCTCGCGCGTGACGCACCACGTACGAAAGAAACTATCGCGTTGTTGCGCCAGGGCAGGTCCGACCTGCCGGACGCTTTGCGCGTGCGTGCCCTCTGGGTCTATGATGACCTCCACCGCGACCGCAACGGCGCCACCACGCCCAAGAGTATGGACCTGCTTGTGCGCGCAACCCTCGCGATCCTCCAGCCGACAATACCCTCCCTCCAGGACGAGTGGTCGCGCGTGTCCCTTGTTTGGTCGACCACCTGTGCCGTCCGCCACATCGCGTGTCGCTCGTTTCAGGTGTTCCGCCTGCTTCTCTCGTTCCTCGACCAGGGCATGCTCCGCGACATGCTCCACCGACTCTCCAACACGATCTCCGACGAAACTCCCGACATCCAGGGCTTTGCGATGCAGATTCTCATGACGCTCAACGCGATCTGTGCGGAGCTCGACTCGGCCCAGTTGATTGAATTCCCCCAGTTGTTCTGGCTGGGCGTGGCCTGCCTAAGTACCGTCCATGAGCCGGAGTTTCTCGAGGTGCTTTCGGCGCTTTCAAAGTTCATTTCCAAGATTGATCTCGACTCCCAGGATACGGTAAACTGTCTTGTTTCGACGTTTCCGCCAAAGTGGGAGGGCAAGTTTGAGGGCTTGCAGCCGCTTGTGATGGTAGGCCTCCGCTCGGCTGCGTCGCACGACGCGGCGCTCCGGTTCCTTGACCGCTTGAACCGCCTCCAGGACAGTGAAATCATCGCCGCGGGCAGCAGCCGGCTCCTCCTCGCGGTGCTTGCGAACCTCCCGCGCATGCTCCATGCGATGGATGCGGTTCTGCCTGAGCTTGCAGAAGCCACAGCCACGATGGTGGCCATGTGCGAGCGCTTTGCGGCACCGGACCTCTCGCGGCTCCTCACATCATATGCCAAGGGCCGCTTCCGGTCCAAGAAGGACTTTGTCGCGCAGATCGTCGCCGTCATCCGCAAGTACTTTTTCCCGCAATACGAAGCCCAGACCCTTGTGGTGCTCCTCGGGTTCTTGTCCAATAATACCCGGTGGGTGAAACTCGAGACGATGGAGTTGCTCAAGAGCATGCTTCCTTATGTGGACTTCCAACGCGAGGAGTTCCTCGGGGTCGGGGCGGACTTAATTTCGCCGTTGTTGCGGCTTCTTCTCTCGGACTACGCAGGGCCCGCGCTTGAGGTGTTGGACGAGGCATCGAGCATTTCCGGGTCCCAGCTCGACAAGGCGGTGTTGCGGATGAGTCTCGGTAACCACACCATCCGGAAGGAGTACGAAAAGACCGCGACATTGTTTGGGATTCCGGACGAAACCGGCTGGGCCATTCCGATGCCCGCCGTGACGGCCGCGACAACCAGAAACAACGTCCACGCCGTGTTTTCAACGTGTGTGGTGGCTGCTGTGGAGACGGCTGGGGGGACCGAAGAGATCGAGTTCCACACCGAGGATTACGCGTTTGAGGATGTCGCATCGGTGACGGAAGAGCCTGACGCGTTGAGCCATATGTGGGCCGCGCTTGACAGCTTTGACTCGTTTTTCGCACGCGATTCGCCCACGGCGTTTGACGCACCCCAGATGTACGATAAAAACGTATCGCAAATCTTGAACCGGAGTTTAGCGCGCACCCCGTCGAACACTTCGTTCAAGCAGTCGTTGGCGGACTCGTTTGATGGGCCACTTCCAGCGCCGGTGCAGCAGCGTATGTCATATATTCCATTTAGGAGCAGCCGCCGATCGCCGGTGCACCCGAGCTTTTCGCCGCATCGATGAGAAGGTGCGTTGGTGTATATTTCAAGCGAATGGACGTTTTGTCTAGACAGGCCGTTTAAATTCGTGAGATGGGTTGAATTTTGGTATCCAAAGTGGGTATTTAAATATTATCCAGGTGATATTATCTAAATATAGAATTATAAGAGCGTAGGTGCATGTGAGTTTTGAGGTAAATCAGTTTTGAGGAAAAAAAAAAATATTTTAAGGATCTATTGTCTGAGATTGAAAGATTATTGTCCAAGTAGTGTCTGCTTATTGTTTTGCATCTAGTCAATCGTTAGGCGTTGCCCCGATGTTATAATACCCTCTCCTGCAGACAAAACGCATTCAAACCTAAACACTTTAATGAATAATACAAAATAATATGATCATCCAACGATATAAAAATGGTTCCCCAATTTGACTCCCATGTGCTGTCTAATACTGCTCACATGCCTGGACCGCCGGTACCCGAACGTACCAACTTCACCGTTGTCACATGACCTTCCAACAGAACGGGTTAACAGTGTGGAAATGTGCTCTTAGAAACATTCTAAGCATTCCGATACTGATATTAACGGAAGTCATCACCCGGCTCCCTTTATAGTGAATCTTGCAGACCCCGGTGGCAGCTATACTGTGGCTCCAAAGACAAATGTGTCTATTGACATATCACGTGCGCACGGCAGATTTTCTTTCTTTTTTTTTTCCCTCTCTAGCGGCCAAGATAAAAAGGAGTTTTTTTTTTGCATTTGCGCTTCATTTTGCCTAGTTTCTCCTCTTTATCAACAATGGCTACCACCTCTAACCAACCAATCCCCCCATTAGCCGAAAGCGCCTTGGACCTCATTGGGAGCACTCCGCTCATCCGCCTCAACAAGATCCCGCAGTCTCTCGGGATCAAGTGTAACATCCTCGCCAAGTGCGAGTTCTTCAACGCTGGTGGCTCCATCAAGGACAGAATCGCTAAGCGTATGGTCGAGGAGGCTGAAGCCTCTGGTTTGATCAAGCCAGGCTACACCTTGATTGAGCCAACCTCCGGTAACACCGGTATTGGTTTGGCGCTCATGGGGGCCGTCAAGGGCTACAGAACCATCATCACCTTGCCAGAGAAGATGTCCAACGAGAAGGTTGCCGTTTTGAAGGCACTCGGGGCCGAGATCGTGCGTACCCCGACCGAAGCCGCGTGGGATGCCCCAGAGTCGCACATTGGTGTGGCCAAGAAGTTGAACGCTGAGATTCCAAACTCCGTCATCTTAGACCAGTACAGCAACGTCAACAACCCTGACGCCCACTACTACACCACCGGCTACGAGATCTACCAGCAGACCGAGGGTAAGATCACTGCCCTTGTGGCTGGTGCCGGTACCGGTGGTACCATCACCGGTATTGCCAAGTATTTGAAGGAACAAAACCCGGCCATTAGAGTCGTCGCTGCCGATCCCCACGGTTCCATTTTAGCCGTTCCAGAGTCCCTCAACACCTCCACTGACCCCTACATGGTCGAGGGTATCGGTTACGACTTCATCCCAGACGTGTTGCAGAGAGATGTCGTCGACGAGTGGATCAAGACCGATGACACTGAGTCCTTCCACTACGCCAGAAGATTGATCAAGGAGGAGGGTTTGCTCGTTGGTGGCTCCTCCGGGACCGCGCTCGCCGCTGCCTTGAAGGTTGCCGAGACCTTGACCGAGAATGACACCCTTGTCGTTGTCTTCCCTGACTCTATTAGATCGTACTTGTCCAAGTTTGTTGACGACGGCTGGATGAGCATCAACGGGTTCTCGGACGAGGCGCCGGCCGAGGACGACCACTTGAGAAAGTATACTATCAAGGATTTGCACCTCAAGCCAGTGGTGACCGTCAAGAGCTCCGATACTGTCGAACACACTTTCAAGCTCATGCAGGAACACGGATTCGATCAGTTGCCGGTATTGAACGCCGTCGGCAAGCTTGTCGGCTTGGTTACCTTGTCCAAGATCCTCAAGTCTTTGTCCTCCAAGAAGGTCCAGTTGACCAACTCCATTGTGTCCATCATTATTGACTTCCGCCAGTTGAAGAACTTTGACGCGTCTGAGATCACTGAGACCCCACAGTTGAAGAAGCGTGAGTACGCGTCCATGACCGTTGACACCTCTTTGTACTTGTTGAACAAGTTCTTTGAACAGAACTCCAACGCCGTGATCACCGATGCCAACTTGAAGCCGGTTCATGTTGTTACCAAGGTTGACTTGGTTTCCTTCATGCTCTCCAAGGCTTAGATTGTAATATACCGCCCCAGGCACTAATAATACCATATACAAAACAAATGTAAACAGGTGTCATCATAAGCCGCTTGTCAGTGGTGTAATAAAACTCGCCAATCATCATAGTTGCCATACCTATGCTAATCCACAGTTTGAAGTCGATATTAGGAGCCTCAGGGAGGTGGATTGGTGGCGTTTCAACCAACAGGACGCTGCCTAACTAAGGGATTGAGACTATATAATAACCTTGTCTCATTTTGGGTAAGCAAATACCGTTACCTCGATGGCCAAGGTGGATGAATACCGGGCAAAGTGGCCGAATCTTAGAAGCATTGCGTAGCTTCCAGACGTGCAAGAACCCAAAACTCAATGAATATTCATAAATTACGTAAATACATTTCGCAAACCAACCTTAGAAAAATAAAACCTTCGATCAATAATCAGAACCCACAGACGAGACCGACGAGGCCCTGCGGTGACGTTTTCGCAAATGAACAGGATTATCTCCCGTGTACAACCTGCGGATCCCCTTCGGAAACGATACCCCGTTCAAGTCCCGAATCCCGGTGAGCGAAACGTCCAAGTGTGCAAGCTTAAGGGGCAAGGTCACTGCCTTGAAGTCGTACATGTGAAAGAGCGAGGGGTTGGAGCTGAGCTGGAGGGTTATAAGTGAGTCGGGAAAGTGTAGACTGGACGGCAGGTCAAGCGGAACGTATTCGGTCCGGTAGTTGAGGAACCCGGCAGTGCATTTGCGCAAATCGAGATGCTGCACGGCGTTGGGTAACCTGCCCACAAAATTGAGGTTGGTGAGCTGGCAGCGGTAAAGAGTCAAGGATCTGAGCGACTGGGGGAACGCTAAGTGGTCGAGAATGGGGGTAAAGTTGGGGCAATCGGCAATACGAACCGTTTCCAAACCCTCAGAGAAGTCCATGTGTAACTCCTTAAGGGAGCACAGCTTGAGGATGAACTCTTTTACACTTGGAGGAAGGGCTAATCCCGTAACCACATCCTGGTTGTATCCTTCAATCTTTAACGTGTGCACCGTGGGTGGCAACACCAAGCCCTCCAAGTGGGAGCTGGCAAAGCCCGTTCCGTGCAAATGGAGTCTTGTCAAGCTGGCCGGAAAGGAGGTTCGGTTGAATTCCGAGACGGAAAAGTCCGCATTTTCGCCCACTGCTAACGTCTCGAGAAACGGAGGCAACCGGTCATACAAGACCTTGGTGCAGTTCACTCCCGCGAGGGATAAATTTTTGAGGGTCCGCGGAAGGCTCAAGCTGGAGTGAAACTCGGAAAAGGTGTCGTCAAAAAGACACACAGTGAGAGATTCAAGCCGTTCTGGGAGGCGGAAATCGGCCCAATCGACGTCCGAACATGTTAAATCGAGGCTCCGGATGTTGTCCAAACACGCCATTCGGCTCAACACTACGGGGTTTTCACGGGCCTCGATGGTAACCCTGAGCTCTTTGAACTGAGAAAGCCGCTCCATTGCAACCTTCAGGAACGGCAAAAAGCCTCGTTCCTGGAGATACACCTGGCCTAGGCCCAAGGGGGCAGCCGTGTAGTCCCTGTTTCTGGCAAAAGACGTAAACGTCGTGGTGTTCATGTAGTTGGCCACTGCTTCATCGGCACCGTCGTAGACGCCTTGCTTGTTCATCGGAATGGCATCATTGATGACAATGTTGGACAGGTAGATCTTGATTGCGGTGTCTCGAAAATCCCGCGAGCCGAGAAACAGCGGGAGGTAGTACACCGGCACGAAGCCCAATACCCGCGTAACCACCTCGATTGGCATACGGGCGAGTATCTGAAAGTTTGGGTCCTGCAGAAGCGGCGAGGAGTCAAAGCGTTTTCCGAAAAATGGGTTCATTTTGAGGGAACTCTTAAAAGTGTAAACAGTGAGGGTTGGATTGGCGAAGGGTGAATGACGAGGCTTAAATCTGGGGCCACACTGGGGGAGTGCGTCCCTGCATGTAACGATTTGAGCGGAGTATTGTGATCACGTGCTAACAGGATGGTTCATTGTCAACACTACGCTGCGAGAAATAGTCTGATTGAAGGAGTTTAAACCCAAATGTACGTGGAGTTGTGAATGTACCTAAGCATATCCCAAGGTCCATAAGGCAGGGCTTAGAACTCGTAGAATGCACGACTGGGTCAAGTAAGCGAGGTCACTTTGGTAGAGCCGATGACATGTTCGCAATGTCAGTCCTGGTCTTGGCTCTTCTTAATGTACCAGGACTGTGGATAGATACTACGTACGACATTTTCGGCAATACTCCAAGTGCACCAGGACTAAGGCATATTTAGACCCAATTGGAGAAACAATGACAGATCTGGGGCCCCAGACATTTTATAAGCACGTGAGCCGCACAGCCTTCTCGGTCTTATGCTAGCGCGTACTGACTCTTCGAAACCGACGTGCTGCTACCAGCAAAACCACAGGCACACGACCAGATAAAAATTTAACACACAACAAGCCAGCCTAACCCCCGTTTTTCTCTTCAACACACCATGGATGCCAAGGAAATCAAGACCATCATGACGTCGTTGGACAAGACGTCCGACGACACCACCATCCTCAAGCTTTTGACGATATTGCAGAAGAATGTGAAGCCGACGGAGCAGTTGTTGCGGGAGACCAAGGTCGGGGTGGCGGTCAACAAGTTGCGCTCCAGCAGCAACGCCGAGATCGGCAACTTGGTCAAGAAGGTGATTAAATTTTGGAAGGATGAGGTATCTACCGAAAAAAAGAGCAAGGCCAAGGGCCCGGACAAGAGCCCGGCCCCTGCTAGCGAGGACAAGAAGTTTGTGTCTGAGCAACCACGCAACCCTAAAAACGATGGGGTTTCGACAGAATTGTACTCTGATGCCACACGAAACGCCACCGTCACGGCGTTGTACACCGCGCTCGCGATCCAGTCAACGCGCACGCCGAAGCAGATTCTCCACACCGCGGAGCAGATCGAGCGCGAGGTGTTTCGTTTCGCAGGTATGGCGGTGGCGGACCAGTACCGCAACAAGTGCCGCTCGTTGATCATGAACATTCGGAACAAGAACAACCCAGAGTTGCGTGAGCAGTTGCTCACGGAGCAGATTTCGGCCGCAAAGGTGGTCACCTTGCCCCCATCCGCGCTTGCGCCCGAGTCGTTAAAAAAGGAGATCGAGGAGTTGCACAAAAAGAACTTGTTTGACGCCCAAGGTGCGACCGAGAAGCGTGCCATCACCGACAGGTTCACGTGCGGAAAGTGCAAGGAGAAGAAGGTGAGTTACTACCAGATGCAGACCAGGTCCGCCGATGAGCCGTTGACCACGTTCTGTACCTGTGAAAACTGTGGGAATAGATGGAAGTTTTCCTAGTCCCAATAGACAGCTTGTATAGTGTTTGTCGCCGGTGCAATGGCGGTGACACAAGTGTATTATATCCTATTGCTTGGTATGTGTAGAAAAAGGTGAAGGGAATTGATTAGAGACAGAAGATGGGCTTATGATTGCTATGAACGGCTTTCAATTACTTTGATGAGGGTATCTGTGCATTTTCCCAACTCCATTGGTAGACTACCGGACACTTTTTTGTGGTGTATCTGTTTTAGTCATAGCAATTTGGTTACTATATACTTTTTTTGTTATCAAAAATTGAAGAACTACCACCCTTTAATCTTCTCTCTAACTATATCCAGCTTACGAAGTATTTAGTGTCTAATACATGGTTGATACGCTTGTAATCACCGCTGTACGAGATGATAGTTTAAACAGATCCTTATAGGACGTATGTCTCGTAATTCTCAGCACAATCAAGTATAGAATAGGTCTGTCGCAGATCTGAGTAGGCTTCCCAAGACGCTCCAGAGATTTTCGCGAACAAAACGCCGGGTCATAAGCGTATAACCTGAACATCCATCTTACCCCGGCTAGTCACTCGCCATTCACCAAGCAACATGGCTCGTCTTTCTGGTATCCAAAAAGAGGGTAGGTATCAAAATCCACTCTTTCAGACCGAGTACTAACGTTTCAGTCACCAAGCTTTACAGACACTGCTGCAGATGTGTGTACAAAAAGCCGGAGGAAACCAGACCCAACTGGCGCCGTTTCATCAGGGGTGAGTTTGCCAAATACAGAGAGATCCCCAAGAGAGATTTTGCCACTGTTGAGTACTTGATCAGACAGGGTTGGAAGCGAGCGGAATTGTACGCTGGCGAAGGTGTCCGTGATGTGCGCTAAGCAAAGGAATGCATCCCAAATCTATAGACTCTCAGAGTTCTCCTGACTGAGACCATGTTCAATGGTGTACGTATTCTTGCACATAGCCGCGGATACATCGAACGGTAGGCAGAGCCTTGTACATAGCCAGCATTCTTGGCGGACCGGAATATAGTACGTTTTCCTCCAACCTCAAAAGGTTTTGCTCTCCAGTCTGTAAGGTATTTCTTATCAGAAAAGGAACGTGCGGATCGAAAAGCCCGACAATGTAAAAATAGTCTGTATAGTTGGTTATTACAAATAATTATTCAGCAAAGATCCAGCTTTAGAGAGTGAGGACTTCAAAGACTTGAGTAAGACTTTACCAAACGCTTCCCCTTAGTAAAGACGAGTAGGTTTCTCAAGCAAGAAGGCATGCTCTGTATCGATAAATTAAACTATATAGCATTCACGGTACAAACCCACATACGCTGCAACCATATCAGGTCCGCATTGCCTCCAAAACCTCTGTCATACCGCATGCGCAGGCTTGTCCAAGCAATACCCATTTACTCCCGAACTTAACAGCCCATCAACACAATGTCATTGATACTAGAGACGTTATTTGTATTTGGGCCTAAGTTAGGTTACCGCCCGATTTATAGAATTTACCTTGAACCACTCTTGCGTAGTCATTTCCGCCTCACGCTTGCCTTTTCCCTCCTGCTTTCGGCTGCAGGATTCATGCTGCAAAAAAAACGCAGGATTTACAATTTTGGAGGTCAGGTTCATCACTCCACTCCATCATCCCATGCCACCACCACACAGCCATTCATCTAACCAGGGCCCCACACGTGTGATCTACCTCGGAGGCCTTCCGTATGACTACACTGAGCAGCAGGTGCTGGAGATTGCGTCGTCAGTTGGGCCCGTGGTGCTGATCAAGTTGATCTTCGACAACAACACAGGCAAGTCCAAGGGCTACGCGTTTGTGGGATACAGCGAAGTAGCGATTGCCGAGTCGGCGGTGCGTAATCTCTCGAAAATGAAACTTGGAAACCGCAGCTTGAAGGTGGCCTTCGCTAACGAAGGGTCTTTGCTCGGAAACACTCCCCAGGGCAGACAAAACCAGTACCAGATTCGGGAGAATAAGTTGCCACCGTTGCCCTCAGGAACACACTTACCCGCCAATATGCTTCCAGCGGATGCCATCACCCAGACATTGGGCACGTACACGGCGCCACGTCTTGCGACATTGATGCGTGATGCGAAGCACATGGCACAGCAAAACCCCGCCATGATGGAAAAATTGTTACAGGAGAACCCCCAGCTAGGTTATGCGTTGGTCCAGGTCGGCCTATTGACCAACACGGTGTCGTCGGAGGTGGTGGCTGGCGTAGTTGCCGGGAGCGAACCGAAACCAGTGCCGAGCACCAGCGTGGATGAGTTGAGCCCCGAGCAGAAAGAGGCGATTACGGGGGTCTTGGCTTTGTCTGAAACCGAAATAGCAGCCATGGATCCGGAGTATCAGGGTGTAATCCGCGAGTTGAGACGGACCTACCAGGGGGTATTGTAAAGCAATAGACAATGTTGATATCGGAAGGAGAAGATTCTAGGGGATAATTATTTTAGCAATACATATTAAAGTTATACATTAACTAGGATGAGAGATGTTTATGGACCATATCGGGATAATTATATATTTCGATTATAACAGCATTGACTATGTGCTACAATCGCATTGTCATAGTTGCTTGGCAAAGGTACTGCCACAAACGTTTCCTGAAATCATGCTTACCTTCACACCTCCCCAACTCAAGACTTCACGACCCTAGACAATTCTAAGAACTCTGAGCGGGGAGCTAAAATCACACTCTATATGTCTAAATTATGGATTTTGCCTTAACCTCATTGTGCTAACCCCTAGAGGAACGACCCGGGGTGGTACGCCGTAGTTGCAAAGGTGTGCTTCGCAAACGCTGCTCTGTTACACTGTATAAACCTTGCATGCCACTCTACACCATAATCGAGAACTTCATAGGCCTCTTTGGGCCGAAAACCGTGCCATGGTACAGCCGTTTGTGCTTTTGCTTTCGATGATCGCTTCTTTACCACTTTACCGAACGTGTGGCGTATCCGCGTCCAGAACGTCTTCAATTTCGAATGTAGTGCATTCTTTGACTGTGGTATTCCCTGGCAATCCACCTTCATGGTGCTATTCTCTATCTCCAATATGATCTCTATATCTTCTTTGTCAGCCCGCGTACCCGTTGGGGATAACACCAACCGCCGAAAGGCGAGTTCTGCGGCAAGCTCATAGCGGAGCAGCTCTCGGACAATGTGGGTGGAAAAGGGCTCCCTGTACTCGTCATACGGCTGCTCCATTATGGAAAATATATAACAAGCCGTGGGAGAAACTGTTTTAGCTCGAATGATTAGGGACTGAAAGAATATGAATTCAAAGGGTTTGGTTGGTTGTGAGGTATTGCCCGATAAAAGAGCTAAAGCATAGAAATAGATAATATGGAATAGCTCCTAAGCCATCCCACAAAAATGTCTCCCGTCGTTTGGTCAAGATCTCATCAGAACTTAATTATATATTCATGCATACCTGTGAGCGCCAAGTACCTGCGAGTGCGCCTCCGAATTCTGACGGAAAAGCCACGGACCCGCGCCTTACCGCTGGAAATTGGAATCCCAATGTCTAGTGACAGGGGCGATGCACAAATATTGATGCACACATGTTTTGATACTCAGTTTTTTGGTCTATTTTACTACAAGGATCACACATCATTGGCTACACAGGTATAGCCTATATAGCTATATTTACAGCACACATAGCACATTCATTACACATCCATAGCACATAGCTTGCCCTAACCATACTGCGTCATGTCCCAATACACACGAGTACGTTATCACACCTCCTCTGATACACGAATACACCTACTTTAATGCACAAATACTGACATCTAGGTATCCCGTGAAGGCAATACCGCCGCAAGCTTACTAAGAGAAACGGATGACGGGTCCTTCCACGACCTGAGCGACGTTTTGTTTGACACCACCGAGCTCGAATTCGACTCAGATAGCACTGAAACCGCATATCACAACACTGGGGGGTTTGCCAATAACAATGGTATGCTCTACGCAAACTTAGCCTCAAACGTGGAACCTACCGTGGCTTCGAACACGGACTTGGTAGGCCTTTCTACCGAAAGCCCACGTATTGACTCCGAAACTCCTAGTGAAAGCCCCTCATTCTTATCTCCCTTACAATACGAAGTCCAGCACCACAACGGAATCCAAGCTCCAGACGAACACACGCCCCAGGAGGGCTCCAGCACCGATATGGGGGACGATACCGCCCAACCGTGGCACCGGCGTTTTCTCCACCGCTCGCACACCCTCATTAACCGCTACTTCCCGTACAGCCCGCTCTCCCAGGTGGCCGCAGGGGACCGCGGGGGCGCGTACGTAAACGTTGTGCGCGGTGCCGAATTCGATGGCGTGTTTGGCACCGCTGCCAGCACCGCTACACCGCCTAAACCGGCTGCCGCCGCGCACGTTCTCCCAACTTACGCCACCGCGATATCCGATCCCGCACCGTCGTACGCCTCGACCTTCGATCCCTATGCTGAAGATTCGCTCTTCATCGACGGGCTTCCGGTCGGAAACGTTGTCATCCTCGGCTGGAACTTGATCATCGTGTTGATGTTCCAGTACGTGGGCTTTATCATGACGTACCTCCTTCATACCAGCCACGCGTCAAAGTGTGGCGCGCAATTTGGATTGGGCTTGACGCTCCTCAACTGGGGTGTCCAGATGTGGCGCAAACCCGCCAATGGCGCCGCGATGCTGCCGCACGACCCACCGATCAAGCTACAGCCGAACGACCCCAGCAACTTTGATGTCGTAGGCGGTATTTCTGGCTCCGTAGACACCTACCATTCTGACTTGCCCACTGTCGCGACTGCAGCGGCCAAGAGCTCCGATGCCGGTTTCACCTCGCACATGCCATTCGTGTGGTTGGTGCTTGCAGCTGGAGTGGCCATCTGTCTCAAGGCCATGTACGACTATTACCAGGTCAAGCAGCTTGAATGGAAGATCTTTAATGGATTCAGCTTTGAAACGCTTGAGGAAGGGGTGTATGGGCGCCATCCCGAGGAGGAGGCGTTCGACTTGGAAGAGTTGCGCAACCGCAGAGAGGAGGTATAACGGGACCGTCAAGGGGTTAAACACGACCTGCTGTTACCCTTTTACATCTTGGAAGTGCTTCAGAAACGAGGCATAGGAAAGTTAGCGGCTGGAGCTCTATCCGGTCTGAACACGGAGATATGCATGACTGACAAAATGCAGTAGCACGACACGGATGCAATCGTATGGCCTAAGTCAATATGAGGTTATATCTAGTGCAAGCTATTTTTATTTACAAGAGCAGATATTCTACCGTAGTTTTCCTAAATGTGGATATACGGCTTGTGCCAAAATGTCCAAGCGTGATAATCGACACATTTTCGGTACTTGAAGGTGAGGCAGCCATGCTGATATCAACATCTCTGTAGTTAAAACCACCGATTATTTAGCACCAAGTACCAAAAAAGCTCTAGCTCATATAAGTAAACCCGCGAAAACATTCCACCGTAGTTCAGCCATCAGTCACAATATACCTACCCAGACGAGCCGAGTCCAAGTGGCGCCGCACACGCCTCACACCGCCTATTTCTATTCGACAAGAACACCCCTTCTCGCTCTTTCCATACACCCCTTTTCGCTCTTCCCATACACCTCTTCTCACTCTTTCCATACACCTCTTTAATAATCACGTTTCAAACCCCCATGCTGCTTCCCAAGATTCTTGCCATCGGACGTGTCTTCTTAGACACGCCCAAATATGCGGTTTTTAAAACCAAATTTGACATCAGCTTTTATACGCCCGTAAGCAAGGAGCTGTTGATGACAGACCTCAAGGCCCGTTTCCAGGACATTTCTGCCATCTGGGTGGCCCATGGCGGTCTTGTATGCACTACAGGCAACATTATCATGGATTCCTCGGTTATTTCGTGTTTTCCAGCGAGCCTCAGGGTCATTGCCTTGCTGTCTGTTGGTTTCGACCGCTACGACATTCCCCAGCTCCAGAAGCGCGGGGTGATTGTAACAAACACGCCAGCGATTGCGTCAGACCTGGTTGCCGATACCGCATTGTTGCTTGCACTCAACGCCTTTCGCCTTTACCCCATCTTTGAGCGTGCCGTGCGGGAGAGCGGCGACACGGTTATGTCGCGTATCAACGTCTCTGGCGATGCTTTCAGTAACGGATACCCTGAAAAGCCACGCGTCCCAGAGCCCTTCCAGTTGGGCGATTATGTGGGCGGAATGAACGTGTATACGCCCAAGGGCCGTACTGTCGGGATTGTGGGTCTTGGTGCCGTCGGTGCTGCTTTAGCTCGCAGATTAGATGCCATTGGGATGAAGATCCGCTATACCAAGAGAAGTAAGACCGATAAAATATTTCCCTTCCCATTGACCTTTCACGAGAGTTTTGAGGATATGGTCCCCCACTGCGACTTGCTTGCGTTCTGCTGTCCGCTCTCACCTGAAACGCGCCACATGTTGAACAATGAATCGTTAAAGTTATGCAAAAGAGGCGTCAGAGTTGTAAACGTGGGTAGAGGTGCTTGTATCAACGAAGATGATTTGGTCGAGGGGTTAGAGTCTGGCCAGGTGGGATATGCCGGGTTGGACGTGTATGAGTTTGAGCCGCGGATCCATCCAGGGTTACTCAGTCGGTGGAACGTGTGTTTGTTGCCCCACGTCGGAAATGCCACCGTGAACAACCGTATGATCAGCGCGATCAACTGTATGGAGAATATCGAGGATGTGATGAGTGGGGGACGTGGGCTTACCGTGGTGAAATAGGAGATGAAAGATTATAAATTAAGCAGACCAAGTATTGGGCTCTCACGGTTGGTCGAGAGGTGCTAGATTAAGATTGGTAAGATACTAGTAACTGAAATATAACTGCGTTAACGGAAAGGTTTCCGGTCGGCCTAGCGGAATAAGCCGCGAGTGGTATCTATACAACAGTGCTGACGTATAGCCAAGATGCAAATAAATAGAAAAATGTGGGGTAGCGAGAAGATCCGGCTTGGTAAGATTCCTGTAGTGAAGGTGCCAACTAGACAGACGTTGACGATCGCTATCTCCTTAACCCCCTGGTATCGTATCCGCCTCAGTATATAAGGCCACCGACTACCCCTTTCTTGTGTATATATTTACGGATGAAAAGTATTGTCTTTTAGCTAGCTAACAGTATCCACCATTACATACTAGATATACCACAATTCTAGCTGTAATACAAGGCAATGAGCCGCGGATTTCAAGTCTGATGTTTAGAAAGTAGGTAAATGTACTAGACGAGTCATTCAGTCATGCGGGTGTCGATAGGTACCCTCTTACCTCCAGTCGGACAATATAATCGTTTGAGTGATTAAGTCTTCAGGATTTCACGCACTAAACGTCATTGCCAATAACTGAGAATTATATAGTGCATGCGCCATTTTGCCGTAGGCTCCAATAGTACGGCTGTAATCTTCGGCACAGCCCAGATGCGAATTAGCAACCCCGGTAACACTCATAAAGCTTCTTTGAGCCTCCATAGCTCTTCAGAAATCTACCTATAGACAAGACTGCCATCAAAGCTCATCGTAATACCTTACTAATCTGATCCAATCATCCGGATTCTTTCTGCCAGCCACATATTCTCCAGACTCGCCAGTTTCTCGCTTCGTCTCTGGAACATGCACAACGAAGGCAACTTTTTCCCAAACAGGCGGAGTATCCGGCATCTTAATGCAACAATAGCATGGGAGAAGCTTCTTGTCGCTATGTGCCGGAAAAGGCTGTGCGCTTTCCCACCCCTCAAGGCTTAGCTGCTGAAAAGTGCTTTGCTGTCACGGTATTTTGAAAACGTTCGGCCTCCGCTACATCGCTTATAAGCCTGGGTCCTCGCTGCAGCCGGTCTTTCCTCTCGGTCATTCCCGTATTTAGATCTTCCTTATATCATGAAGTTATCCAATCCAGTGCTTTTATCCGTCGCCTTGGCGTTGCCTGCCAACACGGCCGCCACTCCAGGGGTGTTCAAGGTGGACTTCAACGTCCACAGAGGGTCGTCGGTCGACTCTGCCGAGCATGGGGCGTCTGCCCATTTTTCCAAGAGAGAAGTTAATGGAGTGGAAACGGTTCAGCTTGTCAATGAAAACTCCTTCTACTTGGCCAACTTGTCTCTTGGGTCTAACAGTCAGAAAGTAGGGGTTCTTATGGATACTGGTTCGTCCGATTTGTGGGTTACGGGTAGCGATAACTCGTTCTGCGAAACTGGCACTGCCAAGCGTGACTTGAGGAGAAAACGAGATGCAAGTGGGGACGCAAGTGAAGACTTCAATTGCGGCATTTACGGGACTTTTGACAAGTCCACGTCGACCTCTTTCAAGAGTAACAACACCGATTTTTTCACCCAGTATGGGGACTTCACATTTGCATCCGGTGTATGGGGCTACGATACGGTTTCCATTGGGTCCTTAACCGTTGAAAACATGTCTTTTGCGGTCGCTAACCAGTCCAACTCGACCATGGGAGTCCTTGGGATCGGGTTTGCCAGTTTGGAGACCACCTACTCCTCCGCCATGTCGGAAGAAGATCCGTACACGTACGAAAACTTTCCGATGAAGTTGAAGAGCGAGGGACTCATCGAGAAGAACATCTACTCGTTGTATCTTAATCAGCTGAGTGCCTCCTACGGGTCCGTGTTGTTTGGCGGTGTGGACCACTCCAAGTACATTGGTAGCTTGGTCACCGTGCCGGTCATTAACCCGTCCTCCGATTTACTTATGTCTCCATGGCAGACCCAAATCACGCTCGACTCTGTTTCTTACGAAGGCAAGACCCTTCTGTTTGATTCTACCATTGCGTTGTTGGACTCCGGAACCAGTTTATCACAGCTTCCATCGTCCATAGTCAGTGCTGCTGTCTCAACCTTGGGCTTGTCGTTTAGCAATGAAATCGGGGCCTACATTGCGAAATGCGATGCCTTTGACGACAAGAGCTTCACCTTCACCTTTGGTAATGCCAACATTACCGTCCCAGCCTCCAACTTTTTCGTTAGCTTGACCGACAGTAATGGTGATACCAGCAACACCTGCGCCTTCGGAATGGTCGAATCCGAGCAGACGGTGCTCGGTGACAGTTTTTTGAGAGCCGCCTACGTGGTGTACGACTTGGATGATCACGAGATTTCCTTGGCCAACGCCAACTTTGGCGAGTCTTCCAACGACGAGAATATTGTTGCGGTGGTTTCCACCATTCCAGACGCCAGCTCCGGTGCCTCTACTGGAACCTCCAACATTGGCTCAGCCACCAAAGCTGTCAGCGCTACCACCACCGGTAGATCCTCCTCTTCCTCCACCAAGGCCTCTTCGCTGAAGGACAGTGGTGCCGGCTGTATCGCCAACCCTGGGATGTTTGCCATTGTGGGGTCTGTCTTCGGCTCTGCTCTTTTACTGATCTTGTAGTTCTTCATGTTAGCTTGTTGCCGCTTTCAGCGTTTAATGTTTGGCATCGCTTTGTTTAGATGCTACAGCCCTGTATCTGTATTTTTTGATAATCGTTATATGCACCTGAGTAAGGCGTTAAGCAACGCATGTAGATAGACTCTAAGCTCACCATAACAGGCTACTAACCTGGCCCTGTTATCTAGACCCTTTCTACCAGCCACTGCATGTTTCATTTCCTCCGGAATCGCCAGTCCCCTACTGCGTCTCTGGAACGTGCGCAATGCAGATAATATTTTCCTAAACAGGCAGGGTGTCCGGCACCCTAACCCCAGCCGACGCCGATTCGAAACCTAACGCCGTACAAGCACAGGAAAGACAACATTTTGAATTATATGCCGGAAATTTTGTTCATCTGCCGCATCAACTCACGGCCTTTCTGTTGAAAAGTTCTTGGCATTCATGATTTCATAAAATCTTGGCAGTCACGGCATTAGCTGCTGGAAATGCTTGATCTCTACTTTGCTTATTAATCTGGGTCCTCGCTGTAACTGGTTTTTCCTGTAATTAGATCTTCCTTATACCATGAAATTATCTACTCCAGTGCTTTTATCCATCGCCTTGACGTTACCTGCCAACGCGGCCGCCACTCCAGGGGTGTTCAAGATGGACTTCAACATCCACAGAGGGTCGTCGGTTAACTCTGCTGAGCATGGGGCGTCAATACAGCTTTCCAAAAGAGAAGTTAACGGGCTGGTAACAATGAAACTTGTTAATGAAAACACCTTCTACTTGGCCAACTTGTCTGTTGGGTCCAATAGCCAGAACATGGGGGTTCTTGTGGATACTGGTTCATCCGATTTATGGGTTATTGGAAGCGACAATTCGTACTGCACCGGTGGCATTGCCAAACGTGATACAAGTGATGACGTTGATTGTAGTGTTTACGGGACTTTCGACAAGTCCACGTCGACCTCTTTCAAGAGTAACAACACTGTTTTTACCACTCTGTACACGGATGAAATGACAGCATCCGGTGAGTGGGGCTACGACACGGTTTCCATTGGGTCCTTAACTGTCGAAAACATGTCTATAGCGGTCGCTAACATGACTGACTCGTCCATGGGGGTTCTTGGAATCGGTTTACCCGGCATGGAGACCACCTACACCTCCATGTCGGAAGAGGATGCGCACATGTATGAAAACTTTCCGATGAAATTAAAGAGCGAGGGAATCATCATGAAGAACATCTACTCATTGTATCTCAACCAGGAGAGTGCCTCCTACGGGACCGTGTTGTTTGGTGGTGTGGATCACTCCAAGTACATTGATAGATTGATCACCGTGCCAATTATCAATTCTTACCCCGATTACCTGGACAATCCTGTGCTGATTCAAGTCGCCTATGACTCTATCTCTTTCGAAGGTAAGACCCTTCTGCACGCCTCTGATACGGCAATATTGGATTCCGGGTCCACCATTTCCTACCTTCCATCAGCTGTGGTTAATGCCGCTGTCTCTGCCATGGGCATGAGGTATCATAAGAATATCGGGGCCTACGCCGCCTCGTGCAATTCCTTTAAAGATAAAAGCTTCAACTTCACCTTTGATGGTGCCGACATCACCGTGCCAGCCTCCAACTTCTTGATCAACTTCGCAGGTATCCCCAGCAGCATCTGCGGCCTCGGGATGATGGAATCCGACCAGACGGTGTTTGGCGACAATTTCTTGAGAGCCGCCTACGTGGTGTACGACTTGGACGACTATGAAGTTTCCTTAGCCAACGCCAACTTTGGCGAGTCTTCCAACGACGAAGATGTTGTTGCGGTGGTTTCCACCATTCCAAACGCCCGCTTCGGTGCCTCTACCGGCACCTCCAACACTGCCACAACCACCAGAGCTGGTAGAGCCTCTACCAGTAGATCTTCCTCCACCAAATTCTCTTCCCTAAGGAACAGTGGAGCTGGTCATATCGCCTTCCCTGAGGTGCTTACAATTATGGGGTCGGTATTTTGTTCTGCTCTTTTGCTAATCTTATAAACCTTCATGCCTCCCATACTCCAACCTTTGCTTTTGTCACTTGTGATACTTAATACTCTTCCTCTTTCCTTGGATATCATCTCCCTGTGTTTGTACAATTTTTGATATTCAACCTTCCTCAGCCTAGTACTACAATATGGTGTCGCCTTGCTGGTGCTGCTCCCGGCCCTTGACTCTTGTATAAATCCTTCCTAAAGATGATTCTTAGATAACGGCACCCATTACCTACTAGATATACCATTATAAAAGTAAGCATTGGGTTAGGAATAGTATGGAAAGGATATTTTGAGAAATCCTTCATGGTTTATCCATTTCTTGCGATTGTACTTCCCTGCAAAGTCTCAACCCCACGTTTAACCATCCGTACACCAATGACTTGAAAGCTACTATTCCGAAACAGCAAAGGAAATTCACCAAATGCAAACAGAAGAGCACAGGCCTAGAATTACCTCCTAGCGTTTTCATCAAAGATACCCAACAGGACCCTTGGCAATCGTACTAATAGAGATGCTCTTACACGCGAGATTTAACGGATGGACACGGTTGTGTCCAAACTCTGCATCACACCTATGTCATATAATCAATTTATTGCACTCTAGACCGGGAAACCAGAGCGCATGCTCAGCTCTGGAGTTATATATACACACCCAGTCTTTCATTTCTGGTAATTTACATCTTCACTTCTTTTCGTCATTTTCAGGTAACCCCAATTCGTTCCAGGGCGCTCTATCCATCAACTGGTTATTCATGCGACATTCAAGGTAGTCCTTCGCTAAAAGACGGCAGTTGTGCGAGTTGTCATTTTTAACCAACTTCATACACTTGAGGTACTTTTTCATCGCCGCGGTGCACTCGCCGTCGTGGTCAAGCGGGAAGGAGCCACGCTCAGGCGGGGTCGGAGTCCAGGACTTTGCTATCGGAGTTAATACTGATCATAGTCACTAATTCAGGCAGCAGAACATACGTGGAGCAGACATGTTTGGTAGCGACAAGGAGGAGTGGGTTGAGATGAGACTCGTATGCGCTTTTAGTCTTAGTGTGCCAAAATGCAGGCCAGAAAACCGGTTCAAGACGAGCAAATTAATCAGTGCAGGATCGTATGATGGAATAATTAATTAGTTATGGTGTCGAAATCCTATAACAGCTACTTGAGGATGCATTCGTGGTTGTAAATGATGGATTAGGAATAGCTGGAAATAAATGTTAATATAATACTCCTTGCTTTTTTTTTTGCAAAATTCTGACTCAAATAGCTTCTCCACGGTAAACCCTGGATCAACTATGCGAAAACGGAAGCTCCAGTCATCTCTCGTATAAAATATATACTGTTCCACCGACTACCAACTTTCCCAGTCCAGATACCCAACTCTTGCCCCAATAGTACGTACTACATGATCGCCGACAAACCTCTGACGCATTCAGGAAATTACTATACAATTAACCTTACCCAATGCCATATCATGCCTTATTCGAGCTCGCGGCGCTCGCTCTCACTTACCGAACCAGCGCCAAATGGCTAATATACAGGAGTCTGCGCTCAGTTGTAGACCTCAGTCTTCTCCAACGCACCCAACCGACTTTCCAAAACCGCAACACGGCTCTCTAAGCTGCGCGCGTACGTCAAAAACTCGTACTCGCGCTCAGTCAAGCCCTGCGCGGTGGGTCTGAAGCGCGTCTCGGACTGCGCGGCCGCGGGCACCGTGTGCATGTACGCGGCGGGCGCGCTGCCGGCCAATTTGTTGATGGATGGCAACGCGGGAGAGATCTTCCACTGGCCCGTTTCGTAGCCCTTCTTGGCGTCGCGCGCCTTCCACGCGGCCAAGTTTCCGCCATTCGCAACGCTGTTTGGCGGACGGAACTGCTTCGGCGAGTCCGACTCGTCGAGCGCACAGCCCGTCTGCGAGTTGTTGTGCCGCACGAGCGCATCACAACGTGCGAACTTTCGCGCGCACTTTGCGCACTCATACGGCTTCTCGCCGGTGTGCAACTTCTCGTGACGCTTGAGATCGTGCAACCGGCGGAACTTTGACGAGCACACCGAGCATGTGTGGGGTCTCTCCTGGGTGTGGATAAGCTCGTGCGACACCAAGTTGTGTTTGCGGGTAAACGAGTGGCTACAAACCTTGCAGACAAACTTCTTGTCGTCGCCTGGGACCGTTGCCTCGGGAGTCTGGCCTAATCCGGCGGTCTCGCCTGGCGTCTCAAGCGTCTCTGTTTGTGTCTCGGCAAAGGCCTCGTGCTTTGGAATGGAAGGATCGATGAGATCGTCTCTGGAACTTGTAGCTGTTTCCGCCATCTTTTCTGGGAAGGACATTGTTGCGTTATATATTGGCGGTGGTGTGTCTTTGAATGTGTGTTGAAGAAAAGTAAACAGGCCTGTGGAGGTGCTGCTTGCTTCGCCACGTTTTAAGCGGATTCGAAAATTCTCACGGCCACTGGCGGCGGCTGTGGCACGGAGAATTGTGTGATGTCACGTGCGATATAGACACGAGTAGCTAGTGTCAAGGCCTGCTGTTCCGACAACGCCACATGCATAAAGCCGCAACTTACGAGGCGTACAGCTGCATGCTGCACGTGCGTAGATTCCTACATCGATAGCGTTTATGGGGTGAGCGGATTAAAAAATAGATATACCCCAATTACGAAGGGGTATGGACACACTCCAAATGTAATTATAAAAGGATATGAATGTTTATCTATTTTCAATTTACGGCAAAGGTATCTAGACGAGCACGGCCTAAACATATAACCCTCTGTTACGTGGAAGGCACCCGCTGCAACCCATTCGCTACTCATAGTCAGGCACACCAGTGTTGGTAATATCACGATACAACGGCAATACCTCAACTTCCGCCGGATCCAACGGACCTTTAAACACCTCCTCATCGCTGCTACACCAATGGTTAGCTCTCCTCTTCTTCATCACCACCGGGGTGGAAATCATAAACGTCGCATCATCAAGATTCCCAGTGGGAGCAGAAGCACCGCTGTTCCGCCTTAAAAACTTGCGGAGAAGTAGAGGGGTTGTTGACTGCGGAACAAAAACCGTCACTTCGAGGTCGTACATTACCTGGATTGTGCACGAATGGAAAGTAGGGCATAAGTGTTGCATTCCAATCGTGCTCCCCTGTAGGTATATATTATGGCGAGCACGCAGCTTCAGAGCAGCAATCTCATTGTAACCCGGGGGGCTGTCCAGTAAAAAGTCCAACTGCTCGTTTTTATCCTTTAGTAGCGGGTATTTATGCACAATCACCTTGCCTTCCCTGTCCTGGCTCATAAGCGTGCCTGAACTTCCGATAGTCTTGCCACACTGCGCGGTCAAGTAAACGGTTTGCCTCAAAACCAACGATACAATCGTATCAAGGCTTTTAATACCCGTCCCACTGAGCGTAAAGTCTAGCTCTATTGGTATAACAGCACTGCGGTTGTCCACAGAAATCGGGTCGGGGATCTTACATTCCATCACCAACGAGTCATATGTGTACGTGCGGAGCGAAACATTGTTGAATTTCTTTCGTACCACGGGGCAGTCGCTTTTCCCCTCAAACTCGGAATTGCTCACGGGGTAGCTGAGATCACAAATGTCGTAGTACTGTTGCGGGTTGATCTTGGTAAACCGGGTTGATCGTAAGGATGGGGATATGGCCCCGTGGAAGGAAGATACCATCATGTCTTTTCTCCCGACAAACAAAATCTTGTCAGCTACCCCTTCGCCGCGGCCGTACACCACCGCCTTGACGAAATACGTCACAGCAAACTTTGACTCAAATTCGTTCCCGTTCTGGAAAATGCGGCTATCGTATATCAGTTTGTCCGCGTTGAATTTTAGCCCACAGTTTATGGGGTTTCCGAAGGAAGGGGGAAGACGATCGTGGAGTAATTCGTTGTGCCTCCCTGTTTCAGCGTTGGGGCAGAAGTGCAATCTATCAGGGAGCTTGAAAGCGAAGTTCAGGATGATTTCCTCATCCGTCACAAGCGGGTCTTCATCGGCCATCAAGTTTTCTATGTAGAGGAATCTATAACAGCCTGTATCGCTGGCATTTTTCTCCCTCGGGGGCAAGAGGTTGTCCCGGATGACTTTGCTGATGCAGATCCCTTCTAGGGTGAGTTCTATTTTAGAAACTGTCTCTGGGAATGGCTTTTTCTTGGAAAGCTGAATCAGAAAGTTGCCCTTGACCAGTCTCAAGGGGCCAATTAACAGTCTCCTATCGCGAACAACCAGGAGTTTGGTTTCAAAGTACGGGCTTGATTGGTAGTAGCGGAAGCCTAGGTGTGCGTCTGGCATTGAGATTGGCTAGAACGGGCTATCAGGGATAACGTATGATGGGCTACTTTGAATATTAGACTAATGTGTGGTGTCCTGTTGAACGAAAGCACAGAGCTCCGAGAGGGTGCACTGTTTGTTTGCTTTGTAATCCCTTAGTCACACACCTCCTAACAAGATCGGTTGATGTTTATGCAGGCTGAGGCGTATGACTCGCGCCGTCCTGCGTATCCGGGGAATTACACTGAGAACAAAGCCCCTGCCCCCTTGAGCTACATAGCTTTCATGGTTAGAGTCTTTAGTCTTGATTAGATTTCAAGATAACGTTTTACGCCTGTCAGTTTTTCTGGCATCATAAACAGCCCACCTTTTTCAATCGCCAATGTTATTTGCATGCCGCTTCCCTCCCGGATCATGCGCAGGCTAGTGTCTTATTCGTGTGCGCATACCGGAGCCGATACTTCGCTATTCTGCTAGACATAATCACGGGTTACAAAGACGGCCCATAAACCATATAGTGCTTGTATTATCATAACTTACTGTCGTGGACTAAACCCTCATATAGCTGTTATGCGGTTGGGGCTGACACACTTTCATACCTGCAGCTTGTTCCACATACATACCCATACACGATCGTGGGTGGGATACACGCTGATGCTTATACCAGACGAATGCACGACTGCTTCAATAGGACTAGGAAATCACCAGACAATTCGCAGATGCTTGATCGGTGGTTATCAATAAATCGCTCTGTTGGTCGTTCATAGGCTCCATTCATTGGGAGCTTGGGCTAAATCGACGCCCAGGCTTATGTAAAACAGTTCCACGGCGGATCGCAAACACTTACTGGGCTCTACATCCTATTTGGGAAAACATGGAACAGACACTAAAGCTTACGACTCCAAGAACACAAAATCGAGTAATACAACTAAGGCAAAACTGAGAGACAGGCAAAAACTGAGAAATAACACGCATGTGTTCTCACACAAGGCTAGAACAGGGAGCTCAAAGGATGAAAACCCCTGGGTGACGTCTAAGAAAGCTTCACGTGTATTAAGATGCGGCATTGTAATGTAGTAGGAAAGGACTGCGAAGGTTATGTACAGATGTAGTTCATGGCATGTCGTCGGGGAGGAATATCATTCTTGTGGAGTCGTCGTTTTGGTTGAACGGAGAGATGCCGGGAATAGTCAGCATCTCGTCTGGGGCACCAGTTGTGGGGGATAAGCATGCCTAGGAGTAATATTACCTCGTCTGGATTGTGATCCATGACATATGAGTCAAGACATAATTGGACAAAAAGAGCATGAAAAAAAAAAAAAGTAAAATAGGGACCGCACACACACACATAAAGAGAAACAAAGGCCACAAAAAGTCACTAAAACGGAAGAAAAAGGCTAAAGGGAAAGGGTATTGAAATGAGGCATAGGGAATTGAAGGAAGGGTGATAATCAAGAAATGGTTGAGGGGGTTACGGAAAAGGACAACTTACCGCGAAAGAACTGAAGAATAAAAGGACAAAGACTCAGGCTAATCAATCTATGTGTTAACATCCATTTGATGGCAGCAGCATGGCCCTGGGCCATTACATTGTTAGTCATGGCCCGTTCCGTAGTCGTTAATCCCACAGTCAAACCACGGATGGTTCAAGGCGTCAGCAGCGGTGATACGTTCCCGTGGATCGAACGTTAACAACTTTCGCACAAGGTCCAAAAAATACCACCAGAACTGGAAGTTCTCAAAGTCGATGCGGTGCTCGTTGTGCCGGAAGTTCTCATAGAGCAGCTGACGAGGGTCTAACTCAAGATTAACGCGCGACGAGATCATTTGCTCGAGTGTGGCAAGCGCGGCCACATACTTGATAGACTTCTTTTTGGTTTCAGGCTTTGGGTACCTGAGGTACGAGCGCGGGGCATTGTGCACATCCGTATAGGGTGCGGCCTCGGGGGTCTCGAAAAAGCCCATGATCTCGACACTAGCGGCCGCACCGTTGCGCTCGTGAGCCTTGCGGCAGCGTCGGACGAGCCTGGCCAGCAACAGCTCGCCCAAGATCTTCTCCATCATCGCCAAGTGCTCCATGTTCTCGTGGGTGCGGAACAAGGCCTCACCCGTGAGAAGCTCGCATAGGATGCAGCCGATCAGCCAGAGGTCGCAGGCAAAGGACCAGCCGATGCCCAAGACGATCTCAGGTGCGCGGTAGTGGCGCGTGGACACGATGGTAGAGTGGTACTCGTCGTCGAAGATGGCCAGACCAAAGTCGATGATCTGGATGAGCGGGTCCTTCAAGACCTTGGTGGTGATGGGCTTCTTGCCCTGGATGGTGCGTTTAGTATACTCATCGTTGTACAAGAGGATGTTCTCCGGCTTCAAGTCGGTGTGAACCAAGTTCAAATCGTGGAGAAACGTGACGGAGCGGAGCAACTGCTTAGCGATGGCCTGGATGTGCGAGCCGGGGAACGGCTCAAACGCGTTGGAGTCGAGGAAGTCGTAGAGCGAGATGCGGAGAAGGTTGGTTACGAGACAGATGTGGCCGCGGTAGTCGAAGCATTCGCGGAGATGGATGCAGTGGTTGTCATTGCCGTCGTCCATGGCCTTGAGCGTGGAGAGCACTCGGAGCTCGATCTTGGAGGCCTCGCGGTACTTGGGGATATTCTTGATAATCTTGATGGCCACCATCTGGTTGAGCGAGCGGTCCCACGCGGATACAACCTTCCCAAACGTGCCCTGACCCAATAGCTTCTTGATGACGTAGCGCAGGTTTGCAAATGGCTCCCCCGGCGTGATGATGTAGTGGCCGTCTTTGTCGTCGCACGGCGGCTGGTTCAGCGCGTATGGCACGAGTGTAGGCCGGACCTCGCCAAGCTTGATCTTGTGATCCACCGATGGCGGCCGCAGATACTGGATGCTCACATGCGGCAATTGCGGCAACGAGTTGGTACGCTGTTTTTTCGGTGCGAGCTGGTAGTTGTACGAATGCGATTGGTGGTTGAGGTTGAGCAGGTCCAACGTGATGGCGTCGTGTGTCTGGTTAAACTGCTGCGTGTAAAAGCTGGGTCTGTCGACCGATGTGCTGTGGCCCATGTCATAATCCTCGATTACCTCGCCATTTGCAGCTGGGGAGTAGGCTATGCCGTCCGGTGAGTCTTCCGGATCTTCTGAGTGCACCACGATAACCTCATGGTCCGAAAACGGGTTCTTTGTAAGCACACCGTCGTGTGTCGGCCCGTAATGGTCGCTGAACCCTCTCGGTCTCTTTCTGGTGGGCTGGATCAATGACATGGTAATAGCTCTTTTGTTTGGGGAGTGGGTTGGAGTCAAAGAATATTAGTTGGGAAACGTTCTAAGGGTAAAGCGCAGCGGCCAGCGGCTAATGCGATTTTGGGTACTGGCTAGGCGATAGAAGATCGTCTGAAGTAAGAGAGGACGCTTAGAGATAGTAAGTGGATAAATAGGTGGGTTGAGTCGACGGTAAGAAGTTAGAAGTTGTTATTTGGACCATGGATATGTATCACTTGGTCCAATTTGATGGTTGGTTGGCGGTAAATTGTTTGGCTGAGCTTAATTACGAGACACACAGTCTGTGTTGTTTAGTAAACACAGCTGCATGGCGAGGGGCAATTAATTGCCTGCGTGAAGCATGCGCAGCGCGGCTAATGCGCACGGATCGCGTGTCGCCGCCGACGTACATGTGACCCCGAGCAACTATCAGACACAGATGATAAGCGGAGATTACGTCAGCACCGAAAACAGGACAACACGGCAGTGTCCCGATAATACAATGTGTGCCTCTATGGCCCAGACATGACCGTTTAGAACGAGGCAGCCCCAAATCCAAATTCCGAGCACTTTTTCGGCCCGCAGCTCACTCCCAGAATTACCGTTTGGCCATGACTGGCTTCTTACCCTCTGTTTCAGACTTCTACCTTTCTGAAACTTACTAGATCAGGTGATTACCCTCCTGAAGTTTAGCGAAGCATGCGATTTAATTTCTGTCGCCCTCTTGGTTACCAACCTTGCTGGGAGCGTAGAAAGAAATTTGACGGAGGTGTGGGCTGGCCACGTTTTGGCGGGCTGCATACCCTACCGAGAATCCGTCGATCTTAGGCCGGTCAGGGAGCGGCAGAGTAGTGAGAGGTCACTACAGACCCCCAAATGACCCGTGATACTGTTTAGATGCTATTTAAACCCCTTTTAGATGTCCCTGGTCTGTATAAGTCTGATAGTTTTCTGTAAACATAACTGCATCTCTAGCCTGGTACGGTGGATGGAGGGGGCACAAAGCTGATCGGTTGGAAACTGGGAGTTTACTGAGGGTGCAAACCTTTGGCATATTTCTTTTGAATTTCACCAGTCAGTTTATTTCTTTTTTGGCTGAATCAAAATGCATGCACCCTCGTAACCTTACCGGTGAAAGCGGTATCTCGCAGGACTATTCACACGGTGAATCTAGTTGAAATTTCGCCTATTCGTCAAGAGACCGAAACCCCTCCATTTATGGTGAGCCTTTATATCTCGGTTCAGCTATCTTGAGCTGGCCCCATGACAATGCAACGTCTTTCTACACCGTGCACTTTGGATAGCACTGATTGGCATCCCGGTAAAAACTAACCAGTGTCAGAAAGCTGGTATCTCTATAGGTCAGCGGTATAGCGCCTATGGCACGGAGTACGTATTGGTGGTCAATGGCGCAGCCTGTACTTGAATTGTTCGCTCGCAGAAGGAGTCAGCTGTCAAGTAGGTCTAATGGCTCGCATAATACTAATGCACGGAAGATTTTATTTGTGGCCTGCATGCAGTATGACGCATCGTTTGTGAACGTTTATTGTCAATCGCTTCGCTTGAGTTGACCTTAGAGGTACAGAGTTTTAGATTTAGTCGCTGCTTATTTGTTTAGTTGGAAAGGTTCAGGGCTGACTTTATTCTAGATCTCTTTAGAAAATCCTTTTTGTTATTGCCTGGGTTTGACCACTTTTCAACAAGTCCAAACGATACAAGTCTAAACGATACAAGTCTAAACGATACAAGTCCAAACAATCCAAATCCAAACAATCCAAATCCAAATAATACAAAACCGAACGACACCAAGCAAATCACGTCCTAAAGATTGTGGGAATAATCTTTGAAAACCACCTAACAACTTCACGCCCATTCACACCCCTCGCGGCTGTTACCTTACGAGGAGCTAATTACTTGCTCTCTGCGTACCAAGCCAGCCTTGAGCCCGAAAATAAATTGCAAAAAATGGCAAAACAATTCCGAGCAAAACGGACCTATACCTTGGGCATCCCGCCAGAAATTATTGTACCAGTCATTCTTCTCTTTACCCAAGTCCTCTCCTCCCTTATTGTGATACAGGTTATAATCCTCTTCCACATACGCAATGTCATTGTGAGGATCATCAAATGGGTCCAAGCGGGGTCGTTGCATGTGTTGCGGCTCCCTTTAGTTATTTTACTTGTCTTAATTTGGTTCGCGTATATGATTTCCAGTGGCATTGAAGGAATCATGCGCAAGTCTGAGACCCAAAGCGTCGATCAGCCGCTTGAGTTTGGGATAGTCATGAATTTGTTTTGGAGCCAGCATCCGATCAGCCATTCGAGGGGTTTGGTTCAGTTGAGGGTTCCTAGGAATTTTGTTGTTATAGATTCCTTAATCGATGTATCAGAAATGAAATCAGAAGTGGAACCACCGTTGGTGGATGGTGTTAAAAATGTCCCACCCGCAGCAATTAGCCCAGTTGAAACCGCAGCTTCTAAATGGAAAATAAAGGGCAAGTTTGGAAAAAACCGGAATCTGAGGCATTCAGATTCTCTGCAGCCTCCCGAGATCCAGCAGCATGGAGAAACCCCTGCCGATCAAAGCTCACACCGTCGCTTCTCCTTCATCAAGCATTGGCACGAATCACTGAGGAGATCTCATCGACACACATCCGCTGGGAACCCGAGCGTCCCCGCTGCTAATTCCAGTACAGCCAAAACTTTCGATAGCGACCCTCAAATAGGACAGGTGGATGTAGATGGAGAGAGGGACTCTTTCATGAATTCACTCCGACTTTCGGGAACATCTTTGGATGGTAAAGAGGTTACACCGGAAAACAGTGCCAGGTCAAAGCACGAATTGCGTCTTGTAAAACAGAGAAAGCACAGTATGGTGAATGGGAATAGTGCCAAGGCTTTTGTTAAGGTAGCTGGAGGAAACAGTTCTGAATCCATGGTGGAAGTGTTGAGTGCCGTCAGGGGAGCTGCTAAATTTCAAAACTTTGGGAACCAGGGCTAACCGGGGATTTCTGATCGCTAAAAGGATCTTGGTATAGATAATTATTTCTAATCCATAGATCAGGAGACATTTTTAAGCCGGTTTATAAGACGAAAGTGTTTAGAATTCAGTTTCAACAACGTAAGGTATCAAGGTCTTTGAAAATGTGTAGTCTAGTAGGGGAAACATGCCATGTAGAGAAATCAGCTTTACTTTTAGAGCTTGTCATGTTAACGAAACGCATATATGTAACATCGGCCTAGGTCTGAAGAGTTTATCCTGGCAAACTCGATATTCTCCTCCTTGGCTTTTGTCTGACCATAACTAATTATGTTTTTTTGGGGAACATTATCAAGGATGAAGAGGGGCTTCTTAGAGAATGTAGAAACAGATGTTGAGGTTTTTCTATGTAGAGATTTTCCTGGTGGATAGAATACATTCGTGGTTCTGGATACGTGAACAATAGAACTATTCGGTAATTTTACCTACCGTATTTCACTTCATATTCAACTCGTCCCTCCGCATGCTGCATGTATCTCTTTTTGAATACCGCCCCAACATGTGCGGCGGGTCTGCTTTGTATTTTTTTTTCTTTTTCCAAACTTTTCTGCCTTCATTTATAAGTAGTTATCACTTTTCTTGACTCAGAGGTTTACCCTGCAACTGTCCCACGATGATCACACCTTTTTTCACAATCAACCAGGACGATGAATTCATTTTCATCGACATCAAAGTCTCGCACATCCGGTTCAATGCGCCGGATATCGAGATGGTGGTGGAGAACGAGATGTTTGTATTCTCCTTACCGCCATACTACTTGCGCCTCAGATTGCCGCTTCCGCTAGTAGACGACGAGAGATCGAACGCCCATTATGATTCCAAATCCGAGTGCATCAAAGTCAAACTTCCCAAATTGAACAAGGGGGATGTATTCCCAGACCTCGACTTGACCTCCAAGATGCTCGCCAGAACCGCCCAGAAGGAGTTTTTGATGCAGGAAGTTGGCTCCACGACCGAAGCTGCCCCTGTGCGAGGACCAATGATTCAAGAAATGGACCTCACGAATAGTTTGATTTCCCCACCCCAAACAAGCAAGGATGTGTACCAGGAGGGTGAGCAGTTTGACTGGGAGGTGAAGCAGACGATGCCAACAGAAGAGCAAGAGACGATCACAATGAAGGCAATCAAGTACGGGTTTGACAACCAGTACGAAGGGATCGTGGGGGTCTCCATGACCAACGGTAACGATATCAACGAGTTGGGCAACCCTGAAAATATCGCTCCGAACGACCGCACAATCGAAAGATTAATCAAGGAAAACATCAAATTCGATCCTGAATACTACGGTGCAGACTACTTTGCGGCCAAGTATCCCCAGCCAGATGATGATAAGCAGTTCAAGGATATTATGGAATGGAGATCACCAGTCGTTACCAAGTTCTTAAAGTGGCAGAAGAAGCAGCAGCTGATGCCAGTAGAGGAGAGACAGCAGCTTTTCCCGGTGGAATTTTCAACCCAGGAACAGGAGCAGATGTTGCAGTTGCCTAAAAAATCCTACTTGATCGAAGACAAAATGCCATTGTTGTTGATGTTGGTTTCTCTGTTATTCAGCTATAGCTTTGACATGAGGGAGACTGAAGGTGACCACAACATCGAGAGTGCCTGGACGGTCGGGAAGCTTACTCCCCAGATCGCCTTCTTGGATTCGCAGATCGTGATTCCCGGTTCCGCCAGCACGTCTTTGTTGCGTGCCACCGTCATTACGCTGATCAGGAGGTCGTTGTGCTACCCGTTGCACCGCAACTTCGACTTGGCCATGAAGTGTTGGGACGATGTGTACTACACCATGAGGGGCGGGAAGCGTCTAGTCTTGAAGGCTTTGCTCGACTTGAGAGAGTTGTTCCGGTTCCATGATGTTTACTACGTGTACACAAAGATCTGGATGGACGACTTGTGTGCATGGGTCATCAGCGACCAGGTCTCTGAAAACACAATCAGATCTCTCGCGCACGACTTGAGAAAGGAGTTGGGTAGCCTCCAGAAGACCGAGATTACTTTTGAAAAGGTTTTTAATAAGGATAGCGAGAACGAGGCGATGGAAGACGAGGATGCGGACGAGATTGAAACGGTCAACTTGGCCGAGATTGAGAAGATGGTGGAAGACTACCAGAACGAAATGGAAGAGTAGGCCTATGGGGAGGTTTTGTATGAAAGTTCGATGAGCGGCATAAGTTTAAGGCAGAAATAGATGTTTTAAGGGTACTGGACGTTGTAGCTAACGGCAGGCTGCCGGTGACTCATCCTCAAAATATAGGAACAGGCTCAATCATTACATTATTCCCGATGAATTACCGTACAATTAATATATAAAATTCCTGGTCTATACTAATTTTATACTCGCATAACCCTTGGTCCTATAGCTATCATCTAGGAGTTTAGGGTGGCACAAGCTACTTGGGCCACAACCTCTCCTTCTTAATCTCGATAACACAAATACCAAATCTCAAAGTTTGCTTAGCTAAAAACCATATACCTCGTCGTAATTTTGATTCATCATTGGAGTACTACCCGATATGCAGCAAAAAAAAAAGTCTAGCTCTACCATTAATTCCCAGCAATTGCCTAAACCGCATAAGCTCTCCTTCACGCACACCTCCTTATCCCCTCCATGAACACTTTGTTATACCCGTCTTGTGCTCGCAAACTTCTACTTGGCTTGGCTTCTTCGCTGCGCTCGTAAACTCATATTCACTACGTCTTCGCTTGCCCTTCTGCTACATTCTCCTATCTATTAATCACACCGGCGACGAAAGGATGTTGTTCGGGAACGTCGGAGTCTCCTTCTTCTCCTCGCTCTGTTCGTGTTTGAGGTTCATGGCCGCGTCTGCCAAAATGTTCACCCCGCTGTACTGCTCTGCGGGTTTGGCCACGGACGCGCTGGGCGTGCGCTTGTGCGCAGGAGGCAACATTGGCCTTTCCTCGTCATCTTTCGACTGGTCGGAGGACGACTTGCGGCGCTTTCGCTCGTTCTCGTCGCCCGGCGCCTTGGGGTGTTCGGGCTGCCAGTGGTGGAACTGGATCACATGCTGCAAGGAAGTCATCGACTCCTGTGTGGGGATGATCTCGGGTGGACGACTGAACGACACGGTGCTAGCCTCAGGAATGGTGGCTGATGCCGCAGAAGGGTTCGGCAAGGATGCATTCCGATGATGCGCCACGCGCACCTTGGCACTCGCGGCGGAGCGAAGCGGTCTGTCTCCCGACAACGACGCTACCGCTTTGGCACCGAGCTTGGCCGGGCTGAGGGGGCGGTTAGGGGGCGCCGGTCCACCCCCGAAGCGATATGCCGCGGGTGGCGTGGGGTTGGCGTTGTAGGGATTGTAGAGCTCCCTGGGCGTGGAAATAGTCTGGCTGCGGTCATGCCGGAACGGCTGTTTCCCCTTTTGCTGGAAGGACTGGGGCACCAGAAACTGGGGCTGTGGCGGTTGCAGGCCTTCCAAGCTACCACCGGAAAACATAAGCGGGATGAGGTGCGAGGGGATGTTGGCGTTAGTGGCGGAGCGCAAGAGCTCGAGCGAGCGGTTGGTCACCTCCAAGCGGTAGAACTCCTGCTTCGTCTTTTCCTGCTCAGTCTTTAACGCTAGCGCCTGCACAAAGGCATCTTCTGAGTGCGCCCACTGGGTCACGCCTGGCCCAAACAACGCCACCACCGCCGGGTCCACGAAGTGTGGAAGGTGTGGTTGTGCGGGTTGGGGCGGCGGATGGCCGGCATTTCTCGGAGAGCTTCTCTCGTCGGCCATGCGGGACATCTGAGGTTTGTTTGGGTTGGATTGGGGGGGTGAGGTTGAGGGTTTCCGGTGGGGCTGTGCTAGCAATTGATGTAGTACTTACCACGGGAATGGGGTGAGTTGTAACTACTGTAATAAACAGTGAGAGAGGGTGAAGACAGTCGATAGAGTGGGACGCTCTGTTTATCGTCCTATCTTACAACGGTTAATAGTCCTTGTGATTATTTATATGTCGTCGGCACAGATGAATGTCAACTCTGTGAGGCGTCTATGGTGGTTGCTGTACGTTGGAAGAAAATCTAAATTTGGGATGCTTATCAAAATTATGTAAATTTAGCCTGTGCGCCGCGTGGCGCATGGAGGCGCTGACAGACTCAGTCCAGCAGTCTGAGATAGCTTACAACGTCGAGGGATTGCTGTCAGATCCCGTGGTTGCCGTCTATCGGTCACTCGTCAGTGGTAGTTGCAACGTGTAGGGGAAGTTTCGGGCAAGAACTCATTCCCGTTTCACCAGCCCCTCGCGACTTCCAGCGCTGCCGCATTGGGACTAATTTATGCCTGTTTCAGGAAACCTGCCGCAAGGAGGCCTCCTGTTCTGCGCGCAATAGAGATTTTCTCGAATGACCTGTGCCTAGTTTCGGCACCGCAGGCCTCGGCGTTCTAGATCTGGCTTTCATGCAAGCGGCTGGAACAAGAAGCAAACCTTGGGGACGGTATCTATAGCTTGAGGGGGGATAATATCATAACCTCTATGATCAGCTGCTATTAGCGGGTGTCTTAAAGTTCGAATGGTGTGGAATGCATGTGGCCATTATCCTCGCTCCCTCTCGTCTAGGTCCCGGGGACAGGCCCCCTAGATCCGGCTTAGAACAACTTCAAGCTATGTACATACAAAAGCCCCCGTGGCTGCGATCGTGACTGAGAAAACGGCTATGACACAGGGCATTAATGGCTGTACGTATAGCAACTCATAAGCTTAACCGAGAGAGTGGCCCGCCCTGTTGAAATTATTCCTAGGTGTCAAATAACGTGCTGGGGAATATCAAAGGGCTTTCTGGAGAATAATGGAATTCGGGGTTCACACTGGGGCTTAGGAACACGCAAGGTTTTCGGTATGTCGCCTATTAGTTCCCACAGTTTCAATTGTTGGAGTTGTTGGCGTCTGTAAGTTTGCAGCAAGCTGTGTTAGCCAGTTTGTTAGGATCGCCGATGAGAGTTGGATTTTCTTTCAAGCCACACGCCCTAATACCGGTTTAGAGGGCATTGAGGGAGTATCTTACAAATTTTCGAGCTTACAACTGAGCTTACAACTGGATTTATTATTGGTCGTTGAGTAAATGTTTTATTGGGTGCTACCGTGGTCACATGAATGCTGGTAGTCTACGGAAACTAGTCAAAATACTGGGTATTTTTCGGTTTGACCCTAGATTTCAAATAGAACACGCTGCTTATCTCTTTTTTTAGATGAAACAGAATTATAGCTACTAGAGCCGCAATTCAAACTTCAATTCAAGCCGATGAGTAGCCTCGCAGGTTGAAATTATCCATCGGCTATGATACAAGAGCAAGTAGCGGTAAACCTCACATGAACTCTACAGGACTTGAGTGTGGCTTCTGATGCTTGAATGACAAAGATTTCAATTGAAGTATATTTCTGACGTTGAATAACAAAGGTTTCAATTGCAGTATATTCCTGACGTTGAATAACAAAGGTTTCAATTGCAGTATACTTCTGATGCTAAATGATCTCACGATTTCATAAGTCTGACAGTTTCTCTCCTACTTTCATGTACGTACCTCTCCACTATCGAGCGCCAGATAACTACCCAACACGACGTCTAAATCTACCTTTGTAAACTCATGTTCTTTGCTTTGCGGTAAACAGTATAGTACAGTCCCATACCTATTAAATAAATAGCCATTGCTGAAATTGAAGATCCATAACGAATTGGCTCGAACCTGATTCCTGCCCACCTACAGCTGACGCGTCTCACGCCGCATTTTTCGTTTTCTGTCGCGACGCGTCGCCACAATTTGAATAAAAAGTGTTCCAATCGAAAACCCGAACCACCTTCTGTCTCTCTATCTTAGCCTTACACTCCATACCTACGTAACATGTCTATCATTTCCCTCCTCGGTATCAATGTTTTAAGCAACCCAGCCAGATTCACCGACCCCTATGAGTTCGAGATCACGTTTGAGTGCCTTGAACCGTTGAAGGAGGACTTGGAATGGAAGCTCACCTACGTGGGCTCCTCCAGATCGTATGTACAGCCAACCCCGGCTTACCCAGCAAATCCATACTAACCTCTAGCCTCGACCACGACCAGGAGTTGGACTCCATCTTGGTAGGCCCGGTCCCAGTGGGAGTCAATAAGTTTTTATTCACAGCTGAGCCGCCGTCGCCTGAGCTCATTCCCGCGTCGGAGTTGGTGTCTGTCACAGTCATTCTCTTGTCGTGTTCGTACGCCGGCAGGGAGTTTGTGCGAGTGGGCTACTACGTGAACAACGAGTACGACTCGGAAGAGTTGAGAGAGAACCCACCGAGCAAGGTGCAGGTCGAGCACGTGGTGAGGAACATCCTTGCCGAGAAGCCAAGGGTCACCAGGTTCAACATCGTGTGGGACAATGATGGAGCCGAAGAAGAGTTTCCTCCTGAACAGCCAGACATCGACTTAATGGACGACGAGGAGCAGTACGGCGCCGAAGAAGAGGAGGAAGAGGAGGAAGAGCAAGAAAAGCAAGCTGTTGTCGATGAGGACGATGAGGAAGACGAAGGTGCAGCCACAGAAGGAGAAGACGAGAAGATAGACGAGGATGAGGATTTAGCCGAAGATATTGACGACGACGAGGAGGACGAGGAAGACGAAGACGAAGCCGAGACGGTCAACACCCCGCGCGACGCCTCCCCGGATGCCAATGGCGACGCAAAGGCCCAAGTGTGAGATAGAGTAGTCTTTATATGTACAATAAACTAATGAAATAAAGATTAGCGCCAAAGGGATGAGCTTTGGAGTTTGTAAGTGCTGTTAGAGACCGATAGTATATATAGTTGACGCTTGGCTAGGTGTTTGAGCGTGCTACTTTCACACCAAGCCTATAGTGAATCTACAGGGTTTAGGAAACAAGTAACTTTCATTGGGTCTGACGACGTAACAAAGCAACTTTCTTTCTATCCAGGACCGTTTGCTTTTAAGTTTGGAAAACTAATAGCAACAAAAACAAAAACATATGCAAAACATTCATCATGTAAATCCGCTTTTAAGTTTTTAGAGGAAACTAATAACGGCAAAAACAAAAACATATGCGACAGATATGCGTCATAAAGAATCGAAGGATAAAATGGAAATGGAAATAAATGGAAAAGTGGGAATATAGTGGGTCGGTGCTACAACTTCGCGGAAGTGATTCTGATATATTTCTCACCAACCTGCTTGATCGCGCCAGCCTTTACTAAAGCGGTCTTCAAATCGTCCAAGAGGTCACTGATGTTTTCGATCCCCACGCACAATCTGATCAAGTCCTCTGGGAACTGTCTCTCGGCTCTGGTCTGGGCATCGATAGAGGCATGCGACATCATGCACGGCATGGAGATCAAGGAGTTGACACAACCAAAGGAAACGGCAATCCCAAAGATTTCGGTTGACTCGCAGATACCCGCGCTCAACTTGGTCGAGCCGGTTTCAAACGAAAGCACTCCACCGGATCCCTTGCACAATGACTTGTGCAAGTCGTACTGCGGATGGGACTTCAAGCCCGGGTACCTGACCGCAAAGCCGATATCCTCCAACCAGGTGGCGATTTTGACTGCGTTCTCCTGCTGTCTCTCGACCCTAAGAGCAAGGGTTCTCAAGCCACGCGACAACAACCAGCAATCGAATGGGGACAAGCCGCAGCCGGTGGAATTGATGACAAAGTATATTCTCTCAGCCAACTTTGGGTTGCGCACGGCAATAACTCCGGCCATGATGTCGTGGTGCCCGTTCAAGTACTTGGTGGCAGACTCGTACTGGATATCGACGCCCAAGTCCAAGGGGGTCATGTTGACTGGCGACATCATGGTGTTATCAAAGACAACCAAGCAGTCTGGGGCAACCCGGTGGGCGTGCTCAGTGATAGCCCTGATGTCGATGACCTTGATCAACGGGTTGGTTGGTGACTCCAAAAAGATCATCTTGATGTTGGTGTTGATCTTCGATTTGATCAACTCCGTGTCAGTGGTGTCGTGGTGGTGCACCTTGAGATGGCCGCTCTTGTTCAACGACGTCAACAAGCGGTGCGTGCCGCCGTATAAGTCATCGCCAGCAATTACTTCATCGCCGGGACTCAACAATCTGGTGATGACGTCGCCGGCACCCATTCCGCTGGTCACGGCGTACACCTGCTCTGCCTTCATGATTTTCGCGAGGTGGTTCTGGAGGACCGTTCTAGTTGGGTTTCCGGATCTGGTGTAGTCATATTCGCCCATATTGGTCAAGGATGGCTGTTTAAAAGTGGCGGACTGGTACAACGGCGCAACGGAGGCGTTGTATTGGTCGCCGCTTGGCGAGTACACCAACAGGGTTTCCACGTTGTAGGTTTTAGGGGACATGGCTGTTATAGTAGACAAGTATTCAAATCTGAGTATATTTGAAGAAAATACCTTTTCCAGCTTAGAGAGAGACTGATAGACTCTGAACTTTAGTTGAAAAACTTTTGAGCTCGGAGATCGGGCACTGCGTTACCCAGCCTTGAGGTATTACTCATACATGCGGAGCAAGAACGTGACCCGCCCTATCGTCTGTATGGTGCTTTATTCTGCGCTCTGGCCGCGTATTTGACTCCGGATACCGGGCATGCACGTAATCGTAACCGCACGTAATCGTAACCGCACGTGAGTTGCCGACACCGGTGAACAACGAGTTTCGCGAACAGAACGGTGTGCGAAATCTGACAAAGGCCTAACTGACACATTTTCTACATGAGTTTTAGTCGACCCTGTCATGCCATATCCTCGTTATAACCAGATATAAGTTAACCTTTTACTGGGCCTTTATGATTGAAAACAACCAACGCTTTGTCTGTCTACATGAAACTGAGATTACAGAATCGGTGCCAAAAACAATGCCTTACAGGTTATAAACGCGCACGTGAAAGCAAATACAACCTCTCTTTGGCGGTTAAGACTTCCAAGCCTATAGTAGGCAGCTAATGCCTCTGATATTAATAATATGGTTTGGAATTAATATTGGATTTGAACGGGATGAGAAATTGTGCGAGTCCGTTATCAGATTTTGTTTTTGGTACGCAGTAGCTTCTCAGCATGGTGGGTGCTTTTTGGTGTATTTAAGCTTCTCGTAGCAAGCCCTCAAACGTCCAATTTTGACAGATACAACACTCTCCGTGGCTTATGACGCAATCCAGTTCTATGGCCCAATTAGTGTGGGGTTATCATACTTTAATCCGTTCAAAGGACTATTAAAATGGCAATTTCCACTCCTACATTCATACAGAAGACAGCTTTCATTAGAAACAAAAAGGGTAGAAAAGAACTATATAGTGGAGGATGCTTCCCCACGATTAAATAATGCACATGATGGATGAATAAATAGTGGCATCCAGGGTCTGGGCCCATGCGGTTCCCGGTCCTGGTGTGTGGTAGAAACGGGACCCAGCGCGGCGCCGTTTTGGGTCGTTTACAAATCAGCTCTGGTCAAACTCCTGATGTCATTTGGCTCTTTGCTCAACAAAACTTTTGGTCCGGAAAATGGCTCACAGTCCTTGCGCCCGCTGACTGGACCGTATGGCAATGGCTTGCCGGCCTCGAAGCTCTTCAAGATCTCAACGGTCTTGGCGGCAGTCAAGTCCTCGTAGAAGTCATCGTTGATGGCGATCATTGGCGCATTAACACAAGCACCCAAGCATTCAACTTCGTGTAAGGTGAACAACTTGTTAGGGGTGGTCTGGCCCGGCTTGATCTTCAAGTGAGACTGGATGGCCTCCATGATGCTGTCAGAGTTGCACAACTGGCACGGAGTGGTGGTACAGACCTGGATGTTGTACTTACCCATTGGCTTTCTGTTGTACATGGTGTAGAAGGTGGCAACCTCATAGACTCTCATTGGCGGCATGTCCAACATCTTGGCAACGTAGTTCATGACGGAAATGGAGGTGAACCCCAACTGGCGCTGGCCCAAGTCTAACAAAGGCATACAGGCACCCTTCTTGTATTGTGGTGGGTATTTGGCAATAATCTCCTCGGCTCTGACGAGGTTCTGCTTGGAGAACTCGAAGGGGGTGTTTCTGTTGTCCTGCTCGGTTTCACGGTGGACGGAGATCATGTGGGAGCGCTTGGCCAACGCAGAACCAAAGGTTCTCGTAACGGACTGTCTGGCGAATAAACTGAGCATTGTGATGTGAAATTGTTCTACGCTATGGCTTGCTCGATTCAAAGCTTGGTCTAATATCAACAGGTTTGGCGCTTTGTGACATTTTCAGATTTTTCCCGCTTACATAACCCGCAGCAGTAACATCCAATTCGCTAACGTTGATTGGTTTTTCCACACTGAAAGGTCACGTGATGGAACCAGCTTGGATACTTAGTATTGTCTGGGTTTTGAAAAGCTTAGAGGAATATTAAAGAAAATAAACGTGTCGATTATTGTCATACATAGAGATTTTATGCTGGTATTAATGGAGCTAGTCGTAGATTCTGCCGTCAGAGGCGTCTGAATCTGGCATGCCTTGTCCGATTGATGAACGTCGTTCTAAACTAAGAAATTCGGAATTGGTGGCTTGATACAGCTGTTAAATGTCTAGATGATTTCCGTTGTTGGTGTAAGGCAAGCCTGGTGTCGCTCACATCGGACGGTGACGCTCTACGTTGGTTATTTCCCGTTTAGGCTTCGGGGTTCGACAATAATCAACTCATATCTCAGTTACCAATTAGATTTGTCATTCCGTTTGGTTTTTGGAGGCTCAATGTACAGCAATATACATGTGTAAGTAGTTAGGCCCATAGTTCGATTTAATCCACAAAATCTAATCTAGTTACAATCATTCATTAATCATTATACAGGGGAAACCTACAACCAAGCATGGTTGCCGGATTACCAGCCGTTCCATGCACACAATGACATCCTCTCTAATCATCAGTCTTACCAATTCGCAACGTTTAGATCCAAGCACCCTACGCGCGACAGCAGCAGAACAACTTCTGCCAGAAGCCCTTTTTCGTCTCCTCGCCGCGGTGGAAATCGCCATTCTCCTGGTAGTACGCGTCGTGATAGCCCTGCTGGTACTGTGGTGAGAGGCCCATGCTGCCGTAGTGGTTCGAAGGCGAAGCGGTCTTGGGCCGCGTAGAGCTGGGCGAGGCGCGCGGGTCGATCTGTTTCTGAGCGAATTTGTGCAAGTGCAGTTGCGACTGCGACGACTGGCGCGGCTTAACGTCACGCACGCGCTTCTGGGGCGGGTCAGGATTCCCATAACCATGCAAGTTTGGCTTCTTGTTCAACGTCAAGTCCCAGCCTCTACCGTTGTTCAAGTCCATCCAGTCATAGTACCCGTCATCGGCCTCGCCGAGCGATTCCAAAGCGAGATCCATAAGGCGCACCAAGTAGTCATAATCAGGGGTCTCTTCAAACTTGAGACTCCGTACGTTCGACAAGTACTCGGCAAACTGGATGGGCAAGCCGAAGCACAACTCGTTGATGGAGGTGTTGAGCTTCTTCTCACCAATCTTCTCGTACTTTGCCTTGTTCGTATTGGCCTTCAAGCCCTGCCATGGCAAGGAGCCCTTGAGGAAATAGAAGAACACGTGCCCCAAGCTCTCCAAGTCGTCGCGGCGCGACTGCTCGATGCCAAGGTGCGTGTTGATCGACATGTAGCGCGCGGTGCCGCTAAGCGCCTTCTTCTCCTTGTACGGAATGTGCTGTTTGGTGCGCAGGTCGCGGAATTGCTTCGCCATCCCAAAGTCCACCATGTAGAGCACGTCGCGGCTAGGCAGCTGGGGGTTCCCTACAAGAAAGTTGTCGGGCTTGATGTCGCGGTAAATCAAGTCGTACTCGTGGATCGCCTGCACGCGCCGGATCATCTGTTTCGCCAATAGACAGACAGTTTTCACGGAAAACTTGCGGCGGCACCAATCGAACAAGTCCTCTAGCGACGGACCCAACAAGTCGATAATCAAGATGTTGTGTGTTGAGCCATGGTGGCCGTAGTAGAAGCACTGGGGGATGCCTGGGGTGCCCGATAGGATACGGTACGCCTTGAACTCGTCTTTTAACTGTGGAGCGTCGCTCTTGCGGCTCTCAAACTTGATTGCCACAGGCGTGTTGTCAAGGAGGTTGACGCCCTCGAAGATGATACCGAAGGAGCCCTCGCCAATTTTGTGGCCCACCCGGTAGTGCACAGCAACGATGTTGCTGCTATTGGCCATGGCTGTTGTGTTCTGTGTATTAGGATTACTTAGCACTCAACCTGTTATCGTCCGGAGTAGCGTGAGCGTTGGTGTAGGCGTGGCACTTGTGCAAACCTGTTTTTTTTTTTTTCCTTGAGGTGCGAGGTTTGAGAGGTTTTTCGCGGAGGTTTTTCGTATCACGCCGTTGCTTATATACGCGGGAAAAGTCCTCTATAGGGGTGATTATGTCGGTGGGAATATCGTGTGATATTACAAAAAAGCGAGATTACCATATATACTAGCAAGGATGAAAAGAGGTCCAAGAGTTGGAGTAGGGTGTCTGTGACGGTAAAGAACGAACCAGAGACAGCCCTCGAGTGGTATATACAGCCTCCGTGTTCAGATGCGCCATTTTCTTCGTGCCTAGGCGTAACTTCCAGGTTTTAACTTGTCAAGCTTTATTGCAGCCCAGCCGTCCATTGAACTAACTATAGACTAAGCTCTTTTTGCCCCTTTGGGACCTTCTGCGTGGACTAACTACACTGATCTTTTCCGGGGCCGCGATCCGCTCTAAGTATATGTCACGTGATCTAAGCTTTCGTAGTAACCCGGCTATCACTCCGCCTCGTGAACGATATATAGGAGTGTATTTCTTGAGCAATGTTTATGAAGGTTATAGTTCTACGTGGTCTCACGGACAATATTCCGTTGGGGAGAGGTGGGGACGCTTCCGTTGTCATGCACTGCATGGCTTACCCCACACGAGTGCGTCGACACTCCGCTGGACAGTTTAGCAAGCGAGGAAGTTGGGGTTATTAGTTTTAGATATTGTGGTTTCTCGCGTACTTTAGTATATCCCTGCTTGGACGATATTTTAAGCTAACAGTATTGGATCATGCAACGTTGTAAGCTGGGGTTTACTGAACTACGGACAAGTTAAATCTGGCTTATTCATATTTATCCACTATGTCAGCGTTTTGGAGCTAACCCACGTGTCCAGGGAGATGATACTTGCCGTTTCAAGTAGCCTTGGCCAAGGCAATATAGGCAGGCGATGCATGTTCGTAGTTCCGAGCCGGGTCAAAGTAATCACCGGCTCTGGACTCCAAGTACTCCAAAAAGTCCTCCAAGTGTCGGACTAAAATGCTGATGGATTGCGCATCCATCGAGGTCTGCGCAACGAGCCCAGGCATGGAGACCAATAATCTCAACAAATGCTCGCCGCCGTAAATCGACGAGAACTCCTTGGCCACCGTCCCTTTCTTCTTCCCCTGGAGCTTCTTGGACTCTTTTAAATACAGTTGTCTCTCGAACCGGTACAACAAGATAACACCTATTGACCTGTTGAAGTATAATTTGAGGCCAGATATCGTCTCTTCGATTAAATCGTAGTCGAGGAGCGGATTTGTGTTTGCCCGGTCATGCTTGCCTCTTCTCGCTTTCTCGAGCTTCTCTTTCTGGTGGTTCTTGTAGTCGGTCAAGATCGAATCCACGGAGTGTTCGGCGGGCAAGAGCAACAATTTGTGGTTCTTGGTTACACTTTCCCAGTCGTCGACCAAGATCTTCTTGATCTTATTGGGGACCGCGATCTGGACTTCCGGTCTCTTCAAAAACTCATCTTCGGTCTCTAGCGTTGGATCGGCAGTCGTTCTGGCACGCTTCTTCGAAGGCTCCTGCGAAGACGAGGCTGAGCCATTAGCAGAGCTGTTTCCAGTGGATGCGCCTCTCTTCAGGCCTCTACCAGCACTGCTAACAGAGGTTGAGTCGGTTTTGGATCTCTTCTCCACCCTGGCGGCTTCAATGGCGGCTCTCCTCAAGTCTTTCTGGATCCCTAGGTTTTCGGGGTTAATTTCCAAGACCCGAGTGGTGTCTACCCATTCATCCCAGGTTTTCTTCCAGCCGTTGTAGTGGAGGTAGTACGACGTCTGCTTGTGGAACTGGGGAGGTAGGTCTGATTTTGCGATGGGGGTTTGGCCTTCCTTGGTTTCGATGTATGTTTTGTCAGCCTGGTGGAGTTTCAACACCTTGGCTTCGTAAAGGAGCGGCCCATGGTACGCCAAGCATCTGGTGTTTATCTTTATTGGGGTGGGAGTGGCTTTGGGGTACGACATTGCTCGTTTATGCCAGGAAGGGGGGGGGGAATCAGAGATATGGTTCAGTAAAGTAAGCTTAGGGCGGATGAATAGCAAGGTGTTGGTGTAAAAGTCCAAAATATTCAGAGTTTAATGTAACGTCCACTTGGGATATCGATCAAACCTCAGCCGAAGAAAACAGAACAGGACATGATTCCAAATTTTCGCGTCAGTCTGAGGGAAAAAAAACTGTCAATCGCGTTCCGGGAAAAAATAGCCAAATATGTGCGCCACAGCCAATCCCGCTGGCTTTCTGTCCTTATTTCCTTTAGATGGTTGAGATTGTTATCTTGGGTTAGTTTTGTTGAGGCTTTTATCCACCTTGATTGGCTTTACTAGTGTTACTTTTGCAGGTTTTAGATAACGCTATGTTCGTGTCGCTTTTCGCGTAAATGAGTCCAATTCTGTTTTATAGATATAGCCCCATGATTCAGCCTCATGATTCTTCGTGGTGAGAGTTTTCCTAATCCGTGATCTATCAGGCGCCGGGTCAGAATCTGGCCGAATAGATACGTGCAAACTTTCACGTTAACCACGACACTATTGACATGTGTGGGCATTATAACGGTGCAATAGTGGATACTCAGGATTGCTCTGCTCCTAAACCATTGTCTAAGCAAAAAAAGAAACTATAAGCTGTCCTACCTTTTAAATCCATGCGGGATGAATCATAATTACCTGGCTCATGACCAATGGGTTTTTATGGAAGCTAAAAATAAGTTACGAAGTGACGGCATATTCTGGTCAAAATCAATAAATTTTAAATAAAAATATATTTGTTTATATACCTTATATATCTTAATCAGAGTAATATATTTATAAAGAAAATGTAGTGGATATATACGTATATGTAGATAAACAGTGTATATAGCCAATAATATTATAAATATTTGAAATATAACTCTACACAAAGTTCCTAAACCTATCTGTATTCAAATTAGAATCAATTGATCAATTTTTGTCAGTATATATCCATTGATGAATGTATTCTTATAAAAATCAACATTTATCAATAATAATAAACGTGCCGAAGTTACATCAACTGAGTATGGAAAGTTGCAAAAATCTTTTTGCATCCAATACTCGGGGTGGCCAAGTTGGCTAAGGCGCGGGACTGTAATGTTAAATTGAAATCCTGAGATCGGGTGTTCGAATCACCCTTCCGAGATATTTTTTTAAATCTCAAATGCGAGCGCGCTTATATTAAGTCTGTGACAATTACTAAGCATCTCGCGGTGGAGGGGCAAGAGCCGTGGGGGTCGGCATATGCAGAGAAGAAATTTCATTTCAGGCGCGATCCGCCTTATCTATAAAGGGTTTCGGAGTTTTTCAACCCATTACAATCTAGTTCCTTTCTTCAAAACCACAGCAAATATGTCCGTTAAAGATAAGGTTTTATTTATCGGTGACTTGAACAAAGACCTCCAGGAGTACAAGGATTTCAAGGCCAAGTACGAATGCATTGACTACGCCATCACCGAGTTATCTAAGGAACAGGTGTTCCAGGATTTCCGGGAAAAGTTCCAGGATGTCAAGGCTATCTACGGCGCGTGGCTCGGTTTCATCACAATAGGTGGTTTTAAGGGTGAAGTCGCTGAAAAGTGCATTACCCCCAGCTTGAAGGTGGTATCTCTCTGTTCTGTTGGCCACAACGACTACGACGGCGACAAGTTGGCCTCCAAGAATGTCATCTTGACAAATGTCCCTGCCCTGTATACCGGTGCTGCCGATAAGGTTGCTGATTGCGTATTGTATCACACGCTCGAGTCTTTCCGCCACTTTCTGGTTTTTTCTCAGTCTTTGAACAGTGTCAAGCACGTGAACGGCTCCAGAGCCATTCTTAACAGTGATGAGTTCAACTCTGAGACGGGTAGCGTGATTAAATCTGAGTTTAAGGGCTACTGTTTCGGCCAGCAATTCGGTGGCAGGGCCGTCAAGTCCCCAAGAGGACACCATGCTGTGATTGTGGGTTTCGGTAACATCGGGCAAGCCATCGCCGATAGACTTAGCTCTATCGGGATGAAGATCTCCTATGTCAAGAGGGAAACGTTGTCCGAGGCTGAATTGGCCCGATTCAACTACCCGATTGAACACATTTCCTTTGAAGAAGGGTTAAAAGTTGCTGATCTCCTTGTCTTTGTTGTTCCAGGCAGCCCTGAAACCACTCACATGTTGAACGAAAAGACGCTAGCGCTCACTAAACCGGGTATCAAGATCATTAATGCCGGCCGTGGGACTGCCTGGGACGAAAAGGCCGTGATCAAGTACTTGCAGAACGGTCACATCTCCCACGTTGGTATGGATGTCTACGAACATGAACCAATGGTGGAACCAGAATTGTTCAACAGAACCGGTGACGTCTTTTTAACTCCGCACATCGGGAGTTGCACCATGAGCACCTGGAATGAAACCACCATCCACGCGTTGGCTGAAATCGATCGCGTTTTACAGGGTCAGGAACCGGAAAGCAGAGTCAATTAGAGCACATGGTTTCTCTCTGTATTACCAATTTCATAAATTAAGACATCGTGTAGGAAGATTTGCATTTTACCACGTACAGAGAGGTTCATATTCGGGGCAGCAGGTTGCTAAGGGTGACGGAAAATTAATTCCAGTTTGTAAAGCATCTCATCCCAGGGGCTTCTAGGCGTAAAATCCGTCTTTCTAGCGAATAGTAGCCTCGGAATACAGTACTTGAAACCTTGACAACTTTCAATAAGTCAAAGAGGTACAAAACTGGAGCTATGGCTATGATCGAGCTCAACCCAGGGTATTGACCTTCGCGGAGAGTTGGGTTTCCGCCGAAGTAGATAGTCCCGCTATCGAACTATGAACCTTTATTAGAGATCGCTTGCCGTGCCTGCCAAAAATACAGGGGTTATACAAAGTGTTTTAAGAGGAACAAAGGGCTGAAAGTTTCTCTGAGATTGATCGTAGGATTGGCGCTGTGGCTCAGCTGAGCCGCACCTCTAACACAAGTTAAATGTCATAACCAGTATGCATCCGCTGTATTCTTCCTAATGGGAAGGCTAACGCGAGGCAAAAAGCGTGGGGGTCGTACTGCACTTAACACGAAAAAATACTGAAACCCCCACCCGATGCACTTGCACGTTCGCATTTATCAAACTATATAAGGCACCTTACCTCAGTTTGATACCACTCCGGCCCTTTCTGCTTCTGGCTACTCGCTATACGAAATATATTCCGCAATGACCGCTGAAAACAACAAACTCCAGGTGTTGGCCGTCGGGGACATTTCCAGCACTACCCCGGAATACCAAGAATTTTCCAAAACCTTTGAGGTCATTCATTACAAGTTGCTGACCCGTGAGGTTTTTATTGCTGATCTTAAGGAGAAGTTCACCTCCATCGTTGCCATATGGCTTGACCACATAGGGTTCTATCAAATCGGAGGTATTCCATCCGATTTGCGCGACGCGTTCCCGCAGACCTTAAAGGTGGTTTGCTTGAGTTCTATCGGATACGGTGAATACCACGGCGAGGAGTTGCGGGCAGAAAGGGGCATTATTTTGTGTAACAACCCGGCGCAGGTTGCCATTGAGCAGGTTGCCGATGTGGCGTTATACCACGTGTTGAACGCTTTCAGATACTTGAATCTCATGGAAACCCAGTTGAGAACCACAAAAGATTGCTTTGCTTCGAGAATCCAAGTCAACTCAGACTCCTGGAACAATGAGATTGGCTATCCAAACTTCTTGTCAGCAGAAGAAGCGAAGGCCAAGACATTCTCCTACGGCCACTCTGTCGGGGGACGCCGGGTCATGACGCCAAAGGGGAAGCATGCTCTTATCGTCGGTATGGGCTCGATCGGCTCGGAATTGGCCAAGAGATTGATGACATTAGGGATGTATGTTCACTATATGAAGAAGTCCGGCCCTATCGGAGCGAAGGAGGCCGCTGAGATTTCGTACTATGGCAAGCCAGGGAACAATGCTGAATTGACTTACCACGAAAGCTTCGAGAGCTTCGCGGCGGAGTGCGATATCGTCATCAACTGTTTGCCCCAGATGCCAACTACGAACCACTACTTAAACGAAAAACGCATCAAAATGTTGAAGCCTGGCTGCAAGATTGTGAATGTTGGGAGAGGTAGCACCATTGACACTGAAGCGTTAATCACCCACGGTTTGAAAACTGGTCATATTACCTACTTCGGCACCGATGTCTATGAAAAGGAACCGGTTGTTCAAGAGGAGTTGACCACGAGATATGACGTATGTATTACCCCGCATATCGGTTCGTCCACCATTGAAACTATCGAGACTGCGGCGTTGCAGTGCATGGATAACATCAAGAATGTGGTTTTGTATGGGGGCAAAGGTTATACCACTGTGAACTAAAGGCATTTTTAGAGCATACCGTACGTGAAAGAATCTAGACCCGTATACAAGTAAGGAGAACACAAAGTGAAGAAAACATGGCAAGTCTTAAACAAAACCAAAAATGTAGCGCATATCCAAAATCAGACAAGCAGTAACCGTGCTTAATGGCTTATGACCAGACACCAAAAAGCGCTAACACTGGCAGTTGGGGCCGGTCCAAACAATCTTCGTGGCGTTACACATATTCCAGACGTATGAATAACAATCTTTAACTTCTTTTTTTTTTTGCTAATTAAACATGTGTATAAATATTTTGAGACTCAGGACCGGAACATGGAATGCTGAACTGCGAGAGAAACAGAGTAAAATGGGAGGAATGAATTATATGGATATAGAGATGACTCTGGCGAAAGGCTCAAGCTTGGGAGCAAAACCCTTAGTGGTGGTGAGCATCTGGGTTACCGATGAAGTTCAACTTGTAAACGGAACCACATTCCCAGCATCTACCTTCTCTCTCAACAGTTGGCTTCAACCACATGATTGGGTGAGAGCCAGCTGGAGAGCCAGAGCAACCAACGTAGCGGTAGTCATCGAAGGAATCAATGACAATTGGGTCGGCCATGGTACCAGTTCTGGTGTCATCCAACGGTGTTTGGTCAAAGACATCGATACCTTCCAACTTACCCAACAATTCCAATCTTTCCAAACCGGTAGCCTGCTCCAAAGAGGTCGGAACAGTACCCGGCTGGGCACCTGGGCCGATCAAGTCATCAGCAGTCTTGAGGTCAGACAACTTCTTGTAGCCAGCTGGCACCTGGCGGACAATAGAGGTGGTGGTGAATTGTCTTGGCTGGATAGCACGCAAGACTGGGGCACGTAAAGATCTGGCAAACATCTAGAAGGGGGGGTTAGTATACACAATCTATTTGAGGTGTCAGGAGAGAGGGAGGGCCGGCAACGTTAGAGGCAGCCTTGTAGACTGCCAAAGACAATGTTTAAAGAAAACAGGAATGCTCATTGGGGAGGACACCAGCTTCGAGAACGATTGTCCCTTGAAATGGGCAGGACAGTCCGCGTGCTCCATGCACGATTATCCCTGTGGTTGCTTTAGCAAGGATCAAAAAGCTCAGATACAATGTAGAGCACATTAATTGGACAACAGCACCGCTATCGTGGAGGGCTCGGTGGTTAGATGGTTATCTGTACACAACAGCGGCGCGTCTTTCCAATGGCGATTTCTAAGTAAATGCCTTTGTATTATTGCCATAGGAGAATAGACAAGAATTTAGATATGCGCTATAAGTGGAGGTCATGCTGGGGTGCCTCATGGACTCATTCTTGGAGATTTTGGGACATTCAAACACCTGTTCAATCAAGGCTTATAGCCGCTCCCCTTTCTCTCTGTACCATCTCTCTTCTCCTGTAACACCGTTCTTTGTCAAAAACATACTATGAATATGTGAAATGTCTATGTTTTGGTGATATTACGAGGAGCTAGACAGGGACGTTTCGTTAATATAACGCTGCGTTCACCGCATTTTTCGTCTTTGGCAAGCGAATCGGCTCACTTTTTAGAGGGCCAGCGCGCATAACCACCATTCTGCTCATAGTAAAGCTTCCTAATGCTAGTGTTATTTCACGATCGGTGGTTGGTCGATTGAGAAAGGGAGACTTAGTCACCTGACTGGTCATGTGACTAATAAAAAAGAAATCAATTTTGTAGATTTTTAGTTTTTCCTGCACGTGATCAGAGGCTCGTGTATGGCACCTGACATCACGTTTATCCTGCACTAGGGCTTGACCAAATCCGGGTTTTAGTGACTGCGAAACTTTGAAAAACGAAAAGCCTCATTTTCCGTAGTTTCTGCATACGCAAATTTTCGTCGCTCACTGGGACTGGCGGACGAATATTATCCTGCGATCTTGGAAAATTTTCTCTATGTCTGTCCCTAACTAGCACGCACATCGAACAAGCCTTTCCGGATTCGGCCTAGCTACTGCCAGAAACCAATTCTGGTACCACGAGCCCTGCCTGCTGCCCTCCTCCTTTCACTCTACTGAATGTTGTATGGTAGCGCCGATTGTGTGAGCGAGCACCCGACCGCTCAGGTGTGAGAGACAGACACCTAAATAAAAGTACTTCTCCGCTTAGGCTATCTTGAACGTACTAGTAGTTTTGAAATTATACATAATTAGGTATGTAATCGGTGTACCTATAATGACCAGCGGAAGATATCCAGATGCGACCAAGAAGCAAACAAAGCCATTTCCGAGTGGAGGAGCCACGATGAAAAATTTCACCTGAAAAAAAAAGTCGACGCCTTACGTTGTTAATTGGACGTTTTGCGACCGATTCGAATTGAAGCCTTGTCCCTTCCGAATAGCCCGTTCATCGTCCGAGGTTGAAATTTTTTTCTCGATTCCCATAAGGATCCACACCTACCCAAGCTTCGTATCCGGTGATCTTTTGTCTCATTACCCAGGCCAAACGAACTGTTACTAACTATCTCTAGTCAACATGCCAAAGAAGAGAGCTTCCAACGGTCGTAACAAGAAGGGTAGAGGTCACGTCAAGCCAGTCAGATGTGTCAACTGTTCCAGATGTGTCCCTAAGGACAAGGCCATCAAGCGTGTCACCATCAGAAACATGGTTGAAGCTGCCGCTGTCAGAGATTTGTCCGAAGCCTCTGTCTACGCCGAATACGCTTTGCCAAAGTTGTACAACAAGTTGCACTACTGTATCTCCTGTGCTATCCACGCCAGAATTGTCAGAGTCAGATCTAGAGTTGACAGAAGAAACAGAGCTCCACCAACCAGACAAAGATTCAACAAGGAAAAGAAGATCTCCCCAGCTGATGCCGCCAAGAAGGCTGTGTAAGCTGTGCAAACATTAGTTTTGTATAGTTATCTTATTTAGGGCTTTTTTCTCTTTCCACCAATGTTATGAAAATTTATTTAGAGCGGAAAACACTTTCAAACTGTATGGTATACGTTGGATATATCGGTTAAGCACGCGTGATGCGGATGATTGGCCAGGTATTAGCATGCACACACGTTCAGGGACTTATCTTTCAATCTCTCTTGTAGGTTTACCGCCCCCGCCGTCCCACTCCCGCTGGTTGCGTTATTGCCATTAGCGCCATCTAGAGTAAGGACTTCGAACCGATCTGGCGGTATAAGATCCGGTATGACGGCGTAAAATATCTCGTGAATATTATAATTCGTCTTGCAGCTTGTGAAGTAGTGTGGGATGGCATTTTTGTGGCAGAATTCTGCCACACCGTTGTTATGTGTAGCTGTCGAGTCAGAAAACGAGGTGTGACCCTGCGAAGGACTCTCAGAGTGGTCTATGCTTTCAACGACCGCACCTAAGGAACCACACGCCCGCTCTGTTTCATTCGCCTTTTTAGCGGCAGTCGAAGCACTTGCTGGGTCATGGTTATTAGTCTCTTCAGCCTCAGTCTCTTCGGTTTCGGTCTCTTCGTTCCCATTGCTGTCATCAATGAGCACCAAATCCAACTTATTACCGCATACAATTACCTGAATGGTTTCTGCATGAGACTTCAACACATCCACCCAATACTTCAACCGGCTCTCAGACTTTTCGTAGTCGGGATCAGACACATCATACAACAACACTGCAAAGTCTGCATTACGGTAGTACATGGGGATTAGCGATCTGTACCTTTCTTGACCAGCAGTGTCCCAAATCTCGTACTTCACTACCCGGGGCGATGCGGCATCGAGGGATTCTAGCGCTTCGCTTCCGGGTGGAGTGGGCAAATTGACGACCTTAGTAATGAAGGCAGCACCGATGGTTGCTTCAATTTGGGAAGCACTGAAGGTGTTTCGCACAAAACGGTGAACAAGGGAGGACTTGCCAACAGCGGAGTCTCCCAAAAGAACGAGCTTCACCAGTGCGAACTGGGTAGACATGGGGGAGGTTGGTCTTGTTGTGGGGTGAAGGTTAGGGGGATTTGGGAAATACGTAGATTGGATATCAACCAATATATACAAGTGCTCCGAGCAGGCCTTGAATTTGCGAATATGTTCCTTAACTGATAAATAAAGGTAGATGATCTGATAGCGACGGTATGTGTAGATATCGGAGGTCACATAAATTTTGACAAGATGCAGGAGAGATACTCTCCTCGCTTCCACCTGCAATTGGAACCAGCTCCCCCGGTTGTGACATCAAGCGGGGTAAAAGTTGGGACTGTAATTTGTATTACTCATTACTAATTTATTGAACGGATCAGCTTAAAAACTAAGTATTCGGATGATAATTCCAAGAATAAAAAGAGTTTTCAGCCAAGGATGGCCCTAAATACCTGCTATTCGTATCTGTTAGTATTTAGTGTCGCTCTTCAGATTTACAGTTATACCTGGATTACACTGCCCTAAAATGAGACCCCCCCCCCCCCCCCCCCGTAACAAACAGAGCGTATTCAGTGAGACCCCGTAACAAAAAGAACATGTTTAGTGAGATGCCGACAGTGAATTACCCGTTGTACGAGACCCCGTCGTGAGGTATCTAGGGCCCTGCAATCCGGACTATACACCTAAGTGTTGCAGCGCCTTAACTTCTCCTATGACGATAATTACCACATAAGGTTGTTGGATTTCACCACGCTTCGGACCCCTGGTTCAGTATGGCTTACGATACCAACGTCACGCTTACAGCCATCGGTTGGCTACTGAAATCGGATTAAAAAAAGCTAGTAAACAAGAACTAAAGTCGTCAGGAAATACCAGCAGCTTGCTACAAGGTGCTGAAGATGTACAAGTTGTTGGTAGCCGCAATGGCAACGGAGTTTTCGTGCGGGTGCCAGCTGGCGTGCAAGATACTTTTCTTGAAGTCGATGGTCTCGAAGTCCATGTCCTTCTTCATCATGCCGAGGGTGCCGTTAGCATTCATGGAGAGGCGGTTCTTGACACCCGGGCGTGCCTTCGTATAACCCACCTTCTTGGTCTTGAAAGCTGACTTGTCCGCCTGGAGCACAATGACGTCATCTTCAGGAGCGGCGCTACTGGCGGCTGTACCCGACACGGCGTTGGGGTAGATCATGAAGTTGTTGTTGTAGGACCCGGTCATGATGGAGTCGTTGTCGCCGCCGAACTGGACCTCGAACTTATCAAAGATCGCGTCGTTCTCGTACGTGTCGCAGAGGCGGTCTCGCAATTGCTCGTGGATGTTGATGACCTTGACAGGCTCGCGCTCCATGGCCACGTCCCAGATCTTGACTGTCATGTAGTCGCGCGACACAATGTATTTGCCGTCGTGGCTGAACTTGACATCCAGGATCGACAGCGTGATCTCCGTGAAGAAGTTGTGGTTGGTAGGGTCCGTGTACTCCTCGTAGATCTTCGCATGGCTATCGCAGAGCGAGTTCTCGCGCATGTCCGCCAATTTGATGGTGCCCTTGGACAGTGAGTACATAAAGAGGTTGCACGACTGGGGGTGGAACTCCGCGCACGTGATGACTTCCGTCAATTCCTCCATGTTTGCCGGCTTGATATCCACAATATTGAACGACTGGTCCGAGATGCCGAGATTCCACAAGTTGATGCGTAAATCGTCGGACGACACAAAGGTCTCGCCGTCGGAATTCACCGAGATCGAGTTGATGTGGTACGCGTGCGCGTTGCTGTATATCTTTTTCGGCTGCGCGTTAATGATCTTGTCGTGCACGGTTAGCTGCGGCAACTTCAATGCGCTCATCCGCAACGCTTGCTGCTTCGCCTGCTGCTGCACCGCGGATAACGCGGCCGGCGCGCCGTGCTCGGAAAGGTTGTTCTCCGCCACCACCTTTATCTGCTTCTCCGCCACCTTCCACAACTTGATGGTCTTGTCGTTGGTGGACAAAAGTGACAAGGAATTACCCGACGTGTTCAACCATTTGATTTTGTTGATCTTTTCTTCAATCTCGAGCGACTTGAGGTAGTCGAACTCCGCGTCATGGGATTGGAACTCCGTGTAGAACTTGTACTCACAGTTCCTTTTGCTGCCATTCCGCTCAAAGAGCACCACTCTCCCACCCTTGTCGCCTGTAGCGAGATAATCACCGTTGCCGTTGAACTCGACTGTCGAGATGATGTCAGCCTCGGTGATCGTTTCGATGTCGCCCTTGTCACCGAAACACTGGCTGAACTTCCATGCTTCTTCCGACATGGCTGGTGTATATGTGTAGTTGTGTGATTGTCTTGTGGCTGTATTATGCGAGAAGCGCTAAAATACGGAGATGGTTTATTCAATCGCAAGTATTGGCAATTGGTGATGGTGCTAGGCGGAGAGAGCGTGACGCCGACTAAAAATTGGCTCACTTAGCAAGGAGAAAATTGAGGAGAACCAGCATGTCGCATTGGCTTATGTAAGCGCGAGTGTGGGTTTGTCATGATAAGCGGAAAGGCACGTGCGTGATGAGGTCTGGGGGATATGGAGGTGTCCGTGGAATTTAACTTTATCGACAATGGGCCATAAAGGGTATGAGTTTATCTCATAAATCGGAAGGAGCTTACACAACCGCCCCTGTTTCGAATTCGGAGAGACCTTTTGAGTTTGGGCAGTGCCATGTAAATTCCCCAATAGCTTCTGTTTGTACTATTGGCATCGTGTTGCACCAAAAAGGATTGACTAAATTTAAAACGAGATATAGCGAGAAAACGCTCCTCACTTTTTTTTTTTTTTTTTTTTTTTGGCTTATAACGCCATCTTACAGAATTCACGTGGAACCCATTTCATTTAATCTTGCCGAGTTCGTCTTTCAGGTCGCTCCAGTATTTTACATCTGGCATCTCTACAAGTTCTAGGTCCCTCCATCTGTATTAATACCTAAAAATCAAAGCTCAGTCCTCAGTTCCTAGACGCACCTAGAAAGCACAAACATCGCTCTGGCCTCGTCTTGTAAGCTCTCCAAGGCTCGCTACACCATCTTCTCCGACATCACCTGCTTCACCGGCTCACTTTCGTGAATATACAACCCGTGCTCCTGGATGTACCGTATTACCGAGTTGGGCAACAAGTACTGCACGCTCATGCCCCTTCGCAAAAACAACCGGATCTTTGTCGAGCTGATATCATTATAAATCAATTGCTTAATCACCAACACGTTCCGCCGGTGCTCGTACATGATATCGTGCGACAACAAGAACGATCTAACGTCACTCCCGGTTCTTTCGACGATCAAACACCCGTAGCGGCCCAAGATGTGGTGCACGTCAGCGTCGGCCCACACGTCGGGCTCACCGAACGACTCGATGAGATCACCGCCTGCGAGCAACATGATCTTGACCGCCTTGCGCTCGCCGTTCTTTCCGGCAATACCGCCCCGCTTCACATTGATCTCTTCGTTGAAGTGGTCCAAAACAAGCGCTGTGCGCTGGTATGTCGGCTGCAACGACTCCCACGCGTCCACCATGAGCCACGACGACGTGCGCTCACACGCTAACTCACACATGCGGACTCTGTGAGTCGACGACGCCAAGCCGCGTTTCTTGTAGTTGTCGGAAACGGGCGAGAAATAGCCCCCGATGACCTCGAATTTTGTCTGCTCACGCACTGCGTCAATGGCCATCTCGAACATGCGCAAATGCAAGTACGTGATCGGGGAGAAAGACCCACACGCCACAATTACCAACGGGTGCTTTGAGGGGTCGTTCATCCGCGTGGCAAAGCGATGATCTGGGAACTGGTAACTGTGGAGCTCATTGGCCTGGCGCTGCACGCCATGCGGCACCTCCTCCAAGTCCGCGATCTGGTACGAGTGAACGCGCGGGAGCGTGGGCATGTTGAATCCCTTGTGCACGCTCTCATCGCCAAAGTCGCTGTTGCGGTCCTCGGTGTCAAAGTAGGTGTTGGTGAGCTCGGGGCGGGCTTCCAATTCCTGGTTGATCCCCGATGAGTCCTCTGCGCAGATAAAAACGGGTTCGTCCTCGTCAACGGAGCCCAGAGACGAGTCTGAGTTCAAGTCCGTCTCCGCCATGGGGATTTTCGCAGACAACTTGGGTCTGGAGAACGACTTTTGCGACGAGCGGCGGCTTTCGAGCAGTGGGTGCGGTGACGGTGCGTCCATGGCCGAGCCCAAGTCTGCTAACACGAACGGGCGGTTGATAGGAGGCGTGTATGGCACGCGAGACGGCGGTACTGGCGGTGGTTGTGGAAGGTGCATCGACGGCGGCGTGAAGTTAGGATCGTTTGTAGGGTCCATATTGTGTTTCGGGTCTGGTTATGGCAGGACAGCTATAGAAGTGGGTATGGTGCTTTTTATGGAAGTGAGTACGGAAGCTAAGATGGCACTTGGAAAGGCAGCGGTTATACCGGGGAATGTAATTAGTGTATACCAGGAGGCAGGGCGTAGCAATGGCTGCAAAAGGGTCACAAGTATCTGTTACCGGTAATTCGATTTGCGTGAGAGCTAAGCAAAGTATTTGGTTTAGTGTATACAAAATAAAATGTTTAATGCGCAAAGCGCGTAGGTTTTATGGATGCGCATTGGTTATATACGATTTTGCATTTCGTATCATCTGACGTTGCACGGCCACAGGTTTTGCTTTTCGGGTGTGTGCCCAGCGGTCTGAATGGGGAAACCGGTCCGTGGGGCTATTAGGCGCGACCCGGGCTTGCCTCGACGCCACAACAATGTTATTTACAACACCGAGAATATATCATGGGTCGTAGCCTAAATGCATTATATAACAGAGTTATAGCCGAAGTCAGTAGTATCTACAATGAGGCGCGAGACTTTAGGAACCAGGTGTGATTTCTGTGTCAAAGCAGAAAAGTGCGGCAAAAGTAGCATATCTGGTGATAGTAAGGAAACGTCTTCAAAGACAAGATAAATAGGCTTGTCTCGTTTATTTTTTTTTTTATTTTCTCTTCATTACCCCTCATCGGTGAAAACAGAGAAGCAGCGCGACTCCGGGGGTGGGGTATGTGGCGTTGTCTGCGTCCGGACCGAAAATCATGTACACGAGGGGCAATTTCACACAATCGCTCCCACCATTTACTGGACAGACATGGCATCATTCATCCCGAATACAGTTTCTCTCTGCTTGAAACCAAATTCTCATCTTGAATCATTCTTGCGGGGATTAGGTGAGAGGGACTTCGTCTACGGTATGATTCACATATACAAAGTATACAGACCATTACTGAGCTCGATCAGCGCCAAGTTGGCGACTTCAGAGATAAGGTTTTTTTTGTTTTTTTTTTCAGCAGTTGACGGTGGATCTCACTAATTTAGGGGCCCTCAAAGTTAGCCACGCATCAGTCTAGCCCCATTAGGTAGGGGGCCATAGGAAGCTTGCAGATTCTAACTTAAGCACGTACGGTAGGGCAAATAATCGTTTTCTTAGTAAGCCGGGGCTTACGCGTATTTATAGAGCCGTAGCTCGGTTATCATGCAAAATCACAGCTGAGAATTCACGAAATTCATTACGTATGAGGCTCAGAGATACGGTGCCTTGTTTAGGTATGATTGAAGATCTGCCTCGTCCTTAATCAGCCACCCAAAGAAGTCAAAGTAAACCAACATGATACCTTCAGTAATTATCCACAAAAATAAAAATCAAGTTAGATATACACCGTATACGGTCTATTCAAAGGTATTCGGACCGGTCGCTCAGCTATGCGTGCGCCCACCACATCGGCAAAAAGTCAACCACAGCTTATATGCCGACATGCCAAATGCGATGCGCAAACACCCATCAAATCATCTAGTCTCTCCATACGGCCTTGTTCATATCGCGGTATCCCAGACACTGTTCCTGTCCTACCTCAAACTTTTAAGTAGTCACTGACGCGTTCATCTTAATTACGCTCCCAGCCAATCGCCATGTCAGACAAATCCCTTCCGGTGGAAAGCGAGACGCCGCTGGCTATTCCCCAGAACGTCTCAATCGCGCCACAGGTACAGTCGTCAGCATCTCACACGCAGTCGCTGCAAAAGACGCTCCCGCCGCAAGCCAAAGCCGCCACCTCTGCTAATGCGAAAGCAGGCAGTTCTGTAGCTACCAAAACGGTGCCACCGACAGCTAAACCCGCGCCCGCGGCTGCTGCCCCTGCGAAACCAAAGACAGGCTCCCAGTTCTCCCAAGAGGATCTCAACCGCATCGTGCTTGAGTATCTCAATAAACAGGGCTACCACAAGACTGAGTCCATGCTTCGCTACGAGTCCTCTGGCAACCCCACCGCACAGGGCCCCCCTATCACTCCCGCTAACACCGCCATTGTCAAGAGGACCGCGGCCGAAGCTGCTGCGGCTAGCGCTGCGGTGAAGAGGGCCGAAGATGACAAGCGCATGGAGATGGATCCAGAAATCTACTACCGCGCGTACCGCATGCTCCGCGGCTGGGTCGAAACCTCGTTGGATCTCTACAAACCAGAGCTCACACGCGTGTTGTACCCCATCTTCATCCACTGCTTCTTGGAGCTCGTGTCCAAGCACCACGTGAAAGAGTCCAAGGCATTCTTCGACAAGTTCAGCGAGGACCACGCAATCCTCCACGGGATCGAGATCCAGAAGTTGTCCGGGATCTCCACCACCGACCACTTGCTGGAAAACGAGCTCGCGCAGGCGTTCAAGCTGAACCGGTACCGCATTGTGGTCTCCAAGACGTCGCTTAACCTCTTGTTGTACTTTTTGCACGAAAACGAAGCCGTGGGCGGGGGGATTTTGATCAGAATCATCAACCAATACTTAGAGCCGAGTATCGACTCCACCTCTACAATCGACAGTGCTAAGAATGACCAGCCAGGTGAGCTAGACCCGGAGGAGGGCATCTTGGGAATCACGGGGGTGGAGGAAATCGATACCTTCAACTCGCAGAGCGTCAAGTTGGGCAAGTTACCGATGGATCCAGAGTTTGCAAAGGAGGTGGAGGCGGAGTTGAAGGATAAGGACGACAAGAGCCCAAAGGTCAACGGCAAGACGTTGGTCGAGGAGTTCAAGGAAATGACAAAGGAGGAGGAAGAGCCGAAGGAGAACTTTGAGTCTCCGTCCCGGGAGATTTTGCCGTTGCCCGTGAAAACGGCGTACGACTTGAAGCGCGAGATTTTGTCCGTCCAGGACTCTCGGGCCAAGATCAACATCGACTCCATCCAGGCCACCGCGCCGTCCGTGTGCATGTACACGTTCCACAACACCAACAACGACATGAACTGCTTGGAGTTTAACGACGACTCGACAATGGTTGCAGCTGGGTTCTCCGACAGTTTTGTCAAGTTGTGGTCGATCGACGGCAACCCGTTGTCGTCCATTCTCAAAAAGGACGGGGACGGCGCTGACCACAACCTACACAGTCGCCGTTTGGTGGGTCACAGTGGGTCGGTTTACGGGGTGTCCTTTTCTCCCGACAACCGCTACCTCCTTTCGTCGTCGGAGGACAAAACCACCCGTCTCTGGTCGTTGGACACCTACACGGCCCTTGTGTCGTACAAGGGGCACAACGCGCCAGTGTGGGACGTGAAATTCTCGCCATATGGCTTCTACTTTGCCACCGCTTCGCACGACCAAACGGCGAGACTCTGGTCGTGCGACCACATCTACCCGTTGCGTATCTTTGCGGGACACTTAAATGACGTTGATTGCGTGGAGTTCCATCCAAACTCCACCTACCTCTTCACGGGTTCCTCCGACAAGACCTGTCGGATGTGGGACATTAACAAGGGTAACTCCACGCGTATCTTCATCGGCCACACTGGGGTCGTGAACTGTATGGCGGTTTCGCCTGATGGGAGATGGTTGGCGAGTGCCGGTGAGGATTGTACGATTAATGTGTGGGACATCGGCAGCGGGAGACGATTAAAATCCATGAGGGGCCATGGCAAGGCGACCATTACCTCGTTGAGCTTTTCGCGCGAGGGCAGTGTGTTGGTCAGTGGATCTACCGACAACAGTATTCGTGTCTGGGACATCAAGAGAGGGACCAACGACAGTGGACCACAGCCAGAGCCGTTCAGTGGCAACCCTTTGAACGCCCCTTCGAGCTCGAACGGTGCTAACGGTAATGCTAACGCTGCTGGCGACAAGGATGACCAGGGGAGACGAAGAAGAGAGGTTATTGCCTCTGCCGACCACATGACGGCGTACTTTACCAAGCGGACCCCGTTATACAAGGTTCATTTCACGAGACGAAACTTGTGTCTTGCCGGCGGGCCGTTCCAGCCGCAAATATAGAGGGTGTCTGCCCGAGCTGTTTTGTATTAGTAACTATTTTATGATGATTTCTTGAGTAATGACTCGACCGTATTTGGTGTACTCACCCTGGGAGACTGTCAAAGCAGAGATCAGACTTACCCCACCATAACACACTGCACTTGACTTACTCGCAGTGACCATTGAAAGAGAGCGAGTAGAGAGTTTAAATCTTTTGCGCCAACCTGATACGAGAGATTTACCGCGTAAAAATTTGGGACTCGGGATATTGAAACGGGTTGACAAGCCATGCAGAGGCCAAATGGCAACCTTTGATTGCCCAATAAGGCTACCGTCTGCAAAGCATCGTTCCGGTTTGTAACACGCCGTAAACGCTCATTACTTGAGAATATCAACGAGGTTAGCGGTGTGAAAGTAAAAAAGCTAATCGACACAGACAAGATTCGAACTTGCGCAGGTAGAACCCAACGCCTAAACTGATATTCGGAAATAGCAGGGCGTCGCCTTAACCACTCGGCCACAGTGCCTAGATTTTATGTGTCTTATCTATTTTTTTTCCAACGAGATTTACCTTTTTGAGACATTCGGAGGATGGGTAGAGATGGGCCGCTGACAATACAACGATATAAAATATAAGCTCTGGACAGCATTTAAAAATAAGTTATACTCCACTGTGCGGAATAAACATGACGGAAGTGGTTTGGCCCGGTTTTTCTATTACACACATAGACCATTGGCTTTGCGGAATATCTACCTCATTAAGCTGTGAAGTTGGTGATACAAACCCGGACAGTATTCAAAGATGCAAAGCGCATATTATTGGGAAATCTCTCAACCCACCGGTAAATTCTAGAAGCGTATACTTAATCTCTACATCTGACTCATCGTGATTGTTGGGTGCACCTGGTGATGCCCTGGCAACTAAAATCCAGAAAAAAGGAATACGAGGGCTAGTCACAGATTCCATAACTGTCTTAGACCGTCTTAGCAGCACCTCAACAAACCCCGAGCCCTAGAAAAAAGTGCAGACCTGGTGCCAAAGTTCGTAAATACAAGGAGTCGCCTGCATGAAGCGGCTACGACTCATAGTCATCTGCCGGATTAAGCAATTATGACTCTCGAAGCACCGTTTTTCAACATGCATCACGCAGTTCACGCTCGCCAAACGGCATATTCTCTTTCTTTCTCAACTCAACAATTCACAGAATCGTTCAACCGGAGCACCGGATACCTTCAGCTTTTTGTCTATAAATACAGCTCCTTTCCAGCTCTCTTCCCGACTCTCTTCTCATCAACAATCGTTTCTTATGTCGTCGGCTGCCTCCTCCAAGAGCCAGATTTTAACTGAAGCTATGCCTACCGCCCAGAAATACACCACTGACGCCGAGGACTCTCCTTCCTATGATTCTGAGTCTTCCGTATTGCCGCCTTCTAAGAAGGAGTTGGACAGAATCTACAGATCGCTTGACTACAGAATCATTCCGGCCTTGTGGGTGTTGTACTTCCTCACCTCCTTCGGGAGCTCAGCCTATGGTAACACCTTAACCATGAACACCGCCTCCGGACACTCCTTGATGCAGTCTTTGAACTTGGGGAGCCACGACACCGCCACCGCCTCTGCGTTGTACTATGTTGGCTACATCATTTTTGACGTGCCGATGAACTTGGCCATGACGAGATTGCAGCCCCAGATCTGGTTATCGAGAATTGTCATGACGGTTGGGCTTGTATATACCTGCTATGCTGCCCTTTCCAACGCCAAGGGTCTTATCGCTATCAGATTCATCTCCGGTATGTGCGGTGCCGGTACTTGGCCGGGCTTGAGCTACTACATCTCTTTATGGTACCCTAACGACAGAACGGCTAAGAGAATCGGCTACTACTTCACGGCCGCTCAGATTAGTGCTTCTGTTGCCGGTTTGCTCGGGGCCGGTTTCCAAAGAATCGATATGGTCCATGGATTGGAAGGCTGGAAGTGGCTCTACTTGGTGTATGGATCCATTACTATTGCGGTCGGGATCTCGTTAGTGTGGTGGTTGCCGGACAGACCGGCGGGTATGCTTTCCTTTAACGACGATACGGAAGCTGGTGTGATGCATAAGATGTTTAGGTTGGTTCCAAAGTCCAAGCAGCCCTTGAGCGGCAACGATCAATTAATGCATCTCAAGGACATGGAAGGCCGTTACACCAAGATTACCTGGGATTTCAAGGATGTCTGCAACATTTTGCTCGATCCTCGTACCTGGCCCTTGGTGATCTGCTACTTCGGTGTTGTGGGTGCCGGTTTTGGGTTGGCGGTGTTTGGTACCACCATTATTAAGACCAACAACCCTAGCTTGTCCTCCATTAATGTCTCCTTGTTGTACGCTCCAATCTGGTTGTTTGACTTGGCGGCCATTTTACTTGTCACTCCCTTTGCTGACAAGTTTAAGCGGTACCGTTACTTGTTCTTTTCCGGTGCTTCTGTCATTATTATCGTGGGAATGTTGATCACCACCTTTGCCCACGGGCCATGGAATAAGTACGCTGGGTTGTTAGTTGCTGGGTTTGGTTTAGGTCCTACCGTGCCCACCGTGATGGCCTGGGCCGCTGAAATTTTTGCTCCAAAGTATGGTGATGTTGGCTGTGCGGTTAGTGCCGCTCTCGTTTCCGGTTTGGGGAACTTGGGGTCTGTTACTGCGACGTATGCTTTGTACTCTGGGTGGCCAGCCGATAAGCTCAGATTGTACAAGTACTCTAACATGATGCTTGTTACCATGGTTGGTACGGGTATCCTCAGTGCGTTTTTCCTCCAGGGCATGAGACACTTTTTAGGTGACTTTAAAGTTGAAATTAGAGAAGAGAGAGAAGAGAGAGATGCTAGAGAAGAGAGTGTTGAAGAAGCTATATGAAGAGTTTATATGAAAAAAAAAAACCCCCATATGAAGTGGAGCTGTGATGGATGCCCACCCTACCGACTCTAATTTCTAACCGTAAACACTTAACCAGTTGTAATATAGACTAAGCCGCATGCGTCTTCCGAATCTGTACCCTGCAGACTCAGGGGCGACTTATTGGACTACTGTTGGATTTACTTTTTTTTGTTCAGTCATACCTAACATCTTAATTTAGAATTCTAACCAAACCACTACTAATTCCCCAATAATGTCTCAGACCCAATATAATCCCACCGTTGTCACCAACCCAGTTATTCTCTGGGACTTGAGCTCCAAACTTGAGCCCAAGCAGTGGTCTCCCAACACGATGAAGGCTAGATGTGTCCTAAACTACAGGGGCATCCCCTTCGAAACTAAGTTTGTAACCTATACCGAGCTCCCTCGGGCCTTAGAGAGGTTGGGTGTCAAACCTTTGCCCACAGTCCCCGGGTATATCGTACCGACAGTCACCCACGACGGAAACACAGTCATGGGATCATATGACATTGTCCAATACTTGGAAGACGCCTTTCCACATAATCCAAGTATGTTCACCTCCCCACACGCCTTAGCTGATGCCGATAGTCTCCGGAAGTTAGAACAGGCCATGTTTGACAGTTTTTCTATCAATCCTGTTACCTTCATCAAGGAGATTATACATGACGAAGACATTGGTTACTACATCACAAAGAACATGGACAGATACAACCTCAATATCATCCAAGTCGCCAGCGATCCAATCACTATCGAAAATAACTGGGTGGCTGTTAAGAACTATGTCAATGATTTTAAGGGTTTCACAACCGAGAGGTTTTCCCAAGAGCAGTTGAATCGTTTGAAGCATGGAAAGTACCTATTTGGAGACAATCTTGGCTTCGCAGATTTCATCTATTTTGGCTTCCTCTCATGGATAATCAAGGCGTACGCCCAGGACAAGAGTCGGACGTGCGAGTTTCTCGCCGATCCATGGTTGAAAGATTGGTATGTGAGGTTGACCATTTACAGTGTTTGAACTGTTTCAAGTGGCTTTTATCTGGCATAATTTTATGAGTTATATATTTTATTCAATTTCAATGGTAATGGACCAGATATATCACATATGGCACTTATAGACGTTATATGCAAGTACTGGAGCTTGTGATATGCGTATCACTTTTCCCAGCTCGTGCATGTCATTTTTTCCCAGCTCATGGACCCATACTTTTCAATCCACTGATACCTTTTTACTGCTCCTCACACAACCCTTTATAGCACCTATTTCAATTTATCCTAATAACCGTATGTCCCCTGCTACAACTACAGTCATTGACAACCAGGTCGTTCTCTGGGACATCAGCTCCAAGTTGCCAAGCAAGTTCTGGTCCCCCAACACCATGAAGGTGCGCGCGGTGCTAAACTTCAGGGGAATCCCCTTTGAGAGCCGGTTTCTCACCTACTCCGAGTTCCCTGGAATGCTCGAGCAGGCGGGCGTCCAACCATGGCTGCAGGTACCTCGCTACACCTTGCCTGCCATCTCTTACAACGGCAACGTGATTATGGGCAGCGACGAAGCTGTCGCGTATTTGGAAAAGGCGTTTCCGCATAACCCAAGCGTCTACCCTTCTCCCGAAGCCATTACAGACTCGATCTGCATCCGCAACGCCATTCCAGCGATGTACTATGTACTCGACGCCAACTCCGGCGCCTTCGTCTCGGGGATCATGGAAGATGTCGACCGCGATTACTTCGTGTCTAAGTTTTTGGATAGGGGCCTTGCAGATATTCCAAAGCTTTTGAGCGACCCACAGCAAATTCTGGCCAACTGGGCCCTGATCCTGGATTTTTTAAACAACTTCCAGGGGCTTACCTCTAAAGATGTCACTCCCGAGCAGCTTGCTCGTTTGAAAAGCGGAAAGTACTTGTTCGGTGATTATTGCAGCTATGCCGATCTCCTCTACTTTAGCTTGATTTTCTGGACGATGACCGCCTATAGTCAAGATAAGAGTCGGACGTCTGAATTAATTACCGACGCGTGGTTGAAGGATTGGTACAGACGAATGGCCATCTACGGGGTATAACCCGGGAGCTATTGGCATAGATTCCTGGATATAGAATGTATCGGGTGGTATTTTTCAAAAGTAAAGGTTCCACGTTGAATCGTCTCCGTGTACATTGCCTATATCTTTGGTTACTCCAAGCCCGATCCTGACTGCAATTTTAAATCCCAGTCCGCTATCTTTATCGACCATAAAATTGATTGGGCTGTAAAAAAAAAAAAAAACATATGTAAGCCGCCGCCAGGACTGATACCCGGATAAATAAACAAATTAATAAAAACCACTATTGTAAGCCTACTCCACCCTCGTTATCTGCATCCTGCTTGGCTTTCTCTTTCAAGTCCGCCAACTCCTCCAAGTTCCGCTGGTGGTTCTTGTCGACAATCAAATTACGTAACAACTTGTTCTCCATCTCCAACTGCTGGATCTTCAACTGCAACTTGGTGCTCATTTCATTCAAGCTTGTCACCGTAGCCTCCAACTGCTGCTCCTTCATCTTCTTTTTAATTCTGAAGCGTGCGCTCGCTTGCGTGTTCCGGCGCCTTTTGTCTCCCTCGGCCGCATTAACAGGGTCGCCAGTATATGCGGGGGAGCCTTCGGAGGAGAATTGGGCCTCGGTAACGGAGCTTCGTTGGGCCGAAACGCTGTTGTTGCGAGGAGTAAAACTGCGCGCTTCTGCAGAAGGCTCAATGTGCGTTACGGAAGGGTTGCGGCTATGTGAACCGTTGGTGGGGTTGCAGTTGTGCAAGTCAGTCACCGAATTGAACCGAGTGATGGCACCTGGAGATACAGATGTGGCCAGAGACAGCTCTCTGTTGGTGGTCAGCGGACGCGCGTACTCAAGGCTAGCTCCATGGACATCCTGGGAGAAGGATGTTCCAGATCTGCCAGGTGTGTTGGAATACGCTGGGTAAGCGGGTTTTTTGTCTAATCCTTGGTGTTGGGCAATCAATGCAGCCAACGCATCGATCTGGTTGCTGCTCAACCCAGCAGCAGCCAACGAAGACTTGGCACCTGGCGGAACCGGTACCTTTGGTAACACATTTAAGATGCTCGACACTGCCGCTTGTTGCTGTTTTTGCTGCGTCGGGTTTTGTTGCGCCAGGTTTTGGGGCTGATACTTTGGCAACTCAGGACTGGGGACGAATCTGGCGCGGGCATAGTGAGGGGGGACGCCAGCCGGGCCAGCCTGGTAGGTGTTTCTAGCTAATAAATGTACCAAATCCAGGGCTGGTTGAGCGTTAGGTGTTGGGGGAGGAACGTTGCTGACCAGTGGGGTATACGGCCTGGAATCAGGTGCAATCACATGGGGGTTGCTTCTAGGGCCTCCCAGGCCGCCCTCGTCGTCGTTATTGGGCTTTGGCTTGTCCTCATCCGGGAAAATAAACGAGTCGTCAGCAAAGGTGGCAAGTTCAAGCGACAACCGATGGTCGTCAAACTCAAAGTCAAAGGTGGAGGGGGTTCCAGAATGGTCGTTCGAGATGAAATTGTCAATATACACTAGCTGTTCAAGCAAGGCGTTCGATGTGTGGTTGTTACCGTAGCTCGACTTCCCGTTGATTTCCGACATTATAGCAGCTTAAGTAATACAAGGCCAGCTTGAGGTGAACGTTATCTGATGTGGCTATAGGGGTGTAGTGATAGAGGCCCTGGAATCAGAAACGGAGCATCTGGGGGTATATATAACACCAAAATATTCCAGTCTGGCCGCGCGTTGCAAAGCGGTAATACCGTTTTGGCTGAAAACTAAAACTGTGGTGGTTGAGTTAGCAAAACAAGCCTCAAGGAGGCTAAGGGTTTTAAATGTCAGGTCTTTCACCTGGTGCGGAACTGTTCCATATGGAAATTACAGGCTTTAAGGCTGGAGTAGAGGCTCGTGCAAGCCTTTCAGATAGACCTCTCTGCAGAACGCATGCATAAATAAGCACACCAGCCCCGTGTATCGCCCAATGCGAGATGCTATGCATACGAATTCGCGCCCTGGTGATAACCTTCACTGATGGCGAAATATCACGTGGAACTGCGACATATGACGAGTCCGACCGGCGAACTGAGTCCACATAGGGCCCGGATGGCTCGATTGCACGTGATATACACCTTGGTCTCAGCCTGGCTATACCCGAGTCCGAGACGTAGGGGTTCCGGCCCGTGCCACCGTACGCCCGTATGGCTTTAACGTTGTCAAATTGGGGGGCTTATAATCGGAAATTCTTTGAACAGGACCCGTGTCTCCATGCATGTTATCGGAGTGGTGCAAGGCGCCCTTTCCAGCGCGGTGTGGTATAACTGGATACGATGGGGTCGAAATTTATTGCTTGAGCGCATAAGAATCAGAGCTTGATTTTTAGTGTAAGGATATCAAGGGACTGCCTGTGGGCTACAGTCTACGAGCATTCTAACGACGGCATTCCACGTCGGCCAATCAGGAAGCTGACTTGTCTATAGCCCCCGCAATCGTGTCCGTCGTTGCTCCGGAGATGGAAACAGTTTTGCTTCTCTATTGCAGGGTCTAACGTCAAACATATCACGCTCAATCCTAACCACACTTATTTACTCTATGCAGCTAGTGCTGTCACTATTTTGTATCAAGATGTATTTGGCAGAAGGAAAGTAAACAGAAACAATCATAAGTCATGAAATAAAGAACCACTGCGCACAATCACTGTAACATAACACGTTACGCAGGGCTAGCATTCGGGCAGAATCTCCTTCGAGCAGAATCTCTCCCATGTGTTTGCCTTACTTCCTGGAAAGGTACTTTGGCGCATAGGCTTCGTAGTTGAAGTTGGCAAAGTTGTGGTTAATGTCCAACAACATCTTAACCGCCTGCTTCGATTTGTAGTGGTAGTTCAACGGAATGTCCACGGCAATAGTTGGGACCTGAACAGCTGGAGACTCGGCGGTGGCCAATTGCGTCAAGTTAGCGCCGTTGGCGGTGACTGAGGCAGAATTTGTTTGACCCACAAGCTTCTCCAACGGGAGCAACCCCTGGAACAACTCATAGGACGCCAAGGTGAAACCAAACTGCGGAGACGAGCGACAAACTCTGGCCAAACCACCCTTGAAGAAGGCAGAGAACTTTTCTTCGCGCAAAATCGTCTTAGCCGCATGGGCAATACCACGATAAGCGGTTTCCGTGGTTTTGGTTTCCACCTGCAAACGGGTCTTGATAACATCACATGGAGTGGTCAAGTAAGCGGCCGGCATCCCAGCCAAGGCACCACTGACCAACAACTCCCAGATAGCCAAGGTGGAGGTGGAATCATTCGGATCAAAACCAAACAACCCGGACTTCACGTGGTTGTAGGTAGGGAAGTATATGGCGGAGAACGGCACATCTCTCAACAAACAGGCACTGGCACCCTTGTACAACCCGAACAAGCCCAAATGTCTCACGATTTGAACGGCAGACATGCGCTGGACGCCAGGGGCCAAGTTCTTCACGTTACCCTGCATCTGTAAACGAATCTTGACAATTTCTAACGGGTTGGTGAACACAACCTGGCAGGCACCAGCAGAGGCACCAGCCAACACCTCCCACGGCACGCTGATCTGGTTGGTGACCGGATTGGTGCCCATCTTGCGCACCAAGTCGTTGACGGTCAACTTAATAGCCTTCTCAGGCGCCACTCCGATCAACTGTGGGCCCAACCCGGAGTAGAGACCTCTGAACCCCTCAGCCTTGAAAACCTTGGCAAAGCAGTCAAACGAGTTCTTGTACTTCGAAATGGATCTCTCGGCCTGCAATCTGGTCTTGATCAAATCAATCGGGTAGACCATGGTGGCACCGATGGAACCGGCAACCGCCCCTAAACCAAAGTTGTACGCCGAAACTAAGATCGGATTAATATTAGCGTGGGCTTCCGGCTTCTTCGCAACGGCGGGGGCCGCTTTGCGGAACAGCAAAATGCTCGCGCGGTTGGCAAACTCTGGGTTCAAGGTCTGGGTGATGACTTCCTTGGTGAGAGAAGAGGCGCCGGAGGCGTTCAAGCTGGTTAAATCGTAAATAAAGTCGATTTCGCGAGGGGTAATGGTGGAGGAGTTGAAGGTGGCGCTCACGGGGTTGTTAACCAACGCGTGCAAGTCGTCACGGGTGAAGGATTGTTTCCCACTGTCGTGAACCAAAGCGTTGACGAGGTCAAAGCTCTGAAACGCGTTAACCACCACCGAGAGGTCGCTGAAGGAGTAGTTATCCTTGGCGAAGAACGTCGGCAAGAGCTTAGGCAACTGCTCGGTCAACAAGCTCTGGGAAACCTTGTCGTGACCGAAGTTTTCTTTCAAAATCAACAAAAGCGCATCCTGCGAGAGCGAAGACTTGTTCTGCAAGCTCTGGAAGTTCTGCTTCAATTTTTCCTGCGGCAAGCTCTTCAACAAGACCAAAAAGTCGTTGTATGAGAGAACCTGGTCGTGGTTCAAAGTCTGCTTGATCTGCGACCAGTCAAACGGCAACGACTGCTGAGTGTCACTGGAGACCTCGATTTTCTTGTTGAAGTCGCCGATGGATTGCACGAAGCTCTTGAAGGGCAACTCATGGGTCTTGCTGAAGAACTTGTACAACAAGTGAAACTCGCCGTCCTTGTCGTTAAGGGTGCGGGTGAACAGGAGCCAGTCGCTAAGGTTGAGATAACCCTTCTGGTTGGAATCGGCCGCCAAGAATAACAAACCAAAGGTCTGCAAGTTGATAGCTGATTCATAGTGCGTGGACACGTTCAGTGGGTCCAAAATAGCCAAAAACTGGTCGATGGCCAAGGTTTTTTCGTTGTGCACATCGTTGAATTGGGAATGCACAAGGAAAATGTCCTTGGCTTGTTTATCTTGGGAGGTCCAGGACATGTTTTGTGGCTATGAGATCAAAAATAAACAAAAACGGATGACTTGCAAAGTGTGAGCAAGGAAATTAGTGTGGGTGGTATTGCAAAAGAGTTTTCAAACAATGGTCATCTATGAAATGTGACGTGGAATTCTATGTTCTATCCCGGAAAGTTGCACTTTAGACGCGCAGGGTATGACTCGGACGAGAATTTCAGTTTTTCTACTTTCAAAGATGGATACACGTATGCGTGAGCGGACGTGGAAGAAGGGATTTAGGAAGAAAGCAGAGTGAGAGGGGGTATAAACCGGGGCGGCTCCGTGTTTATATACGATTTCGGTTCAAGGGTACACTATGCCGCGTATGGGGAACTACGGAGGATCAGTGTGAAAATTTTTGAGTGTTAAGCGCCCAAGACGTGGGGAAGAGCGGAATAAAGACACGTCGAAAAAGAAACTTATGTATGTAAACAGCGGGCGTCGAGGACGGCACATGCTTGTGGAAGCCGCCCGATTAGTCCGTCCCGCCAGCCCTCGTTTCACATCCGCCCTTTTTATTTTTTTTTTTTCTCCAAAATATTGTAAATTTATAATCAATAAATTTAAGCACAAGATCATATCCAATAGACGGGATACATATGGTACTAATCCCACTGTATTGGTATTCTGGCTCTCAGTGTACCTTTGAATGCATACGCAGAGTTCGGAATTTCGGACTTGCATCGTGGCCTAGCCGCCCACTGAGTCTATTTGATTGGAGGTTTTTCTTATCGTACGCCGACTCTTAGGCGCCAGGTGGACTATACAAACACCATTAGTCGATGATTGCGTAATAATCGACCACCTAAGAATCTCTCCACTTCAGAACCTCTCCAATTGTCTGCTAACGAAGCGCCAGCATTTTCGCGCTCCAGATGCACGTAGCATGTGTTCGAAGTAGCGCGGCCGAAGGCCAAATCGTCGAACCTAAAGCACCCGGGAACGCCCATACCTCCCCTCCTTTCACATGATGCACAATTTTTCTCCTGCACCCTTACCTGGCCACCTGGTGTTGACACTGAATCTCGGTTATCTGGCTCTCAAGACACCGTTTGCCAGGACCGCTTTGCCAGCAACCGCCCGGGCTGTTATGGAGCACTGACGGGGGATCACTGGTGGGAACCTATTCCGGGGTAGGAGATGCCTGGATCGAGGTTGTCTCGCATGGTCTAAGGAGGGGCTGCATTCCATCCCCCCACGTCCCCGCCCAACTCCACGCCCCCACATCGTCTTCGGAGCCTCTCGCATAGATTGGCTCTTCTCATATGTGGGCCGTTAAAGTTTATTTCTCGTCCTCCCTAGGCTTTACCTGCTCGTTAGATGACAGGCCATAGGTCATTATTATCCTGGTACACCAGCCTCGCGTGTCAGTTTAAGGTTTTAAGCCGTTGCCACACTGGTCGGGGAAAAGGTTGGGCCTATCTCCATTTCGATGAGGGGCACAATGAGGGGCATTCGGTGATACAGGCTCTAAGTTTAGAGTAGTTGTTGACAGCTTGAACTTAAAATACCCCACGCTGTGTATCAGAGTGGAAATGACACTCTGGTTAAGCAAACGTACATGGAGCGGAAAGATACCCTGGGTTGTCTAAGGCATGACATTAATCAGGGCTAGCCACGGGTGCTGATTTGCCTTCTTAAACATCTATTTGACGAATTCGAGTCAGGTTGTTATGATCTGTTCCCCGTACAAGGTATATAGTTAAGTAGAAAAGTGGGACCATGCTGGCGTGATGTTTAGCATTTCGTCGCTATAGGGTAAATACTCTGGTTTAATAGGGTGAGTCACAACAGTGCTATAACATGCGTCGCGAGTTCTCAAGCATTGGTTCTCAAGCATTGGGTTCTTAAGCATTAAGCTCTCTGGATCAGCTGAGACCTGTAAAATCCACCCAAGACCTCCTGATGATCTGAAAAAAAATTATAGGTCTAGAAATGTTGATGCGCCTCCACAAGCCGTGATCTGAGTAACCTTCACTGGTTTATAATGTAAGAATCATAAACAGGGTAGGGTGAGCTAGTGTCCCCTTTTTTATAAAGAACCCTTTAAAGGCAGGCCCAAACCCCATTTGATGTTTTGAAAAGACAACTCGAGTCTATTTCAGTCCATTTGGAATTATTTGAGATCGTTTGAGGCTTTCAGTCTATTTGAGATTGCTCAAGGATTCTTTTGAAATCCCGTGGCATGCGCCCTCTAAAGATTATGGCCCTGCCATATTACAATAGCTAGGGCCTAAGCGTGGTTTCAAAGCAGAATTACATGACATTACCGGAAACTACCATCAAATAATAAAATATCAAGATAATCTAAAAATCAGAATGTCTAATACTAATTTTCACCCTAATTTTTATCGGTCCACATAACGCATCCATTAATCCTTAGCTTTCCCTGCGCGTTTTGCTGGTACTGCCACGTCCTCTAAGTTTAAGCGCTATAACCCAAACCTCTCTTAAACCACCTCCCAAATCACCTCTCAATTGCACATTTCCTCACCTCCAATGGACTTTTATATCGAGGAATTCACCTCATCAGCGATCCAGCCACCAGCTGCCCCGCTCGCTTTACCCACTATCGATCCGGGCGAGTTCACCAAGAAGTTTGCCAACATGAACATCTTAACCACCAGCTTCTTGTCACGCGACGCAAAAGAAAAAGAAACGCCGAATGACATTGCCCAGAAATATGCCCAACTCTCCTTGCAGATGATCGATAGGAAGGAGGAACCAGTGGTACTGGTCAAGCCCGAAATGTCGAGTAACTTGTCGGTTCGTCTCGCAAGGGTGCTCAACACGCCCATCAGCAGCGACTCGGCGCTCCAAGAGCTGCTCCGGTCCTTGAATGACCATTTCCTGAAAAAGATACCGACCCCAAAGGCACTGAACGAGTACGAGTATCGGGATGACTATTCAACACAGACCGATTATACGCCTCAGGATGATTCCGAGGACATGTTGATCCGGCCGGGGATTGTCGGGTCCATTCACCGTCGCCGCTTGCGAAGCGACTTAGAGGACGACTTGCTCAACCACCACCTTTCCGTGCTCAACACCTTCAAGCCGTTGGTGGCAAAGTTGCGCACCGTTGAACAGAACCTCCAGGAATTGGAGCGCCTCCACGAAACGTCCGTCGCGGATTTGAGCACCAGCTACACTCAGCTAGGCGGCGACGAGTTCCACCGCGAAATCCTCGACTTGCAGCGTGCTCGCCGCACCGTGACGTTTCAAAAGACCCTCTTGGCGAGCTTCCAGGCCAAGTACACATTGAACGAGTACGAGCAGCACGTGTTGGGCGACCTTGTTCCAGGGTCGGCAATGGACCCGGACGCTGCCTCCAGCGACGAGTATTTCCGCGTTCTTGCCAAAGCCGAGGACATCAGCGAGAACTGTGCGGTGTTGTTGTCGTTAGACAACCCAGACCTCGGCATGAAGATTATGGCCCGGGTGAACGAGCTCATCGGCTCCTCTCTTGGCAAGCTTGTCTATTCCATCGAGAGGTACTTTACCGGTCACTCTACGGCCCTGGCAGCGTCGATGAAACGCGCGCTCGTGGTGTTGCAGCCCCACCAGCAGTTTCGCACGGTGGTGGACCAGTTGGTCGATGCCCGAACCAAGGTCTTGACCCGCGAGTTTCAGGCGCATCTTGACGGTGGCGACGGGGAGGATAACCGGCCGATTCTTCTCTCTGCGCACGATCCCTTGCGCTTCATCGGCGATTTGCTCGCCTATGCTCATAGCGTGATTGTGAACGAGTCGGAGACCATCTCTGGCTTTTTTGAGGCCGACGACTCGAAGGGGACGTTGGAAACCCATACAGAAACCCTTTCTTCAATCAAGTACATCACGGTTCACGTTTTAAACGCATTGGGCCGGTTGTTGAAGCTCCGCATCGAGCAGTTGATCAAGGTGGAGGCCAGTTTGTCCACCATCTACGAGATCTATGGGCTCCTCGAACTCTACACGTTGATGTTTGCGAAGCAGCTACCCGCCCTGGAGGATGAATCCTTGCTCGATACGCTCCACGGACTCCAGACTGTAGCCCAGGAGCGCATTTTTGGCATCACCAAGGACAAGTTGGCCCGTATTCGCCGCAGATATATCCGGGGGGAGAGTGACGTTGAGGCAACAGCCGTCGACACGGAGCATGACGGGAGCATGGAACTCTTGCAGCCTCCGGAGTGGATCGTTGACTTCTACGGCTCCATCTTGCCGTTGATCGACCGCAGCACTGATGAGACGTTCATGGGCTTCTCTCCCGAGACAAACGCCCAGTTTGTCGCGTTGGTGGTTCAGGAGCCGGTTGATATCTTCCTCAAGCAAACCGATGCGATGGTATTTCCCAAAAAGAACAGTTCGGTGAACAGACTCATCTTGAAGCTGAACTTCTACGACCTCGTGCTCTCGAAAATCTTGCCCATTGCGCTCTTGGCGGACAGCGTGTTTACGATCAGCGAGGAGATGGGTCGTTGTGTGACGCAGTTGACGGCGTTGGAGTTTGACGTGTTACTTGCCGAGTCCCACTTGACTGACTTTTACAACTTGGTCAACATGATCTGTCCGTTCGAGCGCGATTTCTTTGACGTTTCCATCTACGAGCCAATCAAGGAGAACAAGTTGTTTACCCGCGAGACCGTCGCAGCGGTGGACCGCGTATTAGGGGAGTTCTTGCCGATGGCGTTGACCGACGTCCAGCAGACGCCGTTGTTGAAGCTTAACTCGCCGACCGCTGCCAACGACATCATTACGAACTCGTCCGTGGAGTTTATCAACTTCTACCATAAGTTGCAGTTGTTGACGGTGGAGTTTTTGGGTGAGGGTTTCACCTGGAACGACGCTGAGGTGGCAACGTTGTTGGGAGTCGAAGAGGCGTACAAAGAGCAAAAGAAGAGAATTAGCTTTTAATTCATCGCGTTAACGGCGAACTTTCAGCAATGAATTATAGTTTGGTTTTCCAAGCGGCCAACCAGGAAATGTAGGGTCCCTTGTTTAAGTTGACGCAAATTCGCCCTTAATGTTTATATAGCACATACTCTCTTGCATTTCTAGTCATCAGACGTAAAATCTACCGTTGCTATGTCTGAGGCATCCGCTGGCCAGAGTGTTATCGGCTCTATTACGTTCTCCGATAGCCTTTGATTAATCTATCTACTGCCCATTGATTTGTCTGTACCTTGAGCTCATGAGATTGCCCCTCGCACCCGTCTGACAAAATTATTGATTAGTGCTATTAGCTGCAGCGACTTTACTTGAAACCGCCTCAGGCTGTACATATAAAACACCAGTCTCCTTCCCCTTTTCTCTATTTACACCCACATCTCTGCTACATAATTTCCCTTTTCCGTGTTTACATTAATCATACCCTATTTCACATCGTCGTGGTTCGGGACCTTGCCTCTACCGTACCCGTCCTTGGAGTAGTAGTCCATCGGGTAGTACCCCTCGTCCCACTTTTTGTCATTATCCAACATCACCATTGCCTCGTACGGCGTCAACAACGGCTTATTAAACGCGTAGCCCCAATCGATGGATAAACGCGGACATGCCACCTGTACAAACGCGTCAATGTCGTCAAACATGGCCAACTTGTGGGGAAAGATCTCGCTCAAGATGATTCGGACCGGAACCACTCCCTTGGCCTTCAACTTCTGCTCCAAATTGTCCAACGTAGCGGACGAACCCTGTCTCCCGAGAGCCCCCAAGATTAACCCAATCTTCTGTGCACGCGCAGCGACCGAAACGGCGTCCTCTCTGATCTCCACCAACTGTTTTTGGTCGTATCTCTCCCGAGTGAACTTTCTGGAGTAGGGGTCGTACCTGTAAGCCGGGATATCTGGGTTGTGGATCATGGCGCTCTCCAAGTGGAAGCGCCCGTCACCCACGTACACCATGCTGTCGTACTGGTCCTTTTCCAAGCGGGCGGATGTGCAGCCCAAGACCTCACCCTTGGAGAGCGGCATCACCTGGGGCGGAATGACGTAGATGACGCCCTTTCCGTCCTCGTCGGCCTCCAACTTGTGCTTAATGGAGTGGATGGTGGGGTTGAACTGAATAGTCCCAAACACCGCGAGCTTCGAACCCGCCGCAAAGTTTCTCCTGATGGTCGCAATGAGGTGCTGTTCGTCGATGTTAATTGTCACAAACACGTAGAGCACTTTGATCAATGTCACGTCGATCGGCACGAGGCACGAATGCGCATAGTGCACAATAAAGTCGCAGTCCAAGGCACGCGCCGTGTAATCATCAATACAGCATGCCCCGTAACTAACGTCGCCCATGACGATAGTTTCGCAGTTGCAGAACTGCTCAATAATGTCGGAGATGATCAACGAGTAGATGAGGAGCCCCTCCGGCATCTGCAACGCCACACGCTTGGCCTCCTGCTTGCGGATATTCCAGATGGTTTTATGGATTTCAAAGTTGTAGTTGGATGGTAAGAGCTTGACCGCCTCGTTCAATTCGGGGTCATCGAGGATATCTTGTGGAACCTGGTGCATCACGCGCCCGACGTGTCTATTGGTGGGTCTCTTCACAAGCGAGGTTTCAGAGGCCTCGCCTTCGGTCTTTTTCCCGACAAATCTCCGTCTAGGCACTCGTTTTGATGGGGTCGGGTCGGCATTCATAATGGAAATGGCTAAGAAAATGTATGTGAGGCCATTCTTTTTTGTCGGGGAAATATTTTCTAATGATTTTTCACACCTGCATGTAGCGTGCATATGTGGGTTCCTAGCTAACGAGCACCCTTTGGAGACGAGAGTTACGAACAATTGAACCTTAAGTCTGTTTTTGCCTCCTTCATAGTTGTATCGTTTTAAATGCGGTCTTTTATATTAAGGTTCCTTTAAAACTGTTATTGAGATTGCGATTGAAAGTCGGCGACATACAAGCTCTGGTAAACTCCAAGCAGCTGTGTAACCGGCCTGTCTCTACAGACTAATCTAGACTACTTTCTATATAAGCCTATAGCGGGAAAAAGGCAGTCTCTGTATAGGCCAATGTTACATGAGGGTATCTTGATGAAATTACGTGGCCCCCTTTCATGGCAAACGATACGCACGAGGCCAAAGCACCACTACATCACTGTCGTTCGGACTAGCCAAAGCACCACTACATCACTGTCGTTCGGACTAGCACCATCACCCCTATGAAGAGTGCCTAGTATTCCCAAGTCGTATTCAACCCATAAGTCAGAGCCCGTTTCTTTCGCAAATATTATATGAATGGAAGACATCGGGAGGGGAGTGGCAGCCCGTCTATACACCTCCCTTGTAGAAATAAAAAATAAAAAAAAAAAACTTAGTTGGCCCCAACAGCCAAGGCTTGCAACTTTTCGGTAACCTCGCCAACCTCAGGCACGGCCAATGGAACGACCAGGTACTTGAGAGTCTCTCCCTCCCCTCTCAAATCAAATTCACTTAACCCGATACAAGCACCAAACTTCTCAAATCTCTGTTGGTAGTGGGCCCTCTTTTCCTCAATGATCTCGTTGCACTTTGGCCAGTACTGCGCGTGGTCGTACACAAAATTGACTTTCCCCCCGAAATCCATGTCCAACTGCTCCAACGGCACATAGTCTGGGAACGGCTTGTCAAAAACCAACTTTTCCCGGGTCATCGGGTCGATGAACGGATGGATAACCTTCAAAAAGGACCAGGCAAGCCACGGGATGTTGGTCAACAATGCACGGCCCAAGCGCTCGGGATAGTGTGTTTGTAAAATGTGGAGCACCTGTCTCCCCACCGTCACTGGCGGAACCTTGGACGAGCCCATGACTCCCGGTACCTCGGGATGGTGCTTGAAGTCTATGAGAAGCGCCAAGGAATCCTGGCCCGGCGGCATGTACGCAATCACCGCCTCCAACATAAACACCAAGTGCTGCACCTGGCGGAAAGAAGACTTGGTGTTCTGTCTCCCCGGCTTTAAGTAAAGGCACGGACGTGAGTCGTTGTCATAGCCCAAGATGACCTCCTTCCCCGTTTCATTTTCCGGGCCCACGATCTCGGCAGACAACTTTGCTGGGTCATAGAGGCCGAACTCGCGGCGCCAACTGAGCGATTTCTCGATTCGCTCAATCGCATCTGCCACCACCCACTTGGTGGCACGCAAGTAGCGGAGGAGACACTCTCGAGAGAGCCACGCCTTTTCGGCGGACGATAACGCCTTCTTTTCGGTGGAAGCATCAGCCTTCTCCAAGATCGCAAGCTTCAAGTCTGGCTGTTGGAAGTGCTTCAACACCGTGTCATACTTGGTCTGTTCGTCAGCAGCCAACGGCTTTGTCTCTGGCGGCGTAAGCGTAGCTGGAGGCGCTGTGAACGGAAAGTGGCGGACTGGGGTGGTGTTTTCGGCCGCAGGCGTTTCCTCCTTCTTTTTCCTGGAAAACATGCTAGAACGGTTGGTATTGACAAGAAAGATACAGTATACGTGAATACTCTATAAAATGTATGAGAGAAAACAGACACGCGCCAGGTTCCATATTTTTCACCTGGCCAAGCCGAATGTGCGCGCGCGTTTTGTCTGACAAATAGAGGGTCCTGTATAAAGCACCTGCATCTCGGCACCGGGAGAGAGACGTCCCGGCACAGCCGAGAGTAAAAGACAATGCAAAAAGATAGTGACTTCCACGAGATTCGAACTCGTGCCTCCGGAGAGACCAGGACCTTACCCTGGCGCCTTAGACCAACTCGGCCAGAAAGCCAATTTCTTGGGCGGAGGGACTGGTTCGGCAATCCAAGGTGGATATCACACTCTTTGTGAGCTTGAAAATATAATAAGGTGTAAATATCCGTTAGTTCAGTCGCGCAGCTCGTTGGTTTTTAGCGATCTGCTGCTGAATAACGTTGACATCTATGGTGATGAATAATAAATGGCTATTGGTGTTTGTAATAATATACTTGTCCTTTGGTAAGGTAGCAAAGTCTCATATGTATATTCGTTGATAGTCATACCAAGGATAATAAAGGTGAGGACTCCGTATGCCTTTTTTAGACAGTTGGTTCTTCTAGTAATGCAACTTTTGATTATACTGAAATAGCTGAGACATTACTTGATGTTTGGAAGCACTGTATGAAATTCTTCACAGACATCACACGGTCTTATGATGTCTGATGTGTACAGGAACAGATCTCAACAGCTATCATAAAGGCCAAAGGCAAATAAACAGGAGGCAGGTCAGCAATACCAACACAGTTTTGTCTTGGCTTTTTGTATACTATCATTTGCAGATAATGGCCGTTTGGCCGAGTGGTCTAAGGCGTCTGACTCAAGATCAGATCTCGTAAGAGGCAAGCGTTCGAACCGCTTAGCGGTCATTATTTTTTGTATCCTGTTCGTGGAAAATGAGTATTTATCTACGAAAAAATGAATTTTTCAGAATATAAGTAGGTGAGAACACACAAATGTGGAAATATTCATGCGTTTCATTTACGTACATATATATCTAACGATATTCAGATATTTTTAATTGAAATAAACGTATACCGGTATATTCTTTAATTTATCCTGCGATAGGATGTACATTTAACAGCTTATCATTAAGGAACAAATCTTGATAAATAGTAACTTAGATAAATGTATATATTCTAATTATTAATTACTATGTTAAAAAATAGGCTTGCAGAGAATAAAAAGAAAGCTAAAACATAACTTATATATATTACTAGATAAACCTAAGGGATGTATATACACGACTTGCTTTTAGATATACGTTAATTGGTATATTTTTTAATCTAAATATAGATTTTTTTTAGCATTGATCGAAAATATACAGAATATGATTCCGCGTTTAATTAATATTTACATCAGCAAATACTTTGGCACACATATGCGCGTAAAATTAAAAAAGATAGTGACTTCCACGAGATTCGAACTCGTGCCTCCGGAGAGACCAGGACCTTACCCTGGCGCCTTAGACCAACTCGGCCAGAAAGCCAACTTCTTGAGTGCCGGGGTTAGAAGCTGTATTGGCGCTGCATTTTACGAGGCTACACTAATGTTGCACTTTACGAGGTTATACAGACGTTAAATTTTACGATGAATAGAAACACGGATGGCAGTTCCGATGGATTGAACCACCGTGATGACCCAAATCCGGAAAGACTATATAAAGAGACGGTTTCTGGTGGACGGAAGAGGAGTTTGGTTTAGAAGTATCTTTATTCTTGTGGAAGATCATGATAGTAATTTGTGAATCAATAATAGACTATAACTCTCTGATTGGAACTCCAACAGGTGCTGGAACCCTGACATTGTGATGAAAAGTATAGTTTTAACTAGTCCACCCCAAGGACAACCTGCTAAGCGTCGTTTCTCTCAAGCCTCGAGCTCAGTTTGACAACGCAGCCTTTGAATAATTATTTAAGTGGCTCTACTCGTGTCTGATCATCTACAGTTTTACCAGCGCGTGCACTTTGGTTTGACTCGAGAACAAAATGCATCGGCTACTCAACTTACATTATTATGGGGATTAATTTTATCTCCGATTAAATAGAACCGACCATCCGAACGGGAATACAGACCACGTTTACGCACTCATTTTAGTACACCTTCAAGCTTTCGTATAATAGCCCGACGCTGATATTAAAAACAGTAATGGAGGCGTCAACATCATGCTAGAAGCTAACGTGTATACATATCTATATTTTGCTGTCCTAGACAATATACGCCCTACTTCCATAGATAGAAACTATACACCCTAACTCTATAGAAGCAATATCGACCTAAAACATTCAGCTATACATTAACTAAGTTATACTAACTATACTGGTAAATAAGAATTATCGTACACCATCACTAACTATTTTTGCAATTAGCTTTAGATCGTTCATCTCCCATCCTTCCCCGTATTGCTTTCTCAAGTCCTGTACGCACGCCCCAGTGGACAAACGCGGCGAACTTTCACCGTGTTCGCCATCGGCGGCACCTTTCCCTGCGGCGGTGTCGGGGAAAGCGATTGCATCCCGGCGAGAATGGCAACTTAAAAAGCTGCATACGAGGATTTTGTCTACACCATCCACCGGGAACTATGACAAAAAACAAACAAACAAGCTGAACAATTCGGAAGTAATGTCAGGGGAGCTCAAATTTACGTAGACAGGAAACTTATATGGCATTTGAAAAACCCCGGTAACGTCTACTAGACAAATACGCAGCGAACATAGGCTGTAAATGACAAAAGAGGTACCACAGAGCGGGGTAGAACAATGAAAGATCCCATAGTGTATCCACATAGATAAAATATAGTATTTATGAGCCTCCCCGTATACTAGTCCAAATGTACGAACCAGGAATGGTACACACCGGGCAGTCGAGTTCGCCGACACCGTTAACCTTAACGCAATGTAAAGCTAGTCCCAGAAGCCCTGCAAGCCCAATATGCCTGAAATAAACCTACCGGTCCCGTATACCTATCACATACAAACTATACACCTTACCAGCATTCAATAAACCTCTCTCCATGGGGTGCTGCATTTCTGTGCGGAAAAAGAAACGTTCCAGCGGCTTGGCGACGCGGTAATCTCTTCGAAAATCCGGGGAGCCCCTCCAGCGGCTAACTTAGAAATATAAAAGCCGTCCGCTCCCCCCCTTTTTCTCTCACATAGTTCGCTCCAACAGCAACACCCAGCATTCGCCATTAGCCAGGTACCATCTTGAAGCCACCACCTGACACCAAGTGTAAAACCCCTATCGATACCACTTTTTTTCCCATCTTCCCTTTCAATCCGTTTCACAGAATGACCTCCGCTACTGCTAAACCCAAGGTGCTTATGTTGGGCACCGTCACGTGGGCGCACGACGCGTGGACGCAGCTCGGTGCGGTTGCAGACGTGGTGCACGTGGACTCTGTAGACCGCGAGCAGTTCATCCGGGACTTGCAGGGCAAGTACAGCGACGCGGTCGTGATCAGCAGAACGTTCAACTCGGTCGAGCAGACCGGGCGCTTTGATGCGGAGATGGCAGCTGCACTCCCAGCCTCCATTAAGGCTGTGTGCCACAACGGCGCGGGCTACGACCAGATCGACGTCGAGCCGCTCACCAAGCGCGGCATCCAGGTATCAAACGTTCCAGCCGCCGTGGATTCCGCCACCGCGCTCACCAATGTGTACTTGATCATGTCGTGCTTGCGTAACTATCAGTTCGGGCACCAGCAGCTCTTGAAGGGCGAGTTCAAGACGGGTGTGCCCGTAGGCCGTGATCCGGAATCGTGTGTAGTCGGGATATTGGGTATGGGCGGCATCGGACGCAGCGTCCTTAGAAAGTTGAAGGGCTTGTGTCCGAAGAAGATTGTCTACCACAACCGTAGCCGTTTGGCGGCCGAGTTGGAGGACGGGGCCGAGTATGTTGCCTCCTTCGAGGCTTTCTTAGCCCAGTGTGACGTGATCTCCATCAACTGCCCATTGAACGAGCACACTCGCCACTTGATCAACAAGCTGACCATCGCACAGATGAAGGATGGCGTGGTCATTGTCAACACCGCCAGAGGTGCTGTCATCAATGAGAGCGATTTGATTGTCGCGTTGAAGAGCGGCAAGGTTGGTGCTGCCGGCTTGGACGTGTTTGAGTTCGAGCCAGAGGTGCCACGTGAGTTGTTGGAATTGCCAACCGTCTCGGCTGTGCCACACATGGGAACCCACACTCGCGAGACCCAGCAAGCGATGGAAGAGGTTGTGGTGGCGAACGTGGCCCTGGTTTTGGCCACGGGCAGCGTCAAGACGATTGTGTTTGAGCAGAAGGATAAGTTTTGAAATGCAAACGTCCCAGCGGAACGTGAAATAGCGGAGAGAGATAGTGAAGCAAGGCTTTGCTAACCAAGCTTCAGTGATTGTATGACCGAAGTTGGATCGTACACTCGTTTTAGTTTACAAACGTTTGATACATATTGGAGGGCGCCTTGTGATTTCTCGGTACCCTTTACATGCATTTTATGATATTATAATTTAAATGACTAAACTAAATGACCGGTGTAAATATCCTTTTCACAATCCAGAAAGAACTGGCACCGAAATATAACCACGAACGTCAGATATTCCCTTGGGCTCTATGCAAATATCCACGCCCCTTCCCGCTTACCCCGTGAAGGCAAACCTCTACCAATGTGATGGATTAAGGCCCACAAAGCATCAACCATACGTAATTCACCACACCATTACACCATCACCACAGAGCTAGTGTAAGCCGTTAAACAGCGACAAATACATATAGGCGCCAAGTGGGTATGCCGAAATGACCGAGCTGCTCGTGCATATGCAGCGTGGATGTATACTATGCGTGGGGGCAATAGCCCCCGAAACGCTCATTACCGGTCTTTTTCAACCATCACAGAGAATAGAAAGAAGAAATGGACACATATCCGTTGATTACGGGCACATGAACGAATGAAAAGTAGTCAAATGCGATCACGGCTTAGATGCCACATGTACGGGTCTTTACGCATGCAAACCTTGGCAACCTCGAGGTTCGGCTCCGATGATCTACAAAAAAAGCTACATTATTGTCTACATAAAACTCGTCAGGGATTTATAAAAGGTATATTTGGGCTAGAAAATTCCCTCTCCAAGTAGAATTAACCGATCCCTGCATCGACGGGACCCTAGACCGACTCGGCGTTACTAATAGCTCGGGCCTCGATCGGACTTGCATGTTAGCCACAAATCTCCGCGCGGCTGGAGTGGCTCGGAGCGAAAACACCGCGAAAAAAACTAATGATGCTGAAAAATAAAAAACGTTGCTCACCTACTTGAGCCCGCTCCGAGCACTACACGGATCTTTTGCCAATTAATTCGACCCAAAAGCTGACAAAGTTGCTATCTGCCAGGTTATCTGTCTTGAATCCGCTGTTATTCCCGTGTATTCCGAGCATCCAAGAATCCAAGCATCTTATTGGCAGACGTTTATTGAAGGCTCCATCTATTGGTAGACGCTAGCACCATTGACACTCCAAGAAACTTATACCTTAAACACATTGTCCTAATAGACGCCTCACATCCAAAAACCGCCTCTTCATGTCTGATCTTATACAACCGCTCGAAGTCGATTACGAGGCTTTACCTGAATCCGCTTCGGTGATGGCGCACCTCGGCGCCGGGGCCATTGCTGGGATCATGGAGCACACGCTCATGTTTCCGATCGACTCGATCAAAACCAGAGCGCAGATCGCGGCAAACCTCAGACAGCCGTCGGGAATGCTCGAGGCATTTTCGCGGATTTCCGCGACGGAAGGCGCGCTCGTGTTGTGGCGCGGCGTGTCGTCGGTGATTTTGGGCGCGGGTCCGGCGCATGCGTTGTACTTTTCCGTGTTCGAGGCGACCAAGACCTTCCTCTGCAATCATTTTGTGAACGCCGAACACAACGCAAACATCATTACGGACGAAAACCACCCTTTCATTGCCGCGGCGTCGGGGATGGCTGGTACAACGGCTGCGGATGCATTGATGACACCCTTTGACGTCATGAAGCAACGTATGCAGATCTCCGCGGGCCACGGATCCGTCTCGGTGCTCGCCCGACACATGTTCCGTACCGAGGGCTTTCGCTCGTTCTACATCTCGTATCCCACCACGCTTCTCATGAACATCCCGTTTGCCGCGCTTAACTTTGGATTCTATGAGTACTCATCTGAGCTATTGAACCCGGAAAACAAGTACAACCCGATGGTACATTGTGTCGCCGGTGGTGTATCCGGGGCCATTGCCGCGGCGATCACTAACCCAATTGATTGCGTCAAGACCGTGTTGCAGACCAAGGGCGCCAGCACGGACGCGAATATTCGCACCAACGTCAAGGGTTTCAGCAGTGCTGCAAAGGTTATCATAGATCAGGCCGGCTACCGTGGTTTCCTCCGAGGCATGGCTCCAAGGGTCGTCTTCAACATCCCGGCGACCGCCATTTCCTGGACCGCCTACGAGATGGCCAAGGCGTATTTGATCCGCGGCAACACCAAGTTGGAGTAGCTGTATATACGAGAACCTCATTGGAGAACACACCTGTATTTAGTAATGCAAATCTAGAGATGACCAAAGGCAAGATGTGGGAAGAAATGATTACATGAGCGGTACCTGTAGTTGGCAACGAAGGGCGGGGAGTTTTACAACGATTTTAGAGAGTAGTTGTACCGCGGGAGGGAAAAGGGGTAGGTATATGTAAGTCCTCACGGGAGTATGCCCACGCTTCGCCACACCCCCACCGTTAATGCCTGAACGTTAATCATGCACTACAAGCTTCGCCGATAACCATTAATATACACTAAACACTCCATAGAGCCTACATAGCAATTCTAGGCTATGCTACCGTAGCCACGGTCGTGTTCATAGCTGGGCGACGCCGAGTCGTGGCGGTCAACCTCGCCAAACGCGTTGTAGCGGGCGCGGGCCTCGGCACGCATCTGCTTGATTCCATCCGAGTACACGTACGAGTCGAGCTCTATGACCACCGGGCAATTTGGGTCTCCATCGATGAGCTTCTTCGCTTGCTTATAGAGCACATCGTCCTCGGCGTATTCGGGCGTCCACTCTTCCTCTTCTTCGTGGATGGACTGGGAATACAAACCCTGAATGGACGCGTGGGAGGACAAGTCACTGAAGGCACGCGGCCTATACTTCCGGCCCGGGTTCCGGGACCCGAGAAGCGGTGTACGCTGGCTGTTGAGGTCGAGCCAGTACTTCTGGCCGTTGTTGGAGTAGCGCATGCCTTGGTTGATGCGCCTCATGCGCGAGTCAGCGGTAGGAAGCATCGCCTCAACCGAGTCAAACTGCTTGTAGTCATAGCTGGATCCGGAAAAAGTTAACCGAAAATCGTACGCCAAGTCGCCAATCCCGAGACAGTCCTTGAGGGCGCTGCGGAACGCGAGGCGTCCGCATTTGGGGAGGTTTTCCTTGGTGAACGGGAGGTACGAGAAAGAGTACCAGTGGCCAATGGCGAATCCAATGAGCTCTATACATAGCAAGGCGTTCTGGATAGCCAACCCCGCGTTGGTCTCGGGGTCGGAGTGGACCCGGAGAAGTCCAAGCCAGTTGAGCACCACAAGAATGATGCCCTGCCAGTAGGATGCAAAAATGATCATCTTGACACAGAGAAACTTGCCCATGGGCTGGAACGGTTTCAAGTCCGCATAGAGGCACTTCCAGAAGAGCGCTAGGTCGTATAGCGAGAGCGATACGGAGCAGTTATAGATTAAGGTTGTCCACACGTACACGCTGAGCCACGAAATGTCGTTCACGTCGTAAACGCCGCAGAGCTGGGTCCCGGAAATCACGAGCAAGAGCACGGGCTTGATCCATACGTACTGGAGAATGCCTCGCTTGATGGTGAGGAACGTGTACGGGTCTGAGATGTCGAAGGGAGCGAGGAGCGACTTCATGGGTGGCGGGTGGGAAACAGGCTCACGGCCAGACGTTTGCACGATAATGTTCCTCTCGCCCCCGAGGATGTGGGTGAGGAGCGAGAAGAAGGTGTAGATGACAAAGGCTTCGTAGATCTCGCGGAACGGCTGGAGGAACTTTCCGACAGCGGGCGAGATGAGGTCGACATAGCAGGAGATGGCGAAGAGGGGGAGAATAAGGATGATGCGGATGATGAGGCGCTGTTCGAAGGGTTTTCGGTAATTGCAGAGGTGGAAGAGGGTGAGGGTGAGGATTATGGCGACGGATAGGAGACAGGAGAGAAACGCGAGGACGAGAATCCAAAGAGGGAGCATTGTTAATGGTAAGAAGATGTGAAGATCCGTGGAAAATGATTTGAGAGTGAGGAGATTGATTGGACTGGGGAGATTGATTAATTTGTAAGTGTACGATCGGTGAGAGAAGAGATAAACCCAACGCGGCGAAGGAAGCAAACAATCCTGAAGGCCTTACAAGCGAAGTGAGAATCCTAAACTAAAGGAATTATACGGCGTTATCTGCGTTTGTACGAATTTAGTGATAACGCAGGGGAGTGGATTTGATTAAAAGGGATAACCTTTTTTAACTGGGGGGTGCCTGTATAATGAAAAACCTATGAAGGAGTCAATTGGGCACAAGCCGCAAGAGGATAGCTGGTGAACTGTAAAGGGTCAAAGGATCAGTTCAGACTGAATGCTTTAAGGGAATACTAATCGAGAACTAAAAGAGAGAGAGAGGATATTTGTTCAAAAGGACTCTTTCACCGGAAAGGAACTGGTTGGGGAATGAAACCTAGAGCGCCGGCGGGAAGGCGAGATTATCGCGGGGAAGTCCAAAGAAGAGACCAAAAACGAGTGGGAGAAAGGGCTACAACGAGCACCTGGCAGACACTGTCAATCAGTATAGAGGAGTTCTGGTGGAGAAGAAGGGGTCCGAGTGGGTGTCTATTCGCAGGTGAATGACAAACAGCCAGTGACTTTAATCAGCCGATACGGAATGAATATGGCCACAAACGTGATGGGGTATGAAAGTGTAGCTTACGCAAGCAAACTTCAGATGGGAAACACAAAAAAGAGGGTAGCTTTAGATCGAAGTGACCAGGGATAGGCTTGGAAGCAACATTGCTGGTTCGTCTGATAAGCCATCGCATTTGATGTTTAGTCAGTGCGGCGGCAAAGGTCTGGGAGCGGGCATAAAAGGCCCAGAAATACAGGCAGGGCACGACTGTCTAAGCTTGCCGTACGCAGGGTCGGCTCTCCAACCCGTAGAGCTTTAAATGAATAGGCCGGTTTGCTTAAGGGCATCAAAGAGACATTTAGATTAAATCCAGTTTGAAAATTTCGATATCTAAATACTATACGAGCTTTTAGTATATTACCAATAATAAATTAGTCGCCCTTCAGCAGGACACAGACTCATCAAAATAGATACATCTATATACTCCTCACGCTTGCCAAAACTACAGGGTTAAAGGTATCATGCTATATTGTATTTGATAATTTTGCTAGAATCAAGGGAAAGTTGCCCATCCCTTGATTTAGTATGGAAAGTGGATATCACAGTCACCTGCGAATCAATCGCGGAGCTGATCAGATTCGTGTTGGATGTCTGCTACACTGGTCGCGATGCTACTTGTGCGATGTTGATTAAGCGACTCTCGAGTCACCCCCCATCTCGCCCAACCACTCGTACAACACGGCCAAGTCTCTGTTTGCCAAGTCCTCTCTTTCGCATGCCTTGTCGTAGATTTCCTTCCCAATAGCACCCAAAAACAATGGCTGGCCAATTGACTCGGCGCTCTGACACGCCAAAACCATGTCCTTTCTGGTCAATCTAGTGGCAAAGCCGCCCTTGTAGCCATCGTTACTCGGAACACCGGCCTTGACACCGGGAACCGGGCAGTTGGTGGCGCTCGCCCACGAGTTACCCGTCGACTTGGAAACAAGCTCTGCGTACACGGCCATGTCGAGACCAAAAGTGCGCGCGAGGTTAAACGAGTCAGCAGTTGCGATGTTCGTCAACGCGAGGAGGTAGTTATTCGCGAGCTTCGCCGCGAGCCCGGACGATATCTTACCCATGAAAAAGATGCGCGCGCCCATCGCATCAAAAATGAATTGCAAGCGGTCGTCCGTGAGCTTTGGCCCCTCGCGGCCAATCATGAAAGAAAGGGTTGCGTCACGCGCACCCATCGCACCTCCGGACACTGGTGCATCGAGATACTCGCCCGCGTTGGCTTCCCGCACGAGCTGTGAGATCGCCTGGCTCGTAGGGATGTCGATGGTCGATGAGTCGACAAACACGGTGGGCGAGTCCTTCTTCAAGTCGACAATCTCTTGCACGACCGCCTTTACATGCTTGCCTTCGGGCAACATCGTGATGACGACCTCGCAGTTGGCGCCGACATCCACAACGGAGCTTGCAGCGTACATCTGCTGGTGTCCGTGGTCCTTAGTGTTTCCGAGAGCCGCCGTGATTGCCGGAGCGTTCACATCGTACACAAAGAGCTTGTCCTCCGGTTTGAGCTTCGAGTGGAGGTGGCGCGACATGTTCTGGCCCATCTGGCCAAGGCCAATGAACCCATAGTTGGTGAGCACCGGGGTGGAGCTGGAGAAAGACCTGGCGAGGGTGCGGGTTGCGCGTGCGGCGCTGGTTCTGGTGAAGCGTTGCATATGTGAGTGTTGAGGATGTATGCGAACGAAGCAAGAGCGGAGCGTGGGAGTTGATGGGGAGGATGCGAGTTTATATAGGAATTGGGGTGCTGCTCCTCCCCGCATTTTTCGAAATTGTACTCCAAGTCCGAGCTGCAATTTGGAGGAGCTGAGGGTGCGCACAGTGGGGGCTCGAAACTTAAATCGAGAGGAAAGACAGAGGGGCTCGGATAGGTCCGGAGGAGGGGCTGCAATCCTGGGTATAGGCGCATGAATCTGGGGTAGCCGCGGGGGATTGAGAGAGGACGGGAGAGAGGTCACGTGTGATGCGCTGTCATCTGGCGGGTATCTGCATCGGGACGTAGATCAACCGCGGGTTTGAAGATTTACAGTGTAGGCTAAGCGTTATTCGGTTAGAAAGAGCGAGAGCGTTTGAGGAGTTGAAATTGGAGAAATATGTACAAGGCGTTAGCACGAAGGTGGGGAATAAGTAGTGTGCTACTAGCCCCTCTCTGATGAATAATATCCAAGCACTGCGCTAGTTGATAGGGGGTTTTGGAGCCTTTGTTTGACTTGGAAATCTTGGCTGATCTCCAAAGAAACGTTGAGTCGTATAGGCCTATTCCTAACGCACCTTAAGCTAGAGATGCGTCGCCCACCCGCTGTTGAGATCTTTGAGGAATCTAAAATTGGCGGGGCTTATGGATAAACTTTGTCGGGTCAACTGGAACGGTGATTTAGATAGAGGATTAAACTAGGATTTGGTACATAAGGGCTGATAGAGAGATTTAGAGGTATGATTAATATTCAGTTCTAGAGAAATCATACTCAAGGACCGAGTGGCCTATTGGCCATGTAGTAGCCTGTTTACATCACTAATTGGGTCCCAGAGCAAACCTGATTGTTCTATCTAAGATGCTAGTTTTTCTAAGAGTGGGATATGCCCCAATCATATTAAATTGCATCGAGAATTTGAGAAAATAGGAAATAAAGCAGGATATAGAAAGATCAGGACAGAAAAAAAACCAACTCATTAATCGCCATTATTTGCCCTAAAAGTTCCTACTTACTGTATCCGCCTTCCTAGCTTCTAGGGAAAAGAACCACAGTAACCCCGAATCTCAGTACACGTATATACCGCCTTAGACTCACCGACTAATCCTTTGACCTACACCCAAATTTATCTCATTCAGCGTTTACTCTTTCCTATATACATTGATAAAGCCAACACTACAATACCGCAGCCTTGGCCGCACGCTTCTCCTCGGCAATCCTCCGTGCCTTCTCCTGCCTTTCCTGTTTCTTCAAGCGGGCCAATTCCTTGTTGTCCAAGACCTTTTCGCTCTCTTCCTCACCCTCAGGCATCTTGGCGTCGTCCAAACGGATTACAATTTGGTCACGTATTGTGCCCTCCACCACCGGCTTGCAGTACACCAGGACAATTCCGAGAAGGGTTTCCAAGACCTGGGCACGTTTGTACTCCTCGAGCTCGTTAAGCTCCTTGCCAGCGACCGGTTCTTCCTCCACGCCAGCCTCGTCCTCGAGGTCTTCCTCCGTAGCCTCGCCGCTTTCTGCAGCCTGCTTACGCGCTCCCTGTGCCATCTTTCGCAACTGCCACTTGTTGGCGATGTAGATGTGCACCTTGCATCCCTTACTCAACTGGGAGACGATATCCCGCTGCTTCTTGGTTGCGAGATCGGACAAGGAGATGTTCCAGCCGATTCGCACTTGTTTTACATCTCCCTTCTGCTTCTTTTTCAACGCCATGCGGAGCGAGCGCTTGTACGTCGAGTTGTCCTTCATATCTTCTGCGCGTATGTCCGCCATGTGGTCCGAAAGCTTACGAATGGCCGTCAGAATGGGCACCTTCTTCACGAGCGGTCTTTCCAACTGATTATTCACCACCACCGAGAGACCATAGTCCATTACGTCAAGCTGTGGAAGAAAGTCTTTGAGCAAAACTTCCTCCACCTTTCCCGCGTCATTCACGTACGCGATCTCGCCCGCGGCACTCTGATCGAGAATCTCGTTAATCACGAGCTGTACTGCCTTCTGCGCGTTGTCGCTTCCGGTAGTAAACGGATACTGGCGGAGGTTGATCTTCTTTGGCGCTCTCTCCTGTTTCTCAAACTTCTTTCCCCTCTTTCCGTCTGTGGGCGTGCTGCGAAACATGTTCTTTGCGGGGCCCTTCATGGTTTTGCTAAAGTTAACGTCCCTCGGGCTGACACGCTTGGGAACTGCGGGGCCCTGGAGGTTGTCTTTGACAAACTGCTTTGGGAACGATGCGCGTTTGTCCTTTTGCACTTGCGCCTGGCTGTTGATGCTGTCCAAAAATGCCTGCGCTTCCTTGGACATTGGTTTGCCGGTGGAAGCTACACCGCAAGCCGAGAAGGTTCTGACCTGAAACGCTAGCTGGCGTCTAGAAATGGAAAACATGGTGGAGCTGATGAATATGTACAGGGTCAGAGGAACCAAGGTGCAAGTGAAAGACGACATCAGGGTAGAGGGCGTGATTTTATCCACTCGCATGAAATTTACCGCACAAAATTTTTCACGTGACCAGAGTGCATGCTGGTACGTGCAGGGTCGGAGCAGGAAGATAGATAAGTAGACTAGAATGGAGATATTATTCGGTGAGTGAGGATTACCGGAGGTTCTTTCTTATACGGAATTGGACATAATCTATTAATGCTGTAGTTAGCTTGGCGTATTTATACCCCAAACACCTTGCAACTGTTGTCCCAGGCGCGGGATATCACTTCGTCCACCTCCTTTCCCTGGACACTAGCCACGATCTCGGCGACGAACCCAATCAAACAAGGCTCGTTTCTGGACCGCACCAATGGCGGGGCCTTTTCACCTAACGATATTGTTTCCGTGAGCGTCTCCATATGCTTCGTCACTTGTTCTCTTTTGAGCGAAGGTAACGGAAGAAACTCATCCATTCTTGGACCCGAAGGCTTTTTTGTCAGCTTCATCTTGCACTCTAACAAAAGCTGCGCAATCTCTTCAGTCGGCTCGTCATTACTTTCCTGGGGAATTTCGGGATAAGCCTTGTTGGGGTACTTGGTGATCAACCTGTACCCCGCGTGGCTTGGTCTGACCTCGCACCACGGCGCATCCGTCTCTAACATCAAGCGATCCAAGGGGATCTGCGCCACCACATCCAAGTTTTCCTGTGTTTTGAGCGAACACCCGTTAATCCCGATGTAGAAACCAACCCTAAGCAACTCGCGCAACTCCTCAAGGGTGCCGGTGAAGGAATGGACCACACCCGGATGCGTGAGCTTGCCAGAGGTGTAGTACGGCTCAATGATGTCGATAAAATCGTCACAAGCCGCTCTCATGTGGAGAAATAACGGCAAACCAACGTCACACGCAACGTCCAACTGCTTGCGGAAGTATTCAATTTGCAATTCCTTAGGGGCGTAGTGGAAGCGGTCGTAGTCAAGACCAATCTCCCCGAAAGCTTTGACGTGCCCCGATCGCTTTCCCTCAAGCGCCAACTGCTTCAACTCCTCCATGTGCGTGACGGCAGACCCGCCCGACGGGGTTTCCACAAACTCCGTCACCGAACACGGGTGCACCCCCACAGTGGAGAACAACCAGGCTGGGTGCTGTTTGGTGATCTCCATGGCCACCGCCGACTCTTTGAGTGACGAGCCGGTCACGAGCATCCGGGAGATGTTGAACATTTGCGCACGTTCAAAAACATAGGCGAGATCTGCCGCGTGGTACTGCTTGCGGTTGTACACACCGGCAAACATCGGGTCCGTGAGGTTGACTCCGATGTCAAAGTATTGCGGCATGGCTCTAGGAATTAATGGGGGTTTAGAGCGTACGAGGGTTCTAAGTACACTGGTTTTGCTCATAAAGAGCGCAAGTCAGTGTGGAGATGTGGTGTCGCGACAGGTTTAAAATCGATGCACGTGAAAATTTGGTCGTGCTTTGACTTTGTACGTGCTGCTTCCCATTACTAGGCCGTGTAATCGTCGCGATATCTCACTCCACGCTATAGCTTGAAGTTATTCTATATTTTTTACGGACATCTGTTGTATATTGCCAAGTGGTTTGAGTGACAACCGTATATGCGATAACCGGTGTACATGAGAGGTACGATGGTCCATGGTTGGTGTACGGAGCACTATGTTATGCCGGATTATCTCACGGATTAAACATGTCTATTCTGGATTTTTCATTGTTACTATCCGAGCGGTATTTTTTCTGGACAAAATATCTCATATGAGTCCAATTTTAAATGTCAAGGTGTGGCTTTTTCTAGCCTCAGCTATTAAGGTCGAAAGAACCAATACCCCACATGCTGCTAAGCTTAGATTTTAGAATGTCAGCCAACGGTCATGCTCAGTGTATTGATATGCAGGTTGTGTTATCCATGGCAGTACTGAGGCAGTATCTCCCTATGGATCAGCAGTGGAGATTATGACCCGCGTCATAGGTACTTTCCTTGTGAGTCAGCGCTAGAATGAGTCATTCTCGTTCATACTTTGTACAATTATCCCCGATAATCTCTCATTATCATGTTGTATACAACCATCCACTATACATGTACCTGCGATCCTTAATCTCTTGCAAAGCATTTACCGCAGAAATGTCTATAAAACAAACGTAAATTCCCTAAATTTT